TAGGAAAGTTGTGTGATGAAAATGAGTTGAAAGTATATTCGGAAGTATATGATTCGGATACTGAGCAACAAGCTTGCATGAAAATGATTATTCTAATTTATTACTACCTTTCCACAGCCATTTCGTGTAATTGGATGAATTGTGAAGTGAGAGAGTTTTGTCAATTTATGGATTATGCAGAGGAGAGAATTATACCCCAATTCTTTCGTTGTGCAAACCATATTTATCAAGAGGTGAGGAAAGGTGCCGAAGTGGAACCATTCGAATGTGGAATTGATAATTTGGAGAATTGGCAAAAAGTTGTTTTACATTTTATTGTAAAGGTGCATGCTGAAGTTTTAAAGTGTAGAAAACCAATTTCACATGTCGGATTTACTGAATTTCCACCATGTTTTCTATTGTTAACGGTTTCTAATTACTTTTTGGAAAGAAAGAATCAATTGTTGAAAGAAAATCCTGAAAGTTATTTATCAGGAGCAAATAGTTGGTTATTGACCGATCTCTTTTATTATTGGAATCAATTTATTGAATATATAACAACACCTACAGAGGATGATTATGAACTTAAGGCTAAAAACTATTACAAAAATCAGGCTTTCGGTCTTTTACTGGCACGATATTTCATTTTTTGTCTCTATAACTTTGCTGAGGCTAGTTCTACAAAGAAGAAGACAAATGTTACAAAAAAATTATTCACATTACTTGGAAAATTGTTTCACTTGTCAATTAATTTTGCAAAATGCATTCTAGATATGATGGAGAATGATTTGGCACAAATCAAGAACACCAAAGATGATTCTACCATTATATCTGAAAATTTATTTCCAAGAATTAGAAATAATTATGGAAAGACTGTTTGGGTAATCAAACACAAAATATTACGAATGATTAGTAATATATTGAACTATGATTGTAAACAAGATCCTTCTGCCTTTAAAAACAAATCTTACGTAGCAGCTCTCTTTAAGGATTTCATATTTGACACTTTGCAACAACAGAGTGAGTTGGAGAGTGGAGATTTATTGGCAAAAAGATCTATCATAACAGCTCTCGACAGTATTTCTCTAATTGATTTATCTTCGATTGAAACTCAAAATGTTAAGAATCAAGTCTCTGCAATTATTCAAATTTGTAAGAAATTACTCTCCTCTGAGAATAGGGATATAAGATTAGTCACCAAGAAGGCCCTTGGTCTTTTCTTTTCAAAAACTAATTATTATTCTGATGATTTACTTGATTGTATCATTAAATCTCATGAATTGAGTAGTAATGATATCACAGATTATTGTGCCTTGTTGAAAGGCATTACTAACAGTCTGAATATTAGCAAATCAGAAATTAGTGAATCAATTTTGGAAGGTTTGAAATTCAAGATTAACAATTTATTCGAAACTGTGTGTGTGAATGAAACGATGGAATATTTAACAGTTGAAAACGAGGAAGAAAAAACAAACCTACATAAGAAGAATATTAATCAATGCCTCCTCTTAATCGGAAACGCATTTCAATTAATTAATGATAATGTACTATGTGAGAAACTTCTTTCCTATATTAAGGAAAAGACAGAAGAAATGTCAAGCTACAGCATACAGGAACTGTTTAATTCAATGATTGTGCCACTTACGGTGGTGTTGATAGAAATTTGCAGATGGATAGAAAGAAAAGCTCTACTTGAAGCTTTCAACAAACACTCCTATTCATTTCTTGCCAATCTAATACGAATTCTCATTAAGATTGGAGATCCATTTGCATACACACAATATCATTCACTATTCACATTGCTTGGAACTTTGAGTGAAATTGGAATATTACACACTCATCTCTCCATGGACATGTTGACTAATAATTCTATCAATGAAGGAGGAAAGAAGGATTTTATCTATGATTACATTTTGCCAATAATTATTAAGGAGATTGCTGATATGGAAGATTTTGAAGATGACATGCTTTGGATTCCTAATATAATCGTGGATAAAATGTCGCAAGCTTTTTGGGCATGTAATAGGATTATTAGAAACGATGTTGCTCTTAATGGTGGTGAGAGATCTCTTGTAATTTTGAATGAATCAATCAATGCTATGTTTGAAACAATAGAATGCTTTACTAACTTTAAACAAGGTTCAACTCATATTGACAAGTTAGACGAATTATATGTTAACGCCTTTTCCACTTGTTTAATAGACAGAAGAAATATGGCTGAACTAGCTCCAAAACTGGTGCAACATTTGCAAATTCTTTACCGAGTAAGCATTAATCAAAAACTAGAGATGGAAATATTGGAAATTGTGGAATATCTTATAGACAATCAAATTATTTCTCCTTGGGTAAATGAAATATTATGGGTAGAAGAACTTTATGTCAATGGAACAAGCTCTATTGAAGAGGCTCTATTAAACAGAGTAAAGAGAAAAATTGGCATATTTGCAGAAGATCACCAACAAACTTTCTAAATATACAATCAAAACAATTGTAAACCCTCGCTAACACTCTCTATTTTAAATACCCTAAACTTGAAAATAACATTCCATGACCTTCATTAACAATAAAATCAGTTGCCCACTCCCAAAACAGAACTAGCAGTTGACAGATCAATGCAACGAATCAAAAAGTGTCAAACACATTCAATATTGCGAACGTTTTTACCACACAAATCACAAAATCCAGCACAAAAATTATCAGATAAAAAAATATTTTCTGAAACTCTCTCTGAAAAAAGAAAACATCACATATTTTCTAATCTTTTTCTCCGGAGGTTTTGATAGTTTGTGTTGTTATTATTATTAGTAATAGTCGTAGTAGTAGTAAAAATTATTATTATTATTTGAGAGAGAAGGATATATAGTTGGAGAGGAATTTTTGTATATATATAATTTAATTATTATTATTCTACATTATTAAATATATTTAATTAATTATAAATTGACAAGTAGAGTATATAATATAATATAATAGAAAATGGGATTTTTGAAATTGTCTTCCGCAGCTGATGCTGGAAACTTTTCTGAAAAGAAGAAGAGTAAAAAGAAGAAGAATAAGAACAAGGAATTTGATCCTAATCATATATTTGGACAACCACTCAAGACGCAAATTACATCAATTCGTACCTCTCTTCTCATTCAGGAGGAAGATGAAACAGCCACTGGTGGAAAACGTTTTGTTATCTATCCAAAACTATTGTGGTTATGTTTGAATTGGCTTGAAAATAACAATGATTGTCCAACGACAGGTTTGTTTTTATATACATGTACATTGAATTTCTAATATCTATTTTACTTAGAGGGTATTTTCAGGTTGAGTGGTCAAGCTGCTAGTATTAGTGCTCTCAAGGAACAACTCATCAAGGGAAAATATGACAATGTTCCAAAGACAAATGATTATGATTCTGATTCTGATGATGATAGTTTGGGAACACCAACTGCGGATGATGATGAAATTTCCAACTATAATATGAGAGAAAATCATCTCATTCAAAAGTTTTTAGTTTACTTTTATCCAAGTAATGTTCCTCCTGACAGTGTTCCATTTGTTGCATTGAATAGACAAAATCTTTATACTAACTTGTTGGAAATTGTAGGAATGAATTTTGTTGAAATATTTCCTCAAAATACTATTAATAATGTTTCCAGTTTATTGAAAATGTATATTAGAGAATTACCTGAACCACTCATGACATTTGACCATTACGATATGTTTATTGCTAGGTAAGTTCACAAAAACAAGTATTATTGAGCTAATATTATTACAGTGATGGTATTCCAGATGATGAAGTAAGATTGAAAGTTATTAGAAATGTTCTTCGTTTCCTTCCAAGATCAAATTATTTCGTTTTGAAAAAGTTGTGTAAATTTTTGAATACCATTCACAACAATTCTTCAATTAACAAAATGGATGCCTCAAATTTAGCCATTGTATTTGCACCAAATATCCTTCGTCCACCACCAATGTATTGCAACGTTCTTCAAATGCAATTGAGTGAAGCCAGATTTGCAACAAGTCTCACTGAAAGTCTTATTGCAGAATATGAATTCTTCTTTGGAGGAAAGGATGAATTAGTTGGAACAAAGAAAGAAACTCCAAAACCACCTTCAACCAAACCAAAAATTAGTGTGAATACTGACATGAGTCCAACAACTCCTACTACCTCAAAAACTCTCCCAAGTCCATCATCAACATCTTCAACACCAACGAGTACAACACTTCCACAGCTACCAACAAGTTCTGTTAAAAAACCTCCTCTTCCAAAAAGACATTCTCCTTCAGTAATTAATCCTTCATCAGGCAATAGTGTTGAAACAACTCCGAGTGATACAGAATCTAAACCTATTACTTTACCTAAACCTCCAAGCAGAGAAACATCAAGATCAGTGTTTGCCAATCGATCTGATTCATCGAAGAGTGTTCTTTCAGTCATGGACAGTATGAGTTCAATAAGTAATAGTAGAGAGGCAACAGCAGAGATTAAAAGACTCTCACGAGTAATGAAAGCAGGAGATGTTTGTTTTGATGTAGGTCTCGAAAAGAAGCCTCCAAAACCACTTCCTCCTAGAAGAGCTACTGTTCTTGAATCACCTCGTTCTGAGAGCTCTCCAACAACCACTTTTACAATTCCACCAAGAAAGCCACAAGAGGATCGACCAACTCTTCCACCAGTCCCTTCTGGAAATTTAACATTTAATAAGCCTCCTCTTCCATCACGTTTTGCATCCAAATCAGATTCTTCTGCCAAACCTTTACCTCCACCAAGAACAAGTACTGATTCTGAATCGAGTACGACATCTGGTGCAGCTCGTTCACCTCCTCCAATCCCAAGAAGAAAATAAACTTGTGTACATTAGAATATTTACTATCTCTACGAGATTATCTTCATTATCTGTATATGGTAGGCAGAAAAAAGAAAACAAGTTAAAATGTAATTGTGACATGATTATATTAACAATGAATCAAAGCTTGAACTAAGGGATCTGGATGAATATCTCGATAATTCCATGAGTGATCTAAAATGTCTATCATAAATGCCAATATAAAGACTCTGTCCACCATCATTCCTACTGAATGCAATACCAACAATTTCTCCATAAATATCTATAACATGTTCTCTGCTAAATTCACTATTTACATCATAAACATGTACAAAGTCTGCTGGTTCTGATGAGGCCAAAAATTGACCATCCTCAGAATACCTTACAGATCTAATGGCTCCTATAATGCCAGGAATTGTATGAACAGGACCTGTTGGCTTTCTGATATCCCAAACACAAACCAATTTATCTTGACTTCCTGTGGTGAATTGATATTCATTTACAGGATTCCAATCAATGGCAAAACTAAAGTCCATATGCCCAGAAAGTTTCATCATGGATGAAGGTGTTCCCTCCTGATCACAAACAACAACTTCATAAGTATCTCCAATGCATGCCATTAATTTACCATTCTTTGACTGAGTCACTGAATTATTGATACAATAATCAAAAGATACTGCTGAAATCATGTCCATTGTAGGAAGATCAAACTTTCTAACAAACCCATCATTACTTGACACTAACAATGAATTTCCCTTCAAATCTAAATAATTTGTTATAGAGTTGGCAGAGTGTGATATTCGGTTATTGTAAATAACCTCTCCATCATTCTCTAAATTCATAATTACAATTTCTCCTTTAAATCCACCAGCTACCAGATATGGGTAATTAGCATTAAGTGTTGATATTAAAATTCCTGAAGCTTCCGAATCCATATAAGTTAAATCCTTTACAATTCCCTTTCCCTTCCTGAGATCCATTGATACTTTCGAATTTGATAATTTTCCATCAGCTTGTTGAGTTGTTCTTGTTATAGAATTCCAATGATGAATTGAATTATCATTCATATAATATACATCAGTAGGCGAAGTTGCTGCTATCATATGTCTCAATTGAAAGTGAGTAAACGAGCATGGTGTTTGTCTAGAATTTGATTTAAACGAATAAAAGCAACATTTTTCATCTGTCGGAAAGTGTAATTTACTCTCCATATCACACAAATCACCAATTGGTTTACTCTCATCAGCATTCTTTTCCAGTGCTTTATCATACGTCTTCATTCTTTCAAGTCTATAATTTGATCGGGACTTCTTAATACTAACTTCCCATCCAATACGTTGAACATCTTGTCCATACACTTCAGATTGTAGGCTTGTAGTATCCACGGCTAGTGATTGTTCCGTTAGAAATTTATTTCTCTTATCAAATAAATCTACAATACATGGATTTTCCGAGTATTCTTCCAAGTCATCACTCATCACTTGTCCATTTGTTGGTCTGTTATTACCATTCATTTTTTTTTAAAGTTTTTAAAAATAGAATTTTACTATTATTGTTTTTTCTTTTTGAAATAATAATCAAATTAAATCAAATTAAAATGGCAACTATAAATCTATTTAATAATAATAATTATGATGAATAATTAATTTTTAAATAGTATTTTTTTATTGCCTTAAAGCTTTTTTTCAAAAAATCGAGATAATGGTGTAGCAGTAGTATACCGATGATGATAAGTAATAATAATAATTAGAGAGAGATGTATCCAAAGTAAACAGCAACAACTAACACATTTCACACTACTTTTGTAGATTGAGAAATTAATGCAAGTAGGTTTGTGGATATCCTGGAACTTCGCCCTTTCTATATCTTTCCAACCATTTCAAAATCCAACGACGTTGGGCAACTGGTATTTCCTTAACCTTCAATTTGAGAGACTTGGAGGTGAACAAATCTTCCCATGAAGTAAATTTATCTACATGTTCTTCGCATCCTTTACCGATATTCTTTAAAAATGATTCCACAGTTATTCCTCTTCTTCTTCTCGGAACGATAAGTGGGTCTAGGAGAGGTTTTGGAAGGTTAGCGAGTTGTCTTCTGAGTTTAGTTTCATCATCTTCCTCTTCTTCAGCGGCTTCGCTATATGAACGTTTAATTGTTGTATTATTGAAAGTTTGATTCATCAAGAATTTATATTGATTTTGCTTGCATTGCAAAACAACTCTAGATGTTGCTGATGAAAGTTGTTGTTGGGATGGTTTTCTGGCAACCAATGAACAGACGGAACCCAAACGCATTTTTTATTCAAGAATAAAATTTTAAATTCATTAAAAAAATTACTTTGAAAAATTGATTGTTTTTCTTCCCATCTCTACTTTGTACAGCTACATTTAAAAAGTGAAGAGTCTAAATGAGTCACAATAATATAGAACAAAAAGAATCGGAAAGTAAAGGGGATACTAATACCTCCAATGTGGAATATTCAAAATTTGAAGAAATGCCACCAGTCCAAAGAATTCAAATATTTATTTGGGAAATTTTCAATATTGTCAAGAATTTAAACATTTTAAAACAATGGATTTCTTATTCTTTGGGAATTAAAACATCCAACAGCAACATGTTAGGTAGAAATAGAGAGCATACTCGTTCATTACCTGGTACTGATAAAAATACTGCCCTTGAATTTAAACCAAATGTGGATCATAATATTTAGAGTTCATTTACTTGAGGTGTTTGATTGGATGTACTCATTGGTGTATTCATAGATGGCGTCTCGGTATTCTTTTTGATTTCTTTTTGCTTGTATTCTGATGTGAATGGAAGATTGAGGTCAACTCTTCTATTAACTGGAATATGTTGAATGTGATAGGCAATACCTGTTTCAAAATCTCTAAAGTAAGGCAAATCCATAATGTGTGGAGGTGACATGATACAATTACAATTCTTATGAGAACATTTATCCATAAATAATTTTCTGTACAAACAAAGGTAAATCTATTTTCCATAAAACATTAGATTCAATATCTTAGCTTGAAGAACTTACCATAAAGGCTTGGAATGGAATGGCTTTATAAACTGGATGGGTAGTGTAAAAATCAAGAGCTTGACAGAAAGTCTTACTAACTTGCCTGAAAATCTTATGTTCTGAAATTGAGGTCTCATAAACATTTTCATGAATGGAAAAGGCATTTGCTTCATAAGGTGTCATATTGTCACGGAATAAAATATTGACAATCATAATATCAGTAACCCTTAACTAATTGGAATGTTAATAATTGCATTATAAAAAACATACAAATACCGAGCAATGATTATCATCCTTGTGAATACTAAGAAGATCTACAATACTAAAATAGTTGTGGAATTTTCCAGATTTGTCTTTCAATTCGGAAAGTAACTCTTGAGGGTCCTTGTAGGATGATTCATCCCTCTTGGAAATTTTGTGAATGACAGAGTTTGGTGAAGTTTTCATTCTCTCCTTTCTTGGAGTTTCGAACAATTCCAAATCACCAGGATCTTCTCTTACATATCTCTTCTTTTCAATTTCCTTTGATAGTGTTTGTAAAGTAGAATCTACTTTGGATTTTAATTTATCAACTCCTTGACGATCCACACTTCCATTCAATATTGTCTTCAAGCCTGAATATTTAGAGCTGGTTAAATTAACTTTTTGGTAATCCTTTAATTTTGCTAAATAAGATGATGCATGTTGAAAACATGATGATATATGAGTTCGGTATGGTGTAGGCTCACTGTGTGATGCCTCTGGATTTTCTTCCTTTATAATATTTGGTACGGAAACTTGATGAGAAACAAGAGTACGATTATGCGGATTTAATTCCGTAAATATTGTATGTACTGATGATCTAAATTTTGAAATTAAATCGATCATTTCATCGACCTTTTCAATCACATCATCAGCAGATTCATGACTGGCCATTGTTTCTTTGTATGATGAGGAATTTTTTTTGAATTTTAATTTTTATTAATAAGACAACTGTGTGTATTGGTACTACTCTGTATCACCCTTGGTAGCTGATCCCTCAACGAATTCGTATGTAATTTCTGTTTTGGTTATCATGTGAAAAACCATAGCTAATTCCTTTATCATCTCAAGACATGTAATCTCATCACTTGTTGTAAAGACATAGTTTTCTGAAACAGACCCTTTGGTACTCTTATCTTTTGATGCCTTTTTCTTGTCGAAAACAATGCAGAGTGCGTTTGGAGTTTTTGAAAATCTCTTAATGAACTTAATATGCTCAATAGGAACACCATACTGTTTTCAATTTCGATATATTAAATATAATGTTCCTTATTTAAGTTTGAACAACAACTTACTCTCAATTTAATTTTCTTTTCGTCAGCTTCTCCTATGGCCATCTTGGCATTGTAAAGTCTCTTATTTGAAAAAACAATGGCTCGTTTTTGATCATCTCCCTTTTGAAGGAAGAGATGGTATTGATAAACTTCTGGTGCATGAACAATCATTGCTAATTTGAATTAATATTCCATCTAATCATAAACCAAATACATACTCTCAAAATATTCCTTATTATAAGCTTGGAAAACATTCGAAAGTGTAAAGTACCACACTTCTCTATCGGCAGGTGATGTGCAGATGTATTCCTTTTTTGAAAATCCAGTTGCACTTCCCACTACATGTAATATAATCTCCAATTGTCTATCATTGGTCTCACATTTTTGAATTGAGTTTACCATACACCAAGGAATCTTCCACTTAACCACCCATCTTGATCTGTATCCAACTCCTTCGAATGGTTCTGTAATATCCGTTTGAATGAATACATTGTCATTTATAAAGAGTGGATTTTTAGCATCCTCTGGTGGAAGTGATGTGACATCCTTTGCTCCAAGTCTTTCAAATTCTTCCTCTCTTGCTACTTTTCTAAGTGAACCTTTTCTTGATTGGATTTCTTCATCCACTTCCAATTCCATCTCTGATAATTTTGGTTTGTATGTGGCATCCTTAATAATTCTGTACATGTTTAATTTTCCAAACACTAATATACACTCCTCAAAATCATTTCCCTTTTGTCTTCCAAATGTTGACGAGGCAATAAAAACATCTTCCTTATCCATTAATAATACCAGTGGATCTAAAATATTACCATCCTCATCGTAATCATACTTGTTGAAAATAGAATCCTTCTCTGTTGTTGTAGCAGGATCCATATTGATGTTTCTTATTGGTGTAGAATGTGTATTCTCACAGAAGGCCATATGATAGGACTCCTTTGTTGAGAGGGCAGAAGGACTCATGTGTGTACTATTTGAATCCTTCCTCTTTGGAGTATGAAAACTTGATGTGAAAGATAGCTTTCTACCGAGTGGTGAGAGAGTTTTATCTGGTGTATTGGAATTGCTCAAGTGTGAAGATGAGGAGGATGGAGTCATTGGCGAAGATGGTGAAGTTGGAGTTTTAGGCTCCTTAGTCTTTGAAAATAAGGCTCTCATTTTTTTAAATTATTGTACAATCAGCAACATTTGGTATTGAAATGTAATGATCTAATACACAAAGAAGAGTGAAAATAAATTGACAATGCTAAGGTAAATATTCTCATAAAATAATTTCAACATTGTACAGCTCTGCAATTAATTTCTTGGTGATGTTTCTGCTATTCTTCCTTGTTCAAGTATCGGCCAATTATCATCAAAAAATAAATATTTTAAAAAATGAATAAGTTTGTCAAGAAGAGTATTTCTGTCTGTTTGAACACAGTCACCAAGCGTTTCAACTCTAATGCTGCTGGTTCTGGACAGGTAGGTATTACCATCCTCTATGAAGAAGAAGTAGATTGATAATAATAATTAATAATATTGGAATTAATGCGGAATTTTTTAAATATAATTTCATGATGATAATTTAATATTTGATGATGATAATGTATTAATTAATTAAATAGCGTCAATTCCCAAAGCACTCTGCTTTGCAAGATAAGAGACAAGTCATTAAATACGGTTATATTGCCAGTCTTGTTTTCAGTATATATTGGATTGATCGTTTCTTCACTGTTGAACATTACGATGCCATTGCCAAGGAATAAACTGTACAATAACAAAAACTCGGAAGGGAATTGTATTAAAAATTATTATTTAATTAATAAGTTGTTTTTTAAATATGTTTCAAAGGATATTGTTCCTTGTTCTTCTATGGTCATTATCCACAGAAGCAAGGTTATTCTCAATATTCAAATAATAAAAAATGTGTGATAGAGATAATAGTGATGGATGCTGTGGAAGTCATCACCACCATCACGATGATCATGATCATCACAAAGAAACTCTAAATGATTCTCAGAATGGTGAACAGATTCAATCATCGGAAGAGAGTTTGAAATCAAAAACAACAACAATCAAAAAGGATGACAATACTTGTTCCAATCACGATCAAAAGCATCACCACTGTTGTAAACATCATTGTGAAGAAATTTACATTGAGAAGGATCCTCTAGTATTGGAATTGTTCGACAATACAGCTCAAGTATTCAGTAAAATGGAAGATCTGACCTATGTAGAGGGAGACGAGGAACCAATGATTAAACAATTGCATTCCATTCTCTTGGAAGAATCAGTGGAGAATATTCAAGATGATTTATTGGAATTACTTTCAGATTTCAAATATGGAAGGGATAAAAAATTTCATTCGAAACTGTGGACACTATCGAGAGGTTATTTATTCTTGGCTAAATTTTGGAGTTTACAATTTTTGAATGAGGAAGATTATGACTTTGATGGTTATGAATGGTTGAAGAATAGAACTTTTATTCCAGATCATGTCAATCAGGAAAAATTGGCCAAGTGTATTGGCTTCTCATTTGCTTGGATCAATGTCATTTATCCAAAAGCAATTATGGAATATGAACCGTATATAACTGTATTAATAGATAATGGCAAGTTGACCATTGCTGATTTGTGGTTGGAGAAGAATTTGGAAGTTGTTTCTTTCACTTCAAATGAAGGTTCAATGAATATCAAAAAGGCTCCTCTACATTTCAATAAGAGAACCTTTTCCCAATTCAGAGGAGAAGCTTTCATCATTGGTGATAAGCATAATGATACAACTATTCGAAAGGAGAATTATTTCACACTCGATATTGATATTAAGGAAAATCCAGACGTCGTTGGAGACGCATTCGATGTAAAGACATTAATGGCATTCCCTTCGAATAGATTCTTGAGGGTTGTTCTCAATTTTATTGGGCACAACATTCTGGGAAATAAGAGACTCTTAGTAGAATATTATAGAATTTTGAGACATGGAGGTACTCTCTTTTTCAAGACAGAACATGTAAATAATGATGGAATTGACAAGATTTTGGATAGAAAACTCGAGTTTGAAAAGAATTTGTGGAATACAGGATTTTGTGATATTTTCATTACCCAGAAGTATGATAGTGAAACAACAGTCTATGCACCACATTACTTTTTAGTTGAGGCACGAAAGAGATAATATTATCAATAAATTCAATATAAATTATTTCAATTAAAACAATATTGAAAAGACATCTTATTCAACCATTTTACTTGGAACTGATGGATACAATTGTTGAGCTAGGGTCATTAATCTCTTAACACTTTGAACATATCTTCGTTGATCTTCATCGTTGAGGATGTGCTTAATCTTATCTGAACCAATTCTTTCACGCGCAGTTCTAGCGTGAATACCAACCATGGTAACACCAATTGGCCAAGGTTGATTACCAATAGCAAGCTCCATATAAACATCATTTGCTTTTACATATTCCTTCTCAGCCATGAAGGAACAAATTGGTTCCAAAGATTGAACAATTTCATCTGCCAATTGTCTCTTTTTCAATAATTTAAAAAGTGGCTTGATATAACTCTTTGTTTGCTTGTAAATTGTTGCGTCATGTTTACCTTTTGCTGATTTTTTAACATGTTCTGGCAAATCATCCAATTTATATCTCCATTCCTTCATGAGTCGTCTCAGTACACGTAAAATAAAATCATACGAATCCTCATCTTGTTTCTTTGGTATCACTCCAATATATTTTACAATGTCCTTATTTGAGGAGTTGGCTTCAGATGATGCTTCTCCAATTGCTACTTCATCCACAACTTCTTGTTCTCTTTCCTTCAATGCTTTGGCAAAGTCATTTTGTTGCCCAATAAATTCACCTCTAGTAGTTTGAATGTTTTTCAAACGTATCAATCGGAATTCATCAGTTTCGCCAAATAACGTTATTGGTTCACCATAGGAACGTAACAATCTAAATACTTCAAATCTTGGAATAGTCTCCAAAGAATTGTCATCATCATTGTCAGTATTATTATTTCGTGAGTTTTAATTTTTTAGATGGTTCTTCGGAGGTTGTATTGATACCTTCCGATGAAGAAGAGGTTGCAGTTGTTGATTGTTGTTGTTCATCATCATTATTTACATTAACCGACTCGTGTTTTCTTTTAATTCCTTGCTTTTCAAAATATTGACGTTCTCTAGCTTGCTCCAATTCACCTTTCCTCACCCATTTAGGTTTATTGGTGCTACTATTATTTTCCACAGATTGTTTTAATTCTTGTTTTTGATTTTTTGTTTGATTGAGTGCATTTTTCAATAGATTCAATGCAGACATTTTTTTACAATGTTTTTTTTACTTCAACTTCAATTAGGTACAGTAAGATCACCTATTGGTTTTTGATTTTCGAAATGTTATCCTCAATATAATAGTATTGAAATACTAATCATTTAAATGAATTTTAAAATTTTTGTGTTTTTATAAATAAATAGTGTTACAATTATTTTCTGAGCTTGTACTTGACCATGTTTGGAGGAGCAGGACCAACAACGAGTGAAGAGTAAGATGGTTCTGGAATATTGCCCATATATTCCATATCATAATATCTCAATAAAATACTAATAATACTCTTAACTTGGAGGAGAGCAAAGTTTTCACCAATACATTTGTGACGACCAGCACCAAATGGAACATTACCATACTTGAATTTGTCTTGTTCCTTATCTTCAGTCAAACGTTCTGGTCTGAAAACATCTGGACTAGTGAAAGTATCAGTACATCTACCAGCAACAGATGGAGAAACAACCAAAATGTTACCCTTTGGAATAATGAATTCTTCGCATTGTCTTGGCTTTCTGGCCATTCTCATAATCATGATCAAAGGTGGATACATTCTGAGGGCTTCCTTCATACAGGCTTCAAGATAATCCATTTTCATAACCTTTTCATAATCCAACTTGGCATCGGAACCCATAATTTCATCTTGTTCAGCTCTAACCTTTCCTAAAACTCTCTTATCAGCAATAACACTCATCAAAGTCCAACTGCTAGTAATTGAAGAAGTGTGTTGACCAGCAAACAAACCAGCAATCAAAACACCAATTCTGTGAACATCAGTCAATTCTTGACCATCCTTATACTTTTGAGTAAGCAAATGATCAACAACGTCCATCTTTGATTCATCCAACAAACGTTCTGGATTCTTCTTGTGTTCTTCTCTTCTCTTATCTAATAATTCTTGGAAAATTTCACCAATAGCCTTTCTAGCAGTGTCACGTCTACCTGCAGGAAGTGATGGATAGAAGAAAGACAATGGACTAATACCTTCATCAATATCGTGATAAAGTTTACCCAAATTCTTTGAACTCAAATATTCTCTAACTTCATCACCTAACAAACAACGAGAAGCAGTGAAAATAATCAAATCAGATAACAATTCAACAATATTAACAGTTCCTTCCTTGCCCAAAACATCAACTCTACGTCTAACTTCATCTTCAAAGATATCAACAAAGACACGGAAACGAGCAGTGGTAAGACCAGATGAAACAAACTTGACTTGTTCCATCATACGTTCAGTGGAATCAGCATCATAAACGACACCTGCACCAAAGACTGGTCTCATGAATTTGTAAACATCTCTCAAAGAAAGTTCATTATCAGTAGCCTTGAAGAAAGTTTCCAAAATCTTTGGGTGATTCAAAAAGGTCATTTCCTTACCGAGAATTGTGGCAGTAAAGACATCACCATACTTTTTGCTATTTTCAATAATGAAACCAACTGGGTTCTTGGCAAAGCCAACAAATGAACCAAAGTATGGAAGGAAGTTTGGTACTCTAGGTGGTTCACTCTTCTTTCCCTTTTGTGAACTAAAGTAACGAATAACCAGGAACAAAAATCCGGCAACAACAAGTGCCAAGACGATATCAAGCACACCTATTTCGTCCATGATGTGTGTATTATGTGTTATTTTTTTATTCAAAACAAATGCGCTGTGAAATTTATTTGGTGGCTGGTGAGTTCAACGCAATCCGAACATTCACTCGATCAACAAATAAATAGTGTTTGGTTCATCGGTCTGTAACAAACTCCACCAAAGTGCGTTCGGGTTTTGAAGCCAAAAATCAACAGCTCTTTATCTAGAGTGTGTTAAATGATTATTTATTTATTAATTTAACAACAATACAGTACAATGGATTAGTTTAATAATATTGAGATTGTGTAGAGAATTGAAGTTTTGTGATGTTAATAATTATTGGCGGTGGAGAATAATATTTTCTCCTTACGAACCAAACTCACCTTATTAGGTTTATTTGTGATAAATTGTTAGATATTCGGACTTCGCAAGTTTTTGTTTCCCTTAGAAGTTTAAATTTAAGAGAATTAATTGTAAAACAATATGAAATTAAAATTTACAAAAATATTTATTTAGTCATGATCTTTTCAATTTCATCAATGGTCTTTGGAACACCTGCACACAAATTATCAATACCATCATCAGTGATTGCAACATCATCTTCAATTCTAATACCTCCAACACACATGTATTCATCAATGAGGGTGGCATTCAAGTATTTGGCTGTTGTTTCATTCTTGAAAGCGTTGGCAATCATTCTCTTATTGAAATAGATACCTGGTTCAACAGTCAAGACCATACCCTTTTGGAGAGTAACTCTCAATCTCAAATAACCAATACCAGGTTCGTCGATCTTTTCAAAACTACCATCACGATTTGGTGGATCGTGAACATCAAGACCCAAAGCATGTCCCAAACCATGAGGGAAAAAGACAGCTCCAACGTGGTTTTGAACCAATTCATCAACAGCTTCTTCTCCACTCTTTCCATCAACTTTCAACAATCCCAATTCAAACAATCCTTTAGTAATGACTCTTGAAGCCAAACGATGCATATCTTCCCATTTAACACCAGGCTTCATAGAATTCAATACAGCCATTTGAGCATCAAGAACAATTTGATAAACTTGACGTTGCTTTTCAGAGAATTTACCATTAACTGGGAAAACTCTAGTAATATCACTGGCATATAATGATCCATAACATTCAGCACCAGCATCAATCAAGACTAAACTACCATCACTGACATTTTCATCATTTCTGACATAGTGCAATGTAGCACCACGATCATCACCAGCAATAATTGGATCATAAGCCATGAAAACTGATCCAGCATTTATCATTGTTTCATATCTGAATACAGCTTCTAATTCACGTTCATTAATTCCAGGTCTAGAACGTTGCATACACTTGACGTGAGCGTCACCACTGATTTGACACATCTTTCTCATCATTTCAATTTCCTCTTGTTGTTTAATTAATCTTAAATCTCTAACCAAAACATAGAATGCACGAGTAATTTCATCACCAACAACTTCAACGTTTGAAAGTTGTTGAATTAATTGATTTGATTTTGATTCTTGATCGAAGGCAATAACCTTGTGAGTTTGCCATTCATTGAGAATTGATGAAACAAGTGTTGATCCTTGAGTCTTATATTCCACTCTTGAAAATCCAAGTTTTTGTTTGTAATCTTCAATGACTGGATAGTCACCACACCACAATGCATATTCATCATCATATTCAGGAACAAATAAAACAGATTCACTCTTGGATGGATTCAAAAGTAAACAACATCCAGGTTCAGACAATCCAGTTAAATAGTAAAAATTACTTTCTTGACGAAATGATAAATCAACATCATTACCAGGTGTTCTAGCTTTAATGTCTCCTCCTTGAATAAAATAGGCAATATTAGAATAAAGTCCTTCGGATTGTTTTAATTTTGCTGCTTGATAGAAAGCTTCACGATACAAGGCACGATTGCAACTTGTTTTCAAGATGGAGGCCATTTGTTGATGAGAATCTTATTTTTTTAAAAGTGCTTATTGCAAATATTATCAACTGTGCAACTCCGATAAAGAAGATTTCTATGAATTGACAATTCATTAATGCATATATTGTTTAGAGTTTTACAATGAAAAAGAATGAGCATTACATTATGTTGCTCACTATTTACTCAACCAGATAATATCTATGGGTGAAGATTTGTTTAAAAAATAATAAAAAAAAGAAAACCACAATCAATAAAAATTCTCGCTTCACATATGCAACGCAAGCATTGATTCATTCCTATGAAAGCATAGGTCAAACCGTCTTTTCGAATTAGGCATTCAGTGTCGCCTTTGGCAACATCGCTGAGAGTCTGCCGTAAGATGAGTGATAGACTCTGGCTATCTCCACCCCGAACTGATCCTTCATGACAGCAAGGGACTGATCATGCTTACATCTAACTTTTATTATGTTTTTTAATTCAATGAGAATTATGAAGAAATTTTATTGAGGAGCAAAATAGTAAGACACGTGTACACTCTCACAGAGAAAAGGCAAGAAAGAATTGAGGATTCAAAAAAGTACCAACACAACATACGTATCATTGATTATAATTGGCCAATAGTATCGTGTCATTGGCGTGTATTATTTTAAAAAATGAAAAAACTTGATCAGCAATATTCACCACCCACTTATAATGTATCAACAGTTGGTTATTCAAATTCCGATGAATCAATGGTTCTCGATTATGTACCAGTCTCAGAGGATGGTTTTCAAAATTTTGGACAAATGGAAAATACTGATAATTTAACCTCATCAATTCAATACATACCTGCTATGAATGAGCCTCCACAAGCTAATTTTGTTTCATATAATGAATCTAATGAAGATCTTCAACAAAATGATAGTCCTACCACTACAGGCACTGATAAACCATTGAGATTTAGACGACAACCAAAAACCAAATCTGATCAACCATTAGTGGACAATTTTCAAAAACAATCCCACATGTTTTTTGTACCATCTGCTGGTTCCATTTCATCACCATCTCCCAATGCTTTTTCAGCACAACAAGAGGACAATTTGAATGTCTCCCTCGGATATTCTGTTCCAGAGTTTATTCCATCAGCAACAGTAATGCCACAACAACATTCCGGCAATATTCCACCATTGCATCATCAAGGCAGTCCCACAATGATCTCTTCCTATCAATCTGATTTTTCTTCGTCTGCTATGCACAATAGTGGAATGTCTTCCGTTTCCCATAACGATAATGGTTATGTGCAACATCATTCATCTGCCAATTCCTTCCAAGCCTATCCATCCTACCAAGCCCATCAAAATATTCCAACACAAAAGGAATTTAAACCAGCAAGCAAAGCTAAACAATCGATGTGTAGTAGATTATTGAAATATCTAATCGTATTGATTATGCTGGCTATTTTGGGTGCCATGATTTATGGCGGCTTCAAAGTTTGGGCCAATAATGCTTCAGTGCTCGAGACTGATTCTTCCAATTATGTCACACAGCAACACCATCAGCAACACAATAATAGATTAGAAATCAAAGAAGAGGAAGAAGAGGTTCTGGTAGATAAGGAAGAACCTCAAATTGCCAAACCAAACAATCCACCACCTGTGTCAGAAGTTCCTAGCAATACTGATACTAACACTCAAACACAAGAAAGAGAACCAACTTTAACAAATAATGAACCACAAAATGGAGAGCAAGCGAATCAAGACGATCCTTATAACTTTTATGATCCATTCAAAAACATCAAGACAGACAAAGCTCCAAAACCAAAGAAAAAAAAGCAAATCAAACCAAAGAAGAAGGTTAAGGTTCAAATTCCTCAAGAAATCTATGATAGAGTTTATCCAAAAAAGAAGAAATCAGGTTCTAATGAATCTAAATTCGGTTTTATGGATGAAAAAATTGAAAAGTACTTGGATAATCTCTCAGAGAAGGAATATAACAAACTTTCCAATACCAATAAGGAACTTATCAAAAAGTACATTCGTTTGAGGGAGAAGGAATCATTTGAACAACATACAGCCAAATCATCATCTGGTAAATATAAAAAGAAAGGTATCAGAAAAAAGAAAGCCAAGACTAATCCATACGAATTTGACTATGCCAAGAATGACGATGATGAAATGCAAATTTCCTCTGATCCAAAACTTCCTGTAAAGACTGTTCGTGATAAGAAGGGCAAGATTCATCATGTTGATCCTTTTGGAATTAATGAACATGAGAATAATGAGGCCTATGATGAGGATGTTAAGAATTATATGAAAAATCCAGACCACGAAAAGTATATCAACAAGTATGATGAGGATGAGGATGATGACTATTAAATTATTATTATTTCATTCATGCACTTATACCACTATTTCAAATCTTATTTTTAATATTTCAAGCCTGAGCCAAATCTTGTATTTGTGTTTCTAACAAGTTTCTCAATCTAACAGACTTGATGACCAACATTTTCCAGTCTTGAGTCAAACTTTCTCCCTCATTAATGACTCCAAGTTCAGATCTGAAATAAAAAGCATCAGTTGCATTCTTGAATCTGTGCAATATCGATACACTCCTATCAAGTAATTGAATATTCTGCAAAAAGTCAAAATCAACACGTTCATCTGTATCTGTGACATGTTCCAAAATATCGACAAATGAAGCAAAGTATTCTAATTGCTCCAATCCCATTCTCAAATGTGGCAGTTCAGGATAAAATAATAGAATATCTCGAACTTTCTTAAAGTTTTTCAATATCAAATCCTTGTCACAATAGCAATAAATCTTTGAAATGACACTACAAAAAACGGATTTCAACATTACAATAACATCTACAGATTTTCCAATTGAACCAACACCTTTGATTAGCTCTTTAGAGTTGAAAATATTGATAATATTATTCTCCAATGATTCGAGAAAGAGGGGTTTCAAATACGAGTTTTGTACAATCTTTGATCCATATGTCCTCAATACTTCTCCTATACTATTCAATATGTAGAGTAGTATTATCACATCTTCTACCTTATCGATCAGTGTAATTTTCTTTGGAATTTGAAAGAGCATTCTCTCAGTAAGGAGTGAAAATATTTCCTTAATGGTAAGAATATCTTCCAAGTGAACTCCCAGCTGTGCTATTAGAGCAAAGTATGAATTTCCCATTTGCTTGTTAATCACATTGGCTTTGAATAAGCATTTTGATACTATTAATTGTTCTTCCTTCATGTATCGAATCATTTCATCGTCCATTAGTCCAACTACCACTCCCATATAGTCCTCTAGATTTTCTGTGAAATGTTTATCTACAATCCTCACTGAGAAGAGCATTCTTCTAAGTGATACAAAAACACTCTCCCTCAATTTTCGTTGCATGATTAGGTTATTTCTCAAATATTTCAATACTTTCTTATCTGATAAAAGCTTGAAATAGACGGCGTGAACTTTTTTAAATCCAGGATCAATTTTTGCATAGCTACCACTCTCTGCACATTGCAAACTCATAGACTTTTCCAAATCATCAAACAAATCAATGACACTGAAAATATATGTATCTCTATTTTGGGATTTCTTAATAATTAAACTCATTAAAAACCAAGAAGAGGTGAGGGTATCATACTGTGAAGGTTAATACTTGAAATTCAAAATAAACTTACAGATTTTGTCCTTAAATCATCAGTGACAGAGAGAGGCAAAATTTTAAATATCGAATCATACATATCCATACCAATGTGCTCATCTTGCATCACATAGGTAGAAAATATTTTCAAAATTGACCTTTTTATCATGGCTCTACTATCGGTCACATATATATGTTGTAACTTGGTAATTAGTGGCTTTTTATCCTCGCAAACTGTTCCCAAAGACCAAATGCAAGTATAGGCAACTAGCTCATTTGAATGCTGTAAATTTGTAAATAAAAAATCATCATATCCTTTACATGTGAAAAGTCCAATCAAGAGAGCTAATTGAAATGTAGTATTCCACAATTTCTTTGGTTGATTTTGATACTCGTCATACTTTTTCAAAATAAAAGTGTGAGAGAATTGCCGTATGATGGGGATTTTTGATAATGTACCACAGATGAGTGTTACACTATCACAATTAGCATCGGTAGTGTTATCCTCTTCAGATGGAAGAAGAGTATTAAACATTTCTATTGAAAAATTCAAAATTGCATCGTTAATAATCTTTAAAATCCTTTGATTAGAAATTAATTTTAGTAAGTATTTATCCAGAATTGCAATACCATGCATGAAAAGAGAGAGATACTTGAGATTTTTCCCTTTCAAACACTTTGACATTTCTCCAAGAAATTTCATTAAATATTTGACAATATTTACAATCACAGTATTTTCATAAATAATTCTAGAATCAGAATAACGATCCTCATTCGCAAGAAGTACATAAAAGTGATAATATTCCTCTAGACATTTAACAATTCTAATATGAGATGCCACACAAATTGAAGTATTTGTAGCCATCACACTAAAATACAATTCAATAAATTCATACATGCTCACAAAATAGTCGACATGTTCGGGAGAACATAAAAAGTTGAGAATATCATTCAGTAATTGAGCTTCAATTTCCTCATCACGAATTCCATTCCATTCCTCACCAGCTTTTAATACTGGGAATGTATTAGTTCCTCTTCCTTGTACAAGGCTCAATTGATTGTTCAATTCCTCTTGAACCATTTTAATTCTAGCCAAATAGTCTGTACATATTTTCAAAGTGGTTGCACTTAGGGAATAGCCTTCTTCCTCTCCTTCCGATGATGAATCATCCGACATGCCATCATTTCTATTTGATGATGGGTGTTGTAACATTTTTTTTAAAATGTTTTTTTAATTCAATTCGATTGAATAATTATCTCTTTAAGATTTTTGAGTTATTTGGCAACTAGAATCAAATCAATGATAAATCAATATTGTCTGTATTCCAATGTCTATTAAAAAAGAATTGCAAAGAAAATAATGAAAATAATCAACTCAAACAGTTTTGAATGCAACATGTATATTGTCTTGGAATGATTGGCCATAGATCTGTGTTTCAAATATTATCAAAATCTTTACAAAAACCCAAATTATGAGTAGGTTCGAGCAGAAATTCGAACACATTCATTTTCCCTCCACTTCCAATAGAATTTGATTCATTTAAAAATTTAAAAAAAAGAAATTCACCCGCGCTCTTTCGCCAGTTACATAGTTGTTTCAAGTAACTGCCATCACACAGCAACAACAACAGAATAATCATCATATTGAAACTTTTATCATATTGAAAGCAATAGTTTTTTTGAGTGGATAAATTGATAAATAATGGCAGCCAATGATGAGGATATTAAACTCATTCCGGGAACGGATTTTGTAGTTGATGGATTTAAATACAAACAAAAGTATAATACCTTCTTTCTGACTCACTTTCACTCTGATCACGTAAGTTGTTTTTTATTAATTGGTTGGTGACAAGGTTTATTTAAATAATATTGTTTCTTCTAATGTTATTATAGTATGCTGGATTGGTGAAAACGTGGTCACATGGATCAATTTATTGTACCATCCCAACTTGTAATTTAGTGAAAAAACAATTTGGGATTGCTGACAAGTATCTTAATGCTTGTGAGTTTAACAAAACATATGAGTATAAAGGTGTCAAGTTTACTTTTCTTGATGCTAATCACTGTCCTGGAAGTAGTCTAGTATTGTTTCAAGTAAGCAAGACTGGAAAAGCCTTTTTACATACAGGAGATATGAGATTTGACAGATCCAAGATGTTGGATTGTGAAGAATTAAGACCTTATATGAGGGATGACATTAGACAGATAATTGAAGAAAGAGATGGAATTTCTTTGAAGGGAGTGCCAAAAAAACAATTAGAATCAATTTTTATTGACACAACCTATTGTGATCCTTTCTATACATTTCCAAAACAAGTCGAAGCAATTGATTTCATTGCTGATTTACTTGAGAGTAAATTCAAAAATACTAGCAAGTCATATTTAGTATTGATAGGTACATATTTAATTGGTAAAGAAAGAATTGCAGAAGGTCTTAGTAAGAGAACTGGAAAGAAGGTATTTGTAACATTTGAAAAATACAAAACTTTAGAGTGTTTGGAACTGCCATACTTTAACATTTTCACAATGAATATAGCCGAGACAAATATCCATATTGTAAATATGAAGGATGTGAGTTGGAAGAGACTTTTCCAAATTAAATCTTCCAACAGAAATGTGAGCGAGATTATTGCAATCAAACCTAGTGCATGGTGCTTTAAAGATATGGACATTCCCAAGTCAATGCCACTTGATGGTTCAATTCCAGAAGTTCCTGTAAAGGCTGTAAGAAATGGAAATATTACATTGATAGAGGTTCCATACAGTGAACACTCTAGCTTTACAGAATTGAAAGATTGTGTAGAAACATTTAATTACGATCATCTTGTACCAACTGTATATAATGACCCCCACCACAAGGCAAGAATAATTGAAATGCTTTCAGATGATTTTCAATACACTCCCATTCGTGTAAAGTTTACAGTTCCAGAAATTGTGATGACTGATGGAGCTTCAGGTACCAATTCTGTTTCAACACCCAGAAAAAAATCAAAGAAGGAAGAAAAGCCAAAGAGAGACAAGAATCAAAAATCCATTTCTCTCTTTCTTAAAAAGTCTGATCCAAAACCAATTCAACAACGTATTTCCCCCAATAAGAATGATGACGATATTGATATTAATTTGGATGATTATGATTTTGATGACGAGAATTCCATTGATGTGACTCCTGTTTCTGAGAGCAAGAGTCAATATTCAGAATCCCCAATGTCTTTATATGGAACTCCTCAACAATCTACATCATGCTCTGCTCCTATTTGTACCACAGATCCTGTTATTGATTTGGATGATGATTTTAGAGATGGTAGTCAGTTTAGTATGTATATTGATAGCCCAAGTACTATTGAGCTACCTATTTTTATTTCTGACAGTCAAGAAGACGACGAAGATATCATAGTGAATCCCCTTCCTAAAACTGCCAACCCCTTCGTAAAACCCTCCTCTTCCTCTTCTATGATTAGCAAGAAACCTCCCAATCTACCTACAGGTACTACTAAAAAAACCTCCTCCAGTACCACACCCAGTTCTGCTTCGAGATCTACGGTAAAACTGAAAAGAAAAACTCCAACCACCTCTGATTCTAACACGAAAAAATCAAAATCCTCTCCCACCTTAAGTCCTCAACAATCTACCTTGCTGTCATTCCTCCAACCAGTCTCAAAACCAATATTTATGAAAGAATTGGTTGATGATGATGGAAATATAGTTTTATCAATTGATGATTAATTTATTGATAAAGTGCAAACTTTCGTTTTTGACCATATTTTCTATTTCGATTGGATCCATAATGATTCGAGGAACCTTGTTGATGATTGGCATTTGAAGATGAACCTTGTTGATTACTTGATCTGTCATTTGCATTATTAAGGTTTAGGTAAGAGTAGAGACCCTTCTCACCCTCATTCTCGCCATCCATTGGTTTGGCAACCAACTTGTTACTTCTATTTTCACAGAATTGAGCAAGATTCATGTTTGGCAACCATGAAACCTTTTGAATTTCACTTCTTGTTGTATCTCTTTCGTAATGAACTTGCTCATTTCTCTTTGCTCTCTTTCTGGCAAGATCTGGTGTTTGTGCATCTCCATTATTGGTTTCAGGTGAGGCTGAGAGTGTTGGCGTTGCTTGTTGAAGTTGACTGGAAAGGCTTGTTTGTGATACTGATGGATGAAGGCTTGAAGCGCTTGGGGTCATGTTTGCAGAGGGAGGTGTGATATTCTCATCATCACTGCTTGCATTAGGATCATTAATAGATGACTCTGTCTTGACAGGTTGGTTTGGTGCATAATTTGGTCGATTAATCTTTTCAGCATTTGGTAGTTGTGAAATGAGTTTCATGATTGTTGGGTGGGCCAGTCCAAAATATTCAGGTCCACTCACATTAGTAAACACTCTCTTTCCAGATTCTTCGCTCTTGATTTTGTTGATTTGTTTTACAATTGCTGTCCATGCTGCTGTAGCACTTGGAGCTTCAATAATATCATTAGGATTATCGTCAGAGGAGAGGACAAATATTGGACTCTCACCTCCATCCTTAATTTCGCAAGTATAGAGACATCTTCTATTGGTATCCTTTACACTAGTATAATAACGAGTACTCTTATATCCTACAGGCCAAATATACTTGTCAGTATGATAATTTGGTCTATCATAAATTACTTTGCCTAACGAGAGGACTGTCAACGCTCCTAGTGGAATTGGGAAAATGACAGCTCCATATCTGTCTCTTTGAACTTCGACCACTCTCTTTGCTCTTCTGCCTGTGCTGTCGTCTCCTTGTTGTTGCTTATCGTACAGGAATTGTGGCCACAATCTATCCATGACAGCAGTAAATTCCTTATATCCTATTGTTAGGAAGAATGCTCTTAATTCTCCCCAAATCTTTCTATAAGAATTCCAACGTTTGGTATGATCGTTTTTCAATTCTGGTATTAATTGTTCATCATTTCCTCTCGAGAATTCGAACAATGATTCCAATAGTTTTTCTACATAGATCTTATCTTGATCATTGACATATTCTGGAGCTTTTCTCAAAAGAATATCCATTAAAGGGGTAATAATTTTGGAAAATAATGTTGCATAGATTTCTCTTGCATTTTCACAAAATAGAACAGAACTATCATCTGCAGCAAGTGGGAAATATCTGGTGCCTCTTTCGATACTTGATGGGACACTATACACACAATTGTTATGTTTCATAAGGGTGATAAGGCTTTCTTTCTCTGTTTCTTGAATGGTGGTACCTTCCCTAGCTAAATCTCTTTTTACATTTACCCTCAAGAGGTGATTATTCACAATATCAATAAATTCATGAGTTCTATACCTTAGATTATTTTCTTCATTTTGAATAATGTCAGTGTAAGGTTGGAAGACCTTATTCAAATGTAATACATGTAAGTATACATCATGACCGTGTTGTAAAATCAAGTGTGTTGGTGAATGATTATGTGCCAGATTATACTCTGATTCATAAATTAGTGCTACAGGTTTTTTAGTTGACAAGTGTCTCATCAGACAAACAGTTGGTAATGTGTAGGGAGTCATTGGTGTGATTCTATGAACAGATTTGGTAGTGTACAAATGTTCAATGCTTCTCTTTGGATCAGCTCTAACCCATCTCAAGTTGATCGATCCCGATGAAACAGACACATCCTGAATAATATCCACAGTCAACCCTTTACAAGCTAACAAGACATCATAATTGTTGGTACCCTCAGAGCAAGCATCTCTCATTGGAATTCCCTGAACAGAAATTAGTATTAGTCCGTATTGCTTTTGAGCAATTTTTTCTCTAATAACTCTCTCCATTGAATCTCGTTCAACCTGCCAAAATCTAGTATTCTCCACTGGTCTTGTTGTTCTCAATAGAGAAGAAATTGGCTCTGTTGATAAAGACTCGAGAGGAAGATTTGGAGTAAGGGATGAGCAATTGAATTTCAATGGTTGATTTGGGTCAATATCGGGACATGCCTCTATCAGGAAATTTTCAACCAAAGGTTCAATTAAATCCAATGTACAGGTCACCTTCCTGAGTTCTTCTTCGTCGAATGTGGAGAAGAGTTTATACAGTTGGGCTTTTCTTTGATTTTCCAAAACTGTAAAAGCAGATCCACTGTCCAAAGGTTGGGACATGAAATTTCTAACTTCATTCTTGAAAAGTTCAAATTGCTTTTCAAAAATTGAAGCAAGGGGTAAGATAAAATTCCTCTTCAATTCATTATCTATTCCAGGAGTTGATACGCACTTGGTAATAAATATAACCTTGAATGAGTAGTTAATATTGAGTTGACTCTTTTCTTTTGCCTTGATGTCTCCATGTGAAAATAAACAAGAAAATATATTTTGACATAATTGTTCCAATTGTTTTGTTGTGGGGTAGGGAGAAGGAGTGGTCTTTTTTTCAATCTCAGCACTAGTTCCATATAAATTGTCTAACTCTGTTGATAATTTGTTTGAAATCTTGTTATTGGTTAAATCTATTAAATGTAAATTAATACTACATACAGAAAGGAAAGTTTGTTGTTCCCAACTCCAATCATTTGTCATTAAAATTTCACTGCCATGATGTTGTAATCCTAGACAGATGCCTGCCTCCTCTGGAAGGATATCATTAACCATTCTACAATAATCTAGAATTGTTTCCAAAGTAACACTATATTGGGGTTTAGTAAATTCAAAATCATTTCTTGCTTTTTTGTTTTCTATTATTTCCAATTTGTTGTTGATGATATTGTTATAAATTGGTAATGAAATTATTATGAATGTTATCACAAATATTATTATAATATTTAATGTGTGTAGAATACGAATCGGATGGAATCATCTTTAATAATTTGAAAAACATTAAAAAAACATACCAACAAAAAAGTTAAATTGTTCAATAAACGACTGATCACCATCAAAAACATTTTCCGCTAATATTACCATTGTCCGATTAAAATAGTCAGGAACCTGTTTAGATCGGATTGATGGTGAATTGACCATAGAGGATGTTGTGAGCATTTTTTTCAAGTATTTATTTTTAATTATTTTGCTATTTTTCTCCAAGTATTTATTTTTAATTATTTTCATTCTCCCATTTAGAATTTCTTAACTTTCCTCAATACAAAATTTGGGTAGCTTTTGAGTTCGATTAATAAACTTTGCTTTTATCTAGCATTGCTGCTTGGTAACTTTGCCAATTGCTCTTGAATATCGTTATCTACTTCTTTCATGGTTTCCATGAGTCTATAGTTTTTTGGTCTGTGATTCGTTTGATAGGAGAATGCGTGATCTGAGTTGTTTTGTTTTTTTGTTTATATTCTGTTTTGCTCTTTCGTTTCTTGTTGGACTGCTTTCCTCCTTAGCCGAGTTCAACCAAAAAACAAGGTGTGCTTTCTGTTCAATCTATTGCAATTTGTGAACTTCGCCTCACCAGGGCTCACTGGTTGGAGAACATTGTCTTGAAGCACCCCCTCCCATTTATATATACTTTATCTGGATGTGTGGTGAAGGATGTTAAGGTTTTTTACCCATTCAACACCACCTCATACTCCATAGAGACTCTGAAGAAGGGCCTATTATGTTAAAGCGATAGAAATATCCTTGTTTGTTCACATTGTTATTGTATATTATTAGGTTGACCATTTATTATGCTATGTCATTTGGTATTTGGTTCTTTCAGGCATCATTATTAATGAAATGAGTGCCAGAAATCTCAGAGGAATAAGAGGTATTGTAATGTTTTCATATTACACTTTCTCAATAAGTGAAAACTTTGATATTTGAAGAGCCATCCACTTGTTTTGGATTTCAAGTATTTTACCTTTGCTGCTTTTTCAAGTGTGTGATCAAGTTAAATCAGTTTCTATGAGTGGTGTTGAATTGTTGGTTTTCAGAGTGTTGGTAGTATTAACTCTAGAGAAGAGAGAGTTGGTTGGTTCAATTGATTGTTGTGATGATGAAAATGATTGATTAGTGCTACTTAATGAAGACTCTGCAACATTATTAAATTGCTTCCTGTTGAATACTACGGAGTGCTCTCTCTTTTGAAGGTAGGCAATCTTTTTTCCACTTTGATTTACAGGCACAGACTTTGAGCGAATCATCTTTGATTTATCATTTAAATTATCATCGGGAATAAGCACTGAGAAATTGGGAGAGGATTGATGACTCTTATAGACGTAATTTAAGGACTTGGGTGAAAGAACAAGTGCCTTATGAGATTTGTTTAGCTTTTGATAGTGTTCTTGTATTCTTTGTTTCTGTTTATTCTCTACATAGTCTGAGAATGAAGGTGAGGATGAGACAGCAGAGCCCATCGTTTTTTTTGTGTCGGTAAAATTAAGATTCTTAACCGATGAGCTTATTAACACATGGTGCAATAAGCCTTATTTGTATACATGCTTGCTGCAGTGATGGGTGTGTCTTTCAAGCTAATAATCGAATGGCATAATTACGCATCGATCAGAGGTAGTGTGTGAGATGTGGAGTTTAAGAAAGTCCTGAAATTTTTCAATTCCTTCAGTTCTAATAGGGCATGTGTGAAATGTTTCCTCCTCAATAATAGAGGGTTGCGCAGCGTCCTCCTCCTCTTTAATCTTATCTTCCTGTTGCTTCTTTTGAGATTCCAAGAGTGTTTCTATTACTTCATCCTTAAAGTTAACACAATTTCTTTCCATATCGAATACAATAATGAAATCTATTATATTGACATTTTCGACAAAACTTTCACTCGATAGTATCTCTCTATTAAACATTTCAATAATCCACTCCATTCTAAATAGAACAACACCCTTGATATTCGGCTTTATCTCTAAATCACTGGAAAGATAGTGGTGTTGGCTTAAGTGAACCAATTTTGCCATATCTCTTCCGTGAAGCACTTTCCTATCTTTTTCCTGTCCAAACTCTTTGAATGCCTTTACCAAGTCATAATCACTCTGGTGCAGGAACTTTTTAATATAAATTGCTGTCATGAAATAATCCTTGTCCAATTTAATTATCGGAATGTGTTCAAAACTTGTTGGTGGTTCAAGAACAATTTGATTTGAATTTTCCTCTTCCTCTTCTTCATCTTGAAATATGTTATCATTATCACTATCCGAAGATTCATCCATCAACTCATCATCCGATGACTCTGCAATTATAACACTTCGTCTTGTTCTCATTTTTTCTTATCACTTGTTGATATTCAACAGTTTGCTGGTACTAATTTTGTTGGTATTGTTTTATCAAAGTTTGTTATTAAGATTAATTTCAAGTTTGTTATTAAAGATTGAAATGAACCTTCCGACTTAGCAAAATTGAAAACCCCGTGAATGATAAGACAGAATCCGCTTCATTTTCTTTTGAGGCCTGACTATTTATACTGTAACAGCCCTACAAAAAACCACCAAAAACCCTCAACGATTGTCAAACAAACTGAAAAAATTCTTCCAGGTGCCGCCCAACAACAACACTACACAATTAACGACATCCAAGTTTTGTTCCTTCCCTTGTGCTCGTAGTAGTTTGAATCAAGGATGACGACGTTAGCGAAGAGGTCTACTTCCAATTTGTTATTTTACAATGGAAAATATATATTCATAATGCTAATTTTATTGGTATTTGCTCTTTGTATGCAATTATCAACAATAGAGGGAAATAATAAGGCTGCTAGCTCTTCATCGGAGACTTTCCTTTCGGCCCTTTCTGACTCGACACCATTTCTTGATAGCTTTGCAGATTTAATAAGATGGGATGGAGGTGAAATGTACAAAACAAATCAACAATCAACAACATCCTCAGATGGAACATCGAGTGCTGACTATAACGTGGGAAATAGTGATACCGGTTATACGATTTTTGGATCGACATCAATGTGTGCCAAATGTTATGCTGCAAACTTTAGTACTGCTGAAGAAACGTTTCCACCAAAATTGATTAATGGAAAGCCATATTTGAGAAATCAATTTGTGAATAGTAACCAAACATTTGGTGATGTTTTGACCTTTATTTTGGCCACTCATCACGCTGAACAAAAGTATGCACCAAGAGAAAATTTGAAAGAAATCAGTGTAGAACTAAGATCACCTTCTGGTTCTACCATTGATCTTGTTCTTTCAAATAATTTGGATGAGTTTTACAACAACAATGGCGACAAAATTTTTCAAAATTGGTATGTCAGAGTTTACAATAATATTAAGGTGAGAAGAATAATTTCACATGGAAAAACATACGCCCATACAGTTAGTGTCAACTTTTACTATGACGGAGCTGTAATGCCAGAAATTATTTACATGTGTAACTCGTCGAGTACTTGTCAATACCCAAGTATTACAGCAACAGCCTATGATTACGAATCAGGAGGAAGAGAACTGGTTTCATATCTGAAAAGAGTTGGTCTAATTAGTGACTTTACCTCTTACATGTCATGTTCCACCTCTAAAGCGTTCCAAATAAGAGATGTAAATACAGGAACCTGCTATTACGAGGTTAAGAAAGTTGCTGTATTATTTATTGCCATTATATATGGTATTGTAGGCTTTTGTTTGCTGGGTGGAGTTTGTTGTGTAATACTGTTTGTTATTAGTGCCTGTTGGTTATGTAAAAAAGATTTTCAAGATCCTGAATTTTTGTAAAATACATTATTTATATTCAACTTTCTGTGTTTTCAAGTGTACTAACTGAAACTGTGTGAAATTTGTTGTATTGTCATGTGAGTCCTTCATATTTACAGATCCTTAAAATACCCGAATTTTTTCAAATTTTCGTTCCTGTGTTGTGGTCAATTATCTATTTCATTATCATACGCTAAAACTCAGAAGTGAGCAGCCCCGCTAGCTCAGTCGGTAGAGCGTTGGACTTTTAATCCAATGGCTCGAGCCCCACGTGGGGCGGTTGCGTTTTTGTTCTTACTTGTTTCCAAGTATAGTTGCTCATTCAAGTCAGTCTAACGAGTTACGATATTAAGTTATTGAAAGAAAAAACTTTTAATAAATATTTACACAAGCATCTTACTCATATATGGACCATCCAATTCATAGCCTAATTTTCTATAATAATGTCTAGTACCAACACCACTGATAACTAGGAGTTTTTGACTGCCATGTTCTTCTCTGGCAATTCTTTCAGCTTCTTCCATGAGTAATGTACCATAACCCTTGTGTTGGAATTTAGTTGGATCTCTGGCACGAACAGGAACAACAGAACCATAAACGTGTAATTCTCTTACAATACTTGCTTGGGCAATTTGGTCATTCTTCAATTCCTTACGGAAAGTAGTATCAGTTTGAGTACATTTTCTCAAACGTAATAAACCAATTAAAATATCTTGAGCAGCATCTTCATAAGCAAGGAAAGTTTCCCAACCATCTTGAGCACAATAATCCCTTCTAATGAGTTCAACTTCATCAGGAATAATCTTAGTGTGAATAGATTGAATACCAACTTCTCTAGTTCTGACATCACGACATTTCAAACCCAAATCTTTCATTCTAGCCAAAGCCAATTCTCTCAAGTTACCCTTTTCAACACCACTTGTAACAAGAGGCATTGGAATATCACGTTGAATACGGTAAACTCTTGTCCATGGAGGAACAAGTGACATGATTTTAGCAACCAAGTCAACCAATGAATCAGGTGAATAATTCTTGTATTGTCCTGTCTTCCACAGTTCATACAATCCTGTACCTCTAATAACCAATGTTGGATAAAGTTTAAGACCATCAGTTCTAAATGCAGGATTTTCAAAATATTCAATAAATCCAAGAATATCTCTTTCCATGTCAGAGTTTGGCAAGTCAGGCATCATATGAGCAACAATTTTGTAACCTTGATCCTTTGCCAATGTGAAAGAACGTTTAACAGAAGCAACAGTGTGACCACGATTTGTGTCACGAGCAATATCTTCATAAATAGATTGAACACCAATTTCAAGTCTGGTACAACCATATTCCAATAAATTAGAAATGTGTGGCTTTAAACAATAATCAGGTCTTGTTTCAATAGTAATACCAATACACTTTTGCTTGCTTTGTTCACTATATCTGATTGCTTCTTCGACACTTGAACTGGTGTGACCGGAGAGAGCATCATGTAAATTTCTAATAAATTCATCACGATATTCCTTTTCCAAACTCATAAATGTACCACCCATGATGATGAATTCAACTTTATCACAATCGTGACCAAGTCTCTTCAATTGATCAATACGATTTCTAGTTTGAAGATATGGGTTATAACGAGCTCTAATAGCTCTCATACTAGTAGGTTCATAACCTGTATAAGATTGTGTAGAGTATTCAAAATCAGAGTCAGGACCACCAGGACAATATAAACAAACATTTCCTGTCATGGCAATATGAGGACATCTGTGAGGTTTACACATTACAGCAACAACAGCAATACCACTGGCTGTACGGATTGGTTTGGCCTTCAAGAGTGGTAATAATTTTGATTTATGTTCCTCCGGAATGGCTGCAATAATTTCTACTAATTTTGGTCCTGTTTTTAATTTATATTTACGTGAAATACGTGCTCTGACTTTTGCCATCACAACTGTTTCATTACTATCATAGGCTTTTAATAATTCCTTTACAATTTCGCTGGAAGCTCTTACTTTTGCTTCGGCAGCAGAAAGTCCTTCGACAACAGGTTCCTTTTTGCGAGACATTTTTTCTTCATTAAAAATAATGTATGCACATCCGTTATTTGTTTTTTAAGAATCTAGATTGCTGCTATTTCATTATTGCAGCAATGAAGTTGTTTAAACTTTGATCAATGTAGTGAATTGCAATTTAATTGAATGAAACAGTAATAATTTATTCTCCACCACCTGATGCTTGTCTGGTAACATTTAAAATATTCTTAATTCTGGCATTCAATTCAGTAATTTGATTCATTATTGAGGTGACACCTTGTTGATTATTGGATTGAACACTTCCAGCAACACTACTTCTCTCCATAGACATTTTCATCAAATTGGCCACATATCTGATACGTTCTCTCGATACATCAACATCAATCTTGCTTGGGAAACGAGGTATCTTTGTTCCCACACAAATACAGAAAGGTTGTTCATTGGCAATTGCTAGTAATGACATGGGTGTGACACCTCCAGGTAATGTTATCAGAACAGTTTCCATTCTCTTCAATACTTCATTGAAATATGTTAATTGTTGTTGTGAAGTAGAATTATTTCCACTATTGCTTGTTGTTGTGGTGAGTAAAATTCTATTAAGACGATTCCAATCGAGGTGAGGGACATAGAGGTAATCTGTTCCCCAAGGATCTTTTGGAACCTTATTCAACTCGCCTCCTTCTAATAAATCCTCAAGTGAAAGTGGATATTTACCATGTCTTGTGAAATAAAGAACTAGTCCTTCCTGTAATTTTGCCAAATCTAACAAGGCATTACTCACACGACTTTCTTCGTAAACTTGTGCAAGCACAGCTCCTGTAAGTCCAGAAAATGTAACAATAATTGAAATGGCAATTAAAATTTCAATCATACTCAAATGATGAATTGTGACTGCAATATTGTTATCTTTTAAAATTCCAGCACTGTTACTAAAAATGTTTTTTACAATATTAAATCTATTCGATATAGTACTATTATTTTGATTATATTTGTTTGCACATATCAGTCCTGCAATAATTCCGATTGGTAAATACTTTTTAAAATCCCCATTCGTTTGTTGAATATATTTTTGTAGGATTATATTTAATTGATTGATAGAATCCTTATTATTCCTTTTAGTAACAAGAATGTGTCTTATTAAAAATTGTAATATTTCCATCATTTGATTATTATTTTCACATTTTCTATTATTATTTACACTTGTTGTACAATAATTATTTTCTTCAATACTACTACTACTTTTAATAGTTGCAAAAGGTATAAGATGTTTTATAATTTGTTCCATTCTTCGATATTTCCTCCTCTCCGATGATAGTGGTGTGTGACCCATCATGGAGAATGGTTGGGTCTTTGAATTGTGCATCATAATTTTTTTAAGTTGTCTTGTTGGAGATTTGGACACTTTCACTTTTTCTTCCGTTGTTGTTTCTATTGTATTGTTTTCTTACATCAAGTTTAAATTATTGAATTGTACAGCACGTTTACTTCAAGTTTGACAAGATTTGGGGAAATTAAAATTGTTTTTTTTAAAATTTAAAGTATTTCATCTTTCAATTTTGATTTGGCAAGTAAACTCAACTCCATTTGAAAAGAATCTGTAACGATAATATTTTATTCAACAAAATGCTAATTTCTCGATGGAATTAAGGTAGTTTTGAAATCTGACTTCAAATTATGAATCCTCGCATTGACATACCCCTTGGGGTGGCAGCATTCTCAAAAATATGTAGAAATGAGTAAGAACGAGTGGTTAGGTGTTGTTCTATTGAAATGCTTATTTTGGATTTGACAACAGAAGAACAACAAAATTTTTTCTAAATAATTTATTTTCTTTCAAAAAACGCGTCAAATTTGAAGTAAACGTGCTGTAAATGATTAAAAATTTAATATATATTAATATATTGTAAAGTAAATTTAATTGTTATGTTAGAAGCGGAGTTGAATATGCGCTCAATAGCAAGAATCGTCACAATCATCAATTAAAAAAAAGACCTCTACCACAGTGATAATCATCATTATCCATCATCATTAAAAACATATCCATCAACATTATGAAAAATACGGAGGAGAAGGACTTTAACAAGGGATTTGAAAAGTATGTGATTTTAATTGGATCGTAATATGAATTTATATAATATTTCGAATAATTTAGTCTCTTCAAACAAGTCGGAGAAGTTGATACAACTGATTATATAATAGAATTGGATAATATTCAAAAAACCTACTTGTTAGGTATTGAAGGTGTTCCTGCCTTGAGAGGAGTTAATTTAAAAGTGAAAAGAGGAGAATTTCTTGTTATTTACGGAACTTCAGGAGGTAGTGTATTTAATGATATGATGATGATAATAATAATTGTGATAAATAATATTAATAATATTATCAACAACACATCTTCATCACACATTTAGGTGGTAAAACCTCCATGTTGAATATTATTGGAACTATTGATAAACCAACAAAGGGTCACTTGACAATTTGTGGAGAACGTGTTACTTCAAATACAAAGGATGAAACATTGGCCAATATTAGATTGGCTAGAATGGGATTTGTATTTCAAACTTTTAACTTATTATCAACAATGTCTGCTTTGGAAAATGTGGAAATGCCAATGATTTTACAAGGAAATGTGAGTAAATCAACAAGAAGAGAAAGAGCTAAAAAGTTGTTAGAAAAAGTTGGAATGGGACATCGTTTCGATCACTCTCCTAATCAATTGTCAGGAGGTGAACAACAGCGTGTCACAATTGCCAGAGCCATTTCTAATCACCCAGAAATTTTACTTTTAGATGAACCAACGTATGTATTTCATTTATTTAGAATTTTCTAACATTTTCTAATTTAACTTTAACATTGAATTGACTAATATTCTAAACCTGAAAACCTGATATGGATTTATAGTGGTGACTTGGATACAAAAAATACCCTTAATGTTATGGATCTACTCATCAAACTCAATCAGGAAGATGGAATTACAATGGTCATGGTTACTCACGACCCTAACTTGAAAAATGCAGCTGACAGAGTTGTCTACATGAGAGATGGTAAAATTCATCGTATCGAAGAATTGGATCCAGAAGTGAAAATTGCATTCAGAAAGAGTATCGCCGAACAAAATACAGGAGCTCTCACAAAACATGAGGGTACTTCAGGTGTCTCTAATGTCAAGTCGAGATTTACTTCAGCCACTGTGAGAAGAAGACCACTCGATTATGAAACCTATGACAGAGATGCTGTATTGGTAGCTCACAATGTATTAGATGAATATGGGAAGAGAAGGGAGGGTAATGTCGGAACCTATTCTCAATTGGAAGGAACTACATCAACAGAGGAACCATCCATTACAACTGCCAATCCAACTTTTCTCTAATTGTTATAATATTGTAAATATACGAATCATTTTACTGATTATTTCATTATAAATTATTGTTGTACCTGAGTTGTTGAAACTCCATACTTTTTAAAGTTCCTTAATAATACATTCAATTTGATATATACAGTTCCACATGATATGGTTGTGAGCTTTCTTCTGTCTTCTCCGTTATGTACAATTGATAAATCCTTTACTTGCATTCTTCCACCAACAACTAGGTCACCAATTCTATCCTTCAAATTTCCTACTGGCCTCCATGTTGGACACTCCAATTCAAAGTAACCTCCCTGCGAAGGGATATTCAAAACTCCATATGCCACAAAATCATTTCTTCCATAATTATCATTGTACCACACTTGTATCACTATTTTAGGCCAACCTACAACAGTTGGTGTTGAGTAATGAATATCTATCGGATGTGCAAATATATTGACCATATCTTCTCCGTGTCTCTTATTTACTTGTGTTTGTCCTTTTTCCAAGCCGCTTACATGTGTCCAGTGACTTCCCTTTTCAACATGAAATGAGCAAAACAGATTATCTTCCCTGTACCCTGTTGCTCCTGTAATTTCTCCAATAAGATGTAATTCAGCCATTTTTTTTGTAGAAGTTTTGGAACCAAATTGTGGCGGGAAAGAAAATACAACTTGAAAAGATCGGTTGAACAATTATGTATTCTTTATTGCAAAATACAATGAAGAATTTCTTGTTAAACTTTGCTAATCTCACTCAATTTCTAGGCAGCTTCAAGTCACCATTCACTATTTAGAGTTAAAAGATTTAGCAGCTTTATCAACAAGGTTTAGTATTTTTACCCCTTACTATACCTTACTCAACCAGATTCTTGTGGCATTTTGTAGTCACCTCTACAGTTCCCGATATCGAATGAAGATGTTTTTTTTAGAAACAAATTTTCGTGTCTTGAAACACGTGTTTGATGTTCATCAAATCATGTATTAATAATGGTTCATGTTCCTCCAAGTTTAAAAGAAAAAATAAAAAGACAACAATACACTAACCAAAAACACACACATAATGGATCCATTCACCATCATACTGATCATACTGGCTATTATTGCTATTTATTCTAAAACAAAAAAAGCCAATGCTCAACAAACTACTTCACAATCGGCCTTGGGACTTGCTATTGGTGATAATTATAATTCCATTGAAGAGGTGCAAGATGCCCTGAGAAAGACTGGTTTAGAATCATGTAATTTGATCATCGGAATTGATTATACAAAATCGAATGAAGAACAAGGAAGAAAAACCTTTGGAGGAAGAAGTCTTCATTATATTGATCCGGTTGGTGATATTGTAAATCCATATGAAAAAGTCATCTCAATAATTGGTAGAACATTGGAAAAGTTTGATGACGACAAGTTGATAGATGTTTTAGGATTTGGAGATGATAAGTGTCGTGATTTTGGTTGTTTCCCATTTTGTCCTAATGGTGAATACAGACCATGTAGAGGATTTGAAGAAGTTTTACATGAATACAGAAGAATAACGCCACACATCAAGTTGAGTGGTCCAACTAACTTTGCACCTGTAATTGAAAAGGCAATTGAAACTGTCATGCAATCTGGTAGAGGTCAATATCATATTTTAATTATTTTGGCAGATGGTTTGGTTGTCAATGAAAAGGAAACTGAAGAAGCAATCGTTAGGGCAAGCAATTATCCAATCAGTATTGTCATGGTTGGTTTAGGAGATGGACCTTTTGATTTGATGCATAATTATGATGATGAGTTACCTCAGAGAAAGTTTGATAATTTCCAATTTGTCCATTGGGATGAAGTTGCCAAGAAGGCCAGAGAGGCTAAAAAATCAGTGGATGCCACCTTTGCATTACATGCCCTAATGGAAATTCCTGAACAATATAGTGCCATTAAGAAATTGGGATTAGTTGGAAAGAGAAGAGATGACTTTAATCCAAATTATGTACCAAATCCAAACTCTGGTGCTTATCCAACAATAAACGTTCCGAAAATGTATTAGATTTCATTTAACTTTGATCGAATGGTCTTGACTTTTAAAAGTCTCCACAGCTGCACTTTCCATCCTTAAAGTGATGATATCTACTGGCATCTCTAACCGTAATTTCACACTTCCTGATTTTTGATATAAACTTTGTTGCTGTGTGACAATCTCCACACATTCTCAGATTATTTCGTATTGTTATTGGTGATCCAGGTGGAAGGGAAATGAAAGCAAATGATAATGCAATTTTTTCAGAATGCCTTGAAAGTAAATGTTTCTTTGTTTCTTCATCATTGGCATCCGTTTTAGTAACCCATCTCGTGTCTGGAACATAGCCTGCGAGCTCCATTTCTTGGCATAACTTGTCCAATTCTTGAAATATTTCCTCCTTTTTGGGGTGGCTTTCGTCATTGTAGTAAAAATGATAAGTTTTGCCATTAATTTCAATTGTAGTAATGCCAGGTGTCTTTTGTACCTCATTTTTTTTCATCAATTCCCTTATTTCTTTTGCTTTTTCTGGTTGATCACTTTGAAGGTACACATGCGACATTAGAACATAATGAGTTGCTTGCTCCTTATCGAGCTCTAATAAAATGTTAAATGCTCTCTCAGCTCTTTCCACATCATTAAAGACTTTCAGGAGGGCCATCATATTCATTGAAAAAATACAGAGCTTTTTGAATATTTCCAATTTTGGCATAAAAGTTTACAACAGCTCCGTACATAATATGGTCTGTGAGCATTCCAGACGATTCTATTAGTTTGATAACATGCTCACCTTTTTCTATTGACACATCGTTTGCACATGCAGTCAAAAGTACAACATAAATCACTTCGTCGACTTGGATGCCATTTGTTTCAAGTAAATCCAATGCCTCATCAATGCATTTCTTTTGTACAAGAGCTTGAATAGCACAAGTCCATGTTATAATATCAATTGGTTTCTTTTCATTTTTGAGTTGTTCAAATATTTCTAATGCTTCATCTGGCATTTTACATTTAGTATAAAAATTCATCAATGCATTGTCTAAAATGATATTCTGCTTTTTCAATTTTTTGATTCTTTGATGAATTTCCTGTCCTTTCCTCAATCAACTTATTTTCAGCACAAATATTTAACAAGATATTAAATGTAATCTCAGTTGGAATTATGCTATTACTTTCCATTTCTTTGAAAAGAGAAAATGCCTCAATGGCCTTCTTTTGTTCACCAAGAGCTTGAATTGCACAGTTCCATATCATGACCTCCATTGGCTTCTTTTCACTTTTGAGTTTTTCAAATATTTCTAATGCTTTTTCTGGCATTCCACATTTCGTATAAAAATTCATCAGTGCATTGTCTAAAATGATATTCTGCTTTTTCAATTTGTTAATTCTTTGATGAATTTCCTGTCCTTCTTCAATCAACCTATTTTCAGCACAAATATGTAATACTGTTGAAAACAATATTGGGTCAGGGGTTTGATATAATTGAATTTCTGAGAGTAAGGACATAGCTTTTGAAACTTGATTTTTGGACATGTAAGCTTGAATAGTACAAGTCCATGTTATAATATCAATTGGTTTCTTTTCACTTTTGAGGTGGTCAAAAATTTCTAATGCTTCATCTGGCATTTCACATTTCGTATAAAAGTTCATCAGTGCATTGTCAACCTTTAAGGATTCTATCTTATATTCCATGATCTTTTTATGCATATCAATTCCTTCCATGAGTAGTTTTTTTCTGTGCAAAATGTTATCAATACTAGGAATATTATTGCATCCATTTTTACATTCTTCATATATTCCAACAACTCACAAGCCTTATGGTTCCCAAAATTAATTGGATGGACAGAGGTGAAAGTTTTTTCAAATCATCATCTTTTGATACATAAATCATTGATGATGGATCCTTCACATACAATTCTGCATCAATGGAGCTTCTTTGTAATGATAAAATTGTGGCTAAGATGATTTGAATACGGTATTGATTCCAATATTTTGATATGTTCTTCGGCACTATACTTTCTTGTACAACAGAAAAGAGGCATCGAATGTATTAGGCTTCTCTAAAAACATAGCAAGACACTCCTTTATTTTGCCCTCTTTCCACAATTTCCTAACATCAACGTAAAAATAGATTAATTGAGCATTGATGATTTAAATAATAATTATTTTAAATAATAAAAAAATGCCAAAATCATCAACCAAAAATCCACTCCTATCCAAACACATAAAAAACCCAAGAGTTTTTTTTGATATTGTAATAGGAGATGAAAAGATCGGAAGAATAATATTTAAATTATACAAACATATTTGTCCAAGAACAGCAGAAAATTTTAGATGTCTTTGCACTGGAGAAAAAGGTATCGGAGTGGAAACTAAAAAACCATTACATTTTAAAGGAAGTATTTTCCATCGGGTGGTACCTGAATTTATTATTCAAGGTGGAGATTTTTCTGATTTTAATGGACGAGGAGGAGAATCAATTTATGGTGGAATGATGGAAGATGAAAACTTTATTTTGAAGCATTCTCGGGCTGGATTACTTTCTGCTGCGAACGCTGGTCCAAATACTGTAGGATCTCAATTCTTCATTACAATGTCATCTGAATTGGATTATTTGGATAACAAGCATGTTGTTTTTGGAAGGGTTATTGAAGGAATGAATATTATAAAACAGATTGAAAAGGTCAAAGTCAATGAAGATAATACACCACTTGAAGAGATAGTCATTATTAATTGTGGAGAGTTGAAACTGAAAAAGAAACAAAAGAAGGATAAAAAGAAGAAGCAAGACAATAGAGAAAAACAAGATAGCTCATCACCAAAACGAAATGCACCACCAACCACTGGACGTGTCTATAGATATGACGACAGGTATAGGCCATATGGTGACCATTCTAGGAATAATTATTCATCATCACACAGATATGAAAATAGAGACTCATCTGATTATGTGAGAGGAAGAGGTTCGACTAAATTCAATGGATTTTAAGACCTTTCCAAAATATTTTGGATTAAAAATTCATTTGGTACACATTCAAAAGCAATCGAATGCATTGTATTAATTGTAAAATTATTAAATTCATTATGAAATTAATTGTAAAATCAAATAAAAAATGTCCGTAACCCCTTCCCTTCAAGCATACAGACAACTCTTAAGAGCAAGCAGAATTGTTTTTGATAAAGATACTAGAATGCTCAAACTTTCACTCCGACAAATCAGAACAGAATTTGAAAAGAATAGATTTGAAAAGGATGCCAACAGAATTACACAACTCGTTTCCGATGCCAACCAAACAGCAACCTTCATTGTTGCTTCCGTAGTGCAAGGAGTTAAAGAAAATGAAGATGATGGATTCAAACTCAGATTAAACAAAAAGCAAGTTGAAACAAATCTTGATGCTAGTATGAACATCAAGGGTATTGATGAACAAATTGAAAGTTTGGAAAGAAGAGCAGCTAGAAAGAAGAAACCATCCACTTCTGAAGAATGCTCATCCTCCGAGGCTACCACTACCACTCAACAATAATATATTATTTATTGGATAATTCTCAAGTTAATGGAAGATGACACAATACTACTCTTCCAATCAAAATAATTTCGAAAATTGATTAGGTTACATTGCAAACACCGCTGCTCACATCAAGAAGCAGCAAACAAATAACATAATTCGAACTTGTTACGGAAGCACAATCAAAATATTCCTCACGAATGGCAGTGATGGGGAGGATCTTTCAATTATGCTTTTTCAAAATTAATAAAAAATTAGACAATTTTCATCATTATCATTGAGGAGTCCTTTCGGTACCCTGTGAGCGATTGATTAATTATTACAAGTGAGAGAGAGAAGGATTAATTTATTAAATCATATATAATAATCACGTTAAACGATGAATAGAGTAGTATTGAGTAGTAGTAGAAATAGACGTACATTGGGAAAGGCTTTGACCACTGCCTTGTCTATGAGACAATCATCATCAATTAATTCTAGAAAATTCAATTCATTATCTGATAATATTATTAATAATAATGGTAGTACTACTTTTAGTGGAACAACAATTAATCGTTCATTTAGTACAGTGAATAGTATGATTCATAAAGCTGTTGATCCAGAACTTTCCGAAACAAAATATATTACTGTAAAAACACCTGAAGATGTTGTAAAAAATTCCAATGTTATTATTGAATGGTTAAAAGTTGAAGGAGATCCAGTAGAGGATAATGAAATTGTTTGTAGAATTGATAGACAACCAGTTGTTGGTGATGAAATTAGAGAAATGCAAGCTGATTATAAAGGAATTATTCATAAAATTCCATTCGAACCAAAGCCAACAAGGGAAGATATTGGAAAGAAATTAAATGTTAAAATGTCACCAAATCAAGAATTATACGTTTTACAAACAACTGAACAAGAAATCAGATCCCAAGAAACAGTATTTGCCAAGATTAAGAGATTTGTCAAGCAATACGGTGCTTTGGGTATTGTAATTTATTTTGGTATTTACTTTTTGGTTTTAGGTACAATTTTCCTCTTATTACAACAAGGAGTTTTCGCAACTAAGGATGTTTTACAATGGTTGCATAGTAGTGGACTTGATAAGCTTATTGACATGTCTGATTTGGATAAATCAGAAATGTATGCCAATGCCGGTGTTGCTTGGGTTTTGACTAAATTTACTGAACCTTTGAGAATGGCTGTTACTTTGGCTATTACTCCAAGTATTTACAGATTATTGAAAAAGTTAATGAGAAAGTAAATTTTATTATATTGTAATTCAATCAAAATTTAAACATTGAACCAAGTTCAATAATATTATCATAATGTCAATACTTCCACTCCAGATAACACAGCAAAATCAATTTTAAAAAAATGAAAATAGCTGTGATTGGTTTTGGCACAGCGGGACCCGCTTTCAGTCTCTTTGCATCAAAGCGTATGTTGTTGTTGAAATAATATCATCTAATCATCCAACAAAATAGTGGGACACTCCATTGATATTTTCGAAAAATTTCCAATGGCCAAACCAATTGGATCTGGCATTCTCCTCCAACCAACTGGTATGAGAGTAATGAAAGAATTGGGTTTATTGGAATCAGCTCTCGAGTATGGACAAAGAATTGATCGATTGTACGGTCATACGGATCGTCATTTTGGAAAACCATGGAAATTTTCACAACAAGTCCATAAATGTGTTCTAGATTTACAGTATAAATATCTGGGAGAAGGATATTATGGACTGGGAATACATAGAGGCACACTTTTTGAACTTTTATTTAATCAAGTTTCGAATATTCCTAATATTAATGTTAAATGTGGTATGGAAGTTTGTAAGATTGAGGAGAATCAAGATTCGGCAAGATTATACTTTAAAACTCCAGAAGGAAAACATGAATTGTTGGATCAGTATTATGATATGGTAATTATTTCCACTGGAACACATTCCAAATTGGGTAATTTTGAAAATAGATTGGCCAAACCTTATGAATTTGGAAGTTTATGGGGAAATGCAATTGATAACACTGGATACTCCAATGATAGAACCCTCTATCAAAAATACAGAAATGCCAACAAAATGTCAGGATTATTACCAATTGGAAAATGCATTTCATCACCTAAGGATAATCTAGTGAGTATATTTTGGAGTTTGACACAGAAGGATTATATGGAATTCCAAAAATTAAGTAGAGATGGAATTGATTTTATGGAGTGGAAACAATCTTTGGTTGATTTTTGGCCCTCGCTTGAACCATTCATTTCTCAAATTACTTCAAAGGATCAATTGACCTATGCAACTTATAATGATGTTCAAATGTCACCTGATAATTGGGTAACTGATAGAGTTGTAACTATTGGAGATTATTGTCATGGAACCTCACCTCAATTGGGACAAGGATGTTCATTGGCTTTTGTGGATGCTCATGTTTTGAATCAGTGTCTCGAAAAGACGCCTCTCTATTCGAAACAAGCTCAATCCAATTATTCTCTCAAACAAGCTCTGGCCGAGTATAGAGATAAAAGAATGAGCCATGTAATTGGTTATAGATTAGCTTCAAGAATTTTAACACCATTCTTCCAAAGCAACTTTCATTCAGTTTCGTATATGAGAGACATAGTAATGGGTCCATTATGTAATATACAGCCAGCTAGATGGTTCATGCTGAGAACTCTTGCTGGAATTCAATCGGGTTGGTTTGATACTTTTGATGGTAAATTCTTTGATTAATAATCATTTAAAGTCTATAAAAACATTCCTTTTTTATTGTAAGTTATATTGAGTGAATTGCAAATCTAGAAAATTAGTCAAATCTTCTCCAATACAATACGTATGGGGCCAATAAGGACCATCCATAAAGAGCCATTGTGAAAAGTAAGAGGAATGCCTGAATTCCAAGCTCATTCCATCCTTGATATTGTTGGAAAAAGTTTGTCAAGTAAAAACTGCAAACTGTCAAGAAGGAATGATAGAAGAAGTAACTATTATTGAGAGCCTTATCATCCTTAACAAAGTCATGTTCCTCATCTTCCTCTGGCTCTTCACCGTACCATAAAAAGTGGGCCAGGAATTGGAGACCAGTAGTGGAATAAATGGCACTATACATGATTGAGAAGAGAGCAAATACCATGGCCTATTCGAATAAATAACAAATATTTCACTTAATACACAACTAGTAAAACCACTACTTACAGCAATAGTTACAGGATAAGTATTGGAGAATGAGCATTGTTTTTCTGGCATTGGTTTGCTCATTAATACATTGAGAGAAGTGATTGCAATATAGAATGTAATCATACTTCCACTAAATAAGGAGGCATGCTCTGTGAAAAGGGATGAAATTAGTAAAATTAGTGACAATAAGCATGTAAAGGCAGTAACATAAAAATTGAGGAGACATCCAGAATTCTTAAATCCACTATTAAACTATTGTAATGGTCGATAACGATGGTAAATTCTACTTGATACTTACGAAAGAGACACCATAGATGGCAAGTGACAAAATAATAAATACACACGAAATAGAAATCAAACAAGTATCCCATCTCCAATCATCTTCATCATGCCAAGCTCTACTCCAACGGTAAGCAAAATCAATGATAAATATTGTACTCAAAAACAAGTAGAAGAACATGACATATTTTGAAATGTAAACATGAACATTAATCACAAACTCTGGTACAATGAAATATGGAGCTATCAAGCAAATAACAAATAATGGAATCTTGAAACCCAAAAAATACTTGTTCTGGTAATCATTCTTATTTCTATGTTTTGATCCCAAAAGTGGAGAGCACAATAAAGCATGAAATCCAAAAAATAACTATTTAAGTTTGAGAAAAATTAAACTCATTCAAGGATCCTATTAATGTGTGGTCAACTTACTGTCAATGACAAGGATAAAAAGTGTATTATCACTGGAACGTCCTCCTCACCAGCATAAACGCCAGTTTTCTTCAATATTGGATTGAAATATTTCATGTTTGATTGATAAATCAAACTCAATGCAAAGCCAACAATTATAAACAATCCATATTTAATTTTTGTATAAACCACACCATATTTTGGACTGATAATCTTGTAATTTTCATCCAATCCAAATTTGCTCAACATATCCCCAGCAGAATCATTCTCACATTCCTTGCTCTTTTTTTGGAATTCCATCAAGATTTTACGATATTCCAACTCATCCTTGTTAGTATCGGGATCATGCTCCACTACTTTTAATAATCTTCTCTTCATTTCCGAATTTAAATACAACAGCAACAGCAAAAATACAACACTCTAATCAGTTGGTGCGGAAAAGTGTGTTGATGTTTTTTTTAATTGATTAAGTTACGATTTTAATGCAATCCCATGTTTTTTAATTATTTGGCGCCTAAAATTGTTGTGTACATAACTATTAAAAAACCTCAATAAAAGAAGAATTATTTCCAATGGAACATTTTTCAATAGATAAATATGAGGAATTCATGACCTGTTTGCTTAAATTTGATTTGGGTACCAGACAAATAGCACCATCTTCACAGCAGTGAATTTTCCCATTAAGAACTTACTAAACAGAGAAGCCACAACATTTGAACGTTACTCGTAATTTTGAAAATCATCACAAAAAAGAATATGAAAACTGCTCATCTTGGTTCGAGCACGAGTTTTTCTAAGGGCAAAATAATTGTGCTTGGCAATAATTCATCGACACAGAACGGAATAACAGCCCTCAAATCAAAGTTTGCAAATCCCTCTATTTATCGTGATCCATCTTCCCTTCCTTCATTTCAACAAGTTGATAAATCAACAAATGCACAACCTAATACAGAAAATACAGAATCCTCAGAGGATGAAGAGGAAGAAGTAATTTCTTCTTCAAGGTTTCACAATGTACAATCAACTATCAATACTACCAATTCTTCCCTAAATACTACCTTCTCTGGATTTTACCACAAATTAATAGGAAGAGAAAGGAGGAGACCTCAGTGTACACCTCCGATTAGAACTGTTATATCAGTGGGATTCCTCAAAGAACACTTCGAAAATCAAGTAGAATTGGAGAAACAACGTCAAAGTTTTAGTTCATCAAAATCAAATCATCAACCACAGCAGGACGAAATATTGGATACAACAAGCAAGAAACAGGAACAAGAAAAACAGTCAACAAAACCTAAGGTGTCGTGGGAAGACGATCCACCAATTAATAATAATACATCAAGGAGAAATCAAATGAATGATATGAAAAAATCTCAACCCCTTAATGTATTGGAATCCGATTCAAATGGGGATATGGATATTGATAGAAGGCCCTCTATTGGTCCAGTAATGAGATCAGTGTATATTAAAAAGGAATCTCTTATTGCAGATGAAGAATCTACAAGGACAAGATTCCTGGGGGAATTGGATAATAGAAGAAATCTGGACTTGGACTGGAAGAATCGACAAGTATCAGCAAACAAACCAAGAAAATCGAACTTGCCTTTTAAACCAACTACTTCCATTCCAAAACTAAATATCAAGAATGTTTCTTCCAATCAACCAAGTGCACCAGTCTCTGCTCCACTCTACAATTCCCAAACCAACACTGAAGATCTTGCAATTACTTCGCAACCAAAACCAGTTCAAAAACAAGTGGACATACCCAAAGCAAACGAATTTTCATTCCTACAAGGAAACCAAATGTGGATCGAGAGGAAGAGGAGGAACCTGAGGTAACTCATCAGCAAGTAGAGCAGCCAATGAGAGCAGAGAGAAAATCATTTGTACAAAAGAATAATGAGCCACAAATTTTAGACGAGAACTCTATGGAGAAATTTAAACATATTGCCCGGTGGATTGAATACGATTTAGGTATCGAATTCAATTCAAACATTCAATGCGAAAATGATTTGAGGACTGGCTTAAAATTTGCAGAAATAGTTGCTCGAATTGAAGGAGAGGGAAAAATGAAAGGAATTAGCAGACTTCCTCAAACTACTGCGGCCATGCACAATAATTTGGAACGGGTGTTTTCAGTATTAAGGGATAACAAGACAATTGAGCTTCGTTTCTTGTGGTCCACGAAAGAAGTTATTTCAGGAGATTATGACACAATTTGGGGATTATTGAATGACATTTACAATGCTTACTGGAAAAAGACAAGCAAAGTGAAGAGAGCTTCACAAAATAAGAAACGAGAAAATTCAAGGATTCAAGCTCATTCACCAAACTCGTCATTGGAAGAAGAGAGGGAGGATGAGAATGAAGGGTTCTCTATTGAGGACATTAATAGAATGAAAAGAGAATTACTCGAATCATCCCAAGACTACTAATGAAAAATCAAGAAATCCAATCATTGCATTCTATTAAAAATATTATCTTTTCTTGATTTTCCAATTATTTACAAAGAACTTGTTATTGCTCCCAATTCATTGAATGTCGAATAATTATTTATTGTTCAATCAATTTTAGAATTTGATTTTCAAAAAAAATGAGAGCGTCACAATTACCAAGAATTGTCTCCAAAGTTGTGATGAGAGGTGCTCTACCACAATATAAATTCATGAATTTTTCCAAAAGCACTCAAAGTTGCTTTGTTTCATCTACTAATAACAAATATCACACTATTATGAGAGGAATGAACAATAGCACCACACCAATTAGTGAGGAAGTTGAAGCAATAACAAATAGTACTACAGAAACTTCTTTACCAACAACACCAGCTCCTACTATCGGAGATGTTTTTGTTGATGATTTTCTTCTAGAGGAAGTTTCTAAAGAATCATCTATTAATGAATTAAAAACAGCTATATTTGATTCTGCCATTAAACACACCAATACATTTACTCCAAACGTTAAAGTATTAAACGAGATTTTAGAATATGTCAAGAAGAATGGACAAGAAGATGCTTCACCTGAATTACAATCGGAAGTATTTAAACAATTATCAGATTTATGTATCTTTAATCGTAGAGTTTCAGAAGAACATTTATTTGACAATATTAAATCAATCAAACAATTGCCAAGATCATCAGTTTATGGAGTTTTGATGAAGTTTTATGAAGAAAGAGGATGTATCAAGGAAGCATTAGAGATTTTTGAAAATGTTAAGGATAATAATAACGAAAATATTATCCATACAGGAATTACACTTTATGCAAGAATGAAGGATATTGAAAAAGTTGAAGCTCTCTTTTCTAGATTACAAAATCCAAATGGTAGACACTGGTCTTCCCTTGTTTATGCCTATGTCAATGTAGGTATGATGGAAAAAGCTCACGAAATTACTGTCAAATTGCAAGGTTCAAAGCACTTGACAGCCGATATCTTTGCTCCAATTCTTAATCATCACGTTAAAAACAATAATATTGATTTGGCACTTCGTTTCTTCCATGAAATGCCTGATATGGGTATTAAGAGAATGACCTCAACATATACAATTTTAATTTCTGCTGCCTGTAATCAAGATAGAAATGATTTAATTTCATTTTTATTCAGTCATATGAGAAAGGATAAGGTTAAACCTTCAGTTTCCATTTATTCATTCTTATTCTATTATTACTTTAACAAGAACCAATTAGATAAGGTCTATCACTACTATGTTGAATTGTTAAAGGATGGATATGAAATTCCAATCAATTCTTATAGAATTTTATTGATTGCTCTTGCAGATTCAAAAAAGCTTAATGAACTGAAAGAATTGGAAAGAATAATAATAGACAAAACAGGAGGTTCAAATTCTGCCTATCAAATCATTTATGCATACACAATAACTGGTAATCTCAATGAAGCTGAGAGAGTATTTTTCCGATTCCGTGACAAGATTCAAGATGAATCCCTTAGAGAACGTCTTTATAATACCATGTTGGCAACATATTTACGATTTAATCAAGATTGGAAAGCATTTTCATTACTTGAATCATTCCCATTCAGTCCAACATCAAGGACTGTAGAAGTTTTATATCGTGAAGGAGCAAAGGATATTCCATCAGATGTATTTGCAGCTCAATATAAATTCACTGCTAAAAAGTCTTCAAGTACAAACTACACCCATCGTCATCAACACAACAATATGGAATAAACATTTCTCTTTTTATTTCTCTTATAGTTAAAAACCCTACTTCTCAATTTAATGTCAATGTTGAAACCAATTAATGGCGTATTCATAGTGGAAGTTTAGTAGAACTTTGATGTAAAATAAGGAGGAAATTGTAATTGATTATTATTCAACCGTGATTGGTCCTTTCAACCGTACCCAAAGTGTTGATGAAACAAGATTTTTCCACCTTGAAATAGAAGAGTCATAATAATATTCAAAACAAAATACACATCAACATGACACGTCTGAAACTGACACTGTTATTTTCAGTTTTGCTTTTTATTTTACTCTCCTTTACACACCAACAAGAAACCTATAGTAAGTTGTCTAATCATATCAATGGATCTCATCAATAATTTGTTCTAATCATGTCATCGGATTAACATTATATTTCGAATATAACTATATTAACAACAGACTTTGATGAAAATAATAGAATATTTCTGTACTATCCATCATCCGATTCATCAACTACTCGTTTCATCAACTTGAAAAATACCTATCCGATTGGTAGTAAGTGTGGTTGTAGCACTGTTACAGGCACTTCGGATAGATTGGATGTTTCGGGTTGTGTTTTTGATAGTGAAAATTCTTTAACTGTTGTGATTGGAGGTACTGGTTTTTGTAATTTAACAATTGTTAATGGGAGTGAAACAATTTCGAGTGAAATTGATTCATTTGTTGTAATTTCTGACTTGTACATTTCACCTAATGGAAGAGAACTCAGAACAGATATTGCTCAACAATTTGAATTGAAATATTATCCATCAAGTATTTCATTTTCAACATTTTCAATGTTTTTTGACAAAATGTCAAATAGTATCAGATCTTCAATTGCACCAATTTATTCATTTTCCATAACAAAAAGTGCAAATTCTTATCACTTTACAATTCCTGCTTCAGATACACAAAGTATGCTTCAATTGACTTCTTATGATTCTTTAAATAGATACAAAAAAATTGATTTTGAAGTTGTTTTGGATTCAAACTCTGCAAGTCCAACTACAGTTCCTGTAACTGATGGTATTTTATTTTACAATTCAATTTCAGGTGCCAATATTAAGGTTTCACCAACACTAATCCGTTTTAATGAAGTTACAACACTGACCTTTTCAATAGACTCTACATCATCTGGCTACTTATTCTCTCCTACCAATTCATTGACTGTGAAAATTTGTGGAACAATTTTCCAAAGTTCTGAATTATTTAAAGACAGTTCTAGCTCTCAAGTTACAATTGTTTCTGAAACTTTGGTTAAGGCAACAATTACATGCTCAGATAGTGCCTATAAGAATGGAAAAACCAGTGTTGGATATTCACAAGGAGGAGCTGATTCACAATTTGTCAATATGGACCTGAATATTTATGATTTCAATGTACCACCAACTATTAATTATGATGGTACTAGTTTCTGCTCAATTTTTGGACTCAATAATTTCACACTCACCATTCCACAAGAAACCAATTTCTACAGAGAGGTCACTAATAATAGTGTTAGATTGAGTTTATTCGAGTTGGAGGTTAAAAATTCTCCCTACTCATTGGCATGTAATTGGTTGGCAAGTGATGCTAGAATATTATCATGTCCTTGTCCTTCAACTTTTGAGTACTTGTTTACACCTCCTCAGGAATTAAATTTTTATTTGAGAACTCCAACTATGGCAGCAAGTCTTCAAGAGCAGAAATCACTTGGTTCAGGCTCCATTGTTGGTAATCCAAAGATTCTCTATGGGCAGTACTTGACAGCACAAATTAATTCACCTACTGCCATGTACTCCTTCAAGTTTAAAGATGGTCCTGTCTATTCCAATCTGAAAATCAATGTTGTAGATATTGAGGAAATTTATGTACCTTCCCTCTTCAATTATACCTTCTACTTGTCGACCTCAAATATATTGAATAATGCTTTTATCATCTCTTGTTCCTATTCATACATTTCTCAAGCTGGAAAGAATGGAATTTCTTGTGATATGCAAAGTTTTTACCAGGTGCCTAAAATGAATGTTTTGTGTGCATGTACTTTGGCTCAAGCTGATACAATTGCACCTCTTGATTGCTTAGCTAATTGTGACATTCGTGTAGGTATTGCAATTACCAAAGATGAGACTTCTCAGCCAATTGCTTATTGGACTAGTAATAGTTTCTCACTCATGCCACCACTAGTTGTCAAGACAATTTATCCAGATACTATTCTTTTGGATAGTATGAATCAAGTGGCAATTTCCATATTTACCTCTTCCAATAGTTTTGGAAAACCAACTCCAGGCAATACAATTTATTACAAATGGATAGAAATTGATCCTGCTACTGGACAAGAATTAATTGATCAATATGAGGGAACAGCCACCTATGTCAATGCAAAACAATTAGCTCTCTCAACTGTTTCTGCTAATACCATTTCAGCTTCTGGTACATATATTTTGAAATTGTCATTTGATGGTAAATTGGGAACATTTAGTACAGATCATGGAGTGAGAAGATTGAATGTTATTATTCCAAGTGAAATTTCATTAACAAAGTTTGAACAGTACAATCTAGGTGTCAATAATACAGCAATTCCAGCAGGATATTCAGATGATACAATCTCACCTGTTGAATCCAAATTCAGAATTATTGGTACAAACTTCCCAATGTCAGAAACTATCAAGATCAAATTTACTGTAGTAGATCAACAAAACTCAATTAATACCAGATCAATTTTAGCCAAAATGTCAAGAAAGAACTATAGACAACATATCAGAAGTGCCTCTACTAAAATTCAAAAGAGATCAATTCAAGAACAATTGGCTCTTCAAGAAAGTACTGGTTCCATTTCATTCCTTTCTGATTGTTCTGGATTTAGTTCAACAGAAATCAGATGTACCTCTCCAAATGTTTTCACTTCTGGTATCTTGTTACCACTCAAATTCAATGTCAGTATTTCATTTGATGGTTCATTTGGATTTGGTGTTTATAATCCAAAGAAAGATGGTAATGATTATTTGATTACAGTCAGAGAATCTGAAGTACCTGTTATTGTTCAAGCCATTCCAAGTAGAGCACCAATTAATCCAACAGATGATTCTAAAGGTGTTGGATATTTCACTGTTACTCTCAAAGGTATTACCACTGATGTTGTGAGATGTGTGCTTGAGTATTCAATTGATACCAACATTCGTGTAAATTATACTGCTACTTCTGGACTATCTAGTACAGAATTCAGATGTATATGTAATGCAGCTGATTTAAAATCACTTATTGATAGTTACAATGTTAGACCATTCAATTCCAGAATCTCATTCCCAGACAAGACCAATTTCAAAATCTACTTGGAAACAACAACTAATTTGAGAAGTGATGGATTTTTATTTGAATTATTTGAAAATCCAATTGTTGATTCTGTCAGTCCATTAGAAATTGAAGCCAAAGGTGGTGATATGGTAACTGTAAGAGCAAAGTCAACCGGAGCCAAGTTCAGTTCAAGTGAAAAGATTTATTTCAAATTGGGAGATTTTACATCCTCTGAGGAATGTTTATTTTTGGAAGATTATGCAATTAATTGCACAAGTCCTTCACATCCTGATGGATATGCCAAGGTTTCAGTGTCATAGTAAGTAGAGGTTGTTTTTTTCAAATTATTCACACACATTGAATTTCGTACAAAAATATAGCAATAATTATCAATATGCCTATGCTAAAGATCCAATCTTTATTAAAGCTTGTCCAGTTGGTTTCACTGCTGAGGATTATGAAAAATCGTGCACTGAATGTCCAATTGGCCAATATAAACCATTAGAAGGTTTCTTTAGTTGTATTCCTTGTGAAGTTGGAAGTTATAACAATTTGACAGCTCAATCCAAATGTGTTTCATGTGGTGCTTTCAAAACCACCCTCTCTGCAGGATCAAGCTCTCAATTCAATTGTGACTGTGAAAAGGGCTATTACAGAAGAAATGATAGTGATATTCTAACTGCTGAATGTTGGCCATGCCCAACTGGAGCAACATGTGAAGGTGGCTCCTCTCTTCCAAAACCATTACCTGGCTATTGGTGGGATGCAGAGACAACCAAAATTCAGAATGGAAAAATTGTCATTGTAAAATGTGATGAACCAAATGCAGAATTGAGATGTCCTGGTAATTTAACTTTGGCAGGTAGATGTGCTACAGGTTATTCTGGTATCAAATGCGTTTCATGTGTTACTGGATTGTATTTTAAGAGTGGTGACATTTGTAAGGAGTGTAATACTGATGTTCAATTGCGTTTCTTGATTGTTGTTGCAGTTGTAATTATTATTGCTTTGGTTTTGTTCAAGTTTGCTCAATTGAAGGTTTCTCACTTGTCTAGTGCTAGTATTGCTATCAGCTATTTCCAAATTATTGCCGTTTTTACAGTGTATAATTTTGAATGGCCTGACAGTTTACAACAGGCATTTGACACTTTGAAATTTTTCAATCTTAATCTTGATATTTGTAAGTATCATTATCTTAATTGTTTAACCTAAGAAAATAATTCAATTGAATAATATCAGTCGTTCCAGAATGTATTGAGATTATTACATATGGACTCAAGTGGGGTCTTACCATTGCCATGCCTGTATTCATCTCAGTGTTACTGATTATTGTATTTGGTTTGGAATGCTTAAGAACTGTTACTCTTTCCAAATTGCCGTTCATAGCTGCCATAAGAAAACATCCAAAGGTTGTCGAATGGTTCAACATTGAACATAAGAATATTTTCATTAAAATTATGAAGGGAATTAGAAGAGACATTTTGAGATACTTCCTTACTCCAAGATCCAAGAGAGAAATTATTGCCTATGGTGACAAATTTATTCACACTTTCATTGTGGTGATTAGTTTTAGTTATGTCTTTGTTATTACAAAGGCAGCTGAAATATTTGATTGTAGAGAGGTTTTGGATCAGGGTGTCAAGAGATTTTATGTGAGTGCTGACACCACTCTTTATTGTTTTGAGAATACTTGGTGGGTCTACTTTTCATTTGCCTTATTGACATTCATCTTCTTTGGATTGGGAACTATTGCCCTATTTGCTTACATTATTTGGAAGAAGAACGATGCTACCAAGAGTTACAAATTTTATGCAAGATTCCGTTTCTTGTTCGTTCGTTTCAGAAATGGAAGATTGTTCTGGGAAATTATTGTAATTTTGAGAAAGTTAGCCATCTCTGCAGCCATCATCTTCTTCTCCACATGGCCAATTATTGTCATTCTCTTCACCATGTTTGTGATTTTCATTTCATTCATTTTGCAAACCCATCACGTTCCATACAGAAGAGTATTCCACAATGTTATGGAGTATATTGTCCTCTTGTCAACTGAGTTTTTACTCTTCTCTGGATTGCTCTTCTATGTCAATGAGTTCCCAGACGAAGCAACAGGCTCAGCACTTGGTTATTTGTGTATTATATCTGTTATAATCAGTTCTGCAGCTATTATTTTACTTATTGCTCTCGACTTTTTATCTCAATATTTGGCAGATAGAAGAATCAAGAAGCAACTCGCTGAAAAGCAAAAGAATCAAAAGGCCATATTGTCTGCTGGTGTCAATAATTCATTCCTCTCCTCCAATGATATTGAACTCAAAGAAGAAAACTCCAAATCTCAAACTACTCAAGTAGAGCTCACCGAAAAGTCGGCCACAACTATAGTTGACATTCCATCTGAAACACCAGTTCCACAAACAACCACAAAAGCTCCACTCAAAATCAGACTCAAGAAAGGAATGGTTAAATTATGGGAACGTTTCGTTAAATATTTGAAGAAGATTGAAGGAGAATCTTTGGATGTTGACTTGGACGAATATGATGATAATAGATTATGGGATGTGGAATTAATGGATCGTGGTTTACCAATTCCAGTCGAGCCAACCTTTGTTGATTCAAATGGAAATCTCAGTAAGAAGGAAGAAGACTCCAATTCTTCAAGCTCCAAGCAGAAGAGTGATAAGGCAGTAGTTTTCGTCGATGAAAATGAAATTAAATTGGAATCTGATGTCTCTTCATCAAGTCAATCACTACCAACCAGAGCAGTCGATCCAAGAACCTTTAGTAGACTAGTTGGTCGTTCAGAATCTGATATTTCCCTCCAAAGTGGTAGCAGTCAACAAAATCTATTACAATAATATAACGCCCTATTACTCAGTCAACCCATCACCAATCATCACAATTATAATACGACAAGAAAATTGCATGGGTAGTGCAACAAGCAAATGTAATCCACCTCCACCATCAGCCTATGACTACACATGGGTATCACTCATCTGTGCCATTTCAATCGTGCACCTCTCTCAGCATGTTCTTCTTTTGCTTCAATTTAATGTGATGAAAGCATTTTCAAAATGCACCACCAAAATAAAACTTTAAAAAAAACTTTTCAAACTTGTTATTCGCAACAGACCATTTAGCGATTTTTGAGTAGCAGCGAAAAGGTTTCATACAAATTTTTCCAAATCACACCCAAAGAAAACTTCAAGTTTAATTTTATTTTTAACTCACCAGTTCCCACCACCACTTTGATTAAGTAAAATAATAATACATTGTATTATTCATCATCACACAATATATATTAAAGAAAAATGTCAGAGACTAAAGATCCCATACCATCAACAACAGAGAGTGTTAATGGTGCCACTACTACTACAAAAGCTTCTTCTTCTTCTGGTACAGAACATAAACAAGTTATCAATTTAGAGCAAGATAAGGAATTAATTGAAGAAAAATCACTTTTGGCATCTAATGAAATATTATCCAAGGAAAGTGATGATGGAAATGTAGAATACAAATGGAAGTTAGTAGGATTGTCAGAAGATAGATTTAAACATCTTGTTACCCAAATGTCCTATCGTTTATCTGAAGGACAAGGTGAAGCCATCTATGAAATAGGAATCAACGATGATGGCTATCCATTGGGATTAGTTGAGGAAGAATACAGAGAAACACTAGGAAATATTGAAAAGATGGCCATCGAGTTACAAGCCACTGTTTCAGTTATTTGTGAAAAGCAAGTATCCTCCGAAGGTAAAAAGAATAAGAAGCAAGCTGCTACTATAACCAATCCAGAAGAAAAGAGATGGGTTGCTGAAGTGCTTGTAAGAAGATTCGGAGAAGAAGAATATTTGAATGTAAATATTGCAGTTTGTGGTAATGTTGACTCTGGAAAATCAACACTTATTGGTGTGCTGACACATGGACAACTTGACAATGGTAGAGGATTAGCTCGTTCTAATGTTTTTGTCCACAAGCACGAATTGACAACAGGAAGAACTTCTAGTATCAGTCATCAAATTATGGGATTTGATTCTAAAGGTGACACTGTAAATTACTCAAACTTACAGTCTCCTTCATGGAAAGATATTATTGATAAGTCATCAAAAGTTTGTACATTTATTGACCTTGCTGGACACGAAAAGTACTTGAAAACAACCGTTTTTGGTATGACAACAGGACCAGATTATGCTCTCCTATGTGTTGGTAGTAACATGGGTGTCACAAAGGTAAGTTTTTAAAATTATTTTTGAATGCTAACAATGACTATAGATGACCAAGGAACATATCGGATTGTGTCTGGCTCTCAAGATTCCAATGTTTTTCTGCATTACTAAGGTTGACATTTGTCCAGAAAATATTCTCAAACAAACTATTGAAACCATTCACAAAATTCTTAAACTTCCTGGAGTTAGAAAGTTACCATATCATGTCAAGAATGATGACGATGTTCTGACTTGTGCCAAAAATTTAGCAAGTGACAGAATTTGTCCAATGTTCTTGATGAGTTCAGTAACTGGTGAAAATCTGCAACTCTTGCATAAGTTCCTCAATCTGTTACCAATTAGAAAAGATTGGGAATCATTAATTGACAAACCAGCACAATATGTCATTGATCAAACCTTCTTTGTCAGTGGTGTTGGTACAGTTGTTTCTGGTATTGTACAAAGTGGAAGTATTTCTGTAAATGACAAACTAATGCTAGGACCAGATAGCAACGGACATTTCAGAAGTGTCGTAATTAAGAGTATTCATTGTAAGAGAGTCAACGTGAAAAGAGTTCATGCTGGTCAACAAGCAAGTTTTGCATTGAAAAAAGAAAGACGTTCCGGAATTAGAAAGGGAATGGTTATTGTAGACGAAGAAGAACCAAAAGCTGTTTGGGAATTTGAAGCTGATATTCTCGTATTGTATCATAGTACCACTATTAAGGAAAATTATCAACCAGTTATACATTGTAATTGTATTAGACAATCTGCTAAACTTGTAAAGATTAACGATAATGAATCTCTAAGAACAGGTGAAAAGGCTAAAGTCAAATTTAGATTCCTGTTCAGACCTGAATATCTCAGAGTTGGTGAACGATTAATCTTCCGTGAAGGAACAACAAAGGGACTTGGTGTGATATCACAAGTTTTCAAATAAATTATTATCTTTCAAAGTAAGTTGAACAATTAAATAAGGACCTGTTTGCTTTCCCAACTCAACATATCTTCCAGACTTCCCAACATTGTTATTTTTGGGTTGGGAATTGCAAAATGGAAGAAAACACAACAAGAAAAAATGTTATCACAAGGAACCAAGTACAAAGCCTATAACTCTGACAAGAAGCCACACAACCAACATCATAAGAAAACAAATCAATTCTCCTCAAATTCACCTAGCCAACCCTTGTCCCAAATTCCAGTTGTTGATTATTTTAATTTGGGAAAGGGAAAGGATGTAATCAACATGTTCCCAATTGAATTGAAAGCACACTTCAATTTATCAGTACCATGTTAACATTAGTCCGCAAATTGAAAACAAATACCTTGCTAATAGGATTGTAAAGCAGGCTTTAAGTGACTTTCTAATTGACTTCTTACAGAGTGGGTCAATTTTATACTCTCTCAACTCAATTCTTCCACCTCAAAAGAAACACTTAGAAAAGACGTGTTCTATTGGAAATATTGTGTACACTGTTTCAATCACGCTGGCAACAACCATTACTGTTTCAAATTCTGGAAAGGACTTTGTACAATTCGTCAACTCTGTCCTTAAGAACGCTCAAGCCAAGTTGAATCTAACAAGAATTGGAAGAAACTTTTACAATGAAGAGACCAAAACAACTATTCATGATTGTGGGCTTCAAATATTGGGAGGAACTCTAAGCTCAACCTGTACCACCTCTAAAGGCCTTGCTCTCCTAGTTGAGCCAATTTATAAAACTATGAGAACAGATACTGTTTTAAGCCAAATGAAAAAGATTATTGAACAGTTTGGAGAACGTTCTGCCCAAACGAAAATCAAGAGAGAATTTGGAAATTCTATTGTTTACTTGACTTACAGAAAGAAAACTATTTATATTGAAAGTGTTGAATTTGATATGAGTCCTGTGTCAACATTCAATTTTCAAGGAAAGGAAATTACATTCGCAGAATATTACAATACACAATATGGTGAAGACGTTGATTTGAAACAACCCTTACTTAAACATATTAACAAGAGGAATGGAAAGGTTGAATACTATATTCCTTCGTTGTGTCTATTGACAGGAATAAGTCAGGATATGAGAAGTAATTTTACCACAATGCAGAAAATTGCCTCTGTCACTAAAAAACCACCAAATGACAGAATTAGAGAAACTTTAAACAATCAACGCGAATGTTTGGAACATTCAGAGTTCAAATTAGAGCTGGATAAGTAGGGTATATCTATTGTCCCAAAAATGATTCAAGTGCAAACGGAATCACTTGAAGATTGTTCCATTAAAATTGGAGGAAAAGTTAAAATTGAAAAAGAAAGAGGAATGTTCAAAATTGAAAATAATAGTAACATGTTCGAATGCAAATCTCTTGAACGCGTATTGGTTCTTCATCAAGGTACAAAATCAAAAGATTTGGTTGACTTTTGCAACAAGTTGCAACAGTTTTGTTCTCAAATGAATTTAGAAACATCCAATATGAACTATGTCTTTCAACAATATGTTCCTCATGTTTCAAAAAAAGATCTCACTGATACTATTAGAAATTCTTACCCAATCTCATTCATTCTCATGATAACTAAAAACAAAACAAGTACCGAATACCATACCTTGAAAGAAAAAACCATTGTAGATATGGGAATTCCTAGCCAATGCATTACTGAGAGGAACATTGCTATCTCTGAAAAAAAATCATCTATTTTGAAGAATATCACAATTGAAATGAATGCTAAACTTGGAGGAATTCCTTGGATGACATCAATTCCAATGAAACCACATACCATGATTGTCGGAATGGATGTTAATCATTCAGGTGAAGTTTACCATCGAAGTAAATCCTCTCTCGTTGGTTTCGTATCATCCTACGATTCAAAGGTATGCGCATACTATTCTCAAATCCAAGTCCAGAAGCCAGGAGTTGAGTTGGTTGAAAATATCAAAAATCTAATGAGGAATGCAATTGAGAATTTCATGAATGAGAACAAAACTTCTCCAACACATATTATTTTCTATAGAGATGGTGTAGGTTCAGGGCAAGAAGATCACATTTACAATCAGGAGATATTAGCCATCCAACAAGTTTGCAAAGAATACAACTCTATTCCACTCAATTTCATTCTTGTACTTAAACGAATCAATAATAGAATATATGCTGGGCTAAATGGAAACAATTTTGGTAATTTGAAACCAGGAACAGTTCTAGATGGTGATATTCTGACATCAGATCCAAACGAAATGTCATTCTTTCTTCAATCTCATCATGTTGATTCGTTTCAGGGAACAGCAACTCCAACAAGGTATAAGGTTTTGGAAAATGGGAGTGGATTTAATAAGGTATTCTATCAGAATATATCGTACCAATTGTGTCACTTGTATTATAATCGTTTGGGAATTTCGAGTGTTCCTGTACCTTGTATATTAGCTCACAAGGTAGCATTTTTACATGGTCAATCGAACATTTCTAAAAGTCCTCACAAAAATCTCAACAAGAAACAATATTACTTGTAGTTACAATAGAAAATATGAGAATATTATTGTTGGAAGCGAACGATGGTTTGATAATAAAATTTTGAACTCCCGCCATTTGTATTCAATTTAAATTCCCTCCAAAAATTTACAAATGCCGCTTAAAATTTTAAATAAAAATAAAAAAATGGGCGAAAACCCTCACCAAGTCACCCACGAACACCATCACTTTTATCATGGTGGAAAGAAGGTGGCCTCAACAAGTGTTAGAGTAACGGACCAAGGTGTAATTGAGGATGTTAAGGTAATGGAACACAATCCTGCATCAAAAGTTGTTTCTTTTATAGACTCTAAATACAGCAATTATAATAGCGAACGACTTTCAAAATTAAAATCAAAATTAAATACATTAACCTCTTCATTGGAGAGTTCAACAAAATCCAGTGGTAGTAGTGGTTCGAATTCTAAGGATGAAGACAAACTCAAAAAGAAAATCAAACAACAAAAGAAGGAAATTGAGGGTCTAACTCGCGAATTGAAAGATCTCCAAAGTACTGCTTCAAGGAGCATTGCAAGTCATCAATCGCCTTTGCTGTTATCACCAAAGGAGGGTAAGTAATATATTATTTCATTAGAGTAGAATTCTAACTTTCATATCAGAAGAACCTTTGGTTTCCGAAGACTATACCTTGTATACAATCAAAAGATATTTGACTGTTTTAAAACAAGGCTCTTATGGAAACTCTGCGACTGATCAAAAGAACTTTTTAGAAACTTTGAATTACTTAGAATCCAAACTCGATAAAATAGTTTCAGATAAGAATTCACAAATAGAAAAACATATTACAGACAAGATCGATGCCGAAAGAAAAAGTAAAATTCTAGAAAGCGAAAGAGATTTTGCAAAGAGAGAGCTGGAACAAAAAGAATCTGAACTAGAGAATGTATCAAAAGAAAAGGATAGAGTATCAAAGACACTCTTTTCGGCAGAAGAGGATATAGTAAGACTTCAAAAAGCAATTGAGCAAATGACCAAGAATCAGGAAGAAGATACCGAAATTACTCAAAAGATGATTGAGAAAATTATTGAAAAGGAAAGAAGTAGAATTAGAAAAAAAATGTCTGGAGAATATCAAAAAGAAATTGATGATCTTAAGAATCATATTACACAACTGGGAGCTCAAATTCAGCGATTGAAAGAAACTCACGATGCAAGGGAAAAAGAGATTATGGAATCTAAGGAAGAGGCTGCTCTTTTCAGAATCAAAAGTGCTGACGTGGAGAAGTTGAAGCAATTGTTAAAGGAATCGATAGAAAGAGAGAGAAAATTAGAGGAAAATCTAGGAAACACTATTAATATGAACCAATCCCTGACCAAGGAGCTTGATTTGAGCAAGAAAGTCCTACACGAAATAGAGTTATCAATTCACGATAGCACCTATTTGGAAAAGAGTTCTTTATTCAAGCAAAAGATTGGAACATTATCACCAAGCTCACAATCTTTGAAATTTAAAGCAATAGTTGATATGTGCGATGAATTAGCCAAGTTGAATTCAAACTTGAGAGAAAAGGTAAAGACAACACAGGCCAATAATGACTTGCTCTCTCAAGAACTGTTACAACTCCACAAGGTCAAGTTGGAAACTTCTTCTAGCCAAAAATTGTATCAAAAAGAGAAGGAAATTCTTGCTGCTGAAGTGGAAGAAATCAAAGAAAATTTTAAAGAATCTGTAAGAAAGGCTCAACAAGAGTCTGAAAGTTTATCCAAAGTGATCCAAGAAAAGCAATCTGTTATTGAAAAGTATAAGGAAATAATTGAATCAAAGGGAAATAATGTTGAGAGCTTGGAGCAAGAAAATAGAGACAGAAATGACAAGCTTAAACAATTTAAGAAAGAAGTTGAAGAAAAACAACAAGAATACGAGGAATTGTCAAAAGAGCATAGAGATTTAGGAATTAAATGCACTAAATTGCTCAGAGAAATTGAGGAATTGAAGGAAGAAGATGAATCCAAATCCTCATTAATTACTCAACTTAAATCTCAAATAGAAAGGTTGACATCTGAAAACCATAACACTATTTCAAGAATTGAAGAATTAGAACTTGTGTTAGAGAATGTAAAGGGAAAGAAAGAAAAAGATACTTCAACATTCTCCTTACAACTTACAGAATGGCAAGAAAGATTGAAGGAGAAGGAGGAAGAAATTGAAAGATGTATGGAAAACCTCTCAACTCTAGAAAGATCAAAGAGAGCTGTGGAGAGAGAATTGGAAATGATCAAAAATACTTCAACTGATACAGAATCACGGGTTAGGGATGTTGAAAAAGCCATTAATGACAAGCAGAAAATTATTTCAGAACTCCAAAGACAAGTTGAAGAACAAGAACTGGACATCTCAACATACAAGGCAACAATTAAGGAGCAAAAGAAGATTATGTTCGAAAAGGATCAATTTATTGATGAGTTGAAACTTTCTCAGTTGGAATCCAAGAGACAAATTGAAAAGAAGGAGGCTGAAACAAGACTGGTTCAAAAAGAATTGGAAGAAGTCAGAGAGCACACTAAAGAGATTGCTAAATTGGAAGGAGAAAAGCAAAGACATATGGGAGAAACCCTCAAACAAACAAATGAATCGCTAAAGAATAGTATTGAAGACCTGAAGGAGAATATTGAAAATTTGAAGAAAAACAATGGCGAATTGAAAACGAATCTTGACTTTGCAACCCAATCAAATGAAACTCTCAAACAAACCAATGATTCGCTCAAGAAAGATATTGAACATCAAACTCGTACTATTGATTCTATAGAGAAACTTAATCAATCACTCAAGGAACAGAATGGAAATCTCCAACAAATCAAAGATTCTCTCAACATTAGTTGTGATTCTTTGAAGAAGAAGAATGAATCACTCACTCAAGAAATTGAGACATCCAAGGAGAAGAACATCTCCTATATTCAAAATATTGAAAATTTGAAAAAACAAATTGAATCTCTTGAGGTTTTGAACGAATCATTGAAGGGCAGGTGTGACAAGCTGTTAAAAGAAATGGAGACTTTGAAGGGAGATTTTGCTAAAAACTTGAAAGAAGTTGAATCAACAGCAGAATCCAAGATAGCCGATTTACGAGACTTACACTCCTTACAAGTTAATGAGCTTAGATCAAGATATGAGAAGGACAAAACAACCCATGTATCCGAATTGGAGGAGTTGTTATCAGAGAGAAATCAAGAAATTGAAGACTTGAAACTCAAACTCCACAGACTATCAAAACAAAACAATAACTTTTTGGGAGAAAAGGAAGCAGAAAATGATAAGCTCAGACAACAAGTTGAACAACGTAATGAGGAGATTAAATCCTTGAAAGAAAATTTGAAACAACAAGAAAAGGAAATGATCATATTGACAAAGAACTTGAATATGCTCCAAAAAGAGAGGGATGAAATGCTCAAAGATTACGAACAAGGAGAACAAGAGTTGAGAAAATTGAATGCTTCCTCTCTTCCTTCAGATTATACCATGTCAAGAGTGTCAGAGTTAAATACTTCAAACCAAAGCTTAAGAAGAGAACTAGATGAAACTCAAAGCAAGGCCCACTACTATGAACTCATGATTGAAGATTTGAGAAGTCAAGTCAAGATAAAAACTGATAGAAATAGTAGCGACAAATCACTTATTGAAAAGATTGAGAAAGAAAATCTTCAATTGAAGCGCAATATTCAATCTTTGACTTCATTACTACCTGAAGTACGTGGCAAGATTGTTAAGTTGAAAGGAGAGTTGACCCTCCTCAAAGATCTACAACTCAATAACCAAAAGGTAGCTTTCTCCAAATTAGCAACCTTGGAAGAGGAAGCACTCGATAAGTTCTCTGAAGTTGAGCAGAAATTGAGACTTGATTTTGAAAGATCTCTACATACACTTGGAGAAAAATACAAGAGACAACAAATGAGTATTTCAGAGATTTTCCAAAATGTAGATCAAGAAGATGATAGTGATGTTTCTTTAATTTCTACTACTTCACTTGCAGATGACAATTAATTCTTCTTTTCCTTTAGAATTACTTGCCTAACCACCGGGTCTTTGGCTAACATTTCTCTAGCTTGTTCCACAGTCAAGGTACCACCTGAAGAAGCAAGCAAGAGGGCAACAGGAACTACCTTATTCATCTTGATAGCATGACTAATGTGAAGTGAGACGAGGTTACTTTCTGGAGTTGAATCATTGTAGATGGCTCTCAATACACATTTCTCTGCAAGCTCTTCAGTTACATTCATTATCGAACTGACAATATTAATAGCCCTATAAAATAGTTTGTTATTACTAACTTTGAGATTGATCATTCTATTTCCAAATGTCATACCCTTCAATACGTGAGCACCAGTTGTAATGGCATTCAAAAAAAGTTTCATACTAAGCTCTGCATAACCATATAAGAAAGGTACTGGACCAAGCGAGTCAAGCGCATGGTGCAATATTGGGGATCCCAATTCAGATACGGTCTGGTACAATGAATTATTACCTTTTGTGGTTACAAGAATCCAGCAGACAGAGGCCCCTCTTTCCTTGACCGTATTTAGGATTTCCTTCATGTCAGCAAGAGTTTCTTCATCTATACATTGTTCAATTGCCAAAAAGAAGACCGAATCCCTAGAATTGACTGTATGTAAAATATTTTGTTTGAAGAAATCATAGGAAATGCCAAAACTTGATCCCTTTTGTTCAAAATCACTATTGATATCTTGATTGTGATGGGTAAAGACATCGTTCCATCCCTTTTTGATAAATCCTCTAACATCATTAGGATGAGCACCATAAGTTGGTACACACTCTGAAGAATCAATAAATCCCAAAATTCCAGCATTTTCAGCACCAATGTAATAAATATGGCCCATTTGATCCTCGTTTCTTTCATCTAGGTTACCATTCTTTAAACTATTTGCTGCCATTTCAATGGTTGGAGTAATGGATTTGAGACTATTTGTTGAAAAGGTATTACTAGAAAAATCATATGTACTTCTCACAGTATGCTCAAAACCAGAGAGTACTTGAATGATATTGTCTCTAATCTTCTTCTTTTCATCCAGAATACTCATAATGGCTGAAGAGAAGGCAACATCAAGCAGAAATTTGGTTGCACTTCCACCCTTCATTCTTGTAGAACCCGTGATAGATTCTGGTCCAACAATTGGATTCAAAAAGAAAAATTCATCCTCTCTCGATTGGTTCTTTTCCACATTTTCAATTACGTCCTTGAAAGAAATATTTCCATCCCTCCATCCTTCAATTGGACTATCCCTAGCCAACTCCTTTGGATTAAACCCAAATAAAACAGAATCAAAACCAAGACTCTTATCCTCACTCAATTGCATCACTTGACCAGCTACATAACCAGCAGAAAATCCACAAGTAATACCAATAAATAATCCTCTCTCAGTTTTAGTATTCGAAATGACATTTACCAAATCTCTTGCTCCAATATCTGGTTTATCCTCAGCAGCTTCCTGTGGTGAAACAAGAGCATTCACTCCACCAGCAATAATAAATTGAAAGCATTCATCATTATCAATCCTATCAGAAAATACTTTTCTAAAACAATAATTATAATTCTTTGAACAAAAATAGGCAATTCTACCACTTGTTCCACAACCACTCATAACAACACTTCCTCTCACTCCATTTAATCTATCTTGCATACAGAGTTTCATTCGGAGGGAAATTTTTTCCAAAGCACCCAAACAATCCTCATCAAAACATGATGGAAAATCTTCATATCCACAAAACATTTGTGCATCACTTGTTCGGAGTAAACGAACCATACCATCAACATCTCCGACTACATCAATGTCTCGGGTGATAAAGTTAGTTCTTTCTGTGATTCTTTGCATTTTTTTTGATTTTTTGATTTTTTAATTGAATTTTGGATTTTATTTGAAAATTCAAATTATTGAAAGATCATTTCGAATAAAAGCTAATAGGAATAGAATGTAATCTTCAAAATTTCAATACGGTTGTGTCACCACCTACAACACACCATGGCCAAGTTTATTTTTTACACCACAAAAGATTCAACAAGGACATGATTAAAATAGTCATGGACATTTTCGCTCCTGTATCTAGCTTATTACAGTAAAGTGCTCACATTACACTGTATATCGTTTTAGCTGACTGTCTTAATGTTATAGTAGAGTGAGTTGGTTGTTGAGTAATGTTATTCAGCATGATTTACCCTCAATATACTTTCTCGTCATTATTCCCTTCACTACAATAACAATGGATTATATCTCTTTTTCCACACAAAATGGTGATGATTACAACAATCTCGATTATAATTTAGTAAAATACACAAAATAATCAAAGTTTTTCTTATTGCTGATCATTAAACTCTTGTAGTTTTCTTTTTTCATCCGATAAAAAAGAAAAAGAACGAGTCAAGACATAGAGAGTTTTCTTCTTCAAATTTTGCTTCTTCTTCATATCATCAACAACAGCAACAGAACTTTTTGGCTAGGAACAACACTGAATAGGAGTTTGAAACCGAGTCACCTTTTTTTATCTTCATTTTCACTATCATCATTACACATACAAATAAAATAAGCAAATGACTACACCTTCGGTATTGTAGGAGTAGTTTGCTGATTTGAAACTCTTGTATGATATTGAATATTATATTCTGCTTCTTCTTGTGGATATTGATATTCCATCCATGACCTTTATGGTTCGATTTGATGAAACAAAATAATAATTGATAATTTCATCTACCAATGTTCCGTTATTTAATAATCATGTTAATAGAAAAAACAATTGAAGGAAAGAGTTGAGGTTGGTCTTTCTTCTCCCAAACTCAATGGTAGTACAATATCAACACCAACATCACCAAAGTCATGGTTTGAAATGTTAGAACATGACGAGGAAGATGATTCACAATTGTATTCTGATGAACACTTCCAAAGAATAACCACTCCTGATGTACTTCAGCCTTCCTCTTCACCATCATTACTTTATAGTGATGATGAAGCACAAGATACAGATGAAGAGGATCTCGTTGATGATAATTTAGGAGATCAATCTCCATTGAGTTCAACACATCTTCTCAGAAATAAGTGGACTATTTACTATGATCAAGGTTTCAAACAAGGAGCCTCACCTGAAGATTATGAACAATCTATCAAACAAGTTGGAGCATTTGATACTATTGAAGAGTTTTGGAGATATTGGAATAATATCAATCTATCATACAACAAGATGCCTTCCTATCTCAATATTAGATTGTTCAAATCACACATAAAACCACTCTACGAAGATCCAAGGGTAAGTTGAAAACAATCATCCTTTTCCAATATTCTAATATCAATTATTTCGCCAATTTTTTAATATGAAACTTTAGAATATTGAAGGTGGTCGTTGGGTAATTCAAACACATCACAAGGAGACGAGAAAGGAAACATGGAATGAAATTGTATTGGCAATTATAGGAGAAAAACATTTTACTGACAAGTATGAAGTGAGTGGTATTGTATTGAGTAGTAGAAAGACCTTATGATGCAATTCAAATTTGGAACGGATGCATGCTTGACAGAAAGCATATTCAATTTGTAATGAGAAAAATTAGAAAGATTTTGCAGAGTGTAGAAATTGACAAGACAACAACAATTGAATATCAAGCCAACAGAGGTGTTAAAAAGTATAACGAGAAGGAAAATATCAAAAAGTCAGTCCTCAAAGCACTTAAAACTCAAGTCAGATTTACTTCATTCTCTCCACCTTCATCTCCTTCATTGAATTCTCCTTCATTCTCTCCTTCCTTGCCAAAGTTGCTGTCTCCACTTTCAAATCCTGCCCATATGGTTACTGCCTCAGATTTATTACCTCCTCTCTCATTGGAGCAAGTTGAATCTGAAATTATCAAGGATGAACAAGCAAAGAGTATGTCTACATCCACTGCAGCAAACAATCCTGAAAACAAACAAAAATCCTTATACAGTGCTGGTCATTCAATTGGTCGTGTGAGTGGTGGTTTCGTTATTGGAAGAGGTTTCCATTTGAACAGTTCACGTAATAGATTACAATCTCAAACTCCATACAATCAAATAGATTCACCAACTTCAGAAGATGAAATTTTGACAAGTCAAGAAAAACCTTCATCCTGCAACTCCAAGCAAGAAGATTCTAAAAACTCAAAATTTGACAGAACAAACCCCAAGTCAACTGTTGAAAATCGTTCATCAAAGAATGAAGTAAGTGGAACCAAAAATGCAGATCTTTTAAAATTAATTTCCCTTTTTGTTTTAGTATTAGCAGTAATTTGGGTGGTCATTAAGCATACGACGAAGTAACCTCGTCTACATTCCAAATTTTACACAAGTGTACAGTAAAGAAAATGAGTATTTCAATCCAAACTATATATTCGATTCAAGCTGATTTAATTTTCTAACAGGCTCACAAACTTTTTGCTAACTTGATTTCTTTTTCAATAAAGTATATTTTGTTATCTAATACCACCTTGTCTCAATACTTTTATCAAAGTTTCAATTCAACCTGTAAAAAATTGAATCTAAACATTATCACTCCGATTACTATAATAATTTTTAACTTGATTGGAATTTAAAATTCGAGGAAAATGTCCAATCTACAACAGCAACAATTACTACTACATTCATGGAGTAATAATAGTAATATTAATAATAGTAATAATAATATTAATAATAATAATATATTAAATCTATTATCATCAACACATCAACATAAAAGAAGGATAATTAATTTATTAATAATTTTCATCACAACCATACTTATTCTTTTAACTTTTGAAAGTTTTGGTATTGTAAATTGTACATTATCGGCCAATATTAATTCTATCAACAATCATTTACATCATCATCATGAGGATAATTTGAAAGCAAAATTAAAAGTGGAATTAACTAATTTATTAAATAGTGATCATCAACAGGCTGCTTATGATAATGAATATAAACTTTCGGCAATGGGATCATTTAGATATTATTTGAGAAATGATCAACCCATACTTTTTCAAGTTAACAAATTGAATAGTAATGAAATTGTGTTTTTAACATTTATGAGTAGAATGAATCACTTAAAGATTGGATGTGAGAGTATTCTAGATGCTGCCAAGACATCAAATTTGGCATCTACACTTGTAGTTGGTACTTTTGATATTTCCACTGGACGTATAACATGGCATGCCAAGACAAATATTACAAATGAATTATTGGGAGATCCAAGTTTCATACAGAAAGATAATGTCATATTTTTTTCATTTCCTAGGGAAACTATAGAGTATAAACAGTTGGTATTCATGTCAATTAAAATTGGCAATGATACCTTTATATCATCATCCTTGGATTATAGATTGAGTAGAAAACAAACGTATAAGAATATAATTACTCTCTATGAAAATTACTTGATTATTCACAGAGAAAGATCAACATATGAAACTAGAATGAATCTTACAACTAATCCAGTCTATTCTCAAGTTAAATATGCTCCTATTGTTACAGTATTCCAATATGAGTATAATGAACCTAGTTTTACTGTTAATCATTTATTTGATTTGAATTTGGAATGTGTTTATGAAGCTTGTCCATATTTTGATTACCTACGTGTTATTGATAATTATTTAATGTTTTCAGCATTTGGTAGTAGAGCCAATTTGAAAATTAATGGAATTTCCTATGATGAGATCCAGAGTGGAATTATGGCTGCATTTTACGTGTTCAAGTTAGACTATGCTAGCTCTTCTCTTTCGAGAATTGGGATTATTTCTGTAAATTTCTCATCAATTATCAATTTAAATAGTACACGATTCTATGATACATTATCGGAAAGCCCACCGAGAATGGGTATCAATAGAGCAAGAGTTTACAATGGAAAACTCTATGGATATGGTTTTTATAGTGGCACTATTGGAAATGTATCATTGGATCCTGGACCTGGTAGTATGATCTTTTCATTTGATTTGAAGGAGAAACGACTTTTGAATATTAATGTAACCAGACACACTTACCAAATAGGAAATGCAGCAGAATTCTCAGATGATGGCCATTTGTACTATTTGGATAGACCAAAAGCCATGATTTATATGATTGATATTGACAGAATGGAAGAGAAAAATTCACATTTACGCAGCACTTTGTTATCTAATAGAGTTTTTATTGAACTCATGCCATACTCATCCAATAGATTGATAATGTTAATTTCTTACAAATTTTCATCAAATACTACTTTTTTGGATGGAAAAGAGTTGAGAATGACAGATACCTTCTCGCCTGGAAGATCACTGTATCGTGATGTGTATTTCATTGCATTTTTTGAATTTACAACAAGTATTCAGGAGAGTTTTTCTCAACAATGTTCAACACCAATATGTGGAGAAAACATCTTGTCAGCAACTGTACCATTTTTGTGTGGAGGAGAGGGAACATGTCTATTCGATAGCTCCAAGAAGGTTTCAACTGTTTGTAGTTGTCCTACAGATATAGATCACTTGTGGACCAATATGGGAGAATATTGCAACGTTGACAATACTCACCTTTTCATTGCAATTATTGTTATTTCAGCATCTATTTTATCCTTGTTAATTGGTTTTGGAGTTACTATTGGTATCGCAAAGGGTGTTTTGAAATTGAGAAGAAACCTCGAATTGTTGAAAACAAAGGAAAAGAATGAAATTGAATTACAAAAGAGATTGTTGGACTTTCAATTTATTAATTCCGATGCAATCACATTTAAGGATGTTAGTTATATTATTCATATGGAGGATTTAAAGTTCCTGACAAGAGTTGCAGAAGGAGGTGGAGGTGTAGTATTTAAAGGAGAATGGAGAGGTGTTGAGGTTGCCATAAAGAAGGTGAAATACAGCAGTGATGATACCTCATTCGAAAAGGAGGCCAGTTTGCTCAGTCAACTCAGACATCCTAATATAGTAGCATTCTTTGGAGTGAGTGTAACCGAGAGAGAGAAATTCCTTGTTACTGAATGGATGCCAAGTGGCTCCTTGGATGGATTAATTTCCAATGCAGTCAAGGGAAAGATTATGCTCAAATTCAAACAAAAAGTTTCAATCATGATGGATATTTGTAAGGGTATGGCCTATTTGCATTCCTCATCAATTATTCACAGAGATTTGAAACCAGGTAATGTCTTGATTGGATCGAATGGTGAATGTAAGGTTTGTGATTTTGGTCTCAGTACTTCATCGATGGAGAATACATCTGATGAATTGGTTGGCAATGTTGGTACACTCTTGTGGTCTAGCCCTGAAGTATTGCAAGGTCTTCCAATTGATGCAAAAATTGATGTTTTCAGTTTTGCAATTATCATGTATGAAATTCTATTCGAAACTGTTCCATACTCAATATCTAAACGTGTAGATCCAAGCTATTTCACCGATTCTGATAGCAATCAATCAGAGGATTTGAAGATTTATTCATTACTCAACAATAGAAATGGTACAGAGCTAGCCAGATATATCATTCATGGAATTAGACCACTCATTCCTTTCAATAATAGAGATCAATGTAAGAGATGGATAAGTATTTATCACAACCCAGAAAAAGAAGGTGTCAAACCAGAAGCACTTTCCTCTGTTATTTTCTTGTTTGTATTGTTGATGAAAAAGTGCTGGTCGGAACCTGAAATTAGACCAAGTTTTGATTCCATACTTTCCACTCTTACAACTATCAAGAAAACTATTAAAAAAAATTAGTTTCACCAGATTCAGAAGAACCTTGTTAAAGTAAATCCAATTTGCAAAGACTCCTTTAGAAATTTTAAGATTTGAACTTTTTTATTCAGAACGCAAATAAAATGGATGTTGCTTAATTTGACGAATAGTGATTCTCTTTTCAGGCTCTGGTTCCAATAACTTTCTTATTAAATCTTTAGCGTCATCACTCATATCTTCCTCTTCTTCGAGAGGAACAGTCATGCAACCCATCAATTTAGCTTGTGCATTTCTGAAAGGTAAAAAGCCAGTCATCATTTTGTACAAACAGACACCAAGCATGTAGACATCAATTTCAGGACCGTAGTATGGCTTTTTCATTAACATTTCCGGTGAACTATAATTGCTATTGCCAACAAAAAGTTGGTGAGACTTTTCTTTCATGGTAAAAAAGTCAGCAACGCCAAAGTCACACACCTTGACATTACTATTCTTATCTAGACATACATTGGACAATTGAAAATCTCTATGACAAACGTTATGTACATTGTGGATATAATCAAGAGCATCTGTCATTTGTTTGAAATATTTTCTACAGGTCTCTTCTGGGAATTGTTGATGTTCGTCATAGGGAGTTTCAATTGCACCATTTTCTACATATTCCATAATGAGGAATATTGTTTCTTCTGTTTCTATTACATCAAATAAAGTACAAATAAGTGGATGTTTTCCAAGGGTTTTCAGTATTTGGATTTCTCTTCTGACCCAGTCCATAATTCCAATAGAGTTAACCTTGTGTTTGGAGAGTTCCTTAATAGCTACTAGATCTCCACTCTCTCTATCTTGTGCCAAGCTAACTCTACCATAAGTGCCAACACCCAACAAGTCTTGAATTACATATCTAGAGCCTACAATTCTCTTTCCAACATTAACTTTTGGAGATATGATGGAAGATTTCCTATATCTTGTGAGTGCCGTTTCTAACTTTTTAACCTGCTCTTGAAGGAAGTTGTTTGTAGTGAATCGCTCAATACTATCATAATATTTTTGTAGATATACTACAACTGATTCGGTATATTCATCCATAAGATGATCATCAATAACGTAATTGTCATAGTTTACAATACATTGAACCTTGACTGGTTCATTTGGGTGGTAGGCCAGTACCACACCTTCAATGCTATCACGAACGTTTCTAATATGTTCTCTCTTACAAACGTGTAATCCTTCAAAATTCAAGACAAGCCTCTTCAATTCCTTGTTATATCTGATTCTGCTAAGAATTGTTTCTATGGTTGGCTCGGATGACATGTCCATAATCTTATTATTCATAATAAAATCATGGTGGTGTGGGCAAAATTGGTGGTGATGTGGAGATAATGGTTTTTGAAATTCACTAATTTCAATTGGGTGAGAGGTAAGTGCATTAATAACCTGACAATTGGTTTGGTTAGTAGGGATGTTAGTGATTGGAGTTGGCGGAGTGGTCAAAACTGGGGTAAAGGAAAAGGTCTCGGAGAGGTAAAATGGAGTAAGGTGAGAGCTTGATTTAACTCTCTTGATTTGGGGAGGTGGTAAAAGATCAGAATGTTGTTGATGGGAGAATGAAAGAAGGGAGAGTAGAGGTTCTTCTTGGTAGCGCAGTGGTTGTAATTGTTGTTTACTGAGTGGTCTCTTCATTGCTCCACCAATATTAGAGTAGATTGCTGTTGATGATTCCTTTTGCATTTTAAATTGGGTCAATTTCTGTTGTATTATTATTATTATTTACTGGATTGATGAAAATATATGAAGGCTTATATACAAATAATGTGGCAAATGAAGCAGAAATGTCGATCTACACAAAAGCACACACACGGAATAAGTGATGATGAAAATTCAAATCTTCAAAGTCCTCTCGGGTTGTTGTTTCCGTAGTTGTTGTTTATGTTGTTGGTGGTTGTACTGTTGCAAGTAGATCAATTTTTTTTTCTGTTGGATTTTTCAAGAAAGCGATTTTTATGAAGCCGATACAAACTATTAATTTGGACCTCAGCGACAAAAGGTACATAAAAGGACTTGTCATTTGGAGAGTTCCTTAAGTGTTTTGCATCAATGTATTTCACAATTTTCTAATGGAAGTTTGGTTTAGTATTAAAAAGGAATTCAATATCTTTGAAAATTGGCAATTAAAACGTGTTGTTTAATAACTAGAAATCTTTGTAAAACTCGAGTAATAAGATTTTTTGAAATATCATGACAATCACTAATGTTTTTAGTTGCAATGGATGAACATAACCTGAACATCTTTACTGACTAAATAAATATTGTTGGATCTTCAATTATTATTAAAAAACTCCTCTGGTAGAGTTAATTCACTTTCAGAACCTGTTCCATCATTTCCAAATATTTCCACATCATAATTCATTCCTAACAACTTATTCACCACTTGGAATTCTTCTTTTTTGCCTCTACCATTCTCTTTTCAAAATCATGAATTTCGTTCAACGGATTTTTCATTGAAATCTCAGTTCGTTTGTCCAATTCCTCAAATCCAGGAGGGGTTCTTTGCTTTTGGCTAGATGATGGACGTTTTAAACTGAGAGGTCTGGATGATGGTCTATAGGTAGAAGCATCAGGAGTTGCACTATTTCTCAAAGTTTGAGTTGCTTCTGGTGTCATTAGTCTCATGTATTTCAGATGAGCATTTCTGTCATTGGTCGTAATAGTCGGGGTACCAACCCTTGCAGTCTGCCCACCAACTGAGGTAAGATCGACAGACTTTTTCTTTGTTTTTGTAAGATCAATTTTGGGTATCTCAAATGAAGGTCTCCCATAATCATTCATATCGTAATAGTCTGCGTTTTCCCAGTCTTCTACCTCCTCATTCAAAGCTTCATCAAGACTCTCATCTGTACACAATCTCTGCAGTTGAGACAAGGCTCTAGGATCATTAACAACTACTCTCTTTAAAAAGTTGTGCTGTCTTTGAGCTTTGAAGGATTTTCTAATCTGGTTGACTTTGAGCTTTTTAGTTAGAAAATCCATATGTTCTTGTTCAACTCTATCTCTAATTTGCTCCTCAAGAGCTATATCTTCAATATCCTTGTTAAGTTGTATTACTTTTTGATCGTTCCACTTAATTTCCTTCCTCGATGCAAAATAGGTTTGGAAATGTTTCTTAATGAGTGGATAAATTCGTTGAAAGTTAATTTTCATTTCTTGGTATTCTTTCTTTTCCTTCTCAGTTTCTTCCTTTCCCTTCTCTTTAAGATAGTGATACTCACAAACTAGATCGTACAACATTTCGTTCAATTGTTGTTCTTTTGCATTTTTCTCTTCTTCACAATCCCAAATGTCAGTTGGGGGTACTCTTCCTTCAGTAAGGTACCTTACATGGGCTACACTAGATGGACGTTTGGCAGAACTCGGTCTTGATGCTGAGCTTGGCCTATTTGCCACAAAATTATTTACACATTTCGAAGGCATTACAGATGACAAGTATTGAGAGTTATTACTTATCAATGTTCTCGAAACTGATACTGGTACACTGGCTACTGAATGTTGTCTACAACTCGGGGCAGAGCCTGGTCTTTTCATTGAAAAGCTACTAAAAGATTCCAAATTCCTATTTGCAGGAGAATATGAAGAATACTCTAGATTTTCTCGTGTTGTTGATTCCATGTTTTTCTTATTTTCCTTTTTAGTGTAGGATATTGGATTCATTGGAACAAGACTTTTCCTTTTCTTTTGTTGAATATCAAGTCTATTCAATTCCTCCAAAAGTATTCTAATATTATATTTTTCATCATCGGGATCACACTGTTCCAAAACCCTGCTTACAGTTTCTGCAGCATTGAGCATATCATTGGTTAAAGTGTCATGATTTTCCGAAAATTTAGATCTATGAATGTTTTTATACTTGTTGAGGATAAAGTGCTGAGTGTCAGCAAGTGGTGTCCTCGGAGGTACTTTGAACGATTTTTTAAAATCTTCCAAAATGTAATTTCTTGGTGTTTCCTCGGGAAGCTGATTCCTCAAACTTGTTGGAGGTTCCTTAAACTTATCTTGGGCATAAATAGGAGGAGGAGAAAACAATGATTTCTTGGGTGATGGATTTCTCATGATAACCTTGCTCTGCTCCTCCTTATTTCGAGCATCATCAAGCATCTTTCTGTGACGATGAACGGAATACATTTTTTTTGATTCTAAAATGTAATACGGTTGGTTTTGGCGCTTATTAAAAATTGGCGGCAAAAAACAAACTTTGAAAAATTTATTGAGATGATGTTACAGGACCATTAGTATCAAAATCTTGCTTCTGTTCTTCATCGACAAAAACTTGTCTTGCATTAATATTAATTCTCATCATGTCTCTTTCCATATATTCAGCATAGATTTTATATTTTGGATCGACGAACTTAGTTTGAAGATATTCTGGAATAGTATCTTTGAGAATTCTAGCAATACCATGGAAGCAATATCTTGCTCTTCCTCCCATAATCATACAATCACCAGATTCCAAGAAAATAGCCTTTGGTTCAGTATCTCTTGTTTCACCTCCAAGCAAAAAAATTGATTTTGATCCAATACTCAAACTGATGATTGGTTTGGTCATTTCATATTCAGCATCATCAACATGACCTCCCATAAGTCTGTCCTTTGAGTAGAAATTGACAATGGCTGCCTCTGGCTTGTATGGGCCATAATTACATTGGCAAGCAATGAGGTCACAGAAATTTCCAATATCATGTGGGAATTGAACAAATTTATCCTTGTGATATTTTCTTGTAGTCCACTAAATTGTTTTAACAAATCCAACTTGTAAATTTTTGAAAATCATCCAAAAACTCACCTCATATTGATATCCAAGAGTGCACCAAGCCAATTTTTTAAGATAGTTCTTTGCAGATTCATCCCCTTCAACACTTCTCTTGAAAATATCCAAGATTTCTCCGTTTTTCATTGTGTGATTGGTAATATTTGGTGGATTTGGATAGGTTTCTAGTGCTTGCTTTATCCAATAGATTTGTTTTTCTGGTGTCATTAAATCTTTAATAACATAAAAACCAGGATATCCTTTAAAGGTATAAATCTTTTTGCTTAAAAGTTCTTCCTTTGTAAATGACATGGTTGACTTTAAATGTTCATCATTAGCAAAATAATTATTATACTTTTCCAAAGCCGTTTCAAAATGTTTCATATCCATTTCAGTACTAGGAAGTTGTACTTGTTCCAAAACTTGTAAATTTTCAGGGGTATTATTTTCCAAATTATGAAAATCAATCACATTAGTTGTGTCTGGATAATCGGCCTCTATTTGTGTTACAACCGAAACTATTCCAAATAAACCTACCAACCATTTTCCCATGCTTGTTTGGAACAAAGTGTTTTCTATAGCTTTTTTCCACTCTTTTATATGCATTATTGTCATCATTAACAGAATTTGCATACAGTGATTGTTCCGAGTTTGATGAAGATGTTGTTGGTTCGGTGCTTGAAGACATTTTTTTTTGTTTAAATTTGGCAATTATTGTTTACAAAGCATTGAAAGAACACTCAATCCTTTATTAAAATGTGCAAAAATGTTTTTGCATTAGTATATTAGGTTTAGGACTAATAAACTTGTATTCGTATTGAGTGTCACCCATTAGTCTGTGTTTGATTTCCTTCTTCATTTCCAATTTTTCCTCTTGAGATAATTCATCGAAATGATCGTGAATATACTGGTCACAACATCTAATGACATTTTCCACTGAAATATTCAGCTTATCCTCTTCAGATAATTCTTCATGATCAATGATTGCCTTGCAATTTACTGGACAAGCAAGCCAAATCATTACTAGATTGTTAAGAGAAATGATAAAATCTTCTGTGAAAAATTGGGATATTGAAGCACTATTAATTACAAGGGTATCCAAATTCATTAATCTTTTGAGTTTCCATCCATTTTCAGCTTCATACTTTTCAATATTTCCTCGAGTCTTTATGTAAAGCCTACGTAAGTTGGGAAGGTGTGATAGTATGGTGAAAAGAGTGGAATCAAATTCTGACATTTCCAAGGTGAGTGTGGTCAAATTTACCAGTTGTGGAACAAATAATTTCAATTGATTCAACATGCTACATTGAGTATTATCAAACTCCAAATAGAGCTCTTGAAGATTGTTGGCACATCCTCCCAGGAAAAAATTTGGAAAAGTTTCTGAATTAATCTGTGTTAGCCTCAAATTTTTGAGTTTTTTAAAGGAAATCTCTTCACTTGAAAGAGTGAATGTAACATCTGATTCATCAGTTGGTACAGGTACCTGAATATATTCAATGTCACTTGATAGACATTTTAGTAGTCTGTCTGATAGCCAGTTTGCATGATTCATTTCATCTTTGACTTTAAGGACTTTAAGTTGCTCGAGTTTGTGGAAAGTCATATAGTCATTATTTGATTCCCTCTTAATATCTAGACTTGATATGGCAAAGTATTGTAAATTTTTACAAAACTTTGTTATCAGTGCAATAGATCTGAGTGTTAATGAAGGACATGACAGGGATAAAACTCGTAATGACATGTTGAAAGCCCCTCCAATTTTTAACATGTCACTTATTGACTCATCTGTTAACTTCTCTTTACCGGTATTGTACAGAATTAAAACTTCCAAATATCTACAAAATTTAGAAAGGGATAATAGCATTTCTATTTGAATGTCTCCTTTCAATTTACAAACTCTCAAGTTAGGAGAGGATTGGCATACTTTGATAAAGAACTGCTTGGCTATGGCAGAAGAGTTGCCAATAAAAATATCCAGTATTTTAAGTTTGGTCAACTCGAAAGAAGGAGTAAAGCAGTCCACAATTGGTAATTGACTAATAGTGGCCGGTTTTGGCTTTTCTTCCGTTTTTTTGGATTGAGGAGATGCAAAGAATGGAATGCCCTTTGGAGAGAATAAGAGTTGAGGTTTCACGTTTAGGTCTTGAACAGGAGAGCTTGTTGGTTTTAAGGTGTCCTGACCATTGTAAATGATTGAAGAATCCCATTGAAAGCTAAAATGTAAATTTTCCAATTGATTAGAAAATGGAATCAAGATGTTCTCTATTAAATCCTTAATATCTACGTGGTAATTGTAACCAAATATCAATGTTTTTAAATATTTACAGTATTCTTTTGCATAGCTTAGCAAAAGTCTAGTGCTAGGTACTGTCGAGCAATTCACTTCAATGTGTTCAAAATTGCATTTGCTAAATAAATTTTCAATTGTTTCGTCGGATTTGTCCTTATTAATGACAATTTCTTGTTGTTCACCATCACCATTGTTGGATGGAAGTCTTGCTTGAAGAATGGCTCTCCTCCTTCTACCTACACTTGCTGAGGCAGTGACTTCACCACTTGTACTACTAGAGAGACCTACAGCAAGGGTGTGAAGTTTTTTCTTTTTCGAAAACCAAGCACAATCGAAAATGCAACTTGAAATGTCCTTGATGTGAGGAGAGGTCATGGAACCAACAACACAACTCCAACCTTTATGGGAGAAAATAAGATTATAGAAGTGTTTAGAAATTCTGCAAATAACCTGAAAACGCTCTAGAGGTGTGCAAAATTGAATAATATAAATTTGAAGTTCTTCGGGCAAATGTAGAATATCTAAAAATTGATGATGAATTGTTTGATGAATAATGGTCGGAATTATAGAGGTGGTAGGAGATGGAAGGGAATCACTACTAGATGTTGTCGGAGAGGTTATAGAATTAGGGTCAGAATTTGTTGTCAACTGAGAGGATTGGGATGAAACATCATTCTCCTCTGTCGAAGAAAGATGTAAAGGCTCTAATTTGATGTCTGTTCCGTCCAATCTTGTAGATGGAGGTGTATCTTCAATTTTACTAGGGGAATTCATCATTTAAATTTCAAATGTAATATTGTTTTGCTGCAAACGCTCCTCTTTTCAATGCTATTTTGATTATTGTTGGTAGAGAGTTGAGATGAGGTACTTTAATTGCTTGTTTAAACGATCCGCGCTACAATGTTTTCATATTTTTTAAAAAAAGCCTTTGCAATGATTTGTTTGGACTGAGTAACATAAAGAGGTTTCATTTTGCTTTGTGAATGGCAATAGCAATTCGATTTTGCATTTCAACCTTGTCGACAACATAGAGTGTTTATTTGTTCAGCATACAACAATGCTAATCTGTTTTATTATTATGGATCTTTTCATTGACTGGTCTAAATACAATGGCAATGCAGGCATTAATAATGAAAAAGAAAAGACCACTCAACCAGATTGAAAAGAAGGAGTTTTCTCCTAAAAATTCCAATCTATAAGCATTTGATAACCAAACACCTTGTCCAATAAACCAAAATACAATACACAAAATAAGGATAGTCAAGGATTTGGAGCGTGTTTCACGATTCATTCTCTCATAGAAAAATGCTTGTAAAGTAAATCCAAATAATGAAATGTACCATACAAAATACTGAACTGTGCACACCTTATTGAACATTACAAATAGGAATGTCTGTGTAAATATGGTATTGAAGAGATTCTTCCTATTGGTTTTCCATGAGAGAGCCAAGAGTGAAATAAATTGAGGTAAGAAGGCAAGAAGTGAAATCAATCTTGAACCCTTATCAGCTCCATTAGCTCCTCCCAAATAGAGATAATAAAAGTAAATTGAAAAATTATGTCTATTATCACTTCTCACTGCATGATATAAATAAGATTCGTATAAAAACTCAAATCCATAAATAAAGTAAAATATTCCAATGAGAGAGAGGCATACAGTTCCACTTATTAAACAATATAACACACAAGCTTTGATTTTTTCCTTAATTGACATTAAATAGTCAACACTATACCATAAATAAATTAGAATGGTTGGCAAGTAAATGATTGGATAAATTTTGAAATGCACAGCCAGACCAAACCATATACTCGATTCGAGTAATCTTTTCTTATCAAGAGCATATAATGATAATAGAACTAGTAATACAATACATTGATCTGCATTTCCTCTCGTAGATACATTAATCAGAATTGGATTGAATAAAATTGTACAATTAGTAAGGAGGAGACTAAAATTATTTCCACTATTATTTTTCGAATAAAATCTGTGAAAATTCGAATTTAGTAATTGAAAAACAATCCAAGAAACAAGTAAATCCACAGCACAAAATATTAATTTTCCAAATATTGGATGAATCAAAATATTTGGAATCATCATGAAACTCCTATTATAAATTTGATAATAATTAAAATACTCTAATGATGAATGATTTTTAAAAACACATACAAGAGTGGTGTATACCTGTAGGTTCCTCTTTTGAATGGTGATTCTCCCTCCACAACAAATTGTGCTGCATCGGAAAATACTTGGTAATCCACATCTGTATATTTAACCTCGACTGAAGAAATTAACAAATAATTCTATTATATATTACTAGTATCAAATCAAAACAACATACATGTACTATCATGCCAAATACTATATAATATTACAATCATTCTAATTAAAAATCCCAAGATGAATGATTTTTTAACATTTCCTTCTTGTTTAATAGTTAATTCATTCGAGTTTTTAATTGAAGATGGTGCCGAATGTTCCGATGATGATGATGGTGATTTGGTTTCTGAATGTATTGACATTTTTATATATTGAATATTATTTAAATATTAGTAAGAAATATAAAAAATGTCTGCAAGTAGAGTATTAACACATTTGAGAGGAAAAACACTGAGTCAACTTAAAGCTAGCGGATCCATGCCAGAGAGTTGTTTTTCAATAGCACAATTGATGAGAGTAAATGATGACTCGGCACTGTCGACAAAAAATTCAATCATTTCAAAGGAACAAATCAACAAACTTTGTCTCTTATCTAGAGTTTCAATTAAAGAGGAAAATCAATTGGAAAAACTAACAAAGGATGTAAATAATATTGTACTTTGTTTGGATATTTTACAACAAGCAAAAGTACCTTCCGAGACAATTCCAATGTATTCACCAATGCAATTTTATAAGGAGAGAAATAATAGATGGAGAGAGGACATTCCGACAACGAATACATCAGAAGCTGAATCTATAGCAAGAAGAAAGAATTTAATTCAAGGAAATACTTTGGATGTTAAGGCTGGATATTTCATTGCTCCCAAGGTTAAATAATTTTACATGTAATATAATTAAATTGGAATAAAGTTAATAGTTGAGTAAATCTGTTTAATTATAAAAAATACAGGGGAATGATTTACTGAAATAGAAATCGAATAAGGAAACTAATTTGATATTTCAGTTTTGTAATTTAACAAAATCACCAAATGTTTTAGATACTAAAAATTCTATTTCTCACCAAATTTGAAAATAATTTCAATGATTTTTATAGAACTCGTTAACTTTTAGTCATCTCATATTATTTATTTGATAAATAACCTTTGGATAATTCACAAGAACTCAACATTCAAAAACCAACCCCAGAATCCTTTTTTCTTTCCTTTCTCAATTGGATATTGTACTGTTTCAATTGTTTAACAAACTCGGGCATTGGAAGAACTATAGGTCTCTTGTCTCTTACAAATTTTAAACTTTCATTGAGAGTCCATTGATTCTTCTTCATCAAATACATTATCACAATACTGGCACTTCTATTGATACCAACATGACAGTGAATGAGAATCTTTCTGGGACCTTGAGACTGATCTGTACCCTCTTCAATGAAAGGTAAGCATTCTTCAAAAGTAGCAATTAGATCTGTATTCTGAGTTTCCTTCATTTTCACATGTTTTGTGACAAACTCGTGACTTGATTCTATGAAAGATAATTTTTCTGTAAAATCTGGCAGTGATGAGTACTCTCTGTCATGAAATCTTGGATTGAATTCACTTGCTATTGTTAAAATGTGAGTAATACCAATATTCTTTAAGGTAGAGTAATGAGAGGAGGATTGTTTACATCCTAGATATAAGGTTGGTTCAATGAGGTCAGGCTCTTTAAAACTATTCTCTGAAATATCAATCGAGTGGTCAACAAGCCATTTATGCAAGTTACTATCTGATTCTATGAGTTGGGATACCCTCTTTGAATTTTGCTTTGCTTCAATATATTTAAGACTTGCCAATGTCATAAAACTTTCCTCGACCAAATCAGAGATTTCGTTATACTTCAAGTAGAGGTGAGTCAATTTTGTGAGTCTTGCTATTTCGCTAGGAATACTTCTGATAAAATTACTGGACAAGTCAAGAACGCTGACATTGGAACATCTAGTAAAGAACTCGGAAGGAATATCTAGAATGCCATGGTTTGCAATTTCAACTGCTTCCAAGTTATTCATGTCGAAATTATTACTGGCCAATAATGGGAATTGTGAGAGACTGATCTTATTTTCAGAAACCTTATAACTTCTCAACAATGGGAAATTATCAATTAGTGGAAGTGATGTAAAATTGTTTTTAGAAACAATTAATTCCTCTAGGCCTGTACATTTAGAAATAATCTTTTCTAAATCTCCAGAGAATAGGTTATTTTGCAAGTTGAAGGAGATAATAGAATTAGGAATCCATGTTATTTCCTCACAAATCTTATTGTTTTCCAAATTAATTAACTTGGCATTTGGGAAAATATTGAAGGAAAAACCTTGGAGGTAGTTATTAGAAAGGTCCAAATCTTCAATATTTGAATAAACTTCAAAAGTAGAATCAATCTTTCCCTTGAATAAGTTATTACTTGCTTTAAGGCACTTGAGTGTAGGTAAAAATTTGAGAATTCTAGGTAAATCTTGCTCTAGGTTCAATCTACAACTATTTACAGACAATTTTGTAAGACCAATACTAAACTTGGATCCAATTTGAGTAAGATCTGGGAATCCTCTCAATAAGGAATCGTTAATATCGCTGTCATCACTGATTTTTTCGAGAATATTTGGTGATGTATTCTTGTCTTTTGATAATATTTTAACCTTTTGCACGATTTGCTGACTTCTGTGTTGCAAACTTCCAGCACCAAATGGATTCTTATCAAAAATCAAGGTTTTCAATGGTTCTATACACAAGATATTGGAAGGGAATGTAACAAATTTGCAATCAACCATTTCCAAATATTCCAGATTAGGTAAATTGTCTTTGCATACTCTATGAAGGTCTGAATCAAAATCAAAGCCCTTTTCTGAACTTTCAGCCAACAATTTCATTTCCTTCTTTGACACATCACCAATATTCGATTTCTCAGCCATAGGATTCATTTGCACATTCTTATTGAGTTTTAAAATTCTCAAATTCCTAAGCTTGAGAGAAATGGGGAAATTTTTGAACAAATTACTAGACAAATCTAACTCTGTTAATGAGGGATCTGAAGTTCCAGCCTCAAAAAATCGAGTGTTAGGATTAATAGGATTACTGTGGGATTTTGTGAAAATTTTTTCATCTACATTTGCCGATGTATTTGGTGACCATATTTCGTTTGTAGGTATATTGCTGACAACAGGACTTGTCTCAACATCAGAACCAGAGTGAACAGAAAGAAAGTTTGGAGGACTATTATCATTGTTGTGTTGATTCTTTCTATTGAAAAGTCCCAACTTTTTTTGCTTGACTCCTCTCTCCTTTTCGAACATGGTTTGTAAGCTTTTAGAGTTTCTATTCTCAGAAAGTTCAATACTCTCAGAATTCAAATGATTGAAACTTAAATCTAATTTGGCCAGTCTTGGGAAGAAAGTGTGAACAAAGAGAGGATATACTTTCAGCTGATTAAAGTTCATCTTGAGTTCCTTCAGACTTTCATATCTGTAAGACCTATGATCTTCCTCAGATAGATTAGAATCCTTATTTTCCTGATTTTTAAATAATGACAATGAGACTTTACGATGTGATGAACTAGATTCTCCTTTCAAATATTCCTTTCTTTCCTTTTCCAGAATCTTTTCAAAATTCTTTTGTTTCTTTAAAATTGATTCTATTCTTGACACTTTGAGAATATTTCGAGAAATATCCAATTTTGTAATATTTGGAAGTAATAAGTCATTATTCTTCCTATGTTGAGGGCTTCCTAATGATAAAAGTGATGACGGTAAATTGAGGAAGAATAGACTGAAAGGAAATCTGTATAATTGATTTTCAGACAGATTCAATTCCTTTACATTCTGTAAAGCTCTGAGATGATATTGTTGAGGGCTTTTGAAATTAGTTTTGAAATTAATTTTGAAATTAAACTTACTCATCTGCTGCAATAGGTCTTGCTGTGTTCAAAGAATACTGTTGTAAATGATTTTGTAATTGATTTTGTAAATTAATAATGACTCCCTTGTCGATATTCAATGTAACACCCCTCAGAAAGGTTTCATCATTTAATTGTTTTCCTTCAAAACTCAGTTCCTCAATTGAATTTTGTTCAAAAATGATTGCTCCTAATGGTTCCAAAGAAGTCATTGTTGATGATGTATCAGATATGTTAACACCATAATCAGATTCATCTTTTGCTTCTTTGTTTGGTTGATGATCAATTGTAACATCTACTTGTTGATTATTAATAATTGGATTGGTGCTGCTACTAATTGGAAAGTTCATATTGTTCCTTGTCTAGAAAGCATATTAAAAACGTTAATAATGATCATCATCTTTAAAAACATACATTCGAAGTTACAGGTGTTGTTGGGGTTGATGTTGTTGATTTCATCTTTGATGATCTTAACTCAAAGTCAAATAAATCACCATCACCCGATCCACTACTTTCGAAAGCAGTGCTACAAAACATATTATTTCTCTTAAGTGGAGATAAAGTGTTAGAATTATTGTTCGTTAACGAGGTTGATAATTGATTTTGAATACCACCATTGTTACTTGTAGTTAGGGATATGGAAGGATGTTGTCTGACTGATTCCATTATATTTGATGCAATTGCTGTTGTGGGAGAGTCATCCGAACTATTTGATTTCATGTTTAATTAATTTAATGATAATTCCATATGATGATGATGATCTAAATTGATAGACAAGATTTCCGATCCACACAATAATAAAGTCAATCTCTACTTTAAAGGATTGAAAATATGATGTCGCGAATGTTGTTTTAGCAAAAACAATGTGTCTTCTCTCTTTGTTGGATGAAGACTGAACTCTTGAACTTTTTTTTAATGTGGGAAGAACGAAGGAGGAACTTTGGACATTGATTTGTTCCTGCCTGTGTAACAGTGAGAGAAGATTACCATTCACTTCCTCATGATGTTCTAATTCAATGATGATTGCACGTATCAGTAAGAAGGAAATAATATCTTTAGAGTAAGAAATTAAATAATAGAAGGAAGTATAAATTTAATGATTGGTTGGAGTAACACGAATTGGGTGAGCTTCAGTATTGAAAACAAACTTGTCAATTGGAATGATATGTTTTGGAGAGAATAATAAATAGAGATATTTCAATGTTTCAGCCAAGAAGAATGATTGTTGGAAATCATCTTGAGTAGGGTTAGCAACACCTACATTGTGCAAGCCACTGTAACCACCAGAAGCAATTTTGCATTTTGATTCAATTGCTTGGAAAATCTTCCATCCCCATTCTCTGTACTTTTCATCACCAGTAACTCTGTACATGATGAAAATACTTTCAACTGTTTCTGGTCTTAATAAATAAGTAGAGACACCAGGCCTGAATCTTCCACTTGATGGATCAAAGTGGAAAGTTTCTGGTCCAATTCCTGAAGGCATTTGAGCATAAGTTTCATAACATGTTCTTGTGAATTCAGCACCAACTTCAATTTGACGCTTATTTGAGATTGGGGATTCAGGAGTGGAAATATTGAAATAACCACCCAATGCAAACATACCAGCTGCAAAACATGCCAAATGGTCAACCTTGTGGAATGGAGAGCCATTGTACTCAGCAACATAGGTATAGCCTTGATTGGATTTGATAACCATGTGATCAAATATTCCTTTAACAGTTTCCAAATAGAGTTCACGATACCTCTCAGCACCCTTTGTTCCTCTATTCAACAACCATTGTTTCAATAAATATTCATAGAATGAATCACCCAAAGCACCCAATGAGACATGATTGGAGCACCAATTTCCATTATCAGGATGGAATTTGATTGGATACAAGGCATTGGCTGGCTTATTCTTAAACATGACATCCATAATCTTAGTAACTAATTTGTTATATTTTTCATCACCAGTCAATTCACTCAATCTTCTGAATTCCAATTGAAGAGTACCAAACTCACTGAGAGGACAACAATTACCAGCCCAGGCGAAAGTTTTCTTCTCACCAGTTCTCAAGTTAATTTCCGAATATGGAATACCAGTTGGCGAAGAGAAGGCAGGAAGTAATCTGTCAGCCATATCTTTGGCTTTTTCGAGGAAGATCTTTTCCTTTGTCAAATCATACGCACTCACAAAACCTCCAACAACACGAATAGTTGTTTCAAAAACACTAATTCCACCATTAATTGTTGAAAATGAAGGCATGTCATTCTTAATATAATTCAATGATTTTTCATATTGTTGTTTCAAACCCATGATAACCATTGTATCAAGTGAATCAATCAGTGTCATACCAAAACCATTAGAATTTTGAATCCAATTGTGGAAACTCTTGCTGATTGGTTTATATTCATCCTTTCCCCAAACATTTTCATATCCTTTGAATGCGTGAATGAATGCATCTCTTACAGCCTTTCTTTTTTCGTTTGCACTGTCACTCATAAAATCACTTTGGTAATCGTCGATGGTCATTAATTCTGGCCTCTTCCAAGATGGTTTGGATGAAGGAATTATTGTATGGTCATCTCTATCTACAGATGCCGTATCGTCAAGAGGATCTATTAAATCGATATGCTCCGATTCAACTTGTTTATCAGGAGAGAAATGTAAAATATCAAATTTCACAAACAAAAACACCAAAAAGCAAATAAATAATAATACTATAAATCCTATTAATTTTCTATTTCTTCTGAGGAAGGATGCCAGGTTGGAGGTTGAACTTTTTGTTGTTTTTGTATAATTACCAACCGGTTCCGTAATAGAAGCATTAAAAGATTGGTTTTCAACAAAAGTTTGCACACCTCGTTTTTGTGTAGATGTAGATGTTGCAACACTTGTGCTTCTACTGGTAGGTTGACCCAATTCAGGGTCTCCAACAGAAGAACTACTTTGTGATGAGTGCATCACTGGTGAAGCATCATCATTCAGTTGACTCATTTTTAATTTTTATTTTTGCTTGCTACAATACACAGGTTGGGGAGTGATGACGTTGTTGATATTATTTTGAAATATTTGAAAAGAATCAGAGATGTTTTTAGTTGTTTACTTAGCTATTTTTTACATTAAGTTTACATGTGTTTTGTTGAGCAGTTAGAATGTAGTTAAAAATTGTTATCCAAAGAATATTCTTATATTTGAGAAGCAGTAACATATTGATTGTAAAGTCTCATATTTCTCTTCAAGATCTCTTCACAAGGTCCGAGAAGATTCTTGAAATCTTTTCTATTAAGCTTGACAAATTTAACAGTTTCTTCAACATCATCTGGAATGACAACACTAGCTTGACGAGGTTGATCAGTTAATAAGGCAATTTCACCAAAGTAATCACCAACGCTAAGTCTTGTCAATTCAATTTCTTCAGATGACTCATCAGAAGGATTGAGTCTCTTCTTGACAGCAACTTCACCTTCAATAACAATATAGAAAGCATCACCTCGATCACCTTGCTTAATAATATAACGTCCCTTATCAGATTCTGGATTATAGGTTTCTTGAACTAGAGCATCAGCAACAGTCATTCTTTCATAGTCAGTCAAAGTCTCCAAAAGCGGAACACGTTTCAAAAAGTCTTCATACATTTCACGTTTACGTTTGGTATTCATCATAACAATACGACGGAATGTAATACGATTAATAGCATAGAGTTTACAATCAGACTTGGCACGAACAGTAGCAGCTCTTGGTGTACCATAAATAAGAGCTAATTCACCAAATGCATCACCTGCTTGATATTCCTTAACAACTTTTTCTTCATTGCCAGTCTTTTTGATTGCTTCACATTCACCACTGTAAAGAACATAGAATAAATCACCTTGTTCATCACCTTGACGAATAATATTATCACCTTGTTTTGCAGAAACTTCAAACATGGCATCGAGAATAACCTTTAAATCTTCAGTTTCCAAAGACATGAAAAGAGCATTTGATGAAAGGGCTTCTTTAAGCTTTTGAATTTCATCTGGAGTCTTTTTGTGCACAGGTAAATCTTCAGCAGTGAGTGGTTTAGAATCACTTAAAGATTCACTACTAACACCTCTTCTTCTTGGTACGGAAATTGAATATCTTCTTCTACGATTTTCGCTTTCGTTCCAATCAATTCCTTCAGGTTCTGATGATGATGTTTGGAATCGGACACCTTGAGAACTTTCCTTTGGTGTTGGTTTTTCAACTGGACGAGATTCTTCCAAAGCAGTACTACCACTAGCCCAACTGAATGGAGATGGATTTTTAGCTGGTGGAATTTGTGCTGTAGTATTTTCAAAAGAAATTGAAGACTTAGCTTGAGGAGGTTGTGTAGTAGGAGATTTAGCAGTTTGTTTTGGTTGTTGTGTTTGTTGAATTGGTTGTTGTTGTGATTGTGGTTGTATTAAAGTTGGTTGTTGTTGTATAACACTACCACCGGAAGCAAATCCTTCAATTTGTTGTAACTTTTGTTGGAGGAAGGTAACAACATTTGCAGGACGTTCCAGACATATTGCTTGCATCAAGCTAACAAACAAATCTTCGACACGTTTCTCTTGAAGATATTGTTGCAAATCAGCGACTTGGAAGTTTCCTTGAGTTGAAGCAGTAGCCCTGCCTTGTTGAGTGCCAGCTTGGAAAGAATTGAACATTTTTTTAGGTTTTGATAGCACTAAAATGGCCACTACGATTTTTTGGATGCTTCTTGGTGTTTTACTACGAGCAAAACTCAGCAAGCAGTCACAATCTTACATTGCAGTGTGTTGGATTGAAGAGACATTTCAATAGATTGAGATTGAGAGATGTTCCATTCGAGATAAAAAGTGACTGATTGATTACAAGGATAGAAAGCTATACTTGAAATTATTAGAAGGAATATGAATTTGGCTTAAGGTTAACATGAAAAATAATTCTTCTTCTATTCATTGAAATAATTTATCATGCTTTTAAATATAAAAATTAGTTCATGTTATTTTTTTACTAATTGTTATCCTGAATTCAGAATATTACCCTAGATAATATCATCCAAACAATACAGCAACATTCTCATTATTGGATTGAAACTCAATTGAAACTCTTTCATCTTTGTTATTGAGTTGAAGCCAAAAAAATGAGCGGTCGAGCACCTAACGCAGCGGGAAAACATCAGCCAAGAAAGATGTTCAAACGGGCCAGCCAGCAACAACAAGAAACAACATTGAATGGCAACCACAACAATAGCTCGGAGGAAACTAAAAGAAAACGAGTCTTTACAAAGAATGGTAGTAGAAAAGGAGAAGTTTCTGATGATAGTGAGGATGAAAGAGAAGTTAAAAGATATCAAAAAGACACAGAAGGTGATGATGATATTGAAAATAATGAACAATTAAAAGCACTATTAAAAGGATCATCGGAGATAATTGAACAACGAATTTCATTTGTGAAGGCACAACTTCCTGACAATTATGAAAATGTTTTTTCAAAGATGAAACCAATTAATGGCACTTCCACGAATGTTTTTGTTTATGACCACCAAGCAGATAATTCAAAAGAAAATTCAGAAAAGCACACATCAAAATCATCAACATCATCATCTGCAACACCAGAAGCAAAAAAGGGTGATGATATTGAACATAACAAGGAATTGGATCCTCCAAATATGTTCCTCATTCCTCGTGAAAAGATTATTTCTTTGAATAGTTGGACAGAAATTAAAAAGATTGGACCTGGTTTACAAAATCTTGGAAATACTTGTTTCATGAATGCTGCACTTCAATGCTTGATGTACACACCTGCTTTGAGAAACTTTTTACTTTCTAGAAAGATTGGAGAACAATCGAAAAAGTTCAATGCACTTGATGCCATGTCACTCCTTGCAAGAGAAATGTTTTTAGGAAATGAAACATCTTCTGGTAGATCTTCAAGATCTAATGTTGTTTCTCCTGGTTTTATTGCCAAACATTTGAAAGGTATTGGTGGATTTGTTTTGGGGTATCAAGAAGATGCACACGAGTTTATTGTTCAATTACTTGACAAGATGGAGAATGCTATCGTAGAGAAATATAAGGGAAAGATGGATAATATAGTATTGGAAACTAATCCTGTTCATCAAGTTTTTGGTGGCTATTTGAGAAGCCAAATTAAGACTATGGAAACAAATTACATTTCCAACAAGTATGACGCATTTATTGATATTGAACTTCAACTCAATAATTGTACATCAGTTGAAAAATCATTCCAAAATTATATTACTCCTGACAGATTGGATGGAAAGAACAAGTACAAGTGTCCAAAAACTAATACCTATGTCACAGCTTCTAAAAAGCTTACAATTCACGAGGCTCCAATTAATTTAATTCTCCAACTCAAACGTTTTAACATTTTCGGAAAGAAGGTTAGCAAAAAGATTTCATACGAAGACACCCTCGATATTTCCCCATACATGAGCAATAAGAATACTGTTGCTCGTTACAGTTTATATGGTGTTCTTGTACACTCTGGAGGGTCCTCTAGTTCTGGTCACTATTACTCATTTGTGAAAAATAGTAATGGTATTTGGTATAGAATGGATGATAGTTCTGTCACTCAAGTCAGTCAAAATACAGCACTTGGTCAACAAGCTTACATGTTATTTTACTCGAGAAATATGGATGATTTCAAGTCTGATAAGTGTACTGCAATTTTCAAGGAATCTGTCAAAAAGTGGCAAGAAATTCAATCACCAAGCTCAACATCATCCAGTCCAGCAACAGGCTCATCTGATGACAAGATGGAAGATGACGATGAAAAAGAATCAGTCATTCGTAAAAAACAATCAAACCAATCTAAACAACCAACTAGTACTACTACCACAATTATCGATACAAATAATACATCTGCCACGACCAATGAAGAAAAAGCTAGCGATTCAAAGAAACCAACAAACCTTTCCATTCCTAAGACTACCTCAACATCTGCCAAGCTTACTACACCTCCTTCAAAACTAGAACCACCAAGTCCTTTCTATGCTCCAATTAGAATTGATATTCTTGAAAAGTTGACACCTCAAAAACTTCAAGTCCTTAAATCTATGAGATCAGTTCCACCTATCAATATTATGAGAGGTGTTGGAGGTTTGCTCTCACCAATTACTCTCTCTTCTTCCTCTTCATCTAATATTGAAGCAATGTGGGTCAATAAGAATCACTTGGATGGTCTTAAGAAGAATATCGTTTCTACTGAAAAATTATTTCGAGTTAATGTTCCTTCTACGCCGATCAAAACTTTAAATGGAGACGATGGAAAACCACAAAATCCATTCTCTCTCGATAATTACACTTCTGATTCTCCAATATTCTCGCCAAGTCAAACTAAAACAGATGTCTTTGAAAAGAAGGGTCAAAAGAGAAAGTTCGATGACTATGAATCAGATCAATCAGGCAGCGATAATGAAACATCTGAAGAGCCAACAACACAATCCGTCAAGATATCTGCCAATCAACTCTTTAAGGGTGCTAGCTCTCAATACTCTGAGGATGTAGATGTTTGGGATGATGAGGAAACTCAAGAAAAGGCAAAGCAACAAAAGATTTTCAATGAAAAAGTTATTGCACCAAAAGTCTTTGGGAGGGATGAATATGATAGAGCATTAGATGCTGGTAAAACTAAAAAGATAAGAAAGAAGCAAAATCCAGAAGATTGGGAAGATAGTAATTTTGCATTCCAACAAGTCTCAGAAAGAAAACACAAAAGAAAATAAATAATTTATTTCGTATTTATTCTTGAATAGTTGTACAACTTGAGAAATTGAGTCATTGCACTATTGGGAATATTCAAAAGGATTACTTCCAGGAGTTAGTTGTAAAGTGAACTTGCCTGCTCCTGATGCCTCCGAGAATACAAGTTTTCTCAAAGTGTTGAGTATATCATTTTGGTCGACTGAATTGGCAACATTCAAATCAAAAGTTTGGAATGGATTGTCTATCCAAGTAATTAGGGCAGTATCAGAGCCCTTAATAGCATCAATATGTAAAATAATGCAACCACTGATGTGAATAAATCTCTTTGAATTCTTTCTGTGGAAAGAGTCTGGAATAAAATTAAGAGGAGGTTCACAAATGGCATTTCTAATAGAATACATTGCCTCTATTGAGGTAATTGGTATTCTGACATAACTTCTGAAAGGATGTACATTCTCCAATGGATCTAGACCTCCTGTTTTATAATTGCCATGTAACAATCTATCTGCAGCTTGTTTTGAGGCATGAACAAAGTTTGTATAGCTATCAATTTCAGCTGGAGTTTGAATCATTGCAAATCCTAATTGCCTGGCTCTTCTGGCCAATGTCTGTAAAAATTCATCAATGAGGGCAGCTGTACAGACAAGCCATTGTACCTTAAACGACCAAAATTCTGCAGGATGGTAAGATGCCTTATATACAATATTTAACCACTCCACACGACTGTTGTCATCAATTCCTCCTTCTTGTGGGACAAATTGAAGTTTGGCTGTTTTAGCAGAGCTGTTGGATGGTATTTGGTTAGTTGAGCTCTCATCTCCAATAAGTGAAACATCAACATTATCTCCATCCATTCCCCTAAATGACCTATTTACAATTGCATCTTTAAATTTCTTAAAGTTTTCCAATCTCTTGGTGTATTCATTAGAGCTGTTAGAAGCTTGTGAGAATAAATCACTACTAGAATTGTTGTTAGAACCACCAAGCACCTGTAAACTAGAATTATTATTGAAAGCTCCAAATAATTGAGTTTGAGAGGCAAACAAGTTCTTGTTAGAGTTGTTGATTGGCACAATGTGGAATTGAAGGGATCTGTTGTGCAGTTCGTCTGTCATTTGATTGTGATCACCACAAATCAAGTAATCCAACTTATTCCAATTATAGTCAACTGCTGAATTGAATCTGGTAACTCTGGATTCATAGCTCTTCAAAGTTGGATTCCAAAGCATGTATCTATAAGTGTAAGTGGATCTAGCATTATTAAATGGATCAGCATCATTGACTAGTGTTGTAGAGGAACTATTATTGGATGAGCTATTGGTTCCACTACTTGTAGTTGATGATGGTTTGTCTGCACTTTTAGCAACCTTAGGAACATAACGATCAATTGTAACCATGTTGGAAATATTTGGATTGTAGGTTATTTTGTGGAATTGATTTGCTGAAGAAAGACAATATTCCATCTTTTGAGGTTTTACCTTTTGTTTTGATGAAGATTCGTGTGTTACTGTTGTTTCTGATGTGCTGTTAGAAGTATTGGTTGTTGGTGGCCTTCTTCTCATTGCAGCAGCATTGACACCTCTTCCTCCTCTGAGAGCTCTTCCTCCTCTTCCTCTCTTTGATTGAGTTGAGAGTTCAGAATTGTTTGATCCAGTGGATATAGTTGAAATATTATCAGCTTCCATATTATTGGATGCATCAGACTTTTCAGTGTTATCGCAGTGAAGAAGAAGTATTATCTGTATCATCATTACGAGTTGGCAAAGGTGTTATTATAATTGGTTGGTTACTGAGAGGATCTTTGGGTAAATCATCATTAAATAATTGGAAACCTTGATGTAATCTTTGACAAACTAATTCTCTCACAAGGGTTGAAATACTTTTGTAAATATTATTGGTATCAGTAATGGTATGTGTGTGCAAATCAAAATCATTCAAAATCTTAAGGGCAGACTCAGGCCAATAATCTGTGGTAATTGGTAAACAGGCAGGTTCTGAAACACCTTGCCAGTTAACATTGAGAAGAAAATGTTTGATATATTCTGATTTTTGGGTTGGTCTGAGACCTGAACTTGGATGTAAGTGACCCCATCTCTTTCTGTGGAAAGTGTTTTGTTGATTGTTGTTTTGAAGTGAGCCTGGGCTTGATAAGGTTTCGGAATCCATATGGAATGGATTGAACAGTTTCATGTAGAACAATTCTTTGGCCTTGTGTCTTTCAGCTAGTTCAGCCATGAATGGTGTTCCAGAATGTGGTGAACGTCGCAGAACACCACTATTTGCACTGCCCATATTTACCATTGAACTGGCAGAATTATGAGTGATTGGAAGATGATGAGTTGAATGAGAACCTCCGTGTTGAGGAGTATTTGTAGATGCATTATTACTTGGTGTTGATCCATTGAAGTCATTCTGATGATTGGTATCAAAAGATGATTCAAATCCAACACTGCTACCACTGCTGGGCAGTCCTGAAATGTGTTCAGATTGTTTCAATTCTTCCAGGTGGTGATTGATAATGTGGGGATTCTTTGGACTCGAGTCGGAAATTATGGACCTTTCCTCTCTCTGCTTTGTTGGTGTTCCATGAATAAGGTCGTGTGATGAGAGGCTTGTCTTTTTAGATATGTGGGAAATATTGGAAAGGGAAGATGTTTGGTAGTGGGAGGTTTGACGAGATTGTTGGAAGATTTTGAAAACTTGTTCATCATGTTGACGACACAATTCTGCAATACTTCCACTCGAGTTATTGGTATGATGAGAATTGCTATTAATTGAATTAAAGTTAGTCCAGTATTTTTCAAATAGTGGAATGTTGGTTGGAAGCGTTTCTAAATTAGGCATTTTAGAAACTGGGAGGAAGAGATTACTGGCGCTATCTGTGCATTCACAATCCTCATGATCTATACAAATATCATTCTTGAAATAATTTTCTCTGTAAAATGTAATATTGATCCAATCAGGAGATCTATAATATGTATATTCCTTCAAATGAGGTGATTCTTGGTTATTAGAAACTCCAACTTCTTTCTTTTTATACCTGAAAATAGGTACCGAGTGAAGTGGGGGAACAGAATGGGCAATAAGGTCAACTGATAAACCAACATCCATCAACCTTTTGGTAGTAATCTTACCCAAAACTGGTATTTGTACATCAAACATTCCACTACCTGGTGATACCAAAAGAATAACTTGGCCTGTTCTAGTAAGATCACGATTAATGTAATACTTGTCATAACTGTTTAAAACTAAATTAATAGCTTCCATAAAATTACTATCTGCTGCCGATGAATTTTGCAATACTACTCTTTCCTTTTCTGCTATACCTTTTACCATATTTTCAAATTCTAAAAATTCCTTCTTTAAAAGAATTCTGATTTCTTGTGATCGTATTCTTTGAGTTTCAGTACAATCAACTACTTTGTAAAAATCTACATATCGTTTTCCATCTTTAGATCCAATAATAGAATGATTAATATTTGTTCTATTTCCTAAGGATGCCATATGATCCTCTTCATTTCTCGTCTCTTCAAAATTATCCTTGTCCTCTTCTGTTATGTAGTGTCTCGAAAAGAATACTATTGATAGTGAGTGGTTAACACCAACTTCTCTCCATCTATCAAAAACTGTTTTAATAAATCCATTAATAACTCTTTCAAAAATCAAGTTACCATACTCGTCATATTCCCACATTTCTCTACTCATTTGGAATAACCAATATATTACAGCTGAATTTGAACGATATGTTATCTTGGTATGACCATAAACTATTATTCCTGATGACACTTTTCCAGTTGTTTCTTTCATGAGTTCCTTTACTTGGACTCTGATACCACCATGCCATGTTAAAGTTTTTGATTCATAAACACTAGTATCATTCAAATATAATCCAAATCTCCACATATCTGATCTGGAAAGAAAGTGATCCCGAATAGAAAAAACAGCATAGTCCAACATGGCACTTTCTTTTGGTATTACTCGAACATAAACATCCTTTCTCGATTGAAAATCAAAAACGTCTGCAATGTTTTTTGAAATGCTCAAATAGGGAACACCTTTTTGTGCATCTAGAGAAGTTACTTTTACAATAAATGTCTTTGGATTACTTGCTGAGGAGGTAAAACTAGGTTGTGGTTGTTGTTGTTGTGCATTACTTGTAACATTCCCCACTGAAGGTGCTTGTTTAAAACTTGCCCCTGTTGGTGGTGTTGATGCTTTTGCTGGTGATTTATATGAAGAAAAAGGAGAGAAGGATAAATCCGAATAATTCTGAGTGGCAACACCAGAAATATCAATTGGTGTTGAGGCACTATTAATATTCACTGATGAAGAAACTGGTGATGATGAAGTAGTAGCATTATGTTCATTAGAAGGTGGCGTCTTTGGTTGAGAAATTTCCAAAATATCTCCTATTTGAAGCCACGTAATTGCTTTTCCATTAATTAATATTTCCTGATCACTAAAATCCTTCTCATGGACCATCAATAAACATTTTCTATAACTCGATGATGGTGTATTAAAATTTCCTGCTCCGACATTGTTTGACGATGGTGAAGCACTCCTTGATGAATTTTGTTGTTGTGGTGGTGCCAATAAATTCCCAGTGGATGCATTCTTGTCCACGGCTGAAATTAATCCACTTCCAGCAGGTTTAATTCTTCGGTTGTGTAATTTCATTTTTTTGTGGTTAGAATTCAAAAAGAAATATTTATTAATAATAAAATGTTATAAAATATGGTAATATGATTTAATAAAACTAGTTAAAAGAGTTATAAAAATTGAAAATTAAATTTGAGTATGCTTTGGTTTTAGTTTAATAATTTCCAATAAATGAAAATTGTTGAACAACTAAACTGTAAAGTCGATTTCAAATACATCAGAAACATGAAACTCTACTTTAAGAAATTGTTTACAGAAATAAGATAAAGATTGTAATTAATAAATAATACAAATGTTGCAAATTCATCTGTCAATCGTTGAATCAGGACTTCCTTCCCAGATCAACAACAGTTGAAGAATCATCACCTACTAGAACAGAAGAAAAAACATGCAAAACCTTCATCAACAGAAACCACAAGAGAATCCAATGTCATCATCTCTAATAAATCATTTCCAAACACATAGTATTGGAAAAGCTCAGAAAGAATCATTGAAAATAAGTGTCATGAAAGAACAACAAACAAAACTCTTTGCTACCACAAGTGTTGAATCTAAAACATCATCATCATCACCAAGTAAGCATCATCATACAAATGGTTCCCCTTCTTTCCGTAGAATATCTGAACCACTGCCACCAACTAACAACTACAATCATGATTGCCTCACTCCAACCATCTCAACAACACCTCATCACAATAATATATTTCATCATCGATCTCTCTCATCATCGGAAAGAAGTAATAAGAGCAATAGTAGTAGCAGCATTAATTTAAGACAACACGGCACTCGTTGGATGTTCAATCAGCAACAACAACCACATTCAATACAACCAAATAATCACCTCGAGAGCACAATTAATTCTTCCAATCTAACAAATTTTACCGCAGCAACAGCATCATTCAATACTTCTTCTCTTCTCAATCCTCCTCATTCATTGAGTGAGAAGGACCAATACTGTGTATTAAACTCCAAACAACTCACACAAATGTCGGACGGAGATGAAAACTTGTTGAATTTTCAAACATCTGCTCCAATCAAGAATGTTCACCATAACAACACACCAACACCAACGAATCAAAAAAATGAATCGCCGTTAATGGGTGAAAAAGACTTTTTTTCTAGTAGACAAGAACAGCAACGAGAAGGCAATCATCACCAATATTCAAAAAATAGTAATACAGCAGCTACTATAACAAATCAATCACTATTGAAATTTGTTAATAATTCATTATCGGAAAGTTTATCAAGGTATAATAATAATATTATGGCCAATAATTCATTGTTGGAAAGTTCAACTTCCAAATCACAACATATCTATGAACAAAATTCAAATAACAATAATTTGGAAAATTCGGATATTGAGGATTTTAGTATATTAATTACGAATTGTTTACAAAATGATTTTATAGGAAAGTTTCCTGAACAAGTGGGAACAAATTACTCGGGCTCTCTCGATTTTGACTCGAGCACATTTATGCATGTTGGCAAACCTGAAAGCCAACGTTTATTAGGAAGTGATTATAAAAGTGGTCCACTGAAAAACTTTATGAATTGGGCCAGAAGACAATCATCAGCTCATTTAGAAATAATTCATGTTCGTTTTTGGAATGAAATTGATCACTTGGTTTGTAAAAAGACAGACTCCACTAGTGAGGATGATTCTCCTGACAAGTATATTTGTAATGGGTTATTTTCTGTTAAGGGAACATCAGGTGCCAACTTGGTATTAAATTTGGATAAAGATGTGCCCAATCGTGAGAATGAATCCTATGTAAACATTACAAGTGTTAATGCATTTTTCAATACAGATCTAGAAGAAAAAATACAGAACGCAATTCAGAAAAAACAAAAACAACTCGACCAAGAAAATTTAACAAATGGTACTCAAAAAAAGCTCAATGTTAAAATTGGAGCTATTGGTGTATGGACAGAATCAACAATTCAATATTTATTTTATGAGCTCTTCACAAGATATAGAAGGTTTGCTCAAATACTTGGTACTTGTAGTGCCTTGACAGCAAGTCGTTCCAGACATCAACACTTTGCTAGCTTACAACAATTAGAAAGGTACTTTAGTGTTTCAATATTTTACAGTTTATGTGACTTTCAAGAATGGCTGATACCATTTTGGTGGAAAAAGACTCCTAGTAGTTCCATTGTGAGTAGTGGAGCCTTTTTCTTCAAACAAATATCACCATCTCCCACTTCAACATCATTTGACTTGTCAATACCATCCTCTGATAATGATATGGAACTAGATGATGCAAACGAGTCAATCGAGGAGCATCGTATTATTCCATGTATTCATTGGAAAACTCTGGGTGATGATATTAACAAAATCTCGGATGTAGATAAGGAAATTATTTGTTTATTGTACCATGATAGCACTGATGTAATGTTTACTCCTCTTTCAGGAGGGTATTCAGGCTCATGGGTATTTAAAGTCAACTCAAAGGATAGTATGGGACATGTTCAAGCAACTTCAATTTTGAAAATAGGAAGGAGAGGTCCCATCACAAGAGAAAGAGTCAATTTTGAAAAGGTTGAGGAAATTTTAGGTAATAATGCTCCTCAAATTCGTGGTTTTACTGAATTGAAAGATAGAGCTGGTATCAAATTTGCATATGCTTCCATGTTTGAGGATGATTTTCAATATTCATCAGATTCAGATTTACTTTCTCCTAAATCACCACTCTCTCCATTTGCAAGTAAGAAGCAACCCAAGACACCATCAGCAGGCTCATTCAGAGAGTTGTACATTAGTGGAGGAAGTATGCAAACTATCAAATCTGTTCTCCATCGAGTTTTTTATGGCGTTTTGGGAAGATTCTATGATGCAGCAGTTTTGGAACAAATTGACTTGTTCGAAACGTATGATTTCAATGGAAAGGGCTGGGCCTGGCATACTGGAGGAACAGATAATCCAGATGCTGTCCGAGATCGAACACTTAAAATGTTTGCAGAACTGAGAGATTGCTCATTCTTTGAGCCAAGACAAGTTCCAAAACTTACCCAAGATAATTCTCCTACTGTTTCGGATGTTGAGGAAATCTCAACACCCATCTCTGCAACATCAACCTCAAATGGTACCAATGTATTTACCAATAGCTCTAGTTCAACCGTTACAATGCCAACAATTCATGGTGAAGAAAAGTATTTGATATTCCCAGGAGGATTTAGAGTGAGGAATATTGTACACTTTTTGAGAGATTCCATTCCAAAGATCAAGCAAGGATATTTAGCAAAATCATTCCACTACGTTTCATTTGTACATGGCGATTTGAATGGAAGAAATGTAATTCTAGACAGCAATGAAAATGTATGGCTCATAGATTTTGAATATACAGAGAGAACTCACATATTGAAAGATGTGGTCAAGTTTGAGACTGATGTTCTCTTTGAGTATACTGTATTGGAAAATGAAAAGGAACTCGAAGAGGCTTTATTAATCACTAAGGAACTTGTTTCTGTCAAAGACTTGGCTGAACCATTACCTCCAACACTTCCTGGTTTGAAATCAGAGAAGCTCAAGAGAGCTTGGGAGACTGTTGCTGAATTGAGAAGCATTACAAAGAGATTGGTCCGAGGAGATCGTAACCCAGTTCAATTAGATATTGTTCTTCTTAGATACACTCTTCATATGGCAACATTGAACTCTTTAACTCTTTATCAAAGAGCTTGGGCCCTTGCAACAGCATGTGCTCTGGCTCAAAAGATTGAAAGAAAGGCATTCAGAAATGACAAGTACCACATTGATTGGATTAATTTAAAGATGCTCGATCAACAAGCAGCTGAAAAGAGAGAAATTAACAATACTCAAAACTCAGAAAATGGTGCAACTCCAAAAAAGAAAAAGTATGGAAGACTTGGTATCTCAATCATTCCTGGTCGTCCTTCACATGGTGGTGTTATGGTCAATGATTTGAAAGTGTTACAAAAGAATAATGTTAAAAAGCTCGTTGTTTTAAGTACACAAGACGAATTGGAACACCTCTCTGGTAACTTGTTGAGAGAGGCAACTAATTTGGGTATAGAAACAAGAATGTTACCAGTCCAACAAAGACATCCTCCTCCAATGAATTACACACTGCTATTGTGTGAATGGATTAAGGAAGCATTGGATAAGAAAGGTGAAGATGTTGTAATTGTGGTATGTTGTATATTTGCTTTGAATTTTTACAAACAATTTTTAGAGTGTTTCTGGTTTGGGAAGATCAGGTACTCTTGCTAGTTGTGTACTATTACTTCGTCAACCACTCTTGTTAGACTCTGCCAAAGCTATGGAAGCTGTCAAACTTGCTCGTGGTACCAGAGTTATTGAGAATAGAAGACAGGAAAGATTTGTTGATGAATTCCACCGATTCATCCTAAAGAGAATGGAAAATTCCAGCTCTAGCCCTGTAAATAATGAAGTCTACCATTCAAATCAACCACATTTTAAGGAAAGAAAGGGTAGTACAAGTGGCCTCACTCCCCTCCTCCTTTCTCCACGAAGAGACAGCGAAGATTTGGGTATTTATTCTCCCCTCCCTGTAAATAGTGCCTTGTACAAAGATCAACAAAAACCATTCCAGATTCCAAAAGATAATGAAAAGATTAGCACCATGAAGAGTGTAAAGAGTTATGATTCCTTACTTTTATTACAACGAAATTTCAACAATACCAATTAAATATTTTTCAAAAAATTAACATTTATATCATAATCTATGAGAATAAAAACAAATGCAAAATTTCTTAATCAAAACTTTATGTGTGTTTAATTTAAAATCAAAAATAAAATTTAAAAATAGAAAAAAAATACGTAATTTTGTCCAAGGGATCATTCTTTGTCGCTTCACTATCAATACAACAACTGATCTTCGGAAAATGTATATTGACAGTAGTGGTAAAATTCAATCATCTAGGGGATTGATAGGAACCATCAAGTATTGGTGGGCTGCATTTATATCCTTCCTTGTCTTGTTCTTCTCTTCACTCAATCCACAAAACAAGGGATCCAAAGGTGGTCAATCTGGAGGTTATTCAGGATCGGGAGGAAAAACAATTGGAAGAGTGAAAGGACCACCTAAACAAGGTCCAAATTGTTTTGGAGGATCATGAGGAAAGTAGTGTTGGGTCAAGACCTGATCCAACACTTGTACGTTTACTATAATTTAAAAGAGTATCGGAATTGGTAATGCAATAGTGGTGGAAGGTTGTTGTGCTTTGTTAATTCATCAGAAGTGACACCTATTAATTTTGATTACTTCTAATTGTACAGTATCGGAATCAACAAGGCATACATTACTGCATCAACGACACATTGATATCACTCTGGGATGACAGGTTGATGAATGAAAATTTTGTTACAAACGTCCCTTAGTAGACTTTGATAACAACATTCTACAACTTTGAGATAGAGTGAGAAGTTACAGAATATTCTGTACCATTCCTTTAATTTCTTTTCATTTATTCAATAAACGTACTACTCTAATTCCTTACTCAATGATGATAATAAATTATTAAAAATACAATGGTTTTATTGTTGTTTTCCTAGTTTTCTCAACTTGATTTCCTTCATCATGTTGTAAAATACTTGATAATCTGAAAGTGCTAACAAGAACTCTACAATTTCTTGATCGTTTTCTTCCTCAGACAATCTTTTACATTCAATATAAAATTCTTGAGGTGTGACTCCCTTTTGTTTAAGCAATTCTTCAACTTTGGATTCAAAAAGCTTTACGAATTTGTTGTATACATTTGTATATTCCAATTTTTGTTCTTCTTCATCAATTTCAAAGATATCACAGTGCTTATTACCGAACTCTTCTACCTTATCATCCATTATTTAGAATCATGTTTTTAATTTACCTACAGCATCACCGAATTGTTCATCCAACAAGTACTCCATAACAGAATATACAATTTCAGACATTTTTTTTAAAGTTGTTATTAGACATTGTATGTTTAGACAGATACAACGATTAACTAACTATGGCGCCATTTCTTAACCCCTCAATAGCTATCCATTCAGCAGAAGCCAAAAAAATATTCTTCACACAATTGTAGTTTATTTTGTTGTTGTTCAAATAATTGAAGGATCTAATTTGTAATTCATCCTTAATATACTTTCTAATCCATTTAGTAGAATTCGGACAAGTCTTCATTGTAGGCTTCCTCTTCAAAAGCTTCAAAGTTATCCTTCTCCTCAGAGAGAAGAGAGGCAACATTTACATCAAACTTTAGAATAGCACCAATACCTGAGAAGCCCTTCAAAAACATATTTCCCTCATTAGTACAATCAGTAACAAGAGACAACTTGTCAATACCAATTTTCTTGTAATTGTCAACTAAATAATCAATAAGGTTTTCAATTCTAGCAACCTTGACAGAATTTCTTTCCAATAAGAATTTAATCTTGTCTTCTTCCAAATAGTGAACAGAATCATCAGAGAGTGTAACTCTCTTCAAGGATGATTGCTTTTCGCACAAGATTACCTTACTAGCCCAACCACTTGCAATAGCAAACATGGTTTCTTCCAAACCAACAACAGCCTTGGATCCTTTGGAAAGTAAATTCAATAGCTCTTGAATGGTTTCACTCTCTTCCAAGAATCTAGAATCTTGAATTTCATTTTGTGCAAGTTGAATAGCTTGATAAAATCCAGGTCTGCCACCATATGCAACATCAACAACAGTTAAAATTCTAGTTCTCAATCTATAGTCTAAACAATCAGATTTGAGAGAAAGTAATTCATTCTTCAATTCTGCACATCCAGCAAGAATAATAGCATCAACAGTTGGAGCATTGAGAGCTGAAGAAACGAATAAACCATTTGCCTTCTCTGCAATAATCTTGAGATATTCATTCTTGGCAATTTCTCTATTTCTAGCAAATCTTTCACGAGATTGACCTCCCTTAGAATGTTTCTTTGGAAGTTCATGAGAAAATTCACGTAAAATACTACTGGTATTTCCACGTAAAGTACCATACAAAGTACCTGTACCTGTAATAACAATTACACCATAAGTTTTTCCAGAATTAAATTCTTGCAATTGACTTCTCAACTGTTCAACATGGAAACAATCGTCACAATAGTAAAGATTGCTGTCAATTGGATTTGGTGGTTCAATCATAACACACAATTTCTTCAAATCAACATGTGCATTATTGTCAGAGCCTTCTAAACCGTTATCAACCACCAAACTAGATTCATCATCAGAGAATAAACCTGGAGCAGAATCTGGATTTACCATTCCACAGAAAATTGCCAAACCATTAGCAGGTGTCTGTTTCAATAGCTTTAATCTGGATATAACAGTCCTTGTAGCCACTTGAACACTATTCCTGTTAAATACACGACTTGATATTGTTAGACTTTGTCAAACGTTGATCCATTTGAGAAATAACTTGAGTCAATGAAGTCTTGCAACTAACCAACAAGGTAATAACAGATGTTCCCAAGCCTTTGCAATTTTCCAATTGTTCTAATTGTTGCTTGTACTTGTAGAGAGCAATATTGTCTTGAGCGTTAATAGTATTGTTAATCATCATTTTTGAAATTAATAGGTTTAATTATATTTTCGTTTTGCAAAAGAGGCAATTTAACGAGTAGGTTTACACAAAAAGTTGTTTTTTTTGGTTTGAATTTAAAATTAGAATATGTATTTTTGGATTTGAAGGTTTTGTTGTTTCAATCTTGTATTTGAAGTTATTTTTAGGTTTAGAGATTTTACAATGCAAGCAGAAAGTGGTTAGTCCTTCAATGAAAAGAAGACTCCCATTCCACATCGTCAATAGTTACCATGCCGTTTTGAGGTAAATATTTTAAGCAAAAAGGAAATTGTGCACTACTCCCTTAGCTTCAAAACACATCAAGAAGGCAAACAACATGCAAATCATTTTCGTTAAATTCAAAGCCCACCAGTATCTCAAAACCTGGCATTAAGTTTGGAGAGAAAATCTTCTTATTGAATGTTTCATGAAGTGCCAGCATGTTTCTTTGTCAGTAAATTCTATTGAATCATGACCGTGCCTTTGAAGTAGTGTTTGTGTATAATGAGTTTTATTATTATTTAATTAGAAACTTGCTGATATTCAACATCCAATTCATCATTTGAAACTCCTGTAGTAATAGACTGTTAACTAAGGAGACTACGGTTGGTATGTATTTTTAACACAAAAAAAAATACAACTACTACCATGGCCCACGGCATGTCTAGCTTCTAAATGGAGATAACAAGCAAGTTTCTGTTACGTATGAAATACCCACCCATTTCACACTAGCTATTTACGTTCCTGGAGGAAAACAAGCCAAAAGAACAATAAGAGCATTTGCAATACAAGCCCATGTTTATGGGCAAGTTTATCGAACAGATTGCACACCATCTAATAAAAACAAAATGGCAGAGACTTCCCTTCAGGTACACTTATTTTCAAGAAGCATATCTAGGTTGAAAGAATTTATGGAGCTTTTATATGATAGTTGGGTGTCCAAGTATCCTGTTGATTTCTTGGGGAAGAAGTTGTAAAACTCATACCAGAAGTGGAAAGTTCATCTACAGAAGGTCTATCTGAAGGAAGTAAGGAATATAAAACAATCAATAGAACAAACGAAAATACTTTAAAAAAGAAAATCCTTTCTCCAAAATCCAAACTCTAAAAAGGAAAACAGGAATTTTCAGAATGAGACAGCACCAATTAGATATGGATACTTGTTCCACATGGTCAGTTGAGTCCATCCAAGAATTGTTAACTGCTTCAGTGGTGTTGGACTAAGCAAAATAGAGCAAAAGATGCCAATGATACGGAAGGTTCTGACCTGGAAATCATTGTGGCCGCATTGATAGGTTTTAATGGAGATGACGAAGCCAAGATTGGACATGCTTTTGAAAAACTAAGACTAAAAGATGACAGAACTGCAGAAGCCATAACAAGATGGTTGTTTTCAACTTTATTGACTAAAGATTAGATCTGGTTTCGTTGTTGAGATGTTGAATTCTGATTGTATATGCTACCCGTAACAATAAAAACTCGTATCTCATTGGATGAACTTTTTCTGAGATGGAGTGTTCAAATGGATAAACATTGTTGACATTGAGCATTTCCTGATTGACTGAATGAGAGGGTATGAATTGTTTCAAAACTAGTACAGATGCCATAACTGTGTGATACAATTCTAGGTAGATTATAAGGAAAATGAGCGAGTTGGAGTACACTTTATGATACAACGTCAAAAGTCTATAGTAAAATGGTGGAATTGACATCTCGACATGAAAGATATCAAAGATAGTATGCAAAAAGTTCATCGTACATCTAACTTGAGATCGTTTCAAAATTTCATTTCCTTGCCAGAGGCCAACTATTCAATTCAAGAAAGATATTTGGGTGGTCGTGAACCTCCATTTTTTCTAAAGGTGAGACAGAGTTGAGTGATAACACAATCATTATTGGGTATGGTGTTTGTTATTTTTTTGGTGAGATAAAAAACAGTTTACTGTCTTGTTATTACTTAATTTAGATATGTTTTGTTTTAAGGCAATGCTACAAGATGATTTAAATATTCTTAATCAGGAAATGCTATCCCTTCAAATTAAAGACGACATGTTAATCCACACACCTGAGAATAATTCGAAATCTAAAAAAGATATTCTACAATTCGATATTAGTACGTTAGAAAAGTATGGCATTAAGAATGCTGAAATCGATTGCGAAGGAAGTAGGCAAATTTATGGTCATGGAGAAATGAAAAATCAATGCAACATTTTCTTCAAATTATCCGAAAAAAGATATGAAAATCAGGACGCCATGAATATTGTAAAACATATTGAGAGTAATTTTTTGTGTAAAACGTTAGCAATGATTATATAATAACAGTCACAGAAAAACTTCTTTCAGAGCGTCAACTTTACGATCATAATTTTTCTGATCCAGGTCTGTTCTGTATTCAAATATTGAGAGATATTCTTCAAGCTCTTTCAGAAGTGAAGAATTACTCCATGCTTAGTGACAACTTGTTGGATTCTTCAAAGAAGATTCTGGAGAAAATTAATCATCCACTGATTGTTCGTGTTGTGCCATAAACGTAAAATGCTGGATTGCTCGTTGGAATCTACACAATATCTCATAGCAACGATTGAAAGCATTCTGGATCCTACAATAGATCTTTCATTTGATTTAGAAGTAAGAAACCAAACGCAATTCAAATAGTTCCTTCAATAAACTTTTCATTTGTTGTTGTTTGGAATCAACTTTTCCACTCATTAGACAAAATTAAACCTATTCTAAACTAATTTGAGTTCAAAATCTAATAATTGTCAGATTCTTTCTTGTAAATAACATAGATCATCTTCCTTGGGCGTATGAAAAGAAGACACTATTTCTTGGCCTTCACTTCTCTAAAAAGTGCATGAATTTACTTACACTAGATATGGGTTTCATTGGCTTTTCCTCAATCTCAGAAGAAATTTAAACAAATTTTATCAAAATCCATCCTTTCCTGATCATTGAGGTAGAACAAAAAAAGTGATTTTAGACATTCTCGACTACACCGATACATACTAAAGGATTATCGAGGCATAGTTGTGTATCAATTGAACTGACAATTTAGCTAAAATTGTACAGAAAAAAGGCGCCAAAATTCAATGCCTATTGTGTGTCAGCTTGTTCTTGAGCTAAATCTCTGCCAAGTGGGAGTGTTAGATCGCTGTTATTTGTGCTGAAAGAGATAGTTTCGAAAGACGCATTATTCTAATGTGCATAAGTTCTTTTGGACTTTAGGTTCAGATTCGTGCATAAACTACAACTTTTTAAAACATTTGATGAAAACAATTCTTTTTAAAAAAGACATGAAGATAACACCCACCACTGCAAGTGTTATAGAAAATCATAAGGAGGACCAGAGTATTGCATCTTTCTCTGATGATGGGTCCTTCTTTGGCACTGGAAAGAAAACAACTTGTTGCTCTTTAAAGACATTTATAATTGTCTCAATGATAATGCTTGTCTTGTTGTGTTCTGTTTCTATCTATGTCTCTGTATTTGTATTGATGAATCAATCAGTGGATGAACTAACTGAAAATGTTCTTGGTTTGCTTGAAGAAAAGATGAGTGTTTATATTGACTCGGTTTTGAACGAAATGAAAAATACTGGCATGACGATGGCAGATCACTATAATTATGGATTGGCTACAACTGATTACTTTAGAAAATACTTTTATACTCCTTTCAAAGTGAGTGGGTTGAGTGCTGGTTATGCATTTACAAATCCTTCAGAAAGATATTCCTATACCATTATTGGAAAACAAGGTAAACAGGAAATTGTCTACTCTTATCAACCTCCTGGTTTCATTGGCTCAATTCGTGATACCTATTTGTTGAATGGTACTCTTCTTGTGTTAAATGAAACTATTGATTATACTCCTTACAATGTGGCAAAGAAGGACTTTTACTATGTTGCTGTGAGTGAAGCAGCTAGAATTGGGAAGGAGGGAGCTTTCAGTTATCCTTACATTGTTACAAACGGAACCTTGTCCATTTCATTTGGTGCCAAGGTGTATGACCAACAATTATTCGCTCAAGGAACCAAACATTTGAAAGGTATTGCAAGAATTGTCAAGCCACTTTCTGGTATTAGTGATTTTCTTGAGAAGAAGGTCCAAGTCTTCGACCAAGGTTTTGTAATTATCAAAGAAAGCTCAAACGACTATGTAATAGCTGGCAGTATCAATTGTACAACATTTGATGAAAAGTCAAGATTGAGTATTTTTGATATTTCGGCTAGAAATGCAGGCAAGTTAATGAAAGATATCAATTCAACTATTGGTGATATCAGTAAGCTACCAAAAGGTACTTCAATTTCCTCAAATGGTGTTGATTATCTTGTGCGACATGTTGTTTACGAATTTGAAAATATCAAATGGGATATGTATGTCATTGTAGTAACACAAGATATTTTGCAAACCACTCACATTAGTATTGGTGTTTCGGTTGGTGTTGCCGTTTTGATTACGCTTATTGGTATTGCATTTTCAGTCGTGCTTTCAATGATTATTTTGAAACCAATTTCCTATCTCAGAAACCAATTTGAATTTATCAAAATCTTCGAGCTTGAGAATGTCAGACATTCCAATTCCATGTTCAATGAATTAAATCAAGTCTATACAAGCTTGTCCATTACAGTTAAGTGGTTAAAAGAAATTAAGGCCTTTGTTCCTGAATCAGTATTCCTCCAATTACAACAGAATCAAAACATTGAGGAAGAACCTATTGCAGAAAAGAAGCAAGAAGGAACAGATATTTCGGTTAGCACTGGGTTGAACAGTAGTTTTAGTGACAGAAATCGAACAAATGATAGTGGTACTCATCACAAGGGTGGTCTTTTTAAATTAGGTCTCACACACAAAGAGTGCTCAGTAGTGAATGTAAGATTGAGTAACTTGTTGAAAAATCATTCTCATGAAACAGTTTCAAGTATATTCCCTAAAATTTTGACTAGTATTTCAGAAGCAGCAAAGGTTTTCCAATGTGATTATCAAATTATTGCCCTAGATGAATACCAAATAATAATAGAAAGCAAGAAGAAAAAGTCCAACTTGGTAGCTCAAGAGTTAGCTCTTAAAATTAGAAAAGTTATGGATCAAATCAACCAACAACAAGATCTGAGCGAAACTCAGATCGAGTGCTTCATAGGAATCTCTACTCGCTCTTCTTACGTTGGAAACTTGGGAACTAAAACCTCAAGAGTCTACTCTATTATTTCCAATGCATGTAAAATGTCTCAAAGGTTAAGCCATTTGGCTTCATTGTACAGAATATCCATCCTTGTCGACGAGCAAACTGCAAATAATGAGCACTTTGTTGTCAGACCAGTCGACAGAATAATCCCACACAATTCAGTATTCTCCTCCAACTCACATCAGAAAGACACAACCCACGACAATACTCCACAAACTATTTACGAAATTATCAGAGAATCCAAAGTTGAAGGTGATGGTAAGTATTCTTTGTTTTCATCAACATTTCTTATTATTATCTTTCCTAATCAATATTGTAGAATGGATGTACGAGTTGGAAAATAAGAATCAAAATCAAAAGATTCTCCAATACCACTCTATTTTCAATCTCTTCAACAACAATACAAGTGTAGAGAATATACTATCTGAGCTAAAGGAAAAGAAGGTCTATTTAGAAACCTATTTGATGGAGAAGGGTGAGGATGTTCCCTCCAAAAAGTTACTTCACCTCATCAATACTATTGAACAGAATAGAGATGAAAAGTTTGTTGAGCATTTACTGAAGGGTTATCATACGACAATCAGAGAATACTTGGTGGAGAATTAATCAAGTCCGCGATGAAGATCTTTGTATGGAGGCATTGTTAATATTTTTTCTTTTTAAAATAAAAAATTAATTTTCAAATATTTTAGCAATTAAGACAATTCTCTGAGATAATGAAGGAAAATTATAAGGATACAAGTGACATCACTACACGGAGAGGGTCTGTTCTAAATTAAAGGTGAAAGAAGAAGAAATTTCTAATCTAGTTCTATTACGTTATTTGAATTATTAATTGCTGAAGAAGCAAAAGTCATTGGTATCCGTTCGACATGGAATGGCATTCATTCCAAAAGTAGATTTAAGTTGAAGATTGTAATATTATGTTGTAAAGCAATGATAAAAATACTTTTTCAAGTGAAATTTTGCATTATCTATGATGTCTGCATTCTATTTAGGGCCAGTTATCCAAACAGAGGTCTGCAACATTTTGTAAAATTAAAAAAAAACAATTCAATAATACATTCCTTACCAACCCGCTAAAGAAGGGTAAGTCATCTTACCGTTACACTCCTATTTACAGCGCTTTTGTTGACTCCTGTTGTGTGATGATCCTATTCTTGTTGTTTGATATTTATTATTTAATGATGACTTGTTTTTATTAACATCTTTATTACTTTTGATCACAACATCCATCTCCAAATTTTATTTTCATCATCTATTGGTGTCATCACCTTTTGTTATCTCATCATGTTAATCACTTATATTGTGTATTTTATAACAAATTATAAAGAAAATGAAAGCCTCCCGTTATGAGGAACCTCTTCATGATGAAGATGAAAAGTACGACAGACCAGCTGGAAAGAAAGGTGCCAGTAAGACTAGTATGGATGAACTCGAAAGAGGACAAAGAAAAGATTTGGTTGCCAACGAAATTGAATTAGAGGATAAACAAGAACCAGTCGAAGAAGCCCCAATTACATCAAACATTGTCCCATTCTTTACCCATCCCGATATTATTTTCGATTGGCGTGCTGTTTTGGGTGAATTTATTGGTACCATGCTGGTAAGTAGTCAATTATTAGTACATTATTTATTCTAAACCTGCAATAGTTCGTTCTTATTGGTACTTTGAGTTCTCAATATTCTTCACAAGTTCCAGGTGATTATATTCGTGGTTCTTTGGGCCACATTTTCGGTTTGATTATTGTCATTCACGTCTTTGCTCCAATTTCTGGTGGTCACGTTAATCCAGCTGTTACTATTTGTGTTTTGGTTACTCGTAATATTGGTATCATGTCAGGTATTTTGTATTTGATTGCCCAATGTTTGGGTGCTGTTGTCGGATCATCATTAACTCTTTGGATTTCTGGTGGTATTGATGGTGCTGTTTTCATTTTACCAAATGATGACATTACTACTGCTCTTAGAGGTTTCACTTCTGAACTCTTGATGACCTTCATGTTTGTCACTACTATTTTCGGAGCTGCCGTCAAGGTTAAGCACTTGAATACTCAATCATATGCTTCTGCTCCTCACCAAGCAAGCAAGATGGTTGAAAATGAAAGCAAGATCTTCTTGGAAGTCAACTTTGAACCTATTGCCAAGATCGTTTCTGCCTTGTACATTGGTTTGGCCCTTGGTGCCAATGCCATGGCTGGTGCTTTAACTGGTGCTTGTATGAATCCAGCTCGTGCTTTGGGTCCAATGCTCATTTCTTGGTCATTCTATAAGCATTGTTGGATTTATTACACTGCTCCATTCTTGGGTGCTATTTTTGCTGCTCTCATGTTTGAATTTGTCTTGACTCCAAACAAGGCTTGTGGACGTATCTGTAACTTGTGTCCAAAGACTCACCAAGTTATGAAGTTGGGTCAAATGTGGAAGTAAATGGATTTCCATTTTTCTACACTTGTTATCTAGATTGTATCCTAAATTTTTCAATTTTTGTCTGTCTCATTTCAATAAATATATAATAAATAATAATATAATAATATTCTGAATCAGCCCAAATTATTCAAAGAGTATTAACACAACATTTAGAGAATTAAGGCTAAGAGGTTAGAGATGTTCGAATTTCAAAAAAAATGTCATCATCATCCGATTTTAGTGGGATTGAGGAGGGGAAAAATTTGATAAAAAGATCAAATGTAAACCCTCAATTATTAACAGTTTCTAAGGATGCAGATTTGGATCCTCTGGGAGTTTATAACAAGAAGGGTTTTTCCTCGAAACTGAGTGAGTCTAGTGGAGATATTAGTAATTTTTGGAAGTACACTTTAATCCTCTTCGGAACAATTGTTCTTTTCATCTTCCTCTTTTCAACTCTTTCAATTGGTAATACTAGAGAGTCAAACTTTGAAATTCTTCCAAGAATTGAAGATTTGGAGTTGCATGATGAAATTGAAATTATTAAAACAACAAGAGAAGAAAAGAGAACTCCACCAAATGTTCCTCCTCCAATTCCAAAACCTCCACAAACACCTCAAAAACAAGAACAACAAGCACCACCAACAAGGGATGTAAAACAACCAATTCAACAAGTCAAAATTAAGGAAGCAACAAAGGAAACAATAGTTGAAAAACATATAGAAGTTGTTCAACAACCAAAGACTGAGGAATTAAAAGTTGGACCAAAATCTTATCTTTATCAACCAGAACAGATGACTATTGACGATTATGAGAATGATTTTATGAGTGACAGTGCAAACGAAAAAAGAAAGGCTGTAAGAGATGCATTCATTCACGCATTCAAAGGATATGAACATGTTTGGGGAAAGGATGAATATAGACCAGTAAGCAAAGGTTATCATAATTGGATTGCTAGCTCAAAAGGTTTTGGTATGACACTGATTGATTCACTTGATACAATGGTTATCATGGGTTTGAAACAACAATATGAAAAATCATTGAATTATGTTAAGAATGACATGCCTTCATTTTCAACAATTAATGGTGGAATTAGTGTTTTTGAAACAACTATTCGTGTTGTTGGAGGTTTTGTGAGTGCGTATGATTTGACAAAGGAAAAGATCTTCCTCGAAAAAGCCAAAGATATGGCTGACAGATTACTTCCTGCCTTCTCTTCACCAACTGGTATTCCATATTCGGAAATTAACTTGAAGACTGGATCCAAAAAGACATTTGCTTGGGCTAATAATTGTGCAATTTTGAGCGAACTTGGTTCTCTTCAATTGGAATTCAGAAGATTGAGTGAATTGACTGGGGATATGAAGTATCATAATGCTGTAACTAAGGTTATGGATATCATGGAAAGCAAAAAGCCAGACAATGGATTATATCCACTCAAAATATCTCCAACTTCTGGAAGTTGGTGTTCTAACTATGTTTCTTTGGGTGCTTTGGGAGATTCATTCTATGAATATTTATTGAAACAATGGTTGTTGAATAGAGGAACAAAGGGTGCTGAAAAATATAGATTCATGTACATGGCAACTTTGAAGGGTATCTTTGAGAATATGGTTATCAAATCCAACCAAGGATATACCTATGTTGCAGAATACGAAGGTAGAGCTCATCACAAGGTTGACCATTTGGCATGTTTTGCAGCTGGTATGTTTGCATTGGGTGGTTATTTCAATGTTTCCACTCCTGGATTCCAAATCTCAAATAAGCGTCAAATTGAAACTGGTGCTGAATTCACAAGAACATGTTATGAAACTTATGCTCAAATGCCTTCAGGAATTGGACCAGAAACTTTCCACTTTGACACTGCCAGCGGTAAATTTAACCCTGGTGTCTCTACTTATTTATTAAGACCAGAAACAGTTGAAAGTATTTTCATCATGTACAGAGTTACTGGTGATGAAAAGTACAGAGAATGGGGATGGAAGATTTTCCAAGCAATTGAATCAAAATGCAAAATTGCCTCTGGTGGTTACAGTGGACTTCGAAATGTAGCAACACAGTCTCCAGTTCACGACGATTTCCAACAATCATTCTTCTTGGCTGAAACATTGAAATATCTCTATTTATTATTCTCTCCAAAACATATCATTCCAATTGACAAGTTTGTTTTCAATACTGAAGCTCACCCAATTCGTGTTACTCCAACCAATCATTAAATTAAAAACTTCCTTCTATTATATAATTTTCTTAAATTAAAATTCTTAGTAATTGGAGTTGAAGACAACATTTCCTCCAACAATTCAACTAAGGAGTGAAAAAAAGAAAATTGCAAATTTTTAAAATAAAAAATAATAAATAAAAATATTGAAAAAAATGAAGAGACTCTCCCTTCTTACCAAACTTTCATCTGCTGGTAGCATCAACAAATTCGCTACTCCAACCCTTTTCTTACATAAACCATCATCATTTAACTTTTATCAACAATGTAGAAGTTTTTCTATGACTAATAACAATAATAGTAGTTTTACCGAAACGATAGACTCTGAATTGGATCGTTTAAAGGGTAAAACCTTGGAGACTGTTACCAACAACAGAACACCATCCTATCCAATCCATAACGTCATTAATACACTCAACGAATTGGGAAGAGCAACATCATCCGTCTTGTACGAAGAAATGAATTCAAGACACCCAGGACTTATCAATAGTAAGAGACACTTGAAGCAAATTCTTACAATTTTGAAGAGAGGACACAAAGTCGCTGCCATTCAACCATTGAGAGGTCAATTAACATACAAGAGAGTTCCTTTTGAATACAAATTAACAAAGCAAATGAAGAGAAAATTGGAAAAGCCAGAAAAAGAAATTACACAAACTGTTTCTACATCCACAGAAGAGTTATCGGAAGATGAACTTTTCAACAAGACTATGGAAGCTGTACAAAAGGGAAACTAAATACTTTTATGTAATAAATTCGTCGGATTTTTATTAAATTATTAAAGAACTGGCTGAGTGTGTTGCATTTCAAAAAGCTAAATAATACTAAAGTAATTATTGCTAGTGAAATAATTTATTCATTAATTTCTTGATTATTGATTTCTTCTTCACGTTGTTTTCTTATCATTTCCACTAAGAGCTTTCTCCATAACCCTACTACAAATTGTTCAGTCTGGTCATCAAAGATTTCAAGCAAGTCATCAATTACTTCCTGAGGTGGAGAGTGAGTTTCAATCTTACCCAAAATAAATTGACTTAAACTTTCTTCAGAATCACCTGTCAAGTTGATAACACCTTCATCAACAAATTTGGTTAAACTTTGCCAGAGATGATACTTATCAACAATATTCCAATCAATTGCAAAGGCAAATATATCAGCCGTTGATACTGGAAGAGATTTGTAAATATTTTCCAAATCCAAATATTCACTTTGTTGTTTGGATCTTTCAATTTCCTCAATGGCTGATAATTTCTTCTTCTTTCTTCCACTCCATGCTTCTTGTTCGTCTTCCTCAGAGTATCCAATAGAGACATTAGCTGTTTGACTTGGTAAATTTGAAGATCTTTCTTGCAATTCGATTTGGATCTTTTTCTTTTCTGTGATATCCATCTCGTCATCACTTGTATCATAATCTTGACCTGTTCCATCAATACCTCCATACTTTCTTTCCCTTCTTCTTTCGAATTCTTCAATATTTCTGATGGTAATTTCTCGTTGTCTCTTGTCTTGTTCATTCTCTTTTTCCCATCTCAATCTTCTTCTTCTCTCCCTTTCCAATTGTTTGGATTGTTTAAGTCTCTTCTCCTTATAAATCTTTTCTCTGCTTCTCTTTTCAATTTGTTTGGTTTCTTCTTCCTTCAGTCTTTCATTATCTCTGAATCGACGAATTTCATCATAAATTACATTTTTGGTAGCCTCTGTTTCTTCGTTACTGACACCAGACTCTGCAATCTTTTGAACAGTGTTAGAGACAGCAAGTTGCTGACTGATCGATTCTCTGGATCTATTTTCATTTTCCACATTCATTCTCTCACCAACCAAATCTTTGATAATTACTTGTGAGATTTGGTCGAGAGCTGTTTCAAACTTTTCAAGTTCAACTTTATCCTTATCTCTAATTTCTACAGGTGCATTAGCAGAGCCCATTTGCTGTTCAAGTTGTGCAAGTAATTGTTTTTGTTCTGGTGTTAATTCTTGTCCACCATCAAAGTTTGATAATTGTTCTTCCTTTTCCTTCAACCTTTTAGACCATAATTCTAGTTTTTTCTGTTGATATTGATCCATAAATGTTTGGGTTTTTTTACCACATTTTACTTTAATAAACACTCCAGGTTCAATTTCCAATCCGTTCAAAAGTTTCATTGCACGAATAGCTGATGCACATGATTGATATTCACAAAATCCAAAAGTTTTCCATCTATTTGTATTTGTGTCTTTCAACCGTTTCCAACTTGCGTAAGGTCCACAACTTTCCAGTAACTTTTTAATATAATCATTTTCAGTATCTGCACTCAAATCTTCAATTGCAATACCTGTTTTTGTATCAATTAATATAGATGGATGTTCCAATGGATTAGGAAATTCACCAGTTGGCAATTCTACAGGTGATTTACCAACACTAATATTCACACTAGATATTGGATACTTTAATTGTCTTCTTTGAATAATTTCTTGAACGCTTGTATTTACAGATGGTTTTGTTTTTTGTACAACTGATGGATCGACATGAATAATTTTAGTCTTTTTCTGATTTGATGATGGTGGAAGAATATGAGAAGATGAAGCTGATGCTTGGTGAGAATTGTATGATGAATAATTTCCTCCTCCTCCTCCTCTGCTATTATTACTACCCTGATAATTATTCGATCCTCCTCTATTATCATTACGATACGAACCTCCTCCGTTATTATATTGTCTATCCCGATGATAGTTATTATTGTAGGACATTTTTTTGAATTTTTTAATATTTGTAATTTTAAAAATAATTTTTAAATCAAAATCCATTTGTTTTTTCTTCAATAAAAAATGACAAACAATAATTCAGTACAGAAGATTGTTGCTACTGCTGAAACTCCCGAAGAGTTGGAACTGGCAAAGATTAGAGCCTATAATATTAAAGATAATTATGGAAGGTAAGTAATTGGTGTGAGGAGGTGGTTTGGATAGAATTTTTAAAGGATGGTGAATCAGTGTTTTAAACATTGTATCGGATTGAATTTTAAACATAATGATATTCACTCTGGAGAAATGATTTGTCAAAATAGATGTATAAGCAAGTATTTGGAAGCTGTAGAGTTGACCAGAACATTTATGGACCAATTTCATGCTGATTTCCCAAATGCCAACTATTCTGATTAATAACAAGCATTATTCGGTAATATAATAATATCAGGACATCAATTTGGATCATTTCTTCAATATATTCAGTAATAGTAATAACAATTCGAATGTGATATTATTTATATCGGAAATAATCTGATTAATAAAATATCATTTAGTTAATATTTAGTTCCTAGATTCAATATATGTTACATTATTCTTCTTCTTCCTCTTCTCCTTGTGGTTCTTCTTCTTCTTCCAGAGTCTGTAATTCAGAAATATAGTTGGCCAAATCAGTTTGTGATCTAAATCCAAATTTCAATCCTTGACCTGGTAAATTTTCTAACCAGCCTTCCTCTATAAATAATCTGATAGCTTGTTCTGCAGCCTCCACTGAAAGTGCTTTTGGACGTTTACTTGTTGCCACAACAATTGTTAGAATTTCATCATTATCATTAGCTATTGCTTCACAAATACTTTTAAATAATTCCAGTTCATCAATAGAATAACGTGTTGCAAGCTTTGAAATTTCATCCTCCGTTTGATTAATTAATGTATATAATATTTTCTTTGTCTTTGGATGTTGTTCTCTAACTATTTTCATATCCATAAAATTTAGTGCAGAATTAATTGTTGTGATAAACTCGGAAAGATCAATATCAAATCGTTCTTCACTGTTATTTTGCACCAGAGTTTCATATTGAAAATTATTCTTAAAATCTTCTAATTTTCGAGTCAATTCATCTTCAGCCATAAATTTGTGTGCCATCATCATTTGAAGAATGTGACGATGAACCTCTGTCATTCTTTCCATTTTTTTTGATTAATATTAATATATTATTATTTAATATTTCTTATGATTCCACTCAACTCTTGAAGAAGCCCACAAATTTTGAACAAAAAATTGGCGACAGCTTATCTTCAAGATTATTTACGGAATAGTAACACAACTTATAATACTTGATTTGAATAATAATATAATAATGGCTGATAATGCTGCGCGTAGTGGGGATGAATTTAGCAGTAATATGATGCTCACTACCACTACAACAACTCTAACGACACCAAATTCCTCTATTCCTAATCATCACAATGTATCATCACACCCGATAATACAATCTCCATCACGTAATGCTCATCATCACTATGATTATAATAACAATACTCTATTAACAAGTGGACATGCCGAATATTACTATCAACAATCACCCTCTTCAAATCGTAACCAGAACAGATTTAATTATCGTCAAGAGATTTCGCCCAGTAGAGTAAATCATAATACACTGGATGATGACGATGATCCCTACGAATTGGATTTTGATGATGATGAATTATCTCGGAACAATTCAATATTGAGTGGAATGGATCAAGTAAAATCATCAAGAAGTAATTATCATCATTTGGAAAATATAAGATCACCACTTTTAATTAATAGTTCACCGAGTCCACTCTTTCGGAAATTTAAAACATCTCTTCCAACTAAAATCAAGTATTTCAACAAGGGATTTTTCAATGTGTTGGTATTGGGAATTTCATTTCTAATTCTCTTTTCAGCATTTAATATTTTACTATTCTATTTTACTGAAATTAGGAGGAGAATAACAGCATCTGCCATTGTTCTCTATTCTTCTCTGTCAGGATTTTCAATAGTTACACCGAGTATTATTAAATTATTTGGACTTAGGACGAGTATTATTGTTGGAGCTTTCTTGTATGCTTTATTTGTGTTGAGCTTGTCAGTGGAGATGGCTCCAGTTTCCTATACCATGTCTACAATTTCAGGATTGGGAGGAAGTTTATTATGGATAGCGAATGGAGAAATTTTGACAAGAGCTGCCAATTATTATCAAAGAATGGCTAAAAAAGAAAGAAACAAGATGGAAATTGATCATTTCAACTCTGCATTTACTGTGAGTAGATATAGACCTCTGAGAAAGGGTCTTTCACATGCTGATGACGTAATGGGACTTTATTCTGGAGTCTTTTTTGCAATTTATCAACTTAATTCCTTGTTGGGAAATTTAATTTCAACCTCAATGTTGAAATTATCATTGGGAGAATTTTGGCTATTTTTGATTTTATTTATCATCTCATTGTTTGGAATTATTCTATTAACACCACTGAGAAATATTTCATTTCATGAAACTATAAGTAATATGCAACTTAAATCTCAGCCTAGAAAGGTAGAGAGAACAGAACATTTACGGAATAATGATAGCTCATTCAAACATCTAGATACAGGAAAAACAATCTACCCTAAAACGGTGGTCATGAAATCAGATTCTTCTTTAACAGTAGAATCGGCCACTATCAATGATGATACAGATGATGAAGCCAGCACCAATTTACCTTCCATGTATGAGGAAAATCTCAGTGTAGCTACAATTGAATATGAATTACCGAAACCACCATCCACAAGGGATAGACTTTTGGCAATAATTGCCAATGTGTTGGTGTACATTAAGGATACTATTTCTGTAATTCTTTCTCCAAAAATGATCCTCTTCTCTGTAATATTCTTCTACTCTGGCTATTCTATTGCATTCTTTTACAGAGTTTTGCCAAGAGTCATGCAAAAGCATTCCAATTCATTCATTGTTCCTTGGGCTATTGCTTGCTTTGGGTTGAGTGAGGTGGTGGGATCTCTATTGTTTGGAAGGTTGAGTGACAAGATTGGAAAAAGACCAGTCATGATAGCCACAATTATTTTCCACGTTTTGGCCATATCATCATCGTTTGCTACAGTTTACTGGCCTCCAAGTTATATCACTTATTTTGTTCCTCAAATTATTTGTGGACTAGCCGATTCTGGATTGAATGTTGTAATTTATTCAGTACTTGGTGGAACAGGTGATTACTTTAAATATGCCAAGACTAGTGAAGCCTTCTCCTCTTTCAAAATAATTCAATCATTGGGTGTTTGCATTGGAATTGTTTTTGGAACCCTCTTCTCTGTTCAAACAGTTCAATTTACACTAGCTGGAGTTCTCTTTATATCCATTCTGTTTTATATTGCTTTGGATTGGAATTTTCCAATAGATGGCAAACGAAAAATCAAAAAGACAAGACGTTGCAAACAAAATAACCACCTTCCTCACGAACCTTACTTTTAGTAAATTTATTCTCAACTTGCCAAGTTACTTTTCGAGTGTTCTTCTACTTCAATAGAGTTTGGCTTGTGTTGGTTTTAAGCTTTCGCAGTTTTAAATAATAAATGAAAAAAGAAGGAAAAAATTGAAGTTGAAAAAAAATGATGCCAAAAGTTGTTGGTTCGCCGCTTCACGCCTCATCATCACATGCATCGGTAGTACCACCCTTCAGCTCATTTGTACCTCTCACAATGGAAGAACTCCAACGCGAGTTTTCTATTCTTGCTCAATGTTTATACAAGATTGGAGGTGGTGTGATGGTATCACCACAGGAAATTAATGGAGCACAAAATGAATTATTATCATTTCCATCACGATGTTCATATTATGGAATTTTACTTTTACATGTATCACTTTATGATTATATTCCATTCCGAAATAGATTTTGTGTTTCGGATAATAACATGTTTAATTGTTCTATTCACTTTCCTCTTCATCAAATTATTCAACAAGAATCACAACTTAAGAATGTTATTTTAAATCCTGCTGTTAGACAATTATCAGCAGTTTTATTGAAGGGTTATATTAAAACACATTGGAATACTATTACATCAGCAGATTTGAAAAAACAATTCAAGGATCTTCTTCCTTTGGGTTTAATGGTTGGTGATTTTGAAGTTGATACACCTCCTGCTTTCCTTTCAAAAATTAATACAGCTTTTGGTATGAGTATATCAGAGGCAGCTGAACATGAATTTCCTGAGGAATGGAATGATTTGATTCAAATTTTAATTAATATTTATGAAAATGGTTTAACAAATCAACAAAATTTTGCTCAATCATTGGGTGCTCTCAAGTGTTTGTCACTTGTTGCTCAACACTTCTCTGATAAGCATACCATTTTCGTTTTTCCAGTTTTAGTACCTTACATGTTGAAAATTGCTGAAAATGCTCAATTACCTGATATTATTAGAGCTAAAGCTCTTACTGTTTGTTCAGAAATGTTTTCTTTAATTGCTATGGTATCAGGGGATGTAACTGATGAAGATGATGAGTATGTGGATGATTATGGGGATGATGGAGTTTATGAAGAAGCTCCAGAGGAGGGAGAAAGAGTTATTGATGATCGTCTCATTGAAGAATCAAAGAAATTATTGGCTACTGCTTTGGAGCCAACTATGAATATAGTGTTAGGAGAAATTTGCAAACCGATTCCAAATGTTGAATCTGATTGCTCATTCAAGATGGAATGTGTCAAGATGATGAATACACTTATCAAAGAGTTTGGAAAAACATTACAACAAGCAATCATTGTTGTTTTACAATCAACTTGTATCTCTTTGGAAAAGGAATATGAAACTTACTTTAAACATGCTGTTCTTTCGCCATCTGAAAGTGGTATTCCAACAAAAGAAATTGCAGCTAGATATGATAGTGAAGGTGAAAATGTTAACTTTACAACAGTAATTTGTCAACAAATTGAACTTTTGGCGACAATTGTTTTAAATCCAAAGCTTTCAACATTGCTATCTTCTAGCAAGGCAAATTTGGTTCAATTAATTTATTTATTAATTGGTTACTCTCAATTACCAGAAAGTATGACAGAACTTTGGGAAACTGAACCAGAACAATTTGTCTCTGAGGAAGACAATCAATATTCCAGCTATAGTATTAGAATTGCTTGTGCTAAATTGATTGAAGATTTCCATGATACTTATGATAATTTAGCAGTTGAAAGTTTACTTGAAGCATATCACAAGAGAATGCAAGAATCACAAAATTTATATATTCAAAATTCTAATTCATGTACTTGGTGGAAACTCAGAGAAGCCTGCTTGATGTGTATTTCCAGTTTTACAGGATTCAGAGATAGTATTGAAGATTATCCAAAGATTTTCGATCTGCCATCTCTTATGAATCAACTTGTTCAAAATGACTTGAAAGTCAACACAGAAAGCTTGCAATTTTTGAAATCGAGAGCCATCCAATGTTCAAGCTTCTTCTTAGGACAAATCAGTAATACCAAACTATACAAGATCAATAGTCTTGAACTGATCAAGCAATTATTTATTATTTATGTAAATCACCTTAACGAGCAACAACCACTTCCATTGAGATTATACTCTTGTCAAGCAGTTGCAAGAATTTTCTGTTTACATTCACCAATTTTGGAACCTCTCATCTCATCATTTGGACAAGGAAAGGATGAGATTTTACAAAACATTCTCTTTTGTATGTGTAAATTGGTTGATGATTTAACAGATGAAACCATGTACATTCCATTGGAAAGCATTGCTGTTTTTGTAAATGTAAGTTGTTATATGTGTGTGAGTGATTCTAAATTTCTAAATATTGCAGTTCTTACCTCATGTTGTGGTTCCTCAAAGCGCCAATGTTATTTCAATTATGTTGAATCAATTGGACAAGTTTTCTAATGATCATGCTATTTCAAGTGATATTATTAATGTATTCGACAAGCTTGCACAAATCCCAGAAACTGAGGCTCAACTCGTTAACAATGTCATTCCACGAATTGCTCAAATTTTCACAAGTAGTGGAACTGCCACCAAATCAGATTTCGTAGAGAATTTGCTCAACTTGTCTAATACCATTATTGTTCGTGCAAAGAAGGAAGATTCTATTACAATTTTGAATTCTCTCTTCCCTAGTTTGATGTCTCTTGGATTTTCCAATGAAGATCCTTCATGGATCCAAAAAATCAATGAATGCCTGAGATCCATTGTTCATGTGAGTGAGGAAATTCTAGTTCAACACAGATTTACAAGTCAAAACCACCAAGTTTCTTCATTCCACTTCTTATTGGAATATATTTACAGATTGTTGCAACCAAATTTCAGTGAATCAGCTGCTTTTGGTGTTGGCGAATTAATTACTGAAATTTTTACCAAGCTTGGTACTGCACTTAACATGGAAATTATTGGAAAAATTCTATCTGCTTGCATTGTTAAATTGAATGTCTCAGAAGAATTAATCTTCATTCAATCAATAGTTTTTGTGTTTGCCAAGCTTTTCCATCATCAAGATGTTGTGCAAATGTTCAACCTTTTGGAATCAATCAAGGTTGGAGATTCTAATGGGCTAGTTTGTCTTTTGAATAAGTGGTCCAAGAATCAACAATTTTTCTTTGGAGCTTACAAGTTAAAGGTTACAGCAACAGCTTTGGCTAAATTGCTCCAAACTGGAGATGAACGTTTGGGAACAGTTACTGTATCCGTAGAAATTGAAAAGGAATCATCAGGAAAATACAGAACTAGATCCAAGTCAAAGACAAAGGAAAGACAAATGCCATTTGTTCTTCATGCATTTGTTCTTTTGGTTGATGCTTTTGTGAGAGCAAAGGAAAATGAAAACGACAAGAAGAAGGAATATTCTGCTGAAAGTGTCTTGTATGGTGGTGAGCCTATGGGTACAGATTCTAATGTTGAGGATGATTATTTACATCAACTTGTTGATGATGACTTTGACGATGATGAAGAGGAGTACTTTGACGATGTCTTGTCATCAAAAGATCCAATTAATAATGTAAATCTTATTGAGATACTTCCTCAAGTGATGAAGGAATTATGCCAAGTCAATCAACAAGTATTACCTCACTTGGAAAAGATGTTAACCACTGAACAAAAGAATGCTTTGAAAGAAATGCTCAATAAATAAGTTATAATTTATATATTTACAAGTTTCATTAAATGTTGACTTCCTTAAATTCGTTCGTTAAAAACACTGATTTTGTGAGAAGTCTTGCACTTTCATTTTTCAGTTCTTTTGTTAATTCTTTGTTATCATCAAATCTTGGTGGGGATGTTGGGAATGTGATTGGAATTTCTTGAACTACCTTTTCAAGTCTGTTGGTTTCAATGTGCTCTCTGTTTTTAAACAAATGATTATTTTGATAATTAATAATCTTATAAAACTAATAGTACTTACGGATCACCAACCACGTCCATATCTAACTGTTGCTGTATAAGTTTAAGTTGATTCGAAACATTGTCATAGAATGATTTTTCGACAACATGGTCAACTACTGTGGCTGGAGGAACACTCGTACATATAAGGGCCTCTCTCAGTTTAGCATTTCTTTCCAGTAGGTCTGTAATAATTTCTTCTCGTTTCGTTGCTTTTTTACCTTCTTTTTTAAGTTGTCGTGTGAGTGCCATCTTTTCCCTCTTTAATACATCTATGTGCTCTTTCTTTTCTGTGTAAAATAATTGAGTCTGTTGATTCCAATTTGTTTTCCTTGCTAGCTTGTTATCCAAATCCTCGACTTTTGCTCTCAGATCTTGAAGCTCAACATACTGATCTTCACATAATGCGTTCTTTGTGACAAGTTTTTGTTTCAGTACTTTAAGATCTGCTTGAAGTGTCGAATTTTGATCTCTAAGAAACTTGATATTCTGAAGAGATTCATCCCTTCTATTTTCTTCAATCATTTCATTAATCCTTTGATTCTTTTCTTGGACTTCTCGTTTAAATTCCTTGATTTGATTTTTTTGCATAATGTTACTCTTTTCCAGTTTTGAACTAAGCATTTGCAATTTTTTGATTTCAGGAAGAAAGTAATCCTTGATCTTTGATTGAAGTTTCTTCTTCTCGTCTTTATACTTTTCAATATCTCTTTCCAATTTTTGAATGTGTCTTTCCTCATTTTCTAAAAGCTTTTGATGTTGTCTAGCAATGTCTTCGTCTTTGCTTTTGAGGAAATCCATTTGTTCCCTAACTTTTTTAAATTCCATATTTTCCGATTCCAACACAATACAATACTCTTCCAAGTCTCTCTTCTCTTGTTGGAGAGCATAGAAAGCTTTTGATAGCTATGTTGTGTTGACATTCGTAGACAACAAGATAATACAAACCTTTTTCAGCTGCTGATTCTTCTCCTTTAACTTTTTCTCTAGAGTGGAGAGATTTGTAGAGTTAGTATCCTGCATAGCATTTTCGAGATCAGAGTCATCAATTGGTTCCATTTTTTTTAAATTGTTTTATTAAGATTTTGATGTGATTTGAAAGGCGGGAAACAAAATTGGCGCCAAAAATTCCCTCATTTTCCAATTAGAAAACCGTTTTGTTCATAAACAATATGTTAATTAAGCAAATAAAACAGAAGAAAATAAACTAACGCCATTTAATTTGTATTTCTTGATTCTCTAATTGTCTTGCAAATGCCATCGATTTAGCAATCTCTTTAACATAAACTGGTGCATCGTGAATTTGTGGCTTGAAGGTACACTCTTCGAGCTCTTTTTGTTCCTTTGAAAGCAGCATCATTTTCTTCTTGTATTCATTTCGTTCCTTATATTGAGTAATTCTTTCAATATAGGTTTCTGGTTCAGTCGATAATTTGAGAATTGACTTGGCTTTAGTACCATTGTTGGTTTTTGGTTTGAATGTTACGTCTTTAAACTCACTTCTCTCAAGAACCTTCTTTGTTTGTTCTATTTTCTTTTGTTTCAGGTTCAAATCTCCCTTACTCAACTCTTCCACCCCTCTCGAGGGTAGCTGTTTTGAGGTTTTGTTAATTTGGGGCTGGAATGTACAATTTTTCTCAGCAAGTGCGGATTGTTGCCTTTCATTTAGTTTCTTTCTGTTAATTTCATTCTTTACCCGTTCTTCAAAAGGTGTCTTACTTCTATTTTTCGCCAAATCAATACTAGTTTTGTTGATTGAAGGCTTGTGTGAGTGTTCCATATTGCTCTTAATGAAATTTATCTTTTGCTCCTTCCTTTTCATTGTGTTTTGTTGCCTGTCTATGAAATCCTTAAAGGTTTTTCTACTAGTTTCCTCAACAGATGCCTGGTAAGCTCTTCCTCCCCTTGAGGATGGTGCAGAACTTGGTCTAGAAGACTGCCAACTTGATTGATTTGATGAATCGACTGATTCCAAATCAGTCAATTCATCCAACAATGAATCTTTTTCATCAAATTCCATTCTAGATCTATTTACCTTACTCAATCTTTCAAAGGGATTACTCTTAAGATAGGAAGAGTTTTGTCCTCCAATGGACTTTCTAATGTTTGGCTGGAAGGTACATTCTTCATCCTCCACAGTAGATGTTGATTTCTTTGATTGATCCAAATACCTTGATTGTACTGAAGGATCTCCTGATATGGATGGCTTGAAGGAACATTCTTTCATTTCTTCTTGTTCCAACTTTTTAATATTGTGCTTCTTTTTCTCGACCAACTTTGTTGCACTGTTGAATAGCTTGATACACGCATCTGATTCTGTATTTGAGGATACTGAAAATACTTTTGGTTTAAATGTACATTGAGTATTTTCTTCCTGAAGTAATTCCTCTCTCTTTCTCTCAGTTTCTTTTCGTTTTTTCTCTTGCCATTTTACTAATCTGTCGTGAAACTTGTCACACTGTACAATGCTTGACGAGGTTGAATTGATTTTTGGTCGAAAAGTACATTCTTTCTCCTCTTTTTTCACAATATCATTATTAATAATTCTGGATCTCTTCTCGGTTTGGAGATTGAATTCTCTAACCTTTGTTAGAGAGCTACTGGTAGAACATGGCGATAAACATAGAGATGATCTGTTACTGGACAAAGGGCTAGTTGCATAGGTATTCTCCTTGTTACTGCCACTCGTCGACGAGAGATCAATACAAGATTTTGCTCCACTAAAACAGTCATTACTATTCTCATAGAGGGCATGAAAGATTGAATTATTTGAAGTCTTTCTGGTTGAAGGTTTCAAAGTTGGTGAATGGGAAGAAGAAATTTTGCCACTACTATTCTCTGATGAAGTAGTTTTGTTTGGTGATTCATAAGGCAACATGATGTTTAGGGCATCATTAAGCTCTGCTAACGACATATTGGCCACGTTTTTAAATTGGTCAGACGTTTGCCTTGAATTCCAACTCGAGTCATCACTAATAATATTTTCATAATCGGATCCATAGAGTGATGATAAGAATTGATCAACCTGCTCGGATTCTTTTGAAGTGAGAGAAGATTGGGTAGTTGCTGTATTTGCTGAATAGTTCGAGGCACTTTGGCTCCAATTTGAAGAATATTCGTATGAGGATGACATATCATCGTCTGTGGCACTATAATTATATACATAGGCAGGGTCTTCTGATTCCTTCATCCACATATTATTCCTTTGGTTATAATTGTTGGTGGTTGAAAAATGGGAGTAAGGGTAAGGTTGTTCCATTTTTTTTAAAGATGATTCCTTATGAGAGTTTTCAAATAACCAGTACTGATTAACGTTCACTTTTTTAAATTTAAGGCGCAAAAAGTAATTTCAATAATAAATCATTATTATTAAAAATGCTCCGTACATCAACAAGTAGTAGCTCTTCATCATCAGGTGCATCATTATTATCGGAGGTTGGAAAGGTAGATTTGTGGACCATCACAACAATTAAAAAACATTTCAAATTAAAACAATTTAAAGAATGTATTGGATGTATAGGAAAACAATACGGAACAAGTATTGACAATATTACTTTAAATATTAGAAATTCGCAACTTCAAGAATTTATTATTTCAACACTCATTCAATGTTATTATGAAATACAAGAATATGAATCAGTACATAAATTATTTGAAATTCCTCCAACAAGTTTATCTCAAAAAACTTTAACTCTCTACATTCAATTTTGCATTAAACTTCAATTATTTGACAAGGCAAAAGAATTACTCGGAAATGAATCAATGAAAACACTTCCTCAACAAGAAAGACATACATTGGAAGATTATTTGGAACGAGAGGAATCACAAATGAAAGAAGCACAAGCCATTACTGAGCATCAAAATAATTTTAACAAGCTCTCCTACATGTATAGAAATAGTAAATTCAAACAATCTGGAGGTGCATATTTTGCAGAGCCACAAGACGAGGATTATGATGACGGAGGATATTCTGCTCTGCCACCATCAACAAAACAAGTGACACATAAGGAATCAATACCAGCCACCCAATCTAACACTTCTGTAACTCAGAATAATCAAAAACCATCAATTGAATCACAATCCAGAAGTAGCAACAGTGGAGGTCTAACCTCACTTACTAGATATATTTTAAATTTTATTGGAAAGTATAAGGTTGAACTTGCATTACAAGTTGTTTCGTTTGTATTACTGTATTGGTTGTTAAAATAAATTATTGCTTAGTTGGCTTATTTCCACAAGGTTTAATCATTCGTTCAATAAATTGATATCTTTCTCTATGAACGGATTCATTTTCAATCATGGCAAAATATGATAACATTGGGTAATGTGATACATATGATGCATAACTATCTCTATGTTGATTTACAGCCCATTCAAATTTTGTGATATCAGCATGTCCAACTCCAACAAATTTATTCTTCAATAATTCCAATTGATTGGCTTGATCCGATGATGACTAATTTTTAAATTGATGAGAATATTATTAGCACATCCCTCCAATAAAACTTACCATTTTTTTTAGTTTTAAAATTTTAATAATATATAACAACTAGTTTTCATTAAATACATGTTCAATCCATCATAGAACAAATCATAATGATAATCCGTAAGTTAAATTATTTGCTAATTTCAATTTTATATTAATCAAATAAACTAAAGAAACCTATCTAAAATTGCCCACTGACAAAATCGAATGACATCATCACATAAAAAAAATGTCGTTGCAACCAACAGTCCCTTCATCATCATCGGGTGGTTCTAATAACGATCCGATAATTCCCACCTCATCAGTAACAATGATGTATTTAAATGATTTACAAAAATGTAAAGAATTGTGGAAAACTATTGAATTAGATAAAAAGAGAGACTTTTTTGATGAACAAGGATTAAATATTGTAAAGGTTAGAGAACAAACAGCTAATAGTAGAAAAAACTTGGCAACTCTTACAAAGAATTTTAAAAAGTTGAATAATGATGAAAAATTAAATTCATTCTCAAAACTGCTCAAATCGTATCAAGATGAGATTGATTCTCTGACAAACAGAGGAATGAATGCTGAAAAATTATTCTTGGAATTGTATCAGCCAATAAGAGAAGCCCCTGATCCATATCACATTATTTGTAAATATCAACAAATGTCACAACAACAGGCTAGCCAGGAAGAATATGAAAATACAATCAAGGAATTGAAAAAACAATTGACTGAATATGAACATGAATTTACTCATTTGAAAAATCAAGAAGTTACAATTAGAAAGCTAGAGGAAGAAATTTTAAAGTACAAGAATCAAAATGAATTATCCAAAGAGCACGAGTTAATGATTCAAAAATTCAAAGATCGTGAGCTGATAATGCAAAGTGAACTCAAGGAGTTGAAAAATGAAAATGACCGTTTATCAAACTTGTACAATGAGACTCAAAATGTAAATTATGAACTAAAGACTAAGATTGAAGAAATTGAAGCATCAAAACAGTATCAATCCGATATGCATCATGAGCAAGTGTTAAAGTATGAAAATGAAATTTTAGAATTGAAATCTCAAGCCAAATCTGTTGTTGAAAATTCTGAAGGACGAGTAGATGAGGAATTAATGATTAATGAAATGAAAACTGAATATCTGACAAAGATTAATGACCTTAAACAGGAAAATAGAGAAAAAATGGAAAATATCCAACAACTACAAGATCAAATCCACCAACAACATCAACTCTTGTTGAATACTCAACATGAATTGAATCAAAGACCATCCAGAGAGGAAATGTCCAAACTTAGAGAACGAATTGACACACTTCAACAATTGGAATTTGGCTATGACAATAACTTGCAAGAGAAGACTGTTGAGCAATTATTGAAGGAAAAGGTTATGAAATTGGAAAATGATTTGACCAAATCCAATCAAAACAATAGAGAAAAGGAAGAAAAAATCGAAACGCTCAACACAGAACTCACTCAACTTTCAGCCAAAACAAAGGAACAAGCATCCATGATTGAGAGATTGGAATCCAATGTGGACAATTTAATGAAATCACCAAAGAATGAAGAATCCACTGATGCTCAATCCCTCATATCAATTCTTACAGAGCAACGTAACCGTTTCAGAGACAAGAATAATGTCATGGAGGAGCAATATGCCCAATTGAAACAGCAAATGGAACAAGTTGAAAATGAGGTTGGAAAACTCAGAAAGGAGAATTTGAAGCTGTATGAAAAGACTAAATATTTACAATCATTTGGTAATAATACATCAACAAGTAGAAACAAACCAAATCCTGAATCAAATATGGAATATGAACCAATTCAAAACAAGTACGAAAAGCTCTATGAACAAGAATTAGATCCTTTCAAGAGATTCCACAAGAAGGAAAGAGAAGACAGACTAAACAATATGAATGCAGCTGAGAAGCTTATTTATAGATGTAGTGGTTTAATGCTATCCCACAAACTTGGTCGTTTATTCCTCTTCTTTTATCTGGTGACTTTACACACATTAGTATTTTTCACTCTGTCCAAACTCACTGGACTCACTCTCAGAAAGAAATAGTAAATATATATTTCTTTCTTTTATTTGCATATTCTATGAAACATGCTTTACACTTCAAATGACATTATTTCTTAATGTTGAACTGATAATTTTGGCGCCAAAATCCATTTACATTTTTTCTCCTTCAGAAAATACCTAAATTCTTCTCAAAGAAATGAGTCTACCGACCTCATCATTGCTTTCCTCATCTTCATCATCATCATTGATTGGAGAGGGCAATTACCTCGATGAGCTGGGAATGAGAAGTGCTGCCATTATTGTAGCAGCCTCAAATTCCCCAATGAAATCCACCTCCTCTCGGGGAAGAAGGCCCTCGCTCTCATCATCTAGTACTTCCATTGCAGTCATATCGAGAAATTCATCCTTTGCCAATTCCTCTTCTTCATCCTTAAATTCATCAAGCCATTATCCAACTCTTTCCGAACAAAATCTTCAACAATATCAGGAAAATATTATCAATTACCATCATCCATCCAGCAATCCAATTCGAAGCAATGCTCCTAGAAAGTTTTCCTACTCCAGAGAATTACCCTACCATCAACAAGATAATACTTCCAACCCATCCCATCTCGATCGAATAATAATAATAATTATATTTTGAACAATAATACATCATCCGAATATTGTAATGCCATTTCCGAAAATTTTGATATTCAAAAAGCCCAACGATTAAAAGTTGAGAGAATGTTTCAATCAGCCATTAAGAAATCCTCAAAAACTTCCTCTCCTCAAAAACCACTTTCAAGAAGAATATATGCAACAGATAAATACAAAATGACTGATACAGAGGATGAGGAAAATTCGGAAATTAGTTCAATTTCGACTGGCCTTAGTGATTCTCCGAATGGTGCAAGTCAATTGGATTTTAATACTGAAGACCCTTCTTCACCTCAACCTATTCAAAAATTAGTGTACAATTTGGATGATTCAATTGATCAGGAAGTGCAAGCAGATGACGATTTACAAATTCTAATTCCTAGAGCAAAAGTGTAAATTCTTCTTCAAGAAATTCATCTCTTCTCATAGATTCTGTACACAATATTGACATTACCCCAATTCCTGACGATGATGGGTTAGAGACCGATAATGATCTCTATTCAATGATTGAGGCAAACAGAGTGTTGAAATATGCTCTCGACGATGTCACTAAGGAAAAGAACGATTTGGAAGAGCAATTTGTAACACAAGTTGAAGAGTTGGAGAAATTCCTCACTAGAAGTCAAAGACCATACGTAAAGAAAGGAAGACGGTCTCTCTCTAAACATCTTTCTGATGAAGAATTGTCAAGTGTTAATAGTACCTTGCGAAAAGATATTCCAAGCGCTGAAGACTCACCCATCGTAAAGCTTTCTCAATCCCTACTGAATAGTACTCCAAAGAAATTCCCCGTGTTGAATATGACATCTAGTGAAAAGGATAGTGTAATTTATTCTCTTCGAGAGAAAATAGAAGAAATCAAATATAGGTATGAAAATGAAAGAGCAACAGAGAGCTTAAGAGAATCTCTCACATCAGAAATTAGTTCCTTACTTCAAAAATTGACCATTGAAAGTGATGGATCCCAAACTGAAAGGACAAGAAATTTAACTAGCTCTTTAAAGTCTTTTCTCGATTCTTCTTCTCTAAGCATAACCCCGAAAGAATCAAGGATTGTTAAGGAAATGAGGATTAAACAAGAAATTCAAAAGGGAATAATTGAACAATTAAAGGTAGAAAATGAAAAACTAAAGGAAAAACTGGAATCTGAAAGAAAGAGTAGGAAAATTGTTTCAAAAGAACTGACCCAATCAGAGAATTATATTTTAAGGTTGGAGGAGCAAATGCAGAAAAGGGACATGCAAAATAATGACAAACTCTCAATATTAACAGGAGCATACGATGATTTGGTTTCAGAAAATTCAGAACTCATTCAACAAGTTAAATTCATGAGAGAACAACTTTTAGACAGCCAGAGTAATACCAACTTGTCAGTACTAGCAGGAAGGAGTAATAAGAACAAACTTACCAGCAGTAATATACTCAGCATGATTTCTGACACACAGAGTGTTTCCTCTTTGAGTACATCCCGAAATGATGAACCAGTCCAAGACATTAAATATTAAAAGCAGTAAATGTAGCTTTATTCTATCTAGGGCTATACTGAAATTTGCATGGCACTTGTATCGAGTTGTGTTTGTGGGGATGTAATATCTAAAGAAGTAGTAGTAGTAGAGAAACTAGTTTCAGAAATTGGAGGAGTGACTGTTTCTGGGGTGGTGTCCATAGTTGATGTGCTGGAGACAATGACATCAAGCTCAGCCAACATTAAATTATAGTCAGTTTCCAAAACCCTCTTTTGTGAGGCAAGATATTTCTCATAGAGTTGTCTCTTTTCCTCCCTTATTCTCTCCAAGCTTTCATTAATCATATCCAATTCATTGTCTCCCTCACTTACACGAATAATATGTTTTTGAGTTTGACTATCATAATATTTAAAAGTTCCCATATAATCATTATAATCCCACATTGGAGGTTGTTGCTGCTCAACAGGTTGGCTGTTAGTTGGAAAAACTGATTGGTTTACGTAAGCAACAGTGTTAGCACTTATTGGCGTTGTTGTTGGTCGATTAGATAAGGCACTAGTTGGTGTTGAAGGTTGAGTAGAGAAATTTCCAGCTGTTGAAGACAATTTGGAAGGTGTAGAAATAGGTGTGGAAGCTGATGCATTGGCCTTATTATAGTTGGCATTATTGAATCTGGTGTCAACTTGAAGATTTTGTCTTGGAGGGGTGCTATATGAAGCATTGGTTGTTGATTGTGTACTATATGCTCCTTGGTATGGCTGTTGTTGCTTGTAGTAATAATTATCTCTATTATATTGAGGATTGTTCCAAAAAGATGCCTTATCAACACTTGTTGCACTGGTTGGAGTACCAGTCGAAGAGGAAACTTGTGAAGAAGAAGTATTAACACCACTTGTGGAAGAACGATGGTCATAACCTGTTGCTGAATTGTAGGCATAGGCATCCTTTGGTGATGCGTACCTATAGTTTGGATCAGTTTGATAAGTTCCTCTGTGATCGTAATAATCTCTTCCTCTCATTTGATAATTATATCTTCTATCGTATCCATAGTAATCATGATCGTACTTGTACATGTCATCTTGCATTAAATTTGGATCGTAATGAGATCCATATGAATTAACATCGTGATAATGTGATGAATAGCTCTTTTCCGAAGGTGTAACTGGCTGCTGGTCTGTTGCATTTGTGACAGACTTGGTTGGTGTGGATGGCACTGAAGTGTTGCCACTACTCATAGCATTACTATTGCTAACAGTTGGTGGTGGAGGTGTTGTTGTGGTTTGTTGGGGAGGATTGGTAGAATCCACTGTTGTTGTTGTTACATTTGTTGCATTTGATACTGTTGAATTTTTGCTTGGGGTAGTCTCGTTACTGGTAGTAGTTGATGTTGAAGTGTTGGTTTGTGACTTGGACTGTTCGCTGGATTGCCTAGAAGCTAATGCAGCAGCTGCTGCAGTTGGATTGCTACTTGCATGATAGCTTGTATATGGACTTGTGGTATTGTAATAATACTTGTTATTGTAACCACTTGGAGAGGAAAAATTCTTTCTTTGATAGTTTTGTTGATAGTAGGATCTATTATATGACATGTCATCTGTTCTATATTGATCATATCCTGCATCTCTTCTATAATAATAATCTCTTCCCGAATACATTTGTTGTTGATCATTTCCAAATCTTCTATAATTACCATACTGATGATAGGATGATTGAGAATTTCCTCCATCCTGACTCATAGATGATGAAGAGGCTCCTGTTGCGGCAGTCACATTTGTTGCCGATGTAGACATTGTAGAATTATCACTACCACTTGTAGGTGGAGGTGGTTGTGGATTTGCAGAATTTGGGTTGGTATTACCACTCGTCGATGACGATGATGATGTCGAAGAAGGTTGTTGACTTTGTGAATAATGTCCACTATTATTGTAATAATTTCCAGAGCGATTATAATTATAACCTCCACTACTACTACCACCGGAAGACCTAGAATAATAATTATAATTATTATTATATGAATGATGAGAAGAGGCTGAAGTATTTCCACCACCACCGCTACTACCACTACCCCGACCATAATAAGATGACGAGGAACCTCCTGTAGCTTGAGAAGTATTGTATTGATTGATACCACTGCTGCTGCTACTTGAAGGTGGATTGGATGACTCACCTCCTTGTTGTGATGATGGTGTTTGGGATGAACTCATTTTTTTTTAATGTTATTAATAATTGAATGTTTCTTTATCTGCCCAGTTTAATATATTATCTTTTAGTTATGTTCAATTTTATAGAATAATGAAATCTAAATTGTTTAGAATCTTTTAAAACAATTAAATAATATTTTAAAATTAAAAAACCAAAAGTAAATCTCATTTTTGTCAAATACAATAATCCAGAAGGAAAATACATTGCGTAAATCTTTACCCAATTTAAAACCTCTTAAAAGCTATTTTCTGGCTTCCACTAGATGTAGTCTATACGGGGGTTGATAGATTCCTTGACCATATTAAACCTATTCACACATTGTCCAGGTGAGCAGAGTTGGAGGCAAGAAATAGTTTTTTAAAATTATTTCTAATTTGTTTTGTTGGGAAATAAGATAATGATTGAAAGATAATTGTTGGAGAATTTGCGAATGTTTTTTAATGTTTTATTTTCTGATGTTCCGATACTATGATACTATAAACTCGTTCCAAAAATTAGGTTATTGTTATTAGTTAAATTATTGTTGTTGCACTGATTCAACAAGCTTCTTCCAAGAAGCCTTCTTGTGCCAAGTTGGTTCCAAAGCAGGATAATAACGCTTGTTGAGAGTTTGCTTTTGTTCTTCACGGAGCTTTTGCAAGTTTCTAGTTTCACGGAGACGACGAATTTGAGCCTTGGTGAATCTTGCCGACATTTGGCAAACAAGGGATGTGGTGAACATTTTTTTAAAAAATATTTATTCATTTAAAATTAATTCAATATATAAATTGTTTTCTCTGCTTAATATAATGGATGTACATCATATTATCTTTTTCATTCTTATTAATTTAATATTAATTTTGTGAGTTTGTTCCTATTAATTTTAAGAATATCAAGGACATTTAACTATTTATTCAATCAGGTAAAGGTAATTTCATCTTAGTTAAATACTTAAACCAGAAATTCTTTCACATGAGAGATAATGACATATTTCACATGCCAGAAAATAAATTTGAAAAGTCAACAATCCATAACTATTATAGGATGTTATGTAATTCGCCATTTGGAAATCTTTAAGGCAAATCATCAAAATCCAAAACCTACCTTATTTGAACCTTAAAAAGTTGGTTCATTCACATTGAAAAAACAACAAAGGTGGTGAACAATGAATTGAGTAGTGACCTAAATCTCGCTAAATATTGTTGGGTTCTTTTTTACACATTTTAACAGATCAAAACGCGAGGTTTTACAAAATTTTCTCGCTTTATTTTCCAAGGTGGGACGCACTTTGCATGAATGCGCAGAATTTCAAGCAAAAAAAAATATCAAAACACTAACAATACATACAATGAGCTCTCTCAGAAAGGTCTACGTTTTGGGTGGTTATACCTCCAAGTTTATTGGCAAGGGTCATCCAGATTTTATTCACAAGAAGCACCCACTCTTTGGCAAGCAAGTCAATCCAGATTTGAAGACTTATTTGGTCCAAGCTATCCAAGAAACCCTCAAGATGAATAAGTGTACTGGTAAACAAGTTGATAAAGTTTTCGTTGGTAACTTTGCTGGTGAATGCTTCTCTCAACAAGGTCACATTGGTTCAGGTATTTCTGAAGCCGATGCTGGTTTGTTGTACAAGCCATCTTATAGATTGGAAGCTGCTTGTGCTTCTGGTGGTGGTAAGTTTAATTTTCATGATTAATTTATTCATGAATTTTAGTTGCTTTCAATGCTGCTGTTGACTCTATTTTGGCTGGTACCAGTGATGTTGCTTTGGTTGTCGGTGCCGAAGAACAAAATACTGTCAGTGCTCGTGAAGGTGCTGCTCACTTGGCAAAGGCTGCCGATTTCAATAGACAACGTGTTCTCGATGAATTTACATTCCCAGCTTTGTATGTTTTTAATTATTTAATGATTTTTTAATTGTGTGATGAATTATTACCAAATTCCGAAATGAAATATTCATTCCGAACAAATGAAATTGATCATGAAATAGGTATGCTACTCGTAAGATGCACTACTTGAAGAAGTATGGTTCAATTGTTAAATCTGAAGATGTCGAAAAGGTTGCTTTCAAGGCCTATCAAGCTGGTAATAAGAATCCATTGGCTCAAATGTTCACTTCTAAACTCGATCATCAAGGTATTATTGATTCACCAAAATTCCTTTCTAACCCAGAAATTAAGGACTTTTTGAAGATGTGTGAATGTTCTCAAGTTTCCGATGGTGGTGCTGGTCTTTTGGTTCTCAGTGAAGAAGGTTTGCAAAAATTGGGCTTGAAGCACTCTGATGCTATTGAAGTTTTGGCCTCCGAAGTTGCCATTGGTAACTTGTATCAAGATACTCCAGAAACATTCTCTGACTTGTTGACCACTTATGCTGCTGCTAAGAGAGCTTACAAGAAGGCTGGTGTTTCACCATCTGATGTTTCCATTGCTGAAGTTCACGACTGTTTTGCTATTGCTGAAGTTGGTATGAATGAAGCTTTGGGCTTCTCCAAGCCAGGTGAAGGTGCTTTCCTCCACTTGACAAAGCCTATGGTCAATACTGGTGGTGGTTTGATCTCATTCGGTCACCCTGTTGGTGTAAGTATTTAGTATAATAATTTATTTACTCTTTTATTAAGGCTACTGGTGTTAAACAAATTAACGAAGTTTTCAAGCAAATGAAGGGTAAGGCAGGTGATTACCAATTGAATGGAAGTTTGGAAGTCGGTGTCTGTGCTAACATGGGTGGTAACGACAAGACATCTGTTGTTTCAATCTTTAAGAATTTGTAAATTAACTAGTTCAGTAACTGAACAATTTTGGAATCGAATCATTAAAAAACAAAAAACTATTTATCATAATTTGGAAATTCTTTCATATTCTCCAATGGTGTTACAATTTGTAAGAAGAAATTATAAGGGAACTGTTTAGGATATCCTTTTCGCTAAAGATTTTCGTTAAAGATTTTCAAAGAAAGATGGCCAACACATCTCTTCTTTTATTCTTTATTTCATTTCTTCTATTACAATTTTTTGATTCCCATCTAATTTTATTTTGTGAATTGATTCACTTGAGAAACTTCGAACATTGAACATCAATGGCACTCAAATAAAACTCCACCACTAATTTTAAAAAAAATTCAACAACACCATGAACCTCTTGTGGATTCTCTTAACGGTCATGACTATCAGTGCCCTGGTAGTGTCAGTGTTTCTCAAAGGAAAAGGTGTTCAACAACAAGTACGAGAATTTTTAGGAACATCCAAACAAAGAGCTGCTAAATTTATGAGTGAATTTAAGAGAAAGACATTCCACTTGATTGGTTTGTTGGTTCCTGGTATTTATTATTTTGGATTGAAGTTTGAATTCTTGTCTCAATTCTATGCTTGTTCTATTGTTGCTGGATTTGCTGGTCTTTCACTTGCAGTTGATGTAAGTTTATAGTGGTTGAATTTTATTTGTCATCATGATGATCCGATACTGTTGGTGATAACAATTACGTTTATTATTATTTAAATATCTTGTTGTGATGACTATTTGATCATAATATTATTTAAATAATGACAATTTGTTATTTGATGATTTATGATGTTTTATGAATCTTGTCAATTATCATAATGTCATGTAAATTAGATTTTGAGATTAAATTCTGACAAATTCAACAAGTTTTTCCAAGATTCACCAGCTGGTAGAATTATGAGAAAGAAGGAAATTAATGATATCAACGGTTCTACTTATTATTTGATTGGTTCACTCTTGACAATGATTCTTTTCCAACCAACAATTGCTATTGCTTCTCTTTTATTCTTGGATTTGGGTGACTTGTCTGCTGCATTGGTTGGTATTTCATTTGGTAGAGTTAGAGTTTACAAGAGCAAATCATTGGAAGGATGCATTGCAAACTTTTTAGTTTGTCTCCTTGTTGGATTTTCAATCTTTTATCATGTTCATCTCTATGAATATATTTCACTTGTTGGTGCAATTACTGCCACACTTACTGAACTTTTCCTCGATCAGATTAATGATAACTTGTCAATTCCAATTATGAGTGGTATTGCTCTCACTTTGGCACAATGGAGATTGGGTGTTGACATTCCATTCATTTAAATGTGTAAATTTGTAGATAAGAGACAACTACAGTGCTTGTAATAGAGCCCTAAGGAAAAATAAAATTATTTATATATGTATTATTACAATAATATTTTATTTTTTTACAATCTTGTCCTTTTTAAATATAGTTAAAACAATTACAATTCATCAATTCGGAATCAAATAATAATAATTTAAAAAGCATGATATCATGAATATTTAAAATTTAATTTCCTGTTCTAAAACTTGTGATAATTCCTTTTCCATTCTTTGCCAAAATTTCAAATGTCCCTCTCGTGTGCAAATCCAATCATCATTGACATGATCATATCTATAATGCCAAGGTCCACTGATGGCACTCGAAAGCCACAACTCTCTAGCAGGGGTTTGTCTCGAAACTACAAAAACCATCAGCTTATCTTCACTTGTTGTGACTTTAATATTTACAACTCCATCATGTCCTCCTTCAACCTCCAAATCCATACCCTTCTCTTCCAAGTTATCCACCTCCGAATCATAGAATTTATCCAATACTTCTGTAATTCTATCGACAGTTCTATTGATTGCTCCGATGTATTGAGTTTGAGTGAAGGGAAAATCACCAAGTGGTGTATGTTCAGTAGTGGTTGTTGTTGGTGCTGATGATGATGATAATAATGATGAATTATTCATGAATTTGTTAATAATTGTTGTTGTGTAGAATCTCTTTGTGTTCATCAGAACGGATGATGATCGGATGTGTTTCAACATTTTTTATTAGTGGAAATTTTGTAAAGGTGCAAGAATTCAAAAACATAAGGTGGAAATTCAATATTCAAGGTTTGAGTTTGCAGAATTACTATTTAAAAATTTTAAGAAGTGTTATAATCTTTTTCATCTTAAGTTTTGCTTTAAATTCAATTCGTATATTTGTTCTTCAGTGGAGCTCAAGAATAAGGTCGCTAAGAAGGGATACTTGTTAACATGGAGTTCCTGGTCCTCAAGGATTTGAATCTTTCAACCAAAGTAGATCAAAGTATCATTGGTTCATGAAATTGTAGAAAAAGCAATATTGAAACACCACCTAGAGTATCAAGTGGCTCCAATCAAAGTATAAGAATAAATTAATGTATTTCTACAAATCTTTGAAAAATCCAATCATTATCTTTTCATATCCTGCAGGATCGACATACATTGGCACCAGGTGTCCATCACAAAAATCAACTCCTCTTCCACTAATCTTGGAATAATCCACTTCAAACAAGTGTGAATTGATCTTTTCTGTAATGTTTACGTTCTGAGATTTGGCACTGGCGGTAGCTGCTTCAATACATTGATAATAATTGAATTCTGGAACTACATAATCTGATGAACCTTGGAAGAAGAATATTCTTCTCTCTCCTGATAGGTCAACAGTTTTCATGCATGTTTGAGGATCGAGAGGGAATGGTGGAAATCCTTGAGTTCCCTTAATTGCAACTACTGATTTGGCTAAATTAAAAAGGGCACCCGACATGCCAGGAGCAATTTGTTCAGCTCCAAACATTATTGTTTCGTACACGTTACAAGGTGGTGAATCGGCAAATACCATTTTGAATCTCTTCTCTTGTGAGAAGGCAATCAATGAGGTTGCAGCTCCCTGAACAGTTTAGTTTCAATAATTATTTCCTGAAAGACTTACCATTGAAGTTCCAAAAACAGCCACTCTTGGTTGTGAAGCATTCTTTAGGAATTTAAATCTACTCTCCAAATAATCCAAAGCTCCCAAAACATCACGATGTTCATAATAACCATATGAAGCGTATGGATTTGGAGCATAAATATCAGAATCTCCATAATTTCTCAAATCAATATACAAGACATTGAATCCATTTCTATAGAGCATGGCAGCTGGCTCAACACTTGCATACGTAAATCTACAACATTGATATCCGTGCACAACAATCACAAAACGACTCGTTTCATTCACAACTGGTTGTAACACCAAATTTCCAACAATATTTCCACTTCCACTTGCAACCCACTCAGTATCTCTCGATTTAAATGTAACCTCCTCAAAATATGGTTTAATTTCATCATAATTCAAATAAACATTCTTCAACAATGAATAATTATAGGAATCAACCAAGGGAGGACAATAATCAGCATCGGCCACAGTAAAATTCCAAGGTCTGTTCTGTCTCACACTATTCGGACAATCCTCTGCTTTATCAGTTCCAAATGCTAAATCCCACACATATGAACCAACTCCAAAACAAATAGCCATCACAATTACTCCCAAAACAATCAAACAAATCACCAGAATAATCATTGTGATGGAAATTCCTAAAATTACTTTTCTACGTGATGCTGATGATGAAGAGGCTTTCTCTGATTTGATAATGGAAATTCGTTCATCCTCTGAGGAGGAAGATGAAATGGTCTTTATGTGTTGCACGTTCATTTTTTTTCAACTTTTCAATCAAAAATTCTTAATTGAATTTGACCTAACGGAGAGTTGTTTTATTAATTTTGAATTGTTTGGGGGTTAATTTCAAGGTTAAGGTTGCTATTTTTTTTCTTATTTTCAGTCCAATGAAAATGAAGACAGTTCCTAAACTATGTTTGCTATTATCCGTGGTGACTGATCGCTTTGAATGTTGATGGAGGGGTTTTTGAGATGTTTAAGGAGATTGAGGTTCTGATTTCACAACTGAACTGTGCTACTGGAATAGTTTGAAAATTTGAAGTACAATTGAGATAGTTCATGAAATTGTTTGAATTTCCTTGACTTGCAACAATTTGGAATTGGTTAAAGCCATGTCCTTTTCCACAACTTCTCAGCATAGACTAATTGTCTACCATCCTTTCCACTTGTAGCCAATCCACAGCCATTCAGGTCACACCTTTCGGCCATCACTTTCTCATCATCCCTTTTAGGAAGGCTCCAAAACCTTAAATTACAATTTGGCGCCATTTTAATAGCCACAACAACATAAAAAAAACTCAACACAAAATGTCTGAAGCAGGTCTCTTAAAATCATTGTTAAAGTATATTCCAAAGGTGGAGGATAACTGGCCAATTATTTTGTTGATTTTGAATATTATCTGGCCAGGTTTGGGTACCTTTATTGCTGCCTTTTTGACTAAGAAGGATAAGAAGAAGACTTATTGCATAATATTCGGTCTTTTGCAAATGTTTACTTCATGGTTTGTTGTCGGATGGGTTTGGAGTATTTTGTGGGGTATTTTAATTTATAAGAGATCGACTGGTATGTAGAATTATTGTTTGTTTTCCTTACATGAAACACTTCATCATATGATGATTTATTCCTCATTAATTCCAATGAATAGGTCCTGCAAAATTGGTTCCTGAAGTTTAAATGGTATTGAATTTAACAAGTTCATACAATAATAAAACAAAATATTAAATTTTATTCATGCATGAATACTTTGCAAAGTTCTTTGACTGTTCACGAATTAGAATCTGAAAAAGAGATTTATTTACACCAAATAATTTGAATGAAAGATGGTTTGCATTTGCAGATGACTTTAATTTAATCTTCCATAATTTGTTTGAGATCTTCCACTTCTTACCATGCAAACAATACAACAAATGAAACAACACAAAATCAGTAAACATACCAAAACAATTCCAATAACTAATGCTGCAGTTACTCCTCCAGAAATTGAACCAGGTGATTTGTAAACAATTGCAATATTGTAAATATTTCCATTTGATGCTTGGCAAGTTGGTGTGAAATTGTCAACTGAGGAACAAAGTAAGAAATCAGAAGTAAATGCCAGTTGTCCATCTTTAAAATTAAAACAAATTGGAATACTATCCCCATCATAGGAAAGAATGGCATTATATAAATTACTTAATGGTCTTTGAATGATGGTTCCAATTGACATTTTAAAGTTGCCAATGATATGTGAAATTGTAATGTCATTTCCAGTTGACTGCATTTGAGTGAATGGAAGAACTGATTGATCGCAATTCTTATCAAACAGTGTCATATCACCTAGTAACCATGTACCAGATTCTACACCTGAAGTGGCAAGAACTGAACGTTGATTTTTAGTTTCGGAAAGTTTCTTCATGTATTCGAAACGACTTGCTTCAGAATATTGTTGGCGAGATTGTTTGATCATTGTTGTGATGGATTCGGATAGTGGATATGATGTTTGTGTAGAGAGATGAGTCAATACACCAACAATGATAACAACAAGAAATAACAAATTATCTTTTGACATTTTTTTTAACTTTTGATAGGATCAATTTACAATGCAACATGCCAAACTATTTCCATTAAAGTTATTATTCGTCGAGGATGGTTTTCCATCATTATCTTGAGTTCTCCAATTTCACTACCAAACATTCATCAAACACTATTAGGAATAATTTTAAAATCAAAAAAAAATAATAGCCTTAGTATGTTAGAACCAGAACCAGAAGTTCAACTCGATAGCCCTGATGAATGTTTTGCCGTTAGTAATAACATTCCTGAATTTTCATTCGAGACCAATGATGAAGATATTGTTTGGGAAACTGTGTTCTTTAATGTAATTAATAAGGATAAGTTGATTTCCAATGAAGAACTAACAGAAACTGAGCAAAAACATTTCAAAGGAAACTCTGTTGCACTCCTCAAGACAGATGCAAAGAGAAAAATTAATTACCACAACCTTATCACTCCAAAGTTTCTTGAAAAAGAGTGGAGTTTTGCTTCTCAAGATTGTGCTTTAAAGTCCATATATGCTCACTCATGCAAAATAACAGTCATTCTACAAGAAGGATACGAAACCCGTTCCTTCATTGGAAGTGGTGTTATTGTCTTGAAAGATAAATCTTTGGACTATATGATGGCTTTAACAAGTGCTCATATATTTTATCCTAAAGAGATGAATAATCCAATTATTAAGGGAATTTTCATTGTCTTGAGTAATGGTGGGCAATTTAAGGAGTGTGATGGTAGTCTAGTGGAAACAGGAGATTTTAAAACGAAAAAAGACCACTCCTCTGACTGGGCACTTTTGAAGGTTACCTCTGGGATGACGAACGACCTTTTAGAAGATTCGTTAACATTAATTCCTTCTCCATCAGAATCAAGAGCATTAAACCATTTTACAGAAACAGAAGGATATCCGTGCATTTATTCAACTTTGCTTATTGGCTATTTCACAAAAGGCACCTTTGATAATGACTGTAGAGAATTTAAAAGATTAAGAGAGATTGGATTTGAAATTGAAGATGTTTGGAAAATTATTCCCTTCGATATGGCCCTGTCTTTTGGATGGACTACATCTTGTAAGCCAGGGAACAACCCTGTTTACAATTGTGGAACCACTATCTGTTGCTCTGGAGGGCCTTTATTTAAGTGTAGAATCAATGTCGACCGGTTAGGAGAGATTGTGAAATATGATCAAATAACAATCAATGAAACCGAACTAAAAAACTTGTTCCAGAAGAGTTACATTTCAACAAGAATAATGGGTTTGCATAGTGGAGGAGCATATTTTGGAAATATAGCTTGTTCAGCCATTCACTTTTTCAAAAGCTATTATCAACATGTTTATTTGCCTCACCAAGACTTATTCTCTTTGAGTGATCAAATATTTATTGAAACAGAGTTACAGAATGAAGGAAATTTGATTTGATTTCAACTAATCATCAATTCCTTTCTCATGCAAGCAAGAAGGTTGATTGAAGAAAAACAATGCTTATTGGATGTTATCCCGATAACACCTTCTTGGTTAATGGTGTAAATATTGAAGATAACAGAACATAATATAAATGGTACTAAGGTAATAAGACTAGTTTCATTACTCAATGTGTATGTAATGTAAAATCGGGTGTGGTATAGTGGTAGCATTCCAGACTGTCACTCTGGCGACCCGGGTTCAATTCCCGGCACTCGAGTAAAAATTTTTGTATTTTCTAGCTCAACATTCATTATTTTCCCTATATTTTGCATAATTTGATATTTAAGATATGTGAGATGATGTTCATTTTTTAATTTTTTTTGTATTTCCTGTTTTGGAAACCTCTGCCTGTACCATTATCTTGCGTTCTCCAATTCACACCAGACTAATGAACATTTGTAAACAAGTTCTGTTGACTGTGCAAAGGATTATTCCACTTTCAAACTCATTGAGCATTTTCAAACAAGTTCATCCTCACTCACACGGAATCCCTTCCGTAGCTCTCAAGTTTAATAATAACACTTTTCCTTTCATCTTCAACAATAATAAGAGAAATGGACAATTCCCAACAGCACAAATTTTTGATTTAAAACACACAAAGAACAACACGAAAGAATTTCAATCTAAAAATAACAAAATTGAAAAAAATAAGAACAAAGAAAATAAGAGATGAATTTTACTTACAAACAGCAACCTTCGCCATCAGCACCATCATCATCATCGGCAACAAGAGTTGTGATGACAGTGAAAGAAAAATTTGAAAAACACAAAACCGAAACAAATGCTCTCCTTCAACAAGCCATTAAAAAGACCAATGAATGTGATTTTAATAATTTGAAGGAAATTATAGTGATGGGAGAAATGTTATTTAAAAAGGTGGAGCAGATGGATGTATTTGATCTTTCTGAATATCCAGAGTTGAGACAAGAAAGAAAGGATTTGATAAAGAAGTTACAAGAAGTAATTTCTCAATTTGATAGATATCCAAAAAGTGTAGAAAATTTCAAGAATAATTTGAATGAATTTCATACAAGTTGCAAATCATTTATTGATTTGATGGAATTGACAGAGAATTTTGATATTCCATTCCTGAAGAAATATGAATTATTTAATACTTTGGCTTCAGTTGATCACAGACTTGTGTCACAACAAATTCATGGATACAGACAACCTTTGACATTATTTAAACCAATCTCAAAGGATATGAAAGTTGATCACGATAACATCATTAATCTCATTGGAAAATTGTTTAGTCTAGCAGTTCACGTTGCCACCGTCTACGAACCAATGAAGAGAGAATTGCCAACAATCATTCAACATAATCAAGATGCTCAAAAGTTTATCTCTCAAATTGAACAATTAATCAATTCTGGTAGTCACAAATTTTCAATTATTGGCAGTTCTACATATTCAAACAATGAAACCTTCTCACAAACATGTCAATCACTTATTAACTCATTGGAAATTTCTCATCAATTATTGAGCAAGTACCGTGATACAAGATCCACAAGAGATATTCATTCTAGGCACGTTGATAATACTTCCAAGAATCTTAAAAAATTAGAATTCTTTAATGCCATCTTTAGTATTAGCCCAATTTTTTCAAATGTATGCAAAGATTTGAAGAATCCATCCATTGAAACCCTTTCCAATGCTATCGATCAGTTAAATAATTGCAAGCCATCCATTGAAAAACTGACTAAACTTGAACAAGTCAAATCCCAACTAGGTGAACCATTTGATATTGAAATTACCAAAGCCATTTCCTTCCATCAATACGTCAGTAACCAAATTATTACAATACTTTCCAAATTGAAAGATTTAGAAACTAACACTGATCCAAATATTTGGTAAATTGAATTGTAAATAAATATTGTAAATAATGTACATTTAATTGAAATAAAATGAAATTTTGTAAAGATCCAAAGTTTACTCTTTAAATTGAATAGTGACATCATTTAATGCGTCAAATGATTTACCCAAATTATTCTTCAACCTTCCACCCATCAAGGATCCAATATCAAATCTCAATTCCTTTGCCAGTTCAATTGGAGTCTTGCCATCCTTAATTTTTACAAAATCATCAAATGTTCTTCCACAAAAACTGTACAATAGATATCCACATCCTTTTGATCTTTCAAATTTCAAACTTGTTGAAGCTCCATTCTCAATTAATAAGCTAGCCATAATCTTGTCATTATTTTTAATACAGAAATGCAAAGGAAACTAATTCATATTTGAATAATTTCCATGGAATATGGGGAAACTTACGCAGTGATCAAGGTCAAACAATTTAGATTCCAATAAATCTTTCAGAAATTGAACATTTCCTTTCATGCATACAAGTAGAATTTCAGATATTGGATCCCTATTAAATATTAAAACTGATTTCTTTCTACCACAACACGTCATACTTTTCAGTATTAAGGAAGCAATTTCCCATTTTCCATTGTAAATAGAAATTCCAAGACATGACATTGCATTTTCAGCATCATGAACTTCTCCACGATAAGGATCAATAGATTTAGTGTCCAATAATAATTTTACAATTTCCAAATGACCTTCTTGACATGCAGCATAGAGTGGACTGGTTGTAACATGACCACACGAGTCCAAGTATACTGAACTGAATGTTAAGCCCTCATTTACCTGAATTCCTGGCATTTGAAGCAATAACTTTACAATATTTACTTTCCCAAGTTTACATGAAACAAATAGAGGTGTCTGAATTAATAGAGTTTAATCAAAAAATTATACAATTTAGGATTGACTTACACTCTATATTTGGAATTTTTACAACAATTTGTTTAATATTATTAACTTACACTCTACAATATTGTTATAACAATAAATATCAATAACTGAAAAGTATACTTACTCCCTAACAATAGTTATTCACAACCAATTAAACTTTAAATGAAATACTTACAAGCTATATGAATGTATTCAGAAAAGAATTGATTCGATAAATGTAACTTACACCATCTCTTTTCTAAAGAGAGATATTCGTTGGATCAGAATAATTGATTGTTTACAACTTACTGTTTTTTTCTTTTATAATAATTACCAAAAATAGAAAATTAAAAACCAACCTCATACTATTCATTTTTCAATTACTGAACAACACATAGAAATGTATACTTACAAACTGTATTTAAACAAAATTAAAACTTTCTTGTAATTCAACTACTTACTCCCTTTTTCATTATTCGAAACCATTCAAATATATAAAATTACATACTTCCTTCAATTGAATGACAAAATTCAAACATTAAATACTGCTTATCAAAAACAAACTCACTAAAAAATTGACATCCAATCCCTTCACAGCCAACAAGTATTTAATCACATCTTCCCTTCCATTTTCACAAGCCAGATATAACAATGTAACACCCCCATCGTTTGTTGTATTCACATATTGCTCCAATTCTGAGTGATCCATTTTGAGAATTTCATCAAAATTACCTTTACTTGCTCCGAGGAATAATTTTGAAAGTGTTGGATCCATTACTGGTGTTGGAGTGTCTCGAGTGTAGCCGTCCAATTTAATCATTTTATCTAATTCTTCCAATTCATCCACTTCATCAATATTATTGTTTGAATCAGTGTTTGAAAATGTGTTTGTACTTTTCTCTTGAGATTGACCCATTTTTTTGAAGATAAATTTAACTAAAAGTTACAGAACTTGATCAGAACTCTAGTCTGTTTACAATATCCCTTCCACCCGATTCTCAGACCCTTCAGTATCGGCGCAGGCGAAAAACGGGAAATGGTCTTCTAATTCAACTTGTGGCATTCTTGGCCAAAAAATTTTCGATTTTGAACAAATCCAAACCAGCATCGTTTAAAAACAAAATTATTGCATTAGCCGGGAGTCGAACCCGGGTCACCAGCTTGGAAGGCTGGTATGATACCGTTACACTACTAATGCTTACACTCATTACTCTCAAAATCATGTGTATCAAACAACCATCCTAAGATTAGGAAACTTATTAGAATTGAAAATTAGGTTAGTTCACATAAGGAGAATTCTTAATAGAAATAGAATCTTTGCTCTTCCATTTCTGCTTCTATTTTTAAAGTAGAAAAGTCAGGATAAGGATTTTGCATAGATTTTTCACCTCACAACCCTTTAAAAAATGGCCAAAATTATCCTCTCAATTCTCTTAGTCTGTTTGATTGCCACTGTAATGATGGTTAGCGCAGACCCAGCTCCTTTCAAACAATGTATGAGTAATGGTGTTTTCTTCCCACAATCATTGGATATTACTCCAGCCAAACCAAAGGCTGGTGACACTTTAGTTGCTGTTGCTACCGTAAGTAAATTGATTATCATCATATTTAATGATCAAAAAATCATTGATTGACACATAACTAGGGTACCGTATCTGCTACTGTTCCATCAGGTATTTTGTATGCTGATATTTACTTATCAGGTGTCAGATTGTTTGAATTTACTTATGATTTGTGCAAGGTTTGTATTTCATCATGATTCGTGTATTAAAGTTTAAACAATAATAGTCTGTCTCTGGTGGTTGTCCAATCACTCCAGGAACCAAGGCCATCACTATTCAAAATTCCATTCCATCATTCGCCTTCCCAGGAACCTATAATACTGTTGCATCTGCCTATGCTGACGCTTCCAAGACCAAGGAAATTGCTTGTGTTTCTTTCAATTTTACTATTGCTTAAATAAATTAATTTATTATTAAAAAAAACATATCGGATTTAATTAAAATTTAATTTTGAAATTAGTATATTTATTTATTAGTAAATTAAACAAGAATAGTGAAAATAAAAGCAAGACAATTAAATTGAGCAAGTACACATATTCATCAATCCTTTATTGAATCAATTTTCAGTAAAACTTACGGAATTGCCTAATAGTTTCTGTCATTATTCATGTCTAATGCTCTTCTCTCTTCCATGGAAAGAGAATCATTGTAAACAAGATAGGATGATGAAGTGACTTTTTTGATTATATTTGTGTGTTGTCGTTTAACTTACTTTCCTCATTATTAACTCCTGATTCCTTAGAAATATCATTAATAGTAGCGGAAATATCACTTTGTAAGTTTTTGTGAATAACAGGAGCAGCACTATAAATTGTTGGTGGTGCTGAAATTTTAGACTTCTTTTGTAAGGAGAAGGACACAGATGATGGTTGTTGCTGTTGGGCATTATCATCGGAAGTTAATTTCAACTTCTTATTTTCAGGTTCAAATTCTTGATTATTTGAAGAACCTTCTTCTGCATCTTCTTCTTGTTCAGAATCTTGGTGAGAATTATTAATTAAATTATTATTACTAGTTACGGTTTCATCTGTTGCTGAGGAGAAGATTGAACCAGGTAAATGTTCTCCTTCAGTTTGAATGTCTGATTGTCCGAAAATTTCAATTTCCAACTTCTTTTGTCTTTCCAAAATAATATAATCTGGTATTCCTTGCATACCTTGAATTTCAAAATCAAATGTATTTCTTTCAGGTTTAGCATTTGGAATAAAATTAATATTCTCCTTGTGTACCTGAAGTACGTGAGTTTTCATTCCCTTTACACTGACAAGTTTCTTTGGACAGTATGGGCATTTAAAATGTTTTGTTTTTTGATGTTGAATAAGAATGGCTTCATCATCAAATTCTCTATCACAATAATAACACCATGTTTTTGAAAGTCTTTCCTCCAATTTTTGATCAAGGGATTCATCTTCGTTAGATTTTTTGTTATTCTTTCTTCTTCTCTTACCCATTTTTTATTCTTGTTGTTATATTGTCAGTTCTTCAATAGGACACGAAGTAACGGTATTTTTTTAATTTAATTTTTAAATTAATTTTTAATCTCTATATTAGTTATGAACATTTTTCATAGCCACATGCTTTTCAATTACTCGCTCAACAATAGATAATATGTCAACTCTATCAAGAGTATAGAAAATTCCAAAAACTATCTTATTATTTACAAGAAGAAATTAAATCTTTGTAAACTTTCAACAATTAGAACATTCAATAACTGAAAGAAAAGAAGTGTCTCAATTGTTTGCCTCAAAATTTGTTCTCAATTCGGTGATAAATTAATAAGTCTCCATCAATAAGGAGGGACGATACGACTCAATCAAAATTCTCAATTAAGAAGTCATTTCTCCTTAAATATTAAGCAATTTGAGAAAGAATCACACCAACACAAAGATAATAACAAACATTTTGAGAATCCTTAATACATTTTTCAATTGAAATTAGTTGCCTTACGGTTTTTCATTCCAAATCAATCCAATTTTTGTGGTTATTGGCAATAATTTCGGCTCCTTGTTTGAACGGGTAATCACACAATCAAACACAGCTTCAACTCAACCATAGAAGCAAAACTACAGAGGATTCTCAAAGTATTCCGCTTCAAAAGTGTTTTCGTCCTATTCTGCATTTTGTAAAACATTTAAAAAAAAGATGCTCAACAGATTTATTAGAAGTGCTGCCAGAAACTTGCCAAGAAGAGGACATGATGCCCATGACCACCACCACGAAGTATGTTTCTTATCTTTATATCTTTAATATTCATGCTGCTTATGGATAAACAATTGACTAAACCTTTCAAAAACTCGCTTTCTTTACGGGATTCTTTTTATACTACTACCCTCTTTTGTGCATTTAAATTCCATGTGGATGACAATAATTAGTTGGTCATGTTTACCAGTAAGTACATTAATAATAACTTTCATTTGTTTATTCGTGCTTCTAATGCTCTGTTTAATGTGTTATTATTCATGTTTATCTTTCTAATGTATGTCAATGGACAAACCTGCCACATTTACTTGGGATTCTCAACACTTTATTTTTCTTGGATACCATTAAATGATTACTACTTTTTTCAAATACAGATGGTCCACCAAAGAAGGCTGCTGTTGCTGCTTGGATGACTTTCATGATTGGTACTCCAGGTATGTTTTGAAATTATCTTTAATGTTTGATATTGAAACTTTTTTGCTTATTCTGCTGAATATTTTTCACTTAATTGATTGACTCACTTCTAATAGTTGCCATTTGTTTCTCATGGTGGTACACTTATGTTGGTTCAAAGCTCTCCCAAAAGTAAATAACCCAACAAGTTAATCTACCACACAACAATACATTTTCGAATGACTCTAAATTTTCGACACAATTTTAACCTAAATTATTATTAAAAACTCAAAGATTCTTCATCATGGGGTGTTTTTTAACATGATTGAATAAAGAGAAAAATATATTAAAATACTAAATTACTCATGCTATTGTTCAAGCTTACTCAGTAATAACAGTTGAATAACAAACATTCTTACAATTCAATAATGCACTTTTCTTCTAGTAACGAACGTTCTAAGAAAATTATTAATAAATTTTAAGAATTAAAAAAATGTTTCTTCAACAATTATTGTTACACTCGGAACAATATCCAAACCTATTGATTCTTGGAAATTGCAACAGTAAATCACATGTTCCATTCCTATTGAATAAGATTGTAAAGAGAGTGATTTCATCAGCAACTTCAAATGCCAGTTTGGAAGAGGATTTAATGTTGAATGATAATCACAGTGATGATGAAAATGAACAACCACAAAAGAATAATTCTAAATCAAACAAACTCTCGGAGGATGATATTTTGAAAAATCAAAAACAAGATTTACGATTATTAATTATTGATGCTGGAGATTATAAACAAGCAATTCCTAAAAGACTTCAACAGGATATGAATAGATATCATGCAACTTTTAAAAAATCCACTGATGAGAGTGACAAGTTGGTCATTCGTGTTGATTCAACAGATTTTGAAAAGGCTAATGATTTGTACAAATATATTAATTCAATTTTGACATCACAATGGTCATCATCGGATTCTAGTAAGAAAAAGAAGGTTATAGTAGTTATTAATTCATTGAGTGCTCTTGCATTTTGGTTTGGAGATAGTCCAGCATTCCAACTTGTACAAAAACTTCTTCAATTGAGTAATTCTCAAGATAGTAGAGTTTGTTCTGTAGTGAGTGTAGTTCATACAGATACACATCCAAAGAATGTAGTTGAACAATACAAACTCCATGCTCAGGGTATAATTTCAATTATTGCCTCAGAGGATATGGATCAAGATGAAACTTTTTATTTCCCTGTTGAAGGATCAAATCAAGACGAAGAAGAATTGGAAGAAAAAATACTCAACATTGCAGCAATTGATTTCAAATGTGACATTCATAGTTTGAGACTTGGAGGAAAATTACTTTTCAATGAGGAATATTATAAAATCAGTGCAACTAGTGATGATGAAGGTGCAATGACTCATGTCAAGCATCCATTCATTGCCAAGAGACAAAAGAAGGTCAAGAGTGAAAAGCATCACGATGAAGAAGAGGAAAAGCCTCAACAACAAAATGTGACAACCACTCAACAATCTGGAGTTAAAAGACATGTTGGAGAAAAGAGACACATTACTATTGGAGAGGAGCATGTACATGGTCCAAATTGTTCTCACAATAATACTAGTGGTAGCTCAATGAGTGGAGGAGTTAGAAAGAGTGGACTTTCACTTTTGGATACCTTTGATGAAAGAGAGAAGGAAAAGGCCAGACAAAATCGTATGGATAGACCAATGACAAAAGAAGACATTGAAAACCAAGTAACTTTCAAGATTGGCCTCACAGAAAAGGAAAAGAGAGCTAGAGAAACTCTTGAACTGCCATTTATGAAGGAAGGTCTCACTAACCATTCAAATTTGACACCACAAGAGCAAAGAAAACAAAATCAAGGATTCATTATCATTGATTCTGATGATGAATATGAAGAAGATGATCCAGATGATGATTTGGAATTGTAAATTCTTTCAATAAAGTAATGTTTCAAAATCTCCTAACCTTCTCTTTATATTAACACAATTATAATCCAATGCACTTTCCATGTGAGTACAGTTTGAAAAACCTCTTAATGCCACCAATCACTCTCCAAGTCCATATCAAAGCTTTGCCAATAATTGAAGTGACCACAGCTTATTGCAGCTCACTCATGGAAGTGATAAAATGACGTGTACTTGTGAAGGCAGGAAGAGAGAGTCATTTTTTGGCTTGCACTCTCTTCTCGTCATCACTTTAAAAAAAAATTGTAATAACACACAAAAAAATACATCAATATCATCATGAAGTATTTCAACACAAAACGCACCGTGTTGTTCTTGATAGGAGCTTTGCTCATCTCAACTTTATTTTTCGTAGGAATTAGAGCTCAAGAAGAGGAAGAAATTAAAGATGAACCTATTCTTGAAGAACAAGATACACAAGGATACATTTCCTCACCTGATGTTGTTCCATATGCATTGTTAAATCAAGATCAAAAGACTGTTGAATTAGGCAAGGAAACTGAAGTCGTTTTGGGTTTCTTGAACACTGGTGATCTTCCATTCAGCGTCCAATTCATCCGTGGTTACCTCCTCATGAATCAAGATCAACCTTACATTGTTCAAAACTTTACTGGTGCTCTCCAAAACGTTACTGTTGGTCCAGAAGAAACTGCTACCTTCTCCTACAAGTTCACTCCAGAAAAGATGTTGGATTCCCGTGAATATACCGTCATGGTTGATGTCTTTTATTTGAATGTTGAAAACGATACCTTCTCCACCACTTTCTTCAATCAAACTATTCAATTTGTTGAAGCTGCTGAATCTGCTGATTTTGAAACTGTCTTCTCCTACATTTCCCTCTTCGGTATGTTGGGTTTGATGGCTTTCGGTGCTTGGTACTTGTTCAAGGGTACTCCACAATACAAGAAGGTCTTTGGTGCTTCCTCTGCTTCTTCCACCACTACCTCCACTGAAAATATTGTCACTGACAAGAATAAGAATACTATTAATTTGGACTTTATTCCACAAGAACACAGAAAGCATCTCAAGTTGGCCAAGAAGGACTAAGTTGAATGTACTAGAGTTTTTTCAAATTTTCAAAACGATATTGTTGTAATAAAAATATAATTATTTAATTTAAATTTCAAATAGTTCAATGTAATATTTCATCTCAGGAAATCTTAGAGGATGTTTTAAATAATTTTTATTGGATTTTTAAATTATTTTCCAAATTTGACAATGTGAAAAAAGATGATTTTTCTATTTAAAAAAAGTTTAAAAGTTAAAATTTACAATTTAGTTTTTTAAATAATTTAAATATTTTATATTGTGTAATTGCCAACTTTCATGTGACCTTTAGAATATGGTTGAATGTGAACAGTCTTTGTATCGTGGAATCTTCTTGTCATGGATGACCAAAGTGAAAGTGAATTACCACTTTGCATTGTTCTGAATGAGGAAACAGAAGAGAGTGTTTGAGATTCATCTTTTGGTTGAGTATGGAAGGCTTCTTCAATATCCTTATCATCATTAATCATGACATCGTCAGATCTTTGAACTGGAACTTTTCTGATCTTTTTCAAATGCTCCTTCAAACGTCTTTCTTGAATCTTTGGAATACTCTTTTCATAGTCCATTCTGTGTCGCAATAATTTTTTACCCAATTTTGTAACATTGACAGTTTCTTCAGCAGCTCTCTTCTTTTTAACGAGGGATCTAATCAAATCACCCTTATGTTTTCTCAGACCCTTTCTCTTTGTGAGTGAAAGAATCTTTTTCTTTTTCAAGAATTTTGGCTTTTGTTTTTCCTTTGTTTCATTATTTTCCTCGGTTGGTTCTTCATTATTCTCAATTGGTGTTTTAGCTAAAAAGTCTTCCATACGTATAGATTTTATGGAAATATTTGCGGCATCATCATCTCTATTTGTAAGTTGATCCAAAATATTATCCAATCTATTGAAAATCTTTGATTCACCCTTAGAAGCCATTTCCAAAGCCTTCTTATATTCTTTAAGAGTTGGATTGTATGATTGACCAGTAGTCGGATTATAGACAGCATTCTTAACTTGTTCAACAATATCTTGTTGTGGTTCAGATGGCTTTCTTCTCTTGGTTAAATCAGTTCCTTGCCAGAATCCAATCAATGGATCACCTTCTACTTGTCCAATCAATCTCTTTTTAACATTTCCTGTAGAGAATGTGACTGGTTTCTTTTCATGTTTTTTCACTCTGAACATATCTCTCTGTTGATTATTCTTGTCAGCTTTTTCACATGATGTATTTGCATATTTTTCTTCCTTTGCTTTTACTTCGGATTCAATTGCTTTTGGAGTGAATGATAATTGAAATTTAGCTTCATCTTGTTTAGTTAATCGGCTCAAATCATCACGGAATTCTCTTTTGGAAGTTTCTCTTTTAAGTTTTGTACGGGCATCATATGAGAGTGGATTTTCAGCCAATACTCTTTGTAACCTCAATTCCTCTTCATTAGAAATATTTGATTGTACTACTTCAGGTTGTTTAGTAAAACCAGCTGTTGGTTTAAATGGTCCGGTTAATTCTGGATAATGTTTTTTTAACTTTCTCAACTTTCCAACTGTATCCACAGACTTGGTAGTGTGCTTCTTCTTGTTACGGAATCTTTCGACCATTTTGATGATGGTTATTGTTTGTGGTATTGTTTGATTCGATGATGACGAATTTTTTTTTAATCAACAAAAAATTTACAGAATTTCAAACAAGTTGTTGAAAAATAGAATTATTCGTTTTTTATTATTCACTTTTTCTCATCTTCATATTTAATTAGTAACAACAAGATTTTCCATTCATCCATTCATCTTTGCAAGTAGTATAAACTTTCATTGATAATGGTAACTCAAAATCTCTGAGGTACTATTTAAAATTGAACAATTTCTATTTTTAAGGTGGCACTGTAGCTGACAATAAAAGGAAATTCGGTAAAAATTTTTGGTTAATTATTTTTTACAATTCTTGCTGAATGACGAAGTAATTTATTAAAGTTTGAGAGGTTCTCCTACACTCTCCTACAAATTTGGAGACTTGGTTAGAAGACAGCATCTTCTCTTATATGTGAATAGTTTATCCCTACTTTACTTTGCTTTACTTTTCACTCTCTTTAGAATAAATAATGAAATCCCAACATGATCCGATTGTTCTTCATCATCGTAACGGTAAAAAAATTAAAGTTTTAATCTTCTCCTACACTCCAGTAACAAAATTAAACATTGCAAAAAACAAGATATGGTCTAGATGTGTTGTTATGTTTGTACCAACTTTACTTTGCCTTCTTATTGTGTTTCCGTATTGAAAATAAGCAACTAAAAGTACTATCAAAACCAATTAATTTTATTTTCGGATGTTTCTACAAATTTTAAATGAAATCGCATCACGAAGTTGCATCACGAAGTTCTCAACCATCAGATAGGATTCAACTGTTTCTGTAGCATGCAAAAGAGAATATTCTAAGAACAATACTGAATGTGTATGTAGATCACTGGTGTGGAAATTATGACAAGTGCTATGGAGAAAAAACAAGATGCTTGTTGTAAAATTGACGAAAGAAGTGCATAGTTTCAGAAACACAATCAACAGAAATTAATTTCCGAAAAAGAAAGAAGAAGAAAATAGATCATGGTGTTTCATGTTCATGTACTGCAAAAGTTGTCCTTGTAAATCAGCTCGTGTATTGTGTGGCAATGATTGTCACAAAGGACAAACAAGATATAAACTGTTTCGACTTGTTATTTTTTTTTAAATTTTGGTGAACAATGAACAATAGTGCCACCTTAAGTTTTTAGAATATTTAAAGAAAAATGCCTAGACACTCCAACTTTTACGATGATGAAGGTAGGTTGCTAGTTGTGGTGTTTGGAGAGAGAATTTAAAATTATTTGAATGTGTTCTAATACTGTTGCCACTAATTATGTATTCTATATCGGATAAGACCTCGATGATGAGTATGAATATGATGAGGATGAAAATGGACAAAATGGTATGTGTGATAAATTCAATGTGTGGTATTTAAAAGGCTTTTTAAATGTTTTATCATCAATATGATTTTTGGAATATTATTTGATAATTAATAGAATCTGATGATCCAGTTCATCAGCTTGCGGATTTTATAATTCACGGAATTGATGCTGAATCATCACAATATATTCTTTCAATTTTCCCATTGATTAAGAAACCAGAAGGTGAACCATTCCTAGTTGATATTTTGGAAAGATGTGATGGAGATTTTGAAGCTTGCATTAATGAAATTTATGAAATGGCTCAAAAAGAAGAGGAGAGAAAGAAAAAGTCAGCAGTCAATATTGTTGTAAAATCAAATAATTCTAAAACTACTGGAAATAAGAATAACTCAAATAAGGCTGCCAATACAACTAAAGCCACACAACAACAACCTGCTGCCACATCTTCCAATTCTCAAAAGAAGAATGACAATAAGAAACAATCAAGCAAAAAGAAGGATAATAGGAATAATATCATTCTAGTTTCAGAATTGGATAATTTTACCGAGATTTCTGGCACTCCAACACCAACAAGTGAAGTTTCTGAAAATATCTTTACTGGTATGTTTAATTTCATTTTGATCGTGTGAATTCTATGTTTATTTTCAAAACATGAACGAGTGTTGAGTATGACATGATAGGAGTGGACACATTGTTCTGGGAATTGGTTTGCAATAATGACTGTTAATGTTGAGAGAGCTTGTGTTGTTAATCAAATAGAAAAAAATGTCTGCTGGTAGAGGAAGAGGTGGGCTCCTTCTTGGAAACGCCAATTCTTCACCAACCATCAATCAACAACAACCAACAAGTGTTAGTAGTGTAGCTGGCATCGGTAGAGGAAATGTTATTTCCAGTGCTCCAGTTGTTGTTTCCACAATAGCAAACAATAGTAGCAATAATTCGGCCGGAAGAGGTTCATCACTGTTGAGTGGTGGTAATATACCCACAACTACAACAACAACAACATCATCATCAACTCCAATAGTAAGTGCTGGACGGGGTGGATTGATGCGAACGAATAATTCAGGGCCTGTGATAACCGTAAAGAGTGAAACCTCTACAATACCACCAACAACATCAGATAATAACTCTACTACCACTACACCATCATCTTCCAGTAATAATAATAACAACACAACTCCTCTCTCGGCAGGAAGAGGTTCCAAAATTTCCAATTCCACTCAACCACCAAGCGATGTAAAATCAACACCAAAAGTGCAACAGTCAATCAGCTCATCGGAGGAAGAAGTGTCCTCTGATGAAGAATACCTCAGATCTGTTTCTTCTAACAAGAAGAAGAATATGAGAAAATCCAACAAGACAGATTTAGACAATAATGATTCTGATTTGAGTGAAGATGAAAGAGAAATTATCAAAAAGCTTTCACAAAGCTCACTCTCTGATTCGTCAAATCAAAAGAATCAAGAAACAGGTCAAGCAGTTGCATCAGCTTTTGGTCGTTGCCTTACAACCTCTCTCACCAATGAATCCTTTGTAAAGTCATTTTTTGCAAACTCTCCAGAACGATTGTCTCCCTATTATGAAATACTCCACAACAAAAAACATGTTAATAATTCAAACACCAATTCTTCCCCTATAATTGATTTTTTTAAATTTGACACACCATCTCCAGATGATCTCATTAGTTCTGCTAGATCTCAACAAAAAGCTAGTCACAAACCTCTTGAGGACTTTAAACCAATTGAAAAGAAACAAACTCCTCAAAAGAATAAGTCTAAGAATACCACAATTTTAGATATGGATATTGATGAATCAGAAAAGAAGGAACCACAATCACCAAAACCAATTAAATCCTCTGGTATTAAACACAAGGCTCCTGAGGATAAGGAAAAGAAGCGTATTAATGTTGTTATTATTGGTCACGTTGATGCTGGTAAATCAACCTTGATGGGACATTTACTTTACAAATTGGGAAATGTTTCTGAGAATACTTTACGTAAATTCAAGAAGGAGTCAGTTGAAATTGGTAAATCATCATTCCACTTTGCTTGGGTAATGGATGAACATGAAGAGGAAAGACAACGTGGTGTCACAATGGATGTTGGTGTACGATATTTCGAAACACCAAATCGTCATGTTACCATTTTGGATGCCCCAGGTCACAAGGATTTTATTCCAAAAATGATTACTGGTGCTGCTCAAGCTGACTTTGCTATTCTAGTTATTGATTCAACTCCTGGTGGTTTTGAAACAGGATTTGCCAATGGAGGTCAAACTAAGGAACACTTGATTTTAGCTAGAAGTTTGGGAGTTGAACAAGTAATTGTTGTCGTAAACAAGTTGGACTCAATCGGATGGTCAAAGGAACGTTATGATAGTATTGTAGCTCAATTGGACGACTTTATGAGACAAATAGGATTCCAAACTCAAGACGGTAGTCATGTTTTTTATATTCCTGCTAGTGGTCTTCAAGGAGAAAATTTGATCACAAAATCAGGATCTATTTCATGGTATGATGGTCTTTCAGTTGTTGAAAGAATTGACAAGTTCGAACCTAAACCTCGTGATATTGAAAAGGCCTTGAGAATGTCGGTTTCTGATGTTTATAAATCATTGGCAACTGGTATTACTGTTGCTGGTAAGATTGAAACAGGTACTATCTCAGAAGGAGACGAATTGGTTATTATGCCAATTAGAGAAGTTTGTACAGTTAAATCCATTCTTCGTCATAAGAGTCCTGTCAAGCATGGTTATGCTGGTGACAATGTTGAAATTGGTTTGGGATCTATTGATATAGAAAAGCTTATGGTTGGTCAAATTCTATGCCCTATTGGAAATGAAATTAAGGTAACAAATAGATTCAAGGCTAGAATTGCTACCTTTGATATGAAGATACCAATCATTAAGGGTGCTCATGTTGTTCTCCATTTGCACAACATTGATGTTCCAGCTGTAATTACCAAACTCACTTGTACCTTAAACAAGCAATTAGAAATACTTGAAAAGAAACCAAAATGTATTCCAAAGTATTCGAATGCTATTGTAACCATAGTTACTGATAATACTATCTCAATTGAAAAGTATGCTGATTTTGCCAAGTTTGGTCGTTTAACAGCTAGAGTGAATGGCGAGACTGTTGCTGCAGGTGTTGTCGAAAAAGTTTTGTCGAAAAAGTAATAAATTATTTATCCATTATTTACAAAGTTATTTCCTGAAATGTAAGTCAAAATAAGTATGCCTTGTTGCATTTCTTAAATGCTCCAAAAACTCATTCTGAAACAGTGCCATTCCATTCATTTTTCTTTCAGTATTGGTCATGTTTTGATCTGACTCTGTTTCTGCATTGCATTTCTCTCGTTTGCTATCTGATGCTCCTCCATTTCTCCAAGACATTACAGCATCTTTGAATAGTTTTTGTTGCAAATGCTCATCATAATTGCCTTCCTTCAATTTTCCTCGTTGCATGGTTGCAGAGTTATCCTCTTCATAAATTTTAGATTCCAATTTGTTATCACCCCTCCAATTTCTAAGGGCCTCCTGGAATAGCCTGCTTTGTTCAGCCTCATTATATTCTCCATTCAAGAATACGCCCCCTCCATTTGCTGTACTTGTTTCCGTCGATACTGCACTTGCTTTGTGGCCAGCAAACTCTATAATTTCCTCGTATTGTGTTCCTGGAATAGGTTTAGTTTTTACAGAAAGTGTACTACTATTTAAACCAGCAGAGCTGCTTGGTCTACTGTTTGTTAAGCTCGTTATAGATGATCTAATTTTAATGACCTTTCCCTGCTCACCATCTCTACTGAAAGAATTTCTCATTGTTGTGGATGAAGGGGGTCTATTACTCATTGTTGGAGACGTTGTTTGTGTCAATTCTTCCCTAATTTTTTGTGAACTTTTCCAAAATCCTTGCTTTCTAATTTGAAATTTAGTCAACAATTTTAAATATGAAAACCTACGGCATAGTACTTCTCACCTCCTTATCTTTCATTATATTCATTTTGAGTTTTTTCAACTCTTCCTCCAAAACCACAGTTTCAAAGGCAAGCTTGTCAACAGGTTCACCTGCCTCAATTGCTTTCTGCTTTGCCTTTGCAACAACTGGATTCTTTTTGGATTGTTCATATAAATCTTCGAGAGCTTTTGGTGCAACTTTCTTTCCGATAGTTGAATTGTTACTCCTTGTAGAGGAAGATGATGCCTGAGAGGAGGCTGATGATGGTTTTGAAACTTTTGGTTTAGTTGCACTACCTGAAGAACTTGGTGTCTTTTTTAATGTTCCTGTGCTGACCGGCACTGTCCCATTTGTTGATTTAATCGATCCTATTGAATCCATATTAAATTGTTTTAAGGTAGAACCCCCTATACTTGTTTTCTTCATATTTACACTATTCTTTTACTACTCTAACACTGATTAGTTTCCACCAATTTGATGATGAATGATGATGAAAATCTCTCTCAGCAATTGTCCAAGAAGACTGTTTGATTTTTTTTAAGCGGTTTTGCAAACCGTATGATGAGTTGGCGGGAGATTGAATTTGATCAAAAAAAACAGACCCTTTCTTTCTTCAAACTTGCTCGCTATCAAATTTTAATTCTCAAAGCATCAGCATTATAGGCTTGGAGCACTGTGTTTAAGAATATTTATTTTGATAGAGACAATGGTGGTGATCGCCGCTTCAAGACACATCAATTACTTATAGTTTTTGAAAAAGAGAGACTGGTTGTGAAGTCACGTACTTTTTCGATTCGGAAAGTTGTTTGAAGTACTTTGTAAAAAAAGACAAATTGAAGATTGGAATGATTACGGGCAATCAATTCAATGGTTTTAGTCACCAATTGGTTGACAAATTTTCTCCAATGGTGATGATGAATAACAATGCCTCTACTTCAAATATTGTAAATAATAATAATGGACTCATCTCAACTCCTCCTCGAACATCACAACAACCTCCTTCGTCGCCTTCTGATGATGGAAGTCACACAACTCCAGAAGATCCTGGGAAAAAGCCCTCTACCAGAAAGAAGAAAAACAGTAAAAAACAAGAGGATGATGATAAAAAGAAAAAGAAGAAAATGACTCTTTCAAAAGAACAAGATTTGATGTTAATTGATGCAGTTAGACAATACACTGAAAGTAATAATCCAATACAATGGAAAGAGATCAACCGTAAATTATTCAATAGTCAATATTCCTCAAACTTTTTATATCAGAGGTATCACAGAACATTAAATGCCAAAAAGCATCGATGGAGTGATGAAGAAGATTTAGAGTTATTGCACTATTGCACAAAACATGATAAGAAATGGTCATTGATAGCCTCGAAAGAGTACGAGGGGTTCTTTCCTGACATTCAACTTTCTAACAGATACAAAAATGTTTGTAAACGATCAGAACTGAAAGAAAGATTAGAGGCAATGAGCGATCAAGAGATTGAGGCTCTTATAAAAAAGAATAAGGATAATAGAATGAAAAGTCTTGATACTAGAAATTTAGTTAAAGTTATTGAAGATAATTCAGATACTCAATCGGTGACAACTGATTCTTCGAAAACAAAGAGGAAATCCAACATGCAATCCCCCTCTAACAAGAAAATTAAAACGGAGAACAGCGATGATATGGAGGATCAAGAAATGGAGGAATCTGAAAATTCTCTCGATTTAACTAACTTGCCAGCGAGCTCACAAACTTACATAGTTGACCTAGACTCTATCAAGTTATGGTCTCCCCAAAGAATAGAAGAGGAATATGAGAAAAAATTAGAATTTATCAGAGCAAATCACTCTCAACTCCTTAATGACCTAATTTATGAATGTGAAAAGAGTATAGAGAGCTTGAATTCCAAAATGATTGAGATTTTAAACTCTAACGATTCGTCATCACTCAAGTTAAAACAAGTTGAAGAAAATATGGAAATGAAAAATGGTTGGCAAAAACTCCAGGAAGATTGTAATTTATTGAGAGATGTACTGTCTCTATCAAGGGAGAACATAACTCCAACCCTTGATTCTTTCACTTTTCTTTGTCGGGCTGAATGCTGCCTGAGTTCTTACCGAGAAAAGATGAAACTAGAAAATAATGTACAGATTTTGTAATATAAATTCTAATTGACTGTCATAAGGTTTGACAATACCATACTGCCAAATATCCATTATTTTTCTGATTTGGATGTACTTACAACTAAGAATCTCTTTGTTGGAGTTGAATTTATTTCATCTATCCTTGAAGCGTAGCAATTGTGCAGTTAACATGCGATTCCAAGCTTTGTAAGTCTATAATTGAATGCGCCACACTTTAATCTGGTCCAATCTCGAGACTCAGATGAATCTCTGCACAAGGCATTGTTTGATCCAGCAAAGATACAAAAGAAAAAGTCCCACCACAATACTACCCATCAAACACTACCTCTTCAGTGTATTTCATCATTATAATAAGCATTAAAAACATCTATTTTTCTACTTCATAAATAACATAAAGATGATGAAAAAGACTTGTGGAATGGTTAAAAGCAGAAGTAATTTAATGATGACACTAAATTCTTGTTGTACCAGACAAGTTTCCTTGTTGGAATCATCACTTTTTAATAACCAACAATTGTATTGGAACATTTAGCAATAGGAACCAATCATTGACCTCTTTGGGACCAGTGTCATCCAATAATTTGGAATTTGAAAATGTGATAACATCTAGTCAATCGGAATGTTTAAGTGCAAATAAGTTGAAATCAGTTCATCCATCCCCCTCCTCAATTCTCAATAATAACCATTTCGTTCACACAAATTCCTTACAAACCGCTGAACATAATATTCTGCTTGTAAAAAGAAAATCCTCATCAACAGGTGTTGCTAGTTCCCATTCTCAAAAAGCAGAATTCCACAGAAAAACCACTCATAACCTCGTAGCTCTGGAACATTCAACACTCTACATTCCATCAGCTGCCAACACAACCAATCATTCAAACCTTGTAAATAATAACCATTCATTGAGTCAAACTAATGGACTCACTCTAGATGACTTACATTCTGCTTTACCTCAAAAAACCATTGAACATAACCAAAAAGTTTTGGAGAATTTATTCTCAAAGGTAAGTGTCGCTTTTCAACACATTGATTTTTTGACTTTCCACCTTGTATTAATTCCTTCACCACTTGCGATTCGCTTTCCGTTACATTCTAAAAATTGAATTTGAAAAAAATTTCTTAATTTTGTCCCTGCCTGTGATTACTTTTGCCGTTGTTGTTAACAATTTCTTTCAACAACACTATCACTCGCTCCCTATCGGCTTTTCAACAACAACAACCATCACTCACGATTTGTGAATTTAATATTTAATTTATATATAGAAAATGGGTCTTCTTCCTTTTGAAACCTTTAGCGAGTTTGGAGCCTTGATCCAACTCAAGTATTTCCACAAGTTACCAGCCATTGATAGAAATGATGTATCCTTGAAGTTTTGTTATGACAAGTTGAACCAAGTATCCAGATCCTTTGCCATGGTCATTCAAGAATTGCCAGACGAACTCAAACATCCAGTAAGTATTAATATGATGGTTAAAATCAATGTTAATTCCGAACTCTTTAGGTTGCCATCTTTTATCTTGTCTTGAGAGGTTTGGACACTGTTGAAGACGATACTGAATACTTGAAGGAAAATCCTGAAGCTAAACATGAATTGCTCAGAACCTTCTATCAAAAGATTCGTAATCCTAATTTCCATTTGGAAAATTGTGGTGGTAGTCTCAATGCTACTGCTCACTATGCTGATTTAATGTTACACTTTGATCACGTTTGTAAGATTTTCCTCAGCCTTGACCAAAAGTATCAAGCTGTTATTGAAGATGTCACAATGAAGATGGGTTGTGGTATGGTTGATTATTTGGGAATGACTGGTGTTGATACTGTCAAGGACTATGATGAATATTGTCACTATGTTGCTGGTTTGGTTGGTATTGGTCTCTCAGATATGTTTACTGCCTTTGGTGAAGATAAACAAGCTCTCTTCAAGGTTGGCCTCAGTGGTTCATCGGAAGATCCACTCAAGAAATCACTTTCCAATCTCATGGGTCTCTTCTTACAAAAGGTTAATATTATTCGTGACTATGCTGAAGATATTGAGGAAGGAAGAACTTTCTATCCATCATCTGCTTTCCAACAATTTGGTCTCACTCAAGTTACCGACTTGAAGGATCCAAAGAATTTACCACAAGCTCTTAAAACATTGAACTACCTCGTCACTGATGCCCTCTCACATGCTCCAGATTGTCTCGAATACATGTCAAGCATTAAGGATCCAAAAGTTTTCAGTTTCTGTGCCATCCCACAAGTTATGGCTATTGCCACTCTTGTTGAAATTTATAATAATCCAAACGTTTTTGTGAAGAATGTAAAGATTAGAAAGGGTCTCACTGCCAGAATTTTCATGGAAACCAAGACTTTGGGAGATGTACAAAAGTGGTTCTCAAAGTTTGCTGCTGATTTGAGAGTCAAACTCGAAAAGAATTTGGACGACCCATCTGCCCAACAAACTAAACAAGCTTTGGATAATATTCAAAAGAAGGCTGGAGAAAAGACCATGAAGAATGGACTCAAGATTTCCAGCGGTTTTGGACTTGTTTCAGTGGTTAGTGCTTTGGTTTACTATACATTATATGGACGATCCCCATCAACTGTTTCTGCCACTAGAGGTTCATCAATTCTTGGTAGACTCTTCGGTTGGACTGGTCTCACTCCATCAGGCATATAAATTTCTGTAAATTTTAATCAAATCTCTTTCCTTTAGTTGAATCGTAATTGATTGACCAAAGCCAACTTAAAAAAAATGCAACAAACAATACGTTCAGTCCAAAGGATGTGTAGCAGTAGGGGAAAGTTTTTAGCGCTTCGGAAAGTGGTGATTAATTCCGAGAGAGGTTTTTCTCGTCAATTAAACAAATGCCATATTTATCATCATCAACAACAGGAAGCTCTTTTAAATCATCAAACAACAAAATTCTCAAATTCTAATATCAATAATATTTTTCACTTTTCTCTTGGTGATGATAAACAACAGCCATCAACATCTAGGCACAATAATTATTTAATCGTTTCAAACACTCCCTATTTTACAATTGATAATTTTCCAAAGGATTTGTTTGTGGATTTGTGGAATTCGTGTGAATTTAAATATTGTGCTGATGGAGGTGCAAATCGTTTATATACCTATGTCAGTGCCATGAATCACCAGGAAAATGTTTTAATACCGAATGTGATTTGTGGAGATTTGGATTCTCTTGATAAAAATATTGGAAACTTCTATGAAAAGCAAGGCACCAACATTATCAAAATTACAGAACAAGATTCAAATGATTTACAAAAATGTGTCAGAACAATGAAGGAGGAAATTATCAATGACTTGATTAAAGAATCAAACTCCAAAGATACAACATTTCATAGAATTTTCATAATTGGAGGAGGTGGTAGATTGGATCAAGAAATGTGTGACCTTAATACTTTATATATTGAAGCCATGTTGAAAACTTCTGAATTGAATCACAATTTTCAATTCATCATGATAACACCATACAGTTTGATTCATGTTCTGGTTCCGGGAAAACATGAAATTCACAGAAATGCCAAATGGGAAAAGACAACATGTGCACTCATTCCTTTGGGTATTCCATGCGAAAAGGTAACCACAACAGGATTGGAATGGAATTTGAATGGAGATCGTTTAGAGTTTGGAGGTTTAGTGAGTACGAGTAATAACATGCTTGGTGATAAGGTCACAATTGAAACTTCCCATCCTCTCTTATGGATAACCAGTTTGATGAATTAAAGAAATTCCTGATTTCCCTTCAAATTCTTCCATTTCATAATGTGTATACAGTGTTTTACGGATTTATTCAGTCAGTCGTTACTTGAAGCTCCCGCCATTAAGGCTGTTTTTTGAAAAGATGAACGTTATCATTTTAAAAAAAATGTTTAATAGATACATGTTCGGGGATGAGGATTCAGAGGTTGTCAGCACACCAGGAAAAGACTCTCCATACAGAACACCATTAAGGGACATTTCCAATGAACCACCCAACTCATCACAATCCGAATATTTTGATGAAAATAATTCCATCCTAGAGACTCCACAAGTGAAGGACTCTAAACGACTTCAGATGCATCCAACCATTGATATTCAACTTATTAATCAAAAGCTTGAAAGAATCAAGGATGAAATCAAGAGAGAAGTCGAGAAGAGATTGGAACAAATGAAATCCGAATATCAACAAGAATTACAAATCATCAAGGAACAGTTTCTAAAGAATGAAAAAGAGTTGGAGAAGGAACGATTTGAAAAGAGAGAACTCGAAGCCAAGTGTGAAGCACTCGAAAATAGGTTAAAATCCTTAGCCTCTTCAAAGGAGACCTCTGCTGATGAATTAGCCCAAGAACTCATCAAACAAGCCAGAGAAATGCAATGGCTTCAAGAAACGCCAGCCATTCAAATTAAGGAACCAACAAGACAACCATCAACCGATAACAGTGTTGATGATGAGGATGAAGAGAATGTAAATAATACTAATCAATATGAATACTATCACCAAGAGGTTCAACCTCCACACTATGAAGATAATGAAGAGGATGATGAAGAAACCAATGAAGGAACGTCACACTATGAGGAAACAAATCAATTACCTTCCTTCAATAATAATCTATATGGAGCTCCAAATATGCATAACATGTTCACAAATAATCAATTTATGCCACCAACGATGATTCCACAATCGTATCAAAATCAACCACCATTCAATCAATTACCAAATCAATTCATGCCAGTTCCTGCATCCTCAATGGATTTTCAAATTAATAATCCATTCTATCCACCAACAATGCAACAATATCCATTCAATAATGCAATGTCACTTCCTCAATCAGTTTCACTTCAACCTCAATCTCAACATCATCAATTTACCTACAATGAGGAAAATGTGATGGTTGATCCAGTTCGCCCACCTCTATCCTTATCAGGGGATAATTACTTTGAAAGAGAATTGGCCTCACCACTCAGAGAGGAAGTTGAATCTAAACCAATAGTCAACACTGAATCTGTTGAAGCAAAGAAAAAGAAGGACTATAAGGAAGTGAAGGGAATTTACCAATACACAACAATCCTTCAACAATTAAATCTCAAATCTGACAAGAAGACTGAACCTGCCAAACCGAATGTAAAAAAAACCACCAACACTAACAACAATACAAAGAAGGAAGCTTCAAAGAAGAAATCTAATCCTCCACAATTGTCTCTTAAGGAAAGAGTACAACAATGGAAGAAGGAAGAAAAGGAAAAGGAAGAAAAGTTCACAAATCAACAAGAATTGTTGGAAATCTATTTCAATTCCAAAATGAAAGGAACCAGTTCTTGTGAGAGATTGAGAAATATCGTTCTCCATACCTATCAAATGTGGAACAATTTAAATATTGCTTTCACTGATAGAGAAAGGTTTATGGATGAACACGTTCTCAAACCAATCAGTCAAGCAGGTAAAAAATCAGATAGTAGATGGGTTATGAACGAAGAGTACATTGCTAATATTTCTGGAGCATTCATCAATGAATACAATCGTCTGAGCGGTATGGTACAACAAAATGGGTCGATCTATAAACTTATTGGGGAAAGAGAACAAACCAAAATGAGATTGGATTCTTTGAAACAAATGGAAAAGCCACCAGTTTCAGAGTTTTCAGAGCTTACTTCATTGTTGAAAAAGTTGAACACTGATGTTAGTAAGGTTGTATCAGAATGGGAGGTAAAGAATTCTTCCAATTTTATTTTAAGAGGTTTCAGATATTTAGATTTGATTCAATACGAAAATTTGGTACAGAAAGAAGAAATAGAAGAGAATGAAAGAAAGGCTCTCCAAAATAGAATTAGAAGATCTTTCCAATAATAAATTGAGTCAAATGTAAAGAGATTTTAGGAAGGGGACATTCATTCACTTTCAAATAATAATCACATTAAATAGTAGTTTCAGTAGGTATGAGGAATAAAATAACATGAAACGTGATTGTTAAAAAGCAAAAATTCAAAATTTATATATGTACACGAATAATAATTTGTCCAGTAGCTTACCAAATTGAAAACCACCCTGATGGCTTCTTGGAATCATCCTTAGTGTCACTCTTTACCTCAACTTCAAATGAGAAACTCTTTCCATTTAAAAAGGTGAGATTGTCAGAGACGTTAGGTAAATGTGGAACGTCTTCGTGTGCTGATTTGATAATCTTCACCAATCTCTTCCTGAGGTCTTCTTGTAATTTTGTGGAATCAGGAGGGGTTTCTTTTCCCAGTTTGTTTGATATATTATCTTCGGATGTATTTTCAACTTTAACTAGAGGCATTCCTTCAAATAAATGATTCCACTGTGTATTCCAATGAATTTTGATAGGTATTCTCCAAGTTTCAAAGTAAACTCTTTCCTCTCGCTTTCCTCCAAAAATAGAAAATGAAGCCGAAACCTTCACTGTATAATACTTGATTTCAATTAAGAATCTTCTCGATAATATGCTCTCGTCTAATTTAATTATAGTTGCAGTTTTTTGTGCTGGTTGTTTCAAGTTTGGTTTGATAAAGAAGTTTTCTCCGAGCTTCATTTCCTCACGTAAATAATTTTGAAATTTTGCTGTAATATCTTGTGATTGTTGTAATATCAGTTGGTTTAATTACTTGGCTAATAAAAGATCATTAATATTCGAGATGATATAATAATAATACTTACAAAGCTGATACCATCCAGAACCTCACAATCCATTCCAATTGGAGGCACTTCTCCTAGAGCCCTATGGAACGTGATTGTGTACAAGAGTGATTTAATACAGTCCTTGATGATGGTAGATTGTTCATTAAAGGAGTGTTTTTTAGAATGATAATTGGTGTGTGATGGTGAAACCAAAGGAAGCTGTATATTCAGCTCCTGTATGTCGTGTGATAGAAGATTCATTCAAAGATGACAATATATTTACAAATCCTATCAAAAATTCCTCTTCTCTTTAATACAAAAACTATCCGAGAGGTGGTAGTTGTGTGTGATGATGTTTTTTTGATGTCTAGTCTACAATCAACTGCCTATTTTCAAAGTAAAGGCGCCAATTACTTGTTGTTTGCTTGTATTTTTTTAATCTATTTTTAAATAGTTTAAATTTAATATTACGTCCTTTTTGATAAAACGGTTATTGTACTTCCTTAAGTGAATTCAATGTTAATTACCGTGTTGTTTCAAAGATGGTCATTCAAACTAATAAATAATTAAATCTCCTTTATTAAAGTTACTGTCTTGTAGTTTGGTAATATTTTGACAAGAAAATTGACAAGATTTGAGTAAGGAATTAGAGAAAGTATTTGGACATTGGATTGACCATTACTGAATCAAACTTATCAAAGTAAATGGTATTTGATTGTTTGATAGTCATGAAGTCTAATTGAAAGAGATTTGTTAATAAATAAAAGAGATTTATTCCTCATCTGATGAAGCAGAGGAAGATTCATTGTCTTCATCTTGATCTTCAGTAAGAGTGGTAGTGGCATCATCAACTTCTTCCTCTTCCTCCTCAAATTCAACAGTATCTCCACCAAATAAGTTACCAAAAAGTGTTTGTGCTGATTCAGGTATTTCATTATCGAAATTTGGAGCCATAAAGTTGACCAATTCATTGTGGACTGTATATTTGATAGCTTTTCCCTTTGTCTTACCATCATATTTACCTTTAGTATTCTTCTTTGTTATGGCCTTTCTGAATGAAACTTCAGTTCCAGAACCAACTTCTGAAATTAAATCCTTAAGTAAAACTTGATAAAAGTCCTTATCATCGTAAATCTCAGTATCAAATTCAAATCCATTTTCATCAACTTTTGTATCTCTTTCTCGTTTACCTAGAATGGAAGGTTCAAATTGTTTAACTTGAGTTCTTCCAATTAATTTTTTCCTTTCCTTTTCGTTTTTGAGAACGTTACGCACTTGGTCAATTACACCAGCATTGATATTTCTAAGATTGAGTTTTGAACCTCCACTCACACTTGATTGAATCTTTGTTTTGGTTGCCCATCTATCAACAGATTCATTTCTAAAGGTTTCATAGCTCTTGTATGATTCATCCAAAACTTTCCAAACTTTTTCTGTCAAGTCACCTTCTTCAGAGCTGACAACATTTTGAAGATAATGACCATCAATTTCCTTCTCTTCAACCATTCCCTTCTTGAAAAGAGAAGATTGCAGTGAAAGCATATCTGCAATAAGATGGAATGTATCCTTTCTCAATTCTGCAAGACGTGTTGGAATATTTTCTGGTTCAGATGGTGTTTCACCATCTTGTTTTTCTACAGCTTGAGGTTTATCTTCCTTTGGTAAAATATCGTCGGTCATTTCAACAAAATCCCAAAACATTTCATTTTGAGGCAATCTATTACAATTCGAAAGTGGTTTTTGAAGTAAAATTCTCAACTTTAACAAGTGGTCGTAAATTAACTTTTGGTTCAATACACTCTTTGCTTTTTGTTTTTCTAATTGTTGAGTTTTCTTTAAAGTTTCCAAATCAGTGGAATCATATAAATCTTCTTCAACAATATCCTTGATTTGTCCCATGATTTCATCTTCCTCATCCACTTCATCATCGTCACCTTCCTCCTCATCGGAATCAATTTGTTTAAGTCTCTTAATTTCTGCCAAATAATCTTCATCTTTGAGTGCACTCATATCATCTACATCATCAAACAAATCTTCCTTTCTAATAGTATGACCCTTATAAGCTCCTTTTGTGAGTGATTCATCAAGAGAACGTAACATTGATACTCTATTTCCATCCTCAAAATCATCATCATAATCCATTTTAGCTTTTTCATCTTGATCTTCAAATTCAGTATCATTCTCCGGATCTATATCTTTCTTGTTATATTTTTGTGCAAGTTTTTGTAATAATTGTTTCTTCCTTTCTCCATCTTGTGAGTTGGCTGCTGCCGACGATGGTTTTTCAACCTTTCTCTTCTTGGTTAATAAATTCAGGTCAAGTTTGCTGCTCATTTTTTTCAATTATTTAGTTGAGGTGTATTGTTGGACTTCACCATTCTTTTTTATCGTATCAACTTCAAAACACTTTAAAAGCAATAAATGTTGAAAAGTTGAACATGTGCGAATAATTCTTCATTATTTAATAATAATCATCAAATAGTGATGTTAAAGAATAATAGTGAATGAAATATTCATCATCACAACAATTCCATGATGGCAAATAACTTCAAAAAAAATGCTCAAATTATCGCAAACAGAAAAACATTTTATTATTGATGGTGTGGAACAAAATATGAGAAATGACGGCAGAGCCCGATTGGACTATAGAGACTTTTCTTTAGAGACAGGAATTGTTTCGCAAACAAACGGAAGTGCTCGGGTTAAACTTGCTAATCATACAGATGTTCTTGTTGGAGTTAAAGTTGAAATTGGAGAGGTTGATCAAGATTTCCCTGACCAAGGAAGATTAGAGGTTCATGTTGAATGTTCTCCGAGTGCAAATAATGAATTTGAAGGAAGAGGAGCTGAAGAAATCAATGCAGAATTAATTTCCACTCTCAGAAATCAATTAAAAAATTCATTTGCTGTGGATTGGACTAAATTATGTATAGTGAAAGGAAAGCAATGTTGGATTTTATATGTAGATTGTATTGTGTTAGATTCTGCTGGTAATTTATTCGATGCTCTTGCTATTGCTACAAGAGCTGCTCTCTATAATACTAGAATACCTAAAATTGAGGTTATGGAAATTTCCCCAACAGAAACAGAATTTGAAGTGAGTGATGACCCACATGAATATTCAAGAATTGATTGTAGTAATATACCAATTTCTGTTACTTTGGGAAAGATTGGTTCTAAATTCATTGTTGATCCATCCTTGGAAGAAGAAGAATGTATTTCAAATCGTATGACTGTTTCTGTAAATAAGAAGGGCCACATTTGTTCAATTAAAAAGAGTGGCAAAGATTCTGGTGTTAATCCAAGTGAATTGACTAAAATGCTTCAAACAGCTAGAAAGATTGGTTCTACACTTTTGGAAGAATTGGACAAGTTATTGGAAAAGGAAGAAAAGGTCACTACAAAACAAGGGTTTTTCACAGATTAAATTATTTATTTTATCATTATTTTAACTCAACATTTTCAATTATTATTATTCAGTCTTGAATTCATTGTATGGAAATATTGTGAATTACTTGGATTGGTGGCGCCAAAATTCAACTACAAAAAAATGCCAAGAAGGAAGGAAGAGGAATCTGATGAATCAGAAGAGGAAGAATCAGAAGAAGAGGAATCTGGTAGTGACGATGATGAAGGATCCGATGATAGTGAGGAGGGTAGTGAGGAGGAAGATGGTAGTGAAGAGGAAGATAGTGATGAAGGCTCGGAGGAAGGAAGTGATGAGGAAAGTGAAGAGGAAGAGGACGAAACTCCCCGATCATCAAAAAAGAAATCAAAGAAGAGTAATAATGATGGAGATGGACTTTTAAATATTTCCCTTACAATTGATAAGGAAAATGGAAAAGTAATCTCATCAAAAGTTGAGGAAAAACAAAAGAAGGAAAATTCATCATCACCCTCAAATCAACAACCTCCGATAGAGACATCAACAGCCATGACTCAAACAGACTATAATATGTTTTTCCCTCCACTCTCGGAAGCTCTCTATCAAGCATCAACAAGTTCACAAAGAAGAGACGAATTACTCAATCAAGCCAAACGAATACTTCTTGCTCCTGATAATTCGAGAAACGCAAGATACGGTAGCCCTCAAATTCCACCTTATCAACAACCTATTTACAAGCCAGTTTCTTCACCTTATCCTCCAATGTTTGACCAACAAGGATCGAGAGGTCAATATCACCACCAAGATTCATACCAAGTACCACCATCTTCTAGAAGAGATCCTTACTCGTATAGTGGTAGCTCATCATTTAAACCAGTTGGTCCTCAATCACCTACATACTACCACGATCAACAACAATCTCATCAATACAAACATTATCCACCTCCACCTCGAGGACATTTTCCTCCATCAGAATACTCCACTAATGGTGTCAGATTTCAAACGGAAAGTAGCAGACATTATTATGATAGGAATGCTCCTTCTTCATCCTCATTCAAACCAATTTCTGAAATGGACACTTACAATAATAGTTCACCCTCACCGAGTAGTTTCTCAGAAGATAATCGATATGGACGATATATCAATCCTAAATTCATGTAAATACAATAAAAATACAACTTTGGACTGTTTTTTGTTGTTGTACGTATCAGTAACAATTTTGGCGGCAAACAAATTAAAAAAATTGAGAATACATAGCACCCTGTAAATAAATCAAGATGGACAGCATTCATATCCAAACCCATACAGAAAATGGTATACAAGAGGAAATCTTTCCAAACGTAAGTGTTTTATTCTTAATGCTCATCCCGTCCAGTCGTTCCACATGAAACCAAAAGAAGGTCAAAAGTAAGTTGATTCCGATAAGATGAATAATTAAATTATTTAGGTTTGTAAAATTGGATGTTGAGGAAAAGATTTCAGATTTCTTAAAAACCGAATTGGAAAATGAGGAATATGATGCTAATCACAGTGTGACTAGATCTAAGGAATTGAGTACTAAAATTTTGGATCTTTTGAAAAAGAGTGGATACCCAAGATATAAATTTATTGTTCAAGTGGTCATTACTAGCTCAACTGGCCAAGGTATTAGAGTTGCCTCTAGGTTTTTATGGGATCCTTCGACAGATAATTATGCTTCTGGATTTTTTAGAAATGTATGTTTTTTTAAATATTGTTATTTACACACAACTTTACAGAGCTCTTTAACTTGTGTTGCAATGGTATTTGGTTTATTTTATGAATAAATTTAGAATGAGTCATCATTTTCAGAGTCCATAACCATTTCTTCTTCGTTATCTTCATTTGAACTCTCCTCTTCTGATTCTCCATATTCATCTGAATCATATCCATCAGGTGTTTCTCTTGAGGCTATCTGTGGTTTTTGATTCGAAGGAGCTACGTTTAAATTTGGTTTACTGGCAGTAGCTGTTGTGGTTGTTCTACCTTCTGGTCTTCTTCCACTGGCAGCTCTTGGCCTTGCACTACTCTTTACTTCTCTTTCGTCTTGTTCTTCTTCTGATGATTCATCATCGTCATCCTCTCCATCACCTTCCTCATCGTCTTCGTCATCATCATCGTCGTCGTCATCATCCTCTCCATCACCATAAGTGGCTTGATTTTCACCGCTGAGATATTTGATTTCATCAGCTCTCAATTTCTTTCTCAGTAATTTGAGTCGTCGCTTATTTTCCTCAATTATTTCGGCTTCAGCCTTTCTATGTTTCTCCAATTCGTGCTCCAAATATTCAATATTTCTATATTTTTCAACGTATTTTCTGTACAATTCTTGGAGATCTGTTTCCTTTTGTTCATATTCATCCATAAATGCAGGTCTGAAGTTTGAAACTCGAGACAATCTCTTCTTTGCTCTCTCCAACTCGGTTTCCTTTCTCTTCTTTTTATCTTTGAGACTGTCTTCATCCTTTTTAAGATCATTGATACTTTTTTGTAATTCAGAAATCATGTCAATGGCTTCAATATTCTTCTTTTCAATATGTTCCTTAATTGTTTCAATATTGTGAGGGAATGAAATTGCTTCCAATCTTTCTTGTTTCAACTCAAGTTCCTTTCCTAAAAGTTCGTGCAATTCAGCTCCCAGTTCAGTTAACTCGGTAGCAATGCTTCTGATTTGTTTCACGTTTAATTGAAACTTGGAGCTATTTAATTGTTGGAGAGATGCTGTTTCATAATCGTCACTTTCCTCCACAGATTTAGCAAGAATTGTAGCATCATTTAAAAGCTTGGCAAGTTTGAGCAGTTCCTTAACGGCATACCCGTCTGCTTGATACAGCCTCTTTATATTTAATTTCACTCTAGCTTTATAATACTAAGCACAATTATTTCATGTTCAATAAAATAGTCCAAAATCAATAAACATACTACAACTTCACAAATAGATTTTAAAAAAGTTAATCTTTCCTCAACAGTATCTGTTCCTTCCACAATATCAACGTTTGGATCGTATCTATAATTGGTCAACATGAGTTGCATTCAGTAACGTTTCAAGAAATAGTGCTTACCTCTGAACTAGCCAATACAAAATTTCGGAGACTAACAAATAGTTTGGTGTTCTAAAATTTTCAACAGAAATCTTTCTCGAATAACCAAGAGACCTCATGATCTCGGTAAAGTCTATACTCATCATCAGTATATATATTAATTGTCACCTCCTATATAAAATACATACTCCTTAATTCTCTGAAAGACATTTTTTTTGTTTGTAGTATTTTTGAAAATTACTGACTGTAACCAATTGGCGGGAAACAACAAACCTCTCAACTGAATAGAAAACAAAGTTTATTTCACCTTCTTCTTATTTTGTTTGTTCAAGTGGTCGAGTACTCCCTTTCTGAATTCTACTAAATCCAATGGTTTCTTGGATTTGAAGAGTGCATAGAAACCTAAACTACCAAACAAGTGCCAAGATCCATGGAACATTCTCAAATAGTCTGCCTTATCGTCCAATCCTCTGACGAAACAAAAGAGACCAGCCATTAAGAATAATAAACCTGTCACAATCCATTTCGTGTGATAACGTGGCTTAAGGAAGGCATCCATAAAGAAAACTCTTCTAATGAGAACAATGGATGCAGGTAAAATAATTGGAAGAAAGGTGTAAAACTCAACCCATGGTGCCTTTTCTTGACAAATTAAAGCAAAAAAGAGGGAGAACCACTGCATCCATTCATAAAGCTTACTCTCTCTATAGAGAATTCTTCTTGCTTCATCCTTGACTCTTTTAGATTTGTGTGCAGATGGTTTGTAATTCATTTCTGGATCTTGTTCAATGTCACTGTCACTTTCTCCATTGGTTGCCATGTCATATTCTGCTTCCTGTGGAGAGCACCATGAATAGAATATTTGTTTCTCATAATTATTTTGTTTCCTATTTGGAGTGTCAGCCCATGACAAAGTATTTGGTGGACAGACAGAACACAAATGGAAGAATAATTGTTGCAAACTAAGAATAATGAAAATATTATCCAATCTATGCCATCTTCCGTGATCCATTCCAAAAATTAAAACTTGTAACGTATCTCCTGTATGATAGAATGTACTTGTGATACATGTTCCTATAGCAATAACTACAGCATGTGGTGTATTGATTTTATAGCACAAGTACATGAGAGGAAGTGCAAAAGAATTGGTAAAGACGACCACTACAACTTCCCACCACTTATCCGAATCATAATAATTGACAAAATCAACTACCTCTTTAATATAAGAGTGAATGGCAGAAGAGAAGGCTCCCTCTTCCACTGATTCGGAAGGCAGAGGATCAGGTTGCATTGGAAATTCTGAATTGTCATTTTGATGTGAACCTCCAACTTCATAAACTCCATCATCTGTTTCAATCACTCTATTGGGTGGCATTTGTGCATTCACTACTAGCGAATTACCAACTAGTAAAATAATAAATAAAGAAATCAATAAAATAAATAGAATATTTTGTTTCCAATACACTCGATTTTCAATTCCGAATTTTCCTATAATATTTGATGATGATCGTGATGTTGATCCATCACCAACACTTCCAGCTGGAACAATATTAACATCACCAACAAGCGAACGATTGACAATTTTCGTCCGTGATGGTTCTTGTTCTCTCATTTTTTTGTGTTTGGATATTGAGAGGTGAGATTTATCATGGTTGAAATGATCAACAGTAGGATAATGGACAAGAAAAGTACAGAGGTTATGTATAGATTGGATTAGATAATACCTCGAGAGTTTTATTTTACAAAATTACTATTTACACGTTTAGAGTTTGTTTTTACATTTTAATGATTGACTGAATTAAATTCTGTATCAGAATCGAATTACAATCAAATCGTTCTTTCAGTTTTGAAACTGTTGATCGATTTATATTCTGAAATAAATCATTCTTCTTTTCTAAAATTTGTAAAACAGCCTCATTATCTTCTAGAAGAGCTTTACATATTATAACTCTATTGATGGGTGTCAGTATGGAGAGATTGGGCAGTACACAATCTTCTAGCTTTTCGTGTTGAACAAGTGGATCCTTTGGCATTTGGAGTTGTTGCATTTTTTCCATTTTAACTTTTGAAAAAGGTCATGCGAGTATTTGACCTTATTTAGACTGCATTTTGTGAATTGATAAAATTGTTTCAAGACTCGGGGAGGATTTCGAAAAATGTCCATTCTTGATCGAAAATGTTATTTAGAAAGAGATTGAGCAATTCTAATTATCTTCGTCCTTCATTACAGAAATAACGCTGAACATTGTAAAATCCAAATAACTTTAAATTGAATAATATGTAAATATTTCTAGAATTTTAATAAAAACAAAAAAATCAGTTTTTTAATTATTTTGATATTAAAATTGAATTCAATAAAAATTTGAAAAAAATGTTTTTACGTTCCTCGAGCACAACCCTTCTCAAACTCTTTAAAAATGGAGGGTTTTCATCCTCTCGGAAATTTAATCACCATCATCGTCATTACAATAATATTTTTAAACTAGTTTCATCAAATTATACTACTAGTACAAGAAGAAACTTTTGTCAAAATTATTTAAATTTGGATACATCGAGACCTTCAGAAATTGATCCGGAAACTATTCGTTCCATTCATCAACGTGTTCAAGAATATTCTTCACGTGTTCAACAAGCAAAGGATGAAAAGCCAAATGCTTCCTTTCTTACAGAATTGAATGAAGGTGAACAAAAGGATCTTGCATCATGCTACAATAACTTGGGATATTATTGTCTTCAACAATTAAACAAACCAAAGGAGGCTCTCTTTTACTTTTTACAAAGTATTCAATTCAATTATAATAATGATCCAATCATTTTGTTTAATGCTGCTTCACTTTTTGAGAGAGAAGGAAAGAGACCAGACTCGGCAGCTGAATTATATATGAGAGCCATTAGAATTGACCCATATTTTGTTGATGCAAAGGTTCACCTTGCTCGTATATTTTCCAGTCATGAAACTGAAGAAAGTTCTAGATTTCAAGCTGCTGAATATTTATTCACTGACTTGTATAAAACACACAATCATTTGGGAGCAATGATTGAATTGGCAATGCTTTATTCAAGAAAGGGTGACCACTCGGAGGAATATAGAGAAAAGACTTTCCAAATTTTGGATGAATTGTTACTAAAACTTGTGGAGGAACCAAATTATATTGTGGATTTTAAGGAAATGGATGTTAAAGTTCCACAAGAATACAGTCAAGAATTGATTTCTAATTTGGATGCCTACATGAAAGGATTCAGAAATAGTGACAAGCAAGAATTACTGCTTCAGGATCCAGCATTTGGAGCTACAATTAACATTCCATACGAGAATGATGGCAATGGATTAAGTTTGGAAATTGCTGATATTTCTTACAGATATCATGCTCAAGATAATGAAACAGTTACTGGTTCTGATGTGATTAACACAATTTGTTATCTTTTAAAACAATTCAAGAGAGAGCGTGATGCCAAATCACTCTTTGATCAAGTGATTAAAGTAATTGAAAAGGATTCCCCATCCAAAGAAGCCTACATTGTTGACTCATCTACACTCTCAGCCTCCATGGCACTCTCAGAGGATGCAATCAAAAAAATCATTAAGGATATGGATGTAAATGAGAAGGCCAAGTTTTATATGAATTGTGCAATTTTATCAAATGGAATGGGTCAAGTTGATGAAAGTATCAGTCTCTTAGAAAGAGCCTTCGACATGACAAAGGGTAAAGATACTCAAATTATTGCCTGTATGGCTCTGTACATGCAAGAAAAGAGTCCACAAGTTTCAGATCTTTTATTTAAGCGAGTCATCTCTTTGGAACCAACAGAATTCCAACACTATATTGCCTACAGTTCATTCTTGCACCATCAATCTAGAACTAAGGATGCTCTTTCATTGTTAGAAAGAACCATTAAGAAATATCCTCAAATGAAAGAACAATTGGAAAAGCAAATGGAATTGATAAGGGATGTAAATAGTTCAGGACCTGGTAACATGGCTGACTTATTTGGTAACAGTTTCTCAAGATAAATCCGAAAATGTATTGTTTTTATTTTTTATTATATTTTAATGGTTAATGTTGAGTGAATTTAATTTACGCCAAAAAAGAATGTTTACCATTAGAAATTGATTTCACACAAATGATCATTCCTACAGTTTCATCCTAGAAATAATTCCTAATTTATAAATTCGTTGGTTTTTCTTCCAAATTCAATTCCGACATGGATGATGCAAGTTGTTCTTCGCCAATAATTTCCTTGGCTCTCTTCAATGCTCTCATTTGGAATAATTTTTCGTCCAATTCCTTCTTCATTTCGGCCTTTTCAGTATTTTGAGAAACTTGTTTGAGATGGTTCAAATGTTGTTTTTCAAATTTGATAAGATAATAATTCACCAATTGTTGTTGTTCCTCATCAGTCCAAGTTTTTCTAATAACTTCATCAGAGTCTGTATCTTTGTATGGATTGCTTGGTCTCTTGACACGTTTCTTTGGTTCAGGCTTTGGAATAACAGAACCACTTTCCTTGGCCATTCTTACTTTGGTACCATCTTCCATATAACGCCAAGCAACTTTAGTGGCTTTATCAGTTTCTGGACAAACCAATGCAACATTACTACAATGAAGTGGAGATTCCTTCATAATTGAATAACCGGCTCTTTCTTCAGTTCTTTTAATATTCTTTTTAACCAAATTACAACCATCAACTACAACTCTATTCTTATCACGTAAAACCTTTTTAATAACACCTCTCTTTCCGGCATCCTTTCCGGTAGTGATTTGAACTAAATCTCCTTTCACTAATTTCCACTTTTCAACAAGATTTTGTTGCAACAATTTCTTTGGAAGAGCAGGCATGTTTGTTGTTGAATATTTTTTTAATCGTAAAAATTTATTTTTTTTATTTTTCAAATTTTCAATCATCTTTACTTGTTGGAATGAAAGAAAGAGTTCAGGAGAAGGATGAGAAATTTACATGGAAACTCTTCCACAGTATGAACCTGCTTGAGTAACATATCTAACCCAACGTTTTTGTTTGTTCTTGTTATCGTTATTGAGACTGTCATTTCCAATTTTCAAATATCTCAATTGGAGACCACTCATATTGTGCATTGGAATTTCAAATTTCATAGAGACTGGCCCAATAAGCTTCCTCTCATCAATACGATTTGGTTCAGGAAGAGTAATTCTCAATTTGATAAATTGTTCAGAAGCTCCTGGGAATTTCTTAATACCCCAAATGACAACCTTATCCTTTTCCTTATATTCGTACGATTGCTGAGTTTCCTTATCATTTCCAATAACTACACCACATGATGTGGCATTCTTTGGTACTGGAATACGAACAAAAACTCCTGTGGCAGATGTAGAAGCAGGGAAGTCAGATCTCACTTTGAATGATGCCTCAATCTTATATTCATTGAATTTGGAAATGTAAGGTGAAACTCTAAATGGCATAATGACGTGATGATTGTTGGTAACTCTATATGAAAGAAGAGTAGTTTCACCATCTTGTGGATAGAATGACAATTGACGACCCATTTCAAATTCCTCTCTATTGATAATTTCATTAAAATTCAAAGCATCAACTCTAATGGCAGAGTATGGTGTGTTTGTATCTGTTCCAATAGCTAAATCTTGATTCAATGCAATACGAATCAGTGGAGATCCCATCAAGTAACTCTTCACAACAATCGATCCAATAATTTCCGAACGCAAAACTGATCCCTCTGCATTCATTTCACAATTTATACGTTCCAAAACATCAACGAAAATTTGATCATTCTTCTTTTGAATTGGCAAACAAGCTGTGTTTAAAAATCAAGTTTCCAATAATAATTTTAAAATAATCATCAATTATTATTAATTGCAATTAATTAACGTTAGAATGTTAAATTAAAAAACACAATTAAATACATACTTGCTGTTGATTTGACAGTTTTTGGATCAATAAAACTTAAATTCAATAAACCAGCTGTAGTCGGAACATCAACAGTTTCAATCGGTTCGTTGTGAATACAATATGTTAAAATGTTGGTTTGAGTTGTTTGAACCTTTCCCCAATCGAATAATTCATCCAATAATTCATAAACCATTACAAAATTCTTTCTAATCGAATCTTCACTCAATTGACCAGTAAAATCTCTAATTAAAATACAAGCACGTTCCAATAATTCAAAAATTGTTATTGGTGAACAATTTTCTCTACTTGTACACACAATATATAATCCTGATTTACGAACATGGAAGAAATTAATTCCTAGTTGATTGAAAATTGGCTTTCCATAGTTTTCCATACTTTCGTTACGAACATTACGGAAGAATAAATCCTCTACTTCATCGAAAATATCATAACGATCTGTGATTTTTGGTGTTTAGTATAATTGTTGGTGATATATTAGTGGTGAGTGTACATACAGTTACGTGCTATAATTTTATCACCTCTTGATGAGAGAACAAAGAAGTGTGTGATGGTGGTCATTTTTTTAATTGGATGATTGATGTTTTTATGTCATCGTGACTCATGTAACAGTCGACGAAGAAAAAGAATCTACGTAAGACTTCTTTACATTTGGTTTTGTCAAGTATTTTGTTAGCCCTCCTCTTCCTCGTTCATAGATGATTGCTGCATTCCTTACATGACATCATCAATTAGGTGGCGAAACTACAATCCAAAAATTAAAACTCAATTGAAACGATTCTTAAACACTGTTCTGTAAATACATTGGATTGACTTGACCTTGCATAATGAGGGACAGAAGGGTTTCTTCTGTTGTGTAAGTATGCTTCTTACGAAGTGTTTCCATATCAGATTCAGGTGTAATGTATAAAAACTCATAAATGGTATGATTACTGATGTAGCCATTTACACAGTGAGGACATGTCTGACCCTTACTATTCGATGGTTCAGGTGGCATGCAAACTACGGGTACTTCCTTTCTTCTATTCACTTTTTCTGTGGTGACAACTCTATACATGGTCAGCAATTTGAGTGCTCTATTATCAGTTCTACCATAAATTACCATATTTCTCTTACAATGTGGACATAAAATAGGGACACGCTTAACTCCCATAATGCATTTGAAAGCTCTGAATTGAGTTTTCAAATCAATATTCATTGACTTTAGTCTTTCCAACAAATCGATTGGTGAAGAAGCATGTCCTGTACTGATAACTTGAACACCACTGAGAGCTATTGAGGTTGCTGTTTCAAAATCCACCTTATGTCTCAATTCACCAAAATAGATAATATCTGGATCATGTTTGAGTAAATTATTGGCTGTTTCTGCAAGGGATCTTTGTTTTCCTTGAATTTCTTGAAACATATCAATTTGACAAACATTAAACAAGCCGTGGGTTTGTAAATTCACTTCAACAGGATATTCCAATGAATAAATTGCCAATGCCTTTTCAGCAGACATTTCACATAGAATACCTCTCACAATGGTTGACTTTCCTGAACCAGTTGGTCCAACAATGCAAACGTGACCACCCTGACCCTTCTTACTTCCAAAAACCTTATCAATATCTGGTGGTTCACCCTTTGGCTGTTCAACTAATGCACTTCTCGGATTGAGTGGTTTTGTACTTGTGTAAACTCTTTCCATTTCCCGAGAGAATAGGGTTGCTTTGACATCAGTTGCAGGAAATCCAATATTCCACTTGTTCTGTTTCTTATTAATTTCCTCTTTTGATAATCCACTATTGGGCATTGAATTCATAGAAGAACGAAAAGACTCTTCAAAATTTTGTTGAGAATTTCTATTGGATGGATTTTTCATGCTGTGGAAGAGAGCCTTCACTGGTAACATGATATCTTCTTCATTTTGAATATTTTCTTGAGGATTATCACGTTCGGATGATTCGGAAGTGTTCAGAGAAGAGTTTGATGATTGTTGTAAATTATTAATTGATTCCTTCACCTTGAAAACATTTGGTGATAAATGTCGGAGCAGTGTAGTTAATCTGGATCGTTGTTTTTCCTTTTCGTGTAATGATTGCTGCCCAGCTCCATTTTCTCCTTGTAACATTTTTTTCAAATTTATTAATTAATAATTTATTCAATATTATTTATAAGATTTCAGCATCACACAATAAAACAATAGGAAAGAAATTCATGAAATTGTTCAGTTAGATTTATTTTGTACATTAAAGAGTATTGCTATTACGCTCATCTTTTGTTTTTAACAAATGTTTGTAAAAATGGAAAGTGAAACACCTCAGTTTCTTATTGTTTCTTTTGATAGGTCAAATCAACCAATCTCTTAAATTCGACAGGGTCAGCATAATTTTGAGCAGCTTCACCATTCAATGGATCTTCAATATTTGGATCATTCATCAATGATTGTATAGAAATGAGAATAGTTCTAACATTATATGTGGCAGACCACTTATCCTTCAAGATATCCAAACAAATGTTTCCGAATTGATCTACATTTGGATGGTAGATTGGTGTGATAAACTTTACAACTGGAACCTTGAATGGATAGTCATTAGAGAAGGAGAGGGAGAGTTTGTACGATTGTCCATCATAACATGTACCTTCGCATCCTTTCAATGTACCTGTCCATTTGAGCATATTACCTTCTTCCGGAAAGGCTGTAATACCAGCTGTCTTGGACATCATTAAATTCATCAACTCGGATTGCAAACGTTTGGTGGTAGATTGAGCATTTGATGGTGCTTGTTTAGAGGCAGCCTTTGATGGACTGGTCACGATGGCTGATGAGCTCATGTTGTATGGGTGTGGTATGGAGTGATTGGAGGTGTTTTTTTATGATTTGTTTTCATTTCAACTACCGTAATTTAAAGAAATTTATTTAAATTTTTATAACGGTTAGTTTTTTAAAATTTACAAAACGGTTCCACCACGATAAGAGACAAGTAATCAAGAATTAAATGGTAAGCGAGTGACTATTATATTTTTAATGGAGCGACCGAGCAACTACCCTTTACAATAAGCTGAATTGTTATTATCATTGATGATACATTAGGAAATTGTTTTAATTAGTTGACTGTTTTTTAAGCTGAACTAAAACAAGTCAAATTCCATAATTCACATGAACCATTTCTAAACATCTTGGAAATGCTATAAAACCCACACCATTTTATAAATCAATTAAAAAACAACAACTTGAAACAAAAGAAATGGAAAACAAATCATCAGACTGGAATAAGGAAAAGGATTGGAAGCAAGAAAATCTCCAAGGAAAGAATCTTGGAGGAGAGTATACCAGTGAAAAGAAAGATGTTATTACAAATCTTGGTAGTAAGGACAAGGAGAAATTAAGAGAAGGTGAGAATGTTGAAAATCTTTCCAAGGAATCTGATATCAAACAAAAAGGAAGTGAAATTCCAATCAATAGAACCTCAAATGTTTAATTATTCATTCGAATAATTTATATGTCATCTAGTGAGACTTGAAATTAACATCATTCTGTAAATATTGTAAATAAATTGATCGTGTGAGAACTTAATTAATTGACTTCTTGAATGAACAGGAAGCAATAAATAAAAAAAAATGAGCAAAGTTGAAAACCAATCATCGAATAGTGCATCCTCCAGGTCGTTGTCTTCATCATCAGACAATAGAAAAACCGACAATTATAATTCTTCGTATCGGAATGATAGAGGATCATCATCGAGAAGGTACTCACCAAACAGACGATCGGATTCAAGATATGATAGAAATGATAGTAGAAGGGATAATAATTATGGTGGATCAAGGGAAAGACGTTTGTATGACGATAATAGGGATAATAGAGATAGTAGGGATAGTAGAGACGATAGGGACAATTATAAATCGGAAAGAAGAGAATACAATGATAGAAGGATCAACTCATCAAACGATAATAAGAAGGATATGAATGAAACATTGAAAAGAAAACTTGAGGAACGTCAAACTGAACAAAAAAGACAAAAGAAATCACCAGAGGATGAAGATTATTTAGATCTTGGGGATGATAAAAAGGAGGAAAAACAACAAGCTGATGGAGTTTATTCACTTGAGGATGTTGCCAAAGAAATTTGGACAGATGAAAAGGATTTTATTCTCAAACCTACATCAGTTGATCAATTAATTGAAATTAACAAGATTCATATTTTGAGAAGGGAAGAACGTGAGAATAAATTTAAAGAATTCGAAAGAAAAAAGAAGGAAAAGAAAGAAAAAAAGAACAAAAAGGAAAAGAAGGAAAAGAGCAAGAAGAAGGATAAATCTTCGAGCAAGCAAGATGATGAAATTGCAGGACCTAAATTATTATCTGATTTGATGAATGACCAAAGTACTAAATACGAAGTTCCTCTCTTACCAGGTGAAGGTGCAGCTATTGCTGAATTCATTCAACAAAATAAGCGTATTCCTAGAAGAGGTGAAGTTGGTTTGACAAGTGATCAAATTACAAATTATGAAGATTTGGGCTATGTCATGTCTGGTAGCAGACACGCCAGAATGAATGCTATTCGTATCATGAAGGAAAACGAAGTATATATGCAAGAAGAAAAGAAGAGATTGGATCTTTTACAAAAGCAAGAAAGAAGTCAAAGAGAAAACAAGATTATTTCACAATTCAGAGATATTGCCAAAAAGGAACAATAATATGTGGAATAATTTAATTAGGTGAAAGTTACAGTTGTTGTTACTATTGAAAGATCTTGAATCAAGTAGAAAATAGACCAAAAGAATTTCAATATTTGTTTACAATTTATTTACATTAAGAAATTTTATTAACAATAAATAATAATACTAGATTCCAGGATTTAGAGTTCGTCCTTTTTAGGTGTTGCAGATTCCATCAGTGAGGCAAACAGTGGGTGAGCACTCAATTCTTCATCTGTAATGTTATCATCTTCATCATCTTCTTCTGTGATATCTTCCTCTGATGGTTCTTCGACATTTTCTTCATCATTTGGATCAGTATTAATTTCATTGCTGGTAATAACTTCCTCATCAATAAAGTCAGACTTGATAATCTTCTTCAATTCCTTCAAATCCTTTTCAATGCCACTATCTTCAAAGAAGAATTCAACTCTGTAAATATATACCTTCTTCAAATTACTATTCTTCTTGACAGCATCAATGACATATCTGATACCTTCACCAGTGAGACCAACATTGGAAATATCAATCTTTCCAAGATGAACATTTTGTTCAGACAAAACTGTGGCAATAGCTTTAACACCATTATCAGCAATTCTATTGTCACTGATATCAATCTTTCTAAGGCTCTTATTATTTCTAATGAGCTTCACCAAAACTTCAACAGCATTCAAACTATCCATTCCAATTTCATTCATATCCAATAAGTTAAGAGTGGTACTCTTCTCAACAGCAGCACAGAAAGCAGTGAAAGCCTTCAATCCAAATTGAGTATTTTCACTAATATCAATGTGGGTCAATCTGTCTGGATGACTTTCAATGAAATTAGCAAGTGCCAATACACCTTCTTCCTTCAAACCAGTCTTCTTCAAAACAATATCATTCAATGTTGGAATAGCTTCAGCAATCTTGACAACATACTTGGCACCTTCATCACCAACATTATTAGCCAAAATCACCAACTTGGTAAGTGGTGGAATAGTGACCTTATCAGGGGAGGTATTGCTAGCAGTAGGAAGTAAAATTGGACTGAAAATAACCTTCAAACATGCACTATCAATATTATTATTATACAAGTAGAGCTTTTTCACAACAGATCCCTTTTGGAAGAGCAAGTAAGACAAAACCATACAAGTTTCCAATGTCATATTATTAGAAGTGACACCAATAACTTCCAAAGTAGGTTGAGTTTGTTTCAAAAAGCCTCTCTCAAGTAAAATAGCCAACTTGGAAGCTTCCAAAACATTTGGATCATCCTTCTCAGCACCATTCTTATTAAAAACAATTCTCTTCAATTTGTTTGCCTTTGGACTACCCAAAAAATCTCCCAATTTCTCAACTTGAGCAACATTATCGAATGGAATCTTTCTCAAAAACAAATCACCATGTTGTTCCAGTGAACTTGAAGATGAAAGACGTTTAATCAACTCTTCAATAGAAATATTTTCATTCTCCAAATCCTCTTCAACTCCATAGAATGGTTTACTCTTCAATTGTCCATCAGGAGTAAACTCTTCACTTCCCATTTCAATACTCGATTTTTGTTCAACTTGTTGAGCAGTAGTAACAACAATGAGTGTTGAGAGAAGAATCAAGGAAACTACTAAAAATACAACACCAACACCTCGGAAGGTTGATGCTGTCTTTGTATTGATGATCATTTTTTTTGTTTGTTGTTGATTTCCGAAACTCTGTGTTGGTAAGGTTTTTATTATGTGATGAGTGACTTGATGTGAAGAGCTAGAAAGAGTCAATTATTGGGTTCATGTATTGAATTGATCAATGTCTTGAACAATTTGGTAGTCTGATGATGGACCAAATGTGGATCATTTTGCAAACTACAGAAATTTTCAAAAACCATTTTTATTTTTTACATTTTTAATATATTTAATAAATTTGATTGTAATTTTGTATAAAAATACATCATTCCATTAAGTATTTATTGGAGAGTGTTACGCTAATTCAAATCAGATAAAGCAACAGAAACCGAAAAAAATATGTCTTTCGCTAGTGCTAAGGAAGTAATCACCCATTTCGACCAACAAACAAAAAACCTTCCTCGTCTTCCCAAAGCTAACGTTAAACCTAACATTACTTACAAACCAACGGAAGAGGAATTGAATACGCTTAACAATTTGAGTAAGGCAAAAATAGAAGGGCAGAGAGCAGAAATTATCCAGTCGATCCAAAATTTAAAAAGCCAACAACAAAACGAAAACAAACCAAACCAAAAATTGTCAAAAGAAACAGATGATGGTGTATAGAGGAGTGTTAATCCAATTTTAAGCATATTGAGGACGAAATAATAATAGACAATTACTTTCAAATTCAGAGCCAATATGTTGTTTTGAAAAAAGTGATTGGCCAGAGAGTCCATCATTGTAAAAGGAATGGTATCTCACAAAGAAAGTTCATAATGGTTTGGGAATTCGTACCACAATAAAAGGTACTTGTGAAAAAATTAGAATAAGATTTTTGGGTGTCTTGATTTATCAACACCCATATTTCACCTCAGTGTTTTTCTCTGATTATTTTTAAAATTTTTATAAATATTGAGTCCGTATATGAATTTTGAATTAATCTCAATATTATGTCAATTCATGAAAGGTAGATAAGAAGTAAAGGCTCTCTTGGTTTGTTTTCAAATAAAGTGTATTGGAAATATCTTTAAAAAAATGAGACTCTCCCGCTCTTCGTCTCTTTGTAGCGTTTTGTTCTCCGTGCTCCTTCTTATGATATTGATGATAACAATTGTCAACACTCACAATTTACTAGTTGAGAGTAAGAGTTTGAAAATGATAACCGAGCACACAATAACGGAGGATATTGCCTCTAATCCCTACTCAAAGGATCAATTAAATTATAATCAATTGAAACCTCTCCGAGAACATTTGAAACGAGTGGGAATGATGAAAAGGTCTCCTCATAAAAGACAGGAAGGAACTGAGGAAATGGTAGAGACTCAGGGTGATGCTGCAAGTGAATTTATTCCGTATGAAATGTTTCCTGTTGCAAGAAGAGAGCTTGTTGGAAAGGATAAAAAAGCAGATATTGAATATAAATTCTTGGGATTGGACTTTGGAGGTCAATATGTGAATGGTCACATGTTGATTTTAAAGAATCCGATGAAACATTTTTCAATTGTTGAACCAGGTCCACCAAATTCTCCCCAACCAAAAACATCAAAACAAGCAAACACTTCACCAATTTCAAAAGTCTGGGAGGCTTATGAAGGAAAAAGAGATTTAAGAGGAGGATGTTACTATAATGTCACAGCACCTGTGAGAGATATTGCCAAGTATCATGCTAATGGTTATTTTTGCCATTATACTACAAATGCAGGATTTTTCAATACTCACAAACATACATGTTTGGGAAATGTAGTATCTGATGGTAGAATTTCACATGTCAGCACTAATCACAATGTAAATTTTGGAATTACAAAGGATGGAAAATACTTTATTGGATATACTGATGAGAATACTAAATTGGAGGATTTTGATCAAATGATTTCAGGAGTAATTTGGCTTGTTCGTAAGGGTGAATCCTATGTTGATGAGAGCTCTAAAATTGAGGATATGTCCATACAAGAAACTGGCAATGCTAAAAGATTTATCACTGTTAGAGCCTCAAGATCTGCATTGGGTCATGACAAGGAGGGGCGTCTCGTTCTTGTCTCTATTGATGGAGATGGAAATCACAATAAGGGTCCAACCTTGTACGAGTTGGCCACCCTTATGATCGAATTAGGAGTTGAAAATGCTATCAATTTGGATGGAGGAGGATCTGTTACAGTTGTTCGTGATAATGATGTTGTCATTAATAGTGTCAGTGATGGTTGCTCAGCTAGTGCCTCTGACTATGATGCTGATTTTGCTGACAGAAATTCCTATTTCAGATGTGCAAGAAAAGTAATGACTTCAACATGTTTCCATGATGATGTCAGTGAAGAGGAAAGAGATATTCAAAAGGCCCTTGAGGGCATTGACAAACCAGAATTCTCTTCAAGAATAGATCAATTCATCAAGCTTGTTCAAATCTTGATAGCAGCAGTTATTGCCATTGGTTTATTCATTGGATTGTCAATTATTGCCTTTGCTTGCACAATGTGTTTCTGTGGAAAGAGCATTCAAAGTGGACCTAAATATTCCAAACTTGGTGGTCAAGATTTGGAAATGATGAACGTTCCTATTGAAGAAGATAGTGACAATGCTGATATTCTTCAATCAGTCGATAAGGAATTTATGTCTAGTCCATCAGCAACAAAGCCAAATACTAATGTAAAAATCAAACACGAAAATAATTCCTCAAATGACGATGCCACCAAATGCACTCCAGAATCCAAGCAATAATGATTCTAATAATTTACGAATCCAAGTTTATAGTGAGACGTGTGGTTTTTAAGGCAGACTTGCGAATGCAATCTTCATATTTTTTCCAATATCTTTGTCGTTTCCATTCAGTCTGAATCCAATGAAGAGGAATGGATCTAAATTCTGCCAATTCATGTCTACAGTTGTAAACTGTTTGCATGGTAACAATTTTCATAAATCCATTATGCATACAATTATAGTAATTTCCATACATTGAATAAATACTATGATTTTCTACTTTTGAAAAGTCTTCTCCAACTTGAAAAGTATGGTTGTTAGATTTGAATAGATACCTAGGTTCAGATTTTTGCAAAATATTATCCGTGAAGGAATCCAAAAATTGTAAATCATCCTCTCCTGATTTTAAATAATTATTTAATTCTGTAATTTTTTCCTTATCATTCGGATATAATTCCTTTTCATTCTCAATTTTTGAAATTAAATCATATTTAATTTGTTTACATGCAGGGAGGTTAGAATTATTAACAAGAAAATTGAATTGATTTTTCACCATGGCAATATATTCATTGGTTCTTGTCGGAAGAGCAAAAGAATGTTCCCCACTAGAAATTGCCTCTTGTAAGCTTTCATTATTTGCAGCAAATGTCTGGGATCGTGGGATGGGTTTAGTAAAATTAAATCGGAGAATGGAATCATCGACACCACTTGGTGTTTGTGCACCTTCTCTTGGTGGAATTGTTGACATTTTTTAAAGTAATTATAATTAAATTATTTAAATTTTGGCGCAATAATAAATTTAATCAAACTGAATCAAGGTAGTTATTTATTCTTTTTATACCTATTTTCTAATTCCTTGACAAGTTCTTCTGTGGAGAGATCTGTGAGTCCAGAACTTTCTCTCTTCACCTTGACCCATTCCTTAAAGGATCTGTTGACCTTACTCTTGTCGTTAAAGTCATGCTCCAATTTTTGAATACCACCATTTTCAACAATATATTGAGAGAGGGAATTGAAAATAAACTCAGAATCTCCTTGCATATTTTCCATTAAATTTCCTAATTGTGGATATTGTTCAATCAATTCTTGGAATTCTCCGATATTAACACCAAAATCTTCCTTGAATGACCTTTCAAGTTCATCTTGGGATGGCATGAACATGTTTTTAGATGGTGGAAGTGGTTCTTTAACAGTGCCACTCTTTCTTTCTAGTTCTGCAAATTTATGCTTGTTTTGTTTCACTAACTTTTGCAATTCAAGCAATTCAGTTTCACTAAACTCTTCAATATCATCCTTCTTTGGATTCACTCGCTTCATAAGTCTGCTCAAAAGAATTTCCTCAGTTGATGCCTCGTCTCTATATGATCTATTGGACTGTTCTGCTTCCATATCTTTAAAGTATTGGTCAAGCATTTCAATTTCAAGTTGGTTAAGACCTTCCTTATCATAGTCTACTATTGGTTCTTCCTTTTCAACATCTTCAGTATTCAAATCCTTTTCTTGAATAGCTTCCAATGACTTGTCTTCATCTATCACAGATCGTGTCCTCTCAATACGTTTAGTTGTTGGATTATATTGGAATTTGTATACTACTTCTCCTTTGGCGTGTAACTTTCTATTCAATTCACTCAAATGATCGAAGAATTTGTCATTATTTTTCTCTCTCTTCAGTTTTTGATTATCAGATGCTTCTGTAATATCTAGAGCCTTAGTCAAAACAGAAGCTGGTGTTGGCATTTGGTCTACCGTTATTTGGTCAACAACCTTATCAAACTTGTCATAGTGCTTCAAGAGCTGTTGCTTAACAAGTGGATCATCTAAATAATGCTGTACAGAGTTTTGGTTCGAATAGGCCTCAATGAAAAAGTCAGCAATTTCCTCATCCTCCTCCTCCTTTGTTCGTGGAACATCCAATCCTCTTATGTATACCTCGTTTCTAAAATAGTAATATGCAGAGTAAGCATCTTCTGGAACTCTGATTCTTTCATAATCATCTGGTGTACTATATTCCACTGGTGTTTGTTGTTTCTCTTGTGGTTGTGTTGTAGATTGTGTTTTTGGAGCTTGATAGTACATGTTTCTCTCTGATTGTACGTGGTCAATTTTACCATCACTCTTTCTAATCATTTCCTTTTTCCTTTGCTTTACAGAAGAAGGTGAACTATCTTCCTCTTCATTAGACTCTGTAAATTGTACAGTCTCTCTGATATCTTTAAGTGTTGGTGGTTGTGATTTAAAGTGAGAAAAGTCAGGTCTTTGATGTAAATCTTCCTTTTCACCTAGTGGAATGTGACTTGGCAATGTGTTAAAATGTGGAATTGGTTTACCATGAATGAGGTACTGTTCTGCTTCATCCAAAAGTTCAGAAAAACTAAAACTTTTCATTGAGGAAGGTAAATCAGTTTGTAAGAAAGCTTCATCGGCCTTTCTCTGTAAAACTCGTTCTTCCTTTTCTAAATTCTTCATCCACTTATCAAATTCATTTTCATCCTCAAATTCAATACCTCTATTTTGAAATTCATCACGTTCATCCTCAGTCATCATTTCCGGATCAATGTATGTTTTTGTAAAGAATCGACCATCTTTTGTCTTTTTAAAACCATCCTCCTTGAGTTTTTCTTGTTTGGCAAAATCCAAAATCTTTAACAGTGGATCATTGTCAATACTTGAACTCTTTCTTGTATTTGTACTTGTTGAAAACTGATTCTTAATTATACTATTATTGCAATTACAATTAGCAGCTGTAATATATTTGGAATTGAGTTGAAAAATCTTCCCCGATGATGAAACTCCTCTCACCGATGAAACTCTTTTTAATAATAATTTTTTCATTCTTTTTTTTTGTTAGTAGTAAAATAATATTCCCTTCCGACGATTAATAGTTGTTGTTATTCTTGTTGTTATGATGATGGTAAGAAGCGAAAAAGGGTTAAATTCCGCAAGCCTTTTTTTCAAAATTTTTTTTGATTGAATTTTATCAATTTTAACAGTTTTTAAGTATTCAACAAAACTTTGCTCTTTTTTCATCATCCATTTGCAAATTACCAGCACACGGTTATGGTGGTTGGATGATTGCAAGTAATTATTGATTGGAATTATTTATTTTTGAATAATTATTAAGATTTAAGAGAGAAGTTTTGTTAATCCAATTCAAGAGTACTACAGTTTTCCATTGTTTTATATTGATGGCTGGTGTCCAAACAATTCACAAAACTGTCATGACAAATATTCTTAAAATGATATTCGTGTCTAGTCAAACATCTCAATGGAGATAAGGAAAATTATGCAACCCATTATTATTCCAGAACCTAATTTTTACAATTTGTCGCCAACAATGAGGTGCGAATTAATGTCCTATCTTTCAGGGTATTATATCATCAACACCATTTGATGCTGAACTATAAATGCATGTCTCTCTCTTCAGTCTAACAAATATAACAAACATTAAAAAATGATTGAACTCCTCAAGGCAGTTATTGCCTACTTATTAACAGCTCTTCAAGTATTGATTCATATTGGAAAGAAAGTATTGGCACCATTCCAAAAGTTGAAACAAGATATTGATCCATCTGGAAGGGTTGTATTATTGACTGGTGCAGCTGGTGGATTTGGATCCAATTTAGTTAGAGAATTGCTCGACAAGGGTGCTAATGTAATTGCTGTTGACGTCAAGATGGAATTCTTGGAAAAGTCTTTGGGTAAATTGAAATGTGAAAAGTTGGAATTTCTCCAGGTTGACATTGCTTCTAATGAACAAGTTGTGCAAGCAGCTGAGCAAGTTAAGGAGCTATTGAAAAAGTGGAATAAGGATCGGTTATTTGCATTGGTTAATAATGCTGGTATTGGAAATAGTCCAAATTGTGTCAAGAGAGGTGGAGTTGTTGAATTTGATGAAGACGAAATGCAACAAGTTTTCAATGTTAACACCTTGGGTCATATTCGTATGGTTCGTGAATTGTATCCACTCATGGAAAATAAGAACACTCAACTCGATTCCAATGCTTCCATCATTTTAAATGTTGCCTCAATCTCTGGCAGAGATGCCCTTCCATTCCTCTCTGTGTATCCATCTACAAAGCATGCCATTGTTGGTTATTCTCATTCTCTCCGTAGAGAAATGGAATTGTTAAAAGCCTCTGGAAATGACAATTCATTTGTGAGAGTTTGTTGTGTTGAGCCAGGTTTCAGTAAGACACAAATTGTTGCCTCCAAACCATTCAATGAGGAATCAATCTTTTATAAGGCCTATCTACTCACCAAGCCACTCTATTTCAAGGTTGTTTCTAGTGCCATTACTCCAGATCATGTTGCCCTGGAAATGTACAGACAAATATTCTCATCCAATAGTTATGATAGTGTCATTGTTGATAAGTGGTACATGATTGTTTTTTGGAGATTGTTCAATTATGTGTTCTAAATTCTCTCTTCTCCCACTGATCCTTAGATTTTTAATGCAAGGATACAGTCGTGTAAATAAAGATATTAATTTAATAATACTGTTATTGAAATGGAGGTCCTAATAAGTCTCCGTTTCTCTTGTGGATATGTGGATTTTGACTTCAATGGGTCGACATGGCCTTGCTGTTTGGTAAATTCTACAATGGATAACTTGCAATAATTAATCATCAATCTTGATTCTCAGAGAGAGTATGTTTGTGTTTGTTTTTATTCTAAGTTAATAACCAAACCACCCAATTTAAGCTGTCAATAAGAGACGCAATTTAAAGCAAGTTTGGTTTCGCACACCAAAATAAATTAAGGCAGTTTCACTAGATACCTTCAATAATTGGACAAGTTCATGAATCTGAAATGTATTCAATACAATAATTTGTCCATGTCTCTTTTAATCATCTCCAAATAGCATTTCTGATTATATATTGCTGCATAAGACAAACATTTTGTAATGAATTAGAAAATGAAAAAAAATGAGAAGGCAAAATTGTTGGTGGATTATTTGCAGATTCATTCATTTCGGAGGAGAGAACAAGTTAGAAAAATTATTAAAAATATCAGTGTGTTGCTGGTACCTTTTGGTACTTGTCGTGGAATTGAATATATGTGTTTGCATCTGTCTAGGGGAAAATATTTGGAAAATGTAAAGGAAAGCGAGAGAGTGTTCATTTCGGAATTTGTGGATAGCTTTGCAAGAGTGGAAAATGTTGAACAATACCTCTCTGAAGGAGAAGATTTGGAAGAAATGGACGAGAAATTGTATAAATTTATAAATAATTCGAGAATGTTGAATCTTGCTGAAGTGCGATTGGATTTACTGGATTTTTATTTGGATAAGAGGTTAGATTTATTGTGGAGATCATTGAAAAAGTTCAATCATCAAAAGAAGAGAAGAGGTATAATTTTCTACTTGTCACAAATTAAAAATTTATTGAAACAATCTAGCTTTTTGATGAAATTGATTGAAAAGAAATTGGAAATAGTCTTTGGCATTGAGAATTTTAATATATTTGAGAGGGTGACCAATTTAGTTGAGCATTTAAACTCTGGATTTGTGAATCAGGGTTTGAGTGAAATTTACAAATCAGATTGGTTAAATGTTGATTATAATATGACATTCAAGCTCTCCTTCATTCAATATGAGAGCTATCGAGAAGCAATTCATGATTTTTTCAAGAATATCATTTGGAGTGAACAAGTGAGCTTGCATTCTTTTCAAAAATTCATATTTGAAAGACAAGTAGATTCTCCATTGAAAACTTTCTTCTTGTTGCATACTATTTCTGTGGGTGAGGAAAATCCAAATCACTTATTCGATCCATTAGTGGAAAGTATTGAAACAAAAGGTTTTAAACAAGAAGAAATAAGAAGAATCCTATCAACTGAACCTGTAGAATTTTATGAACAAGAATCCATTCAGGAATATTTCAGAAAGCTATTTAAAGAGTCGACATTACCTGCAAGGAGTGATTCAAATACAAAACAACCCTTTACAAATCTCTTCTCACTGAACAATAACCAAGAAGAGGAAAAGATATTCTCTTCAGACCTAATCAAAACATGTATTGAGGAATGCCTCACCCAGCACCAATTAATTGAATTACTAGATACGATTTATCCATTTACAGATCAAAACTATCACATGTACTATAAGCCTGAAATTGAAAATCACTTGAGAGATGAGATTTTAATTGAACCATTATTGAGAAAGCAGATTTTCAAGGAAGAAGTCGAATACATTTCCAAGTATTGTTCAGATTTGTGTGAAATGTGTCAAACAATATGCACTCAATTTGAAAATTTACTATCAACACTCTAAAGTTTCAAGAACTTTTCAACTTCCTTTTTCAAGCTAGGGTTTTCTGATCCCTTGGCATGAGCAAATTCAACAAAATCGAATTTTAAGGTTGTATGTTGTCCTAAACATCTCAAATATTCCTCTTTACATTGCTCCACACCAAATACACTACTTGGAGTCAAAACACCTGGATTAGACCTGGCAGCATTTGAATTATTCAGCAAGAAGAGAGCACTATCTAAGCAATAAACTGCTGTTTCTGTATATCCTGGATCATTATTATTGTACATTCTGGTCTTACATTTGAACAGGACTGGATCGGTGGAGTTTGCTGGTGTTACCTTACCAAAAGTTTCAAAAACAAATTCAAAACTACTCTCATCTCTTTCCTTTTGGGTTGGATTTGGCTTTAAAGAGTACAAGAATCTTAAAAACCTAGCTCCAAATGAAAGTCTTGTACAAATGAACATGATCATGAAGAAGATGATCATTAAGAATAAATAGTAGCGGTTGGAAAGTTGTAAGTAATTGTTATACTCGAAAGTATTTTCAGTATTTTCAGAAAGGGATGTATCATAGCCAATCAAGTGATTCGATCTTCTAACAATGAGTGGATCTGAAGTTGAAAATGGTACAATATAGTTTTGCAATCCTGCATGATATTGGGTTCCTCTCTTACTATATGATCCCTTCTTGTCACTTGTCTTTTGTACAATTTTTTCACTTGTTTTCTTTCCACTGAAAACACTATAATTTTCCAATGATGTAACAAGAGTATTAAAAGTTCCATAGCTCACAAAACCTGGCAAGTTGAGTGACAAATACCCATTTGTCACAATTGTTGTCTTGTCAGTTTGTGAAATTCCCAATTCTTCCAATTTGTTCTTTACATGAAACAAGGAGATGTTTGTTCCCAAATCAGCAGGAATACTATCAAAACCACAACAGTGAATAATCTTGACATTGTTTTCACGTGCCTTGTCGTGGAATTTTTGAGCAGATTCAAGTACATATTCTGGTTCACCAGTAATGTCCAAATAATCAGTTCCAGTCTCTACACAACTATCAACAATTTCCAATCCACCACAAGCAATAAACGGTCCAGCAACATTTAGTAAAACCTTTGTATTGCCTGTCAATTCTAATAACTTTGGTCCCTTTTCGACTTTACTAATCACTGCAACGTCAATTATTAAATCTTTTCTTCCCTTGTCTGACATTTTAATATTGTGTGCCATGACAAGTTCATTCAATCTACTCTCATTTCTACCAGCAATACAAAATCTTCTTCCACTCACCATTAAATCCGAATCACTCTCAACAAGAGAACTCAATCTCTGAATCAAGTATCTTGTGATGAGAGTTCCGGTAAAACCTGTTGCTCCGAAAATAGTTACATCATATAATTTTTGATTTTTACTAGAAGTGGTGGTTGTTGTTGGAGGAGAGGAAACAACAATATTTGATGATCCTGAGTAAGGATTTGAAATATTACTGCTGATCATTTTTTTATCTGGTTGATTTTTAATTTAATTATTATTGAATGTGTGATGACATGGAAAATGTTGTGCGGTTATTTTGTGCGATCGGAATGAAATGCTTTTGTGGTTGGTGAAAGTCAAAATATTACAAAGCACCTTAATGTCAAATGTTATTTTTATATATTGTGGCAAGCAGCAGCTTGTTCAAATACTGCCTCCAAAACTTAACTACAAAAAAAAATAGCAGAGTTTTAAGGCAGTTTTGAAAAATATATTCCTTACTCATTTTTTCATCACTGATTTGTAATAGTAAAAATAATAATCATTGTCATCATTCAATCAACAATCAATACAGAAAATGGTTAAACAATCGAGAGGTACATTACCTAAGGAGGCTGTTGAGCATTTGAAGAATTGGCTTTTTTTACACTTTCAACATCCGTATCCTTCGGAAGAGGAGAAGGCTGTCTTGGCAGAGGAAACCTCGCTAACACTTGTTCAGGTGAACAATTGGTTTATCAATGCAAGAAGAAGGCTTTGGAAACCAATTATTGAGAAGCAAACACAGAAGGAAGGTGTTTCGGATTCAACCCCAGCTCTAGAAGTTAAGGTTGAAAGTGGGATGGAAAGAGTTTCATCACCCCTAAAAGAAAAACAAGAGAAGAAACAAATTCCCCCAAAAAACAATAGAAAAGACAGCCATGAATCATTGTTATCCCCTCCCAGTAGAGTTGTCCAAGAACATACTAGAAGGGAAGAGGATGAATCATTGATTTCTCCAGTTTTACAATTAGTGGAACAACCAAAGCTTGCTAATATTGAAACAAAACCTATTGACATGGCAGATATTATGCGATTGTACTCTATGGATACTTCAAGCTTTAAGGAAAAGTTAGAGAGATCGGAGAAGGAATTGGCTCATGTTTTGACTCAATCCAAACTTGTCAATCAAGAATACAGAAAGAAAAAGCTATTTGAAAGATGGAACAACAGAGATTGTAATCCTCTCTCAATAGAAGGAATGAAAAATACCAATATGAATAGGCAGAGAATTGAAGTTCCAACAGGCATGGATTTTGTTAATGCTATTCTTCTTTAATAAATTAATGCTAACATTTGAAAAGAAACAGTATTAAAATGATGTTTTGGGTTTTTAGTAAAAGGATTTGCATTAGCCTAAAGTCACCAGCTTGGAAGGCTGGTGTGATACCGTTACACTGCTAATGCTTTCATTGTAAATTTTCGGCCTTGTTTTCATTTTACATCTGTGAATAGTCAAGACAACTCTGCAGTACGATGTTGTCAAAAAAATACATTATTTTGTTATCCTGGATTGTTATCTTAAAGGAATTGTTTTCCTTCTTAACAAGATATTGAATGTTAACATTGACCAAAAACCCAACACGGGAACTTTACTATTGAAATTATGGCCTTAAAAATTGAAGCATGTTCCCTTCCTCTCGTTTTATTGTAATTAACCAATATGGACAACCAAGATGGTAATACCTCCCGATTAAATTAATTACCACGTACTTTGAAAAAATCATGGGCGTTGAAGAAAAATTTTGAAAAAAAAAATTTATTGTCTTGTTACCTGTATCGTTATTAGTAATAGTACCTACATACAACAATGATTCACGAATCGTCGGAGGTATCGACCACAATCGATAACCAAAATGCTCTATATGTGGAAGCATGACAATCAACTGATATCGTCATTGCTCAAAGCAAGACGAATGTTAAAGTCTCAAAAAAGACTTCTCGTAAAGCTGTTGATATTAAAGAACATTTACTTACTATTGATTCCATAGTTGAGTCCTTAGACACGAATTTTGATGTTCACCATCCTGAAAACTCTCAAGGCTTGTCCTCTAAAATTGTTTCCGAACGATTGTTGACTGATGGTAAGAATATTCTGGCTCCTCCGAAGAGAACTTTATTCATAGTTAAAGTTATCAAGGAACTTCTTTCTCCATTCTCTTTGGTATTGATTATTGCTGGTTTTTTGAGTATTCTTGACGTCATCATCGAAAGAACACCTGAATCCATTCCAAATATTTTCCTTGGATTGATATTGTTTGTGGTTGTTTTATTCAATGCTATTGTAACATTAGTTCAAGAAAGAAAGGGAGAGAAAATTATTGAGAGTTTTCAACAGTTACAAAAGAATTCGTGTTGGGTTATTAGAGATGGTATTTTACAAAAGATTGATGCTGAAGATTTGGTCCTTGGTGATGTTGTTAAAATTTCAACAGGTGATTTGATCCCAGCAGATTTAAGATGTGTCAGTAGTTCTGGTATGAAGGTAGACAATAGTACTTTGACTGGAGAATCAGATCCTCAAACTAGAACCATTGAAAATACTGCTCCTAACCCATTGGAAGCATCTAATTTACTATTTTTTGGATCTACTGTTGTCGAAGGATTTGGTTTTGGAATTGTAATTAGAACAGCAAACAAGACAGTTATGGGAAAAATTGCTCACTTGGCAGGTGGTCAAAAGGAAAGAAAAACACCTATCAGAAGAGAAATTGACAAATTTGTTTTCATATTGGGAACCATTGCTATTGTTTGTTGCATTATTTTCTTTTGTGTATGTATGAGCTTTGGTTTCACATGGTTTCAGAGCTTTATTTTTTGCAGTAAGTTATCAAATTTCATCATACAATACTAAGTACTGTCATCTTTAGTTGGTGTAATTACTGGTTGCATCCCTGCAGGTTTAATTGCTACTGTGACCACATGTCTTTCAATCTCTGCACAACGTTTGAAAGAGGTTAACATTGTTGTCAAGAAACTGGATCATGTGGAAACATTGGGTTCTGTTTCAGTCATTTGTTCTGACAAGACTGGAACACTCACACAAAATAAGATGACCGTTGTTGAAGCATGGATTGATTCTTCAGTTATCACCATTCCATACAATATGGATAACTCCACAAGCGCGACTTCAACCAATGGTGCTTCTAGTAATGCTCCTCAAAATTTATCTACTGAAGAGTTGTTGCAAAGAGCTTGCAGCTTGTGTAGTACAGCCACATTCCTTGAAAATGAAGCAAATTTAAACACTCCAATCATGAAAAGAGAATGTCTTGGAGATGCCTCAGAAATTGCTCTCATTAAGTATGTAGAATCCAGAGGAAAGGCCAGTCTTAAAAGCATTAGAAAAGATCATGAAGAACTCTATTGTATTCCTTTTAGTTCAAAGAATAAGTGGATGCTTACTATCAACGAGATTCCTAATCAACCTAACGATGACGCTCTATTGTTAATGAAGGGAGCCCCTGAAAGAATTGCTTCTCTTTGTTCCAAAATTTTAATATCTGGTGTTGAATATGATATGGATGAGAACTGGAGAAACAACTTTCAAGATTCTTATGACTTTTTTGCATCAAAAGGTTGTAGAGTTTTGGCATTTGCCCAAACTAGCATTTCAAAGTCACAAATTCCATCTGGAGATATTGATAATATCAGAGATTTTGCCAAAAATTTGACATTTTTGGGAATGGTAGCATTGACTGATCCTCCAAAGGTAGGAGTAACTGAAGCTGTTGCCAAGTGTAAAACTGGAGGTATTCAAGTAGTCATGGTCACTGGAGATCACCCTCTCACTGCAAAAGCCATTGCCAAACAAGTGGGTATCATAGAACAAAAAGCGCTCATACTGGACGAAATGGATGAACAGAATTATGGCTCTCAACCTGAAGCTATGGTTATCCATGGAGAACAAATAGATCAATTGACTAATGAAGATTGGAAAGGAATTATGAAAATTAAGCAGTTGGTATTTGCTAGAACTTCTCCACAACAAAAGTTGTTTATTGTTTCCAAATTCCAAGAATATGGTCATATTGTGGCCGTAACAGGAGATGGAACAAACGATTCTCCAGCTCTCAAAAAGGCTGACATTGGTGTTGCAATGAACTTGAGTGGTTCTGCTGTCTCTAAAGAAGCTGCTGCCCTTATCTTGTTGGATGATAACTTTGCATCAATTGTAAACGGAATTCAAGAAGGTAGATTGATTTTTGACAATTTAAAGAAGAGTCTTGTTTACACAGTAAGCCATAACTTGCCTGAAATGTCTTCATTTATTGCTTTCATGTTCTTTGGTATTCCTGTACCAATGACAGGTTTGCAAATGATTTGTCTCGATTTGGGTACTGAAGTAGCATCTTCTATTTGTCTCGCCTATGAAAAAGCAGAAAATGATTTAATGAGTATTCCACCAAGAAACAAATTGCAGTCACTAATTGGAATTCCTGAACTCATGTTCTGTTATCTCGTTTCTGGTTTAATTGAATCACTTGGTGGCATATTTTGTTTTATATTCACATTTGCATTTTATGGAGTTCCCCCAAGGTATTTGTGGGCTGCTAGACAAGGCAATTATTTCCAAAACACTTCATCAACACCATTGTTTATTGTAGAAACTGGAATTACTCTAAGTGGAGTGGATCAAAGCAACATTTTGGTTACTGCTCAAACAAGTTACTTTTTATGTATTGTTTTGTGTCAAATTGTCAACATGTACTCCTGCAGAACTAGAAGAGAATTTGTATTTACTTTCCCATTATTCTCCAATTTGTACATCTATCTTGGCGCTGTGGTTGCTATTGCTCTTTCTGCCTTTTTGATTTATGTTCCGTTCATTAATGATGCTATTTTCGGCTTTAGACCTGTAACAGTTGATTCATGGTTGTATCCTCTTCCGTGGATGTTTATGGTACTCTTTGTCAATGAAATGAGAAAATTGTTGGTCAAGTACTTGAAAATCAAAAATTTGTACTGGTAAATCTAATAAATCTAGCTCAAATTAAAAGAAATCAATCTACACAAACCTTATCAAAAATGTTTCCTCAAATAATCAATATTGAAAATAAATTTTAAATTTTTTTATTTCTTTAAAAAAATGAAGAAATTTTGTTCCTCGTCACTTCTCTCCGTGTTTAATAAACCACGTTTGAATAGCACGGGTTTATTATTCTCCCAACTCTCAGTCAATACATCATCATTAACATCATCTACCACATCATCAACTTCACAATTTTTGATTAATTCTATTTCTCAACAACAAACACAACTTCGTTTCGCTTCCAAGAAGAGTGGTGGTTCTACAAGTAAAACCAAAGACTCTCACTCCAAGAGATTAGGTTTAAAGAGAAGACAAGGAGAAAGAGTTAAAGCTGGAGAAATTCTTATTAGACAAAGAGGAAATACATATTGGCCAGGATACAATGTTCTTCAAGGAAAGGATTACACTCTTCATGCTTTGAGAGATGGTTGGGTTCAATTTGTTCATGATGAAGTATATGATAGAAAATATATTGTTGTTGCTCCACGTCTTGCTGATATTTCCAAACAAACAGAACTTCAATTCCACTTTGAAGGAGAGGAACCATTCGTGAAGGATCCAATTGTTCGTTTGAAGCACGGAAGAAATGTTGCAAATGCTCAAATGAGTAGAATAGATAGACAAAAGAAGAGAGAACAACAAGCTATGGAAAAGGATATTTTACCAGTCAAGAGAATTCCAGGCACACAAGTACACAAAGTACCAAAGATTATCAATCATCAAGTCAAGTATGTTGAAGATAGTGCCAACTTTAAGTGCAAGAGCAACCTCAAGACACATCGTACATTACCAATTTCACAACCATCTAGAGAAAATTGTATTTAATTGATTTTTAATAACTTGATAATAAAAAGGATTTGTTCAAACAAGTAGCCTTCATCATTTCTCCAATGCAACACACTCCTTTTCTCATTCACACAGGCTTGCTTTTAAACAACAAGGCTTTGTTTTATTCCCGCCACAAAATTTAACAAAAAAATGTCTTCACAACAACTCATTACAGAGGAAGGCTTTGACTTGCACGATCCACCAACAGATGGCATTTCTAGCCTAAATTTTTCAACCTTGAATCATGATTTGCTACTGGTTACAAGTTGGGATAAATCCGTTAGAATTTACAATGTCAAATCCAACTCTTTAGTTACCAAGTATGAACATCAGACAAGTGTATTGTGTGGATGTTTTTCTAATGGTGAGGAGTGTACATTTAGTGCTGGTTTGGACGGAAAATTGGTCAAATACAATATGAAGAGTGGAGAACAAAGTGTGATTGGAACATTTCCTGATTTTCACAAGAGTGCTATCAAGTGTATTTCAACAATTCCTGGAACACCAGAGAAAATCATAACTGGAAGTTGGGATGGAACAATCAAGCTCTGGGATACTCAACAGAATACATGCATACAGACCTTGGACCTGACCAAAAAGGTCTACAGCATGGATGTCACTCCTGATGGATCTAAATTGGTGGTAGCATCCCAAGACTTGCTCATATTCATTGTGCATATTCAAAAAGATTCCAATCAACCTCTCTCCTTACATATTAGAAAGCAAAGTGGATTGAAGTATCAAACCAGAGTTGTCAAGTGTTTTGGTGACAATAATTCTTATGCTATCGGATCTATTGAAGGAAGAGTAGCAGTAGAATACTTTAACAATTCAAATTCGAATTATGCTTTCAAATGTCACAGAAGTCAAACAGGACAACAAGCTGTAGAAACACTCTATCCAGTCAATACTATTGATTTCAATCCAAGACATCCAAATATATTTGTAACAGGTGGTTGTGATGGTGTATTAATGTTCTGGGATAAGGATAAGAAGAGGAGGGTTTCTCGTTCAGCACCCTATAGTACAAGCATTGCTGTATTGACTTTTAGTACTAGTGGTGAATATCTTGCATGTGCCGTTTCCTATACTTGGGAAATGGGAAACAAATCTCATCCATCTGATAGAATTATTGTAAAGAAGGTTTACTCATAAGTTTTCAATTATATCTCTGAAAGTGTAAAATCAAAATAGTTTTGAAAGGTATGCCTTGATATTTATGGAGATGTACTAGTAGACTGAGGATTCATGTTGTACAAGTCTTCATAGTGTGCTTTATTACAGCAAGTTGAATGGATTAAAATTCACAAAGAAAATATTGTGATGAATAATTCTGATTCAGTAAATAATTGGAATTTTATAATCATCTAGAAACAATTTTTAGGTTTGGAATAGATTTGAGTAATACCTTATCTTTCTCTGCCATAGGAATTAATTGTAAATTTTTGAGTTGTTTCATAAAAGGACTTTCAACTATCATCTCGACAGCTAGTTTTGTATAATTATTGTAAAGACTGTAAACCTTAAACCATCCACGATAACCATCATTATTACCCAAATAGAGAGAACTCAAATTGCTCATATCTGGCGAATTTACCAACGTTCTAATCCCTTCATCTGTAATTGAATTACCACTCAAATTCAAAAGAGTTAGTTTTTTGAGGATTGAATTGTGAGAGGTTAGAATTTCCATTCCTTCATCACCTAATGAATTTCCTTTAAGATTGAGAGAGGTTAATTTGTTCATATGGATACTATTACATAGGTAGGATAATCCTTCCTTTCCAATTCTATTTCTTTCTAATTTTAAGAATGTTAGATTGGAAAGTATTGGACTTTGACTAAGAATTTTGACACCTTCCACTTTCAAATTATTACATTTAAGAGAAAGACTATTCAGATTGTTCATATAAGGACTACTAACAAGCTCTCTTGCAAAAACTTCAGAAACTTTACAATAGTCCAAATTTAAACTTGTTAAATTTCTCATATTTTCACTCTTTACAATAGAAATTGAACCAATATTTAAAATTCTTGATTCACTAAAATCCAACGCAGTCAAATTGGGGAGATATTTCGCAACTGCAAATGCACCTCTTGGATGACAATTATGCACAGAAAGATACTCAAGTTTTGAATACTTCTTCACAACATTTTTCACATCCTCGGAAACACATCCAGACATTTCCAAACCGATCAAATTATTCAAGAATTCACTCTTGATCATTTTCCTATAAGTTTTTGAATTTGATTCATCCCAACCAACCCAATTCGAGTATTGATGTAAATGGATTCTGATCGGCAGCTGTTTGATGAGTTTCATCCAATCTTTGCACACGAGAGAAAGCTTGCAAATTCTTTCCTTGAATCCAAAAAATTGTAAAATAACACCAATGCAATCTGTTTGATGTCTTAGCTGCAACAATGAGGAAAATCCTTCTTCATTCATTTTCTTTCAATTTTTACTTTTATTTAACTTCTAGCTCTTTAAAAATAACATTTAACATGTCAAAATAGAATTGAATTATTTATACACTCTCAAGAGCCTTTAAAATATATTGTTGCCACTTAGACCAACAATTATTAGAGTGAATTATCCTGTATCAGGAAAATTAAATTTTCATAAATATTACAAAACAACTCAGCTATCCAAAATTTTCGAAAATGTGGATCACAACAAAATTTAAAAAATTTTAATAAAAAAAATAATTCAATCAAAATGAAAACAACTCTCCCAATCAGAAGGCTTTTATCCAATTCCTCATCGCCACAACAACAGTATTTATTCAGCAATGTTGTTGTTAGAAATTTCTCTAGATCGGAAATTACTCTCAATCAACAGGATAATGCTTCTGCTGCTTCCTTTGAAGAAGCAAAACCAATGGTTGCTCAAGCTCGTCCAAAGAAAAAGTACATTAACAAAATTCTTGATAAACCACTTGAAAAGCCACTCCAATTGTGGTTTAAACAAGATAAATGGAATAGTGATGAACAAAAAAGAATTGAATATATTGCAAGATTATTGATGAAATTTCAATATAAAAATTATCAAGATTTCCTTGAAACTAATCCTAAACAAAAATCAGCTTTGGAACAAATTGAAGAAATTACATTGAGAGATGATAAAATCATTCAAAAGTTATTAGAAAATGAAATTAAAGAAAGAAAGCCACAAAATGAAGATGAAGATGTTCCTGTTCTCAAATTTAACAAGGAAGCACTCTCTAAAATTGATCCTGATGAAGTTACACCAATGGCCGCTTTCAAATCTATCAAAAAGAGAAAATTAGCAAATAGAACTATTTTAACATTCCCTCAAAACATTCTTCCAAAATCTGAAACTGAAGCTCAATATGCTCAATTGAGATTGATTGATCTCTTGGAAAAGGAAAAGGGTTGGAAATTAGTTGGATGGAAAATTGGAGCAACTCAACCAAAGGCTTTGGTGAGATTGAACATCAAGCAACCATTCTTGGGACCTATTTTTGAACATCAAGTTTTGAAAAATCCAGAATCTGTTCAAGTTGAAGATGTGACAAACTTTGGACCAATGGTAGAAATTGAATTTGGTTTTGTTTTGGCTAAGGATTTAAAGGCTCGTTCTGAACCATATACAAAGGAAGAATTAATTGATGCATTGGATCATGTTAAAGGTGTTGTAGAAATTATTGGTACAAGAGTTGATAATGTTGAAAATAATGGAGGTGTCTTGACAAGAATTGCTGATTTGGGTGGTCATATTAATTTAATCATTCCAGAAAAGCCATCAACTTTCGATAAGACACAAGTTGCCAAGTTGTCATTTGAAAATGTTGAACTCTTCTTGAATGGTGAATCTGATACAAAGGCCAAGGGAAGTTTCGTTTGCAATGGTCAATATGATCCAAATGAAACTAAAGGTCCATTAGATACTTGTCTGCAATGTATTAACAGAATTACAGGTGAATTTGGTCGTGATGTTTTGGCAGGTCAAATCATTTCTAGTGGTACAATGACTGGAAAGTCAAGAGAATTAGAAAAGGGAGATCTTATCAAGGCCAGCTTTGAAAATCCACTCTTTGATGACATTGTTTTTAAATACAAATAAATATGTCATGTTTATAATTGTGAGGAAATAATTGAGGCACCATACCAATTGAGAATGGAATGAGAGACTGTATCATCCATATTGATTCCAATGTTTTTCAACCAACTCCTTGTCATATCTCGCTCACTCAGTATATCCCTCAAACTTCTAAGGAGCTTCTTTTTGAAACCAGCAATTTCAGCCAAACCTCCACATACCAGAATGTTTTTCAAAATTTTAGATCGTGGATCAATTTCAATTCGTTTCAAACTTTCCACAATACCTTCCATGAGAGGGTCAAATAAAATGTCACAAGCCTCTCTTCTGATGGCGTCAGTAATTGAGATACAATACCTGCCATTCCAATACTGAATAATATCTGAAAATGGAACAAGTGGATTATCTCCTTCACCATCACAATAACAAACTCTTGTGAAAATATCTTCCAATAGCATTGTTTCACAATCCATCAGTTTGCTATACTTGAGCATTTCTCCTTCATCATGCTCATAGAATAACTTATTGAGATCCACATGGTCACAGTGCTGAGGTGTCAGTGATTCTTTTGGATTCATTTTCATCAAATTGTCCTTCAATCGTCGAAGAATATGTTTTGATCCAGTGTCAACAACTACCACACCAGCCTGCACAATACATCCAAACAAGACTGGTACAATTTTACATTCTGAAAATCCACAATCAATAACCAAGCCATTTACATCCATCTCTTCGTTTCCTTTCCTCGAAGTCAAACTTAGGATGGGTGGAGAAAGCAATTTGTTGCTATCATTTGCTGTTTGAAATTTTACCGAGCAAGAGCTAGGTATTAGGGCACAACTTTGAGCATTGATAAATTTAATTCCTTTCAGTTTGGAAAATCGTTTTCTATTGCACATGTCTTCCACTGTTCTCCTCACTAGATTTTCATGTAGTGAATAAACATTCTCCAAAATTACCACATGATCTATGCTATCCAAATGAAGTTTGAGTTCATCGATGAATATCCTCTTTAATAGTTTTCCCAAAAGGTGAGACAGTTTTTCTTCATAATAGGCATCATCTTCAATACTGTTCCCGAATCCAATTCGTGTATACTCATCAAAAATTACATCAGTTTCTATATTACAAGATCCAATATCTTTTTCAAAACTGGAAAAGGCTTGTTTCATGTGGTCTATATTAAAATTATGATTTTTACATTTACACAACATTTCTGAAAGTTCATAAGGTACAGGAAGAACTACTCTTGGGCAATAGTCTCCAGATATTCCACACTTGAAATATTTTCTCCCTATTTCAATAATTACTACAAGCTGCGAGGAGCTCCTACTACTCAGCACAACATTGCTTATATTTTCGGATGATATTTTTGTTTCATTCAATTTAGAGAGAGATAATGATAAAGGATTTCTTGGGGAGGTGAATAATTGAGGAGTTGAGTTCTTCCTTGTAAATGTTTTTGGATCCAATCTGAGAGAGGAAGGAATCTTATTCAAAACTCTTCTATTACTATTTGGTGTCACTTTATAATTACCCTTAGTAGTAAGTGCTGAACTATACAAATTATCTGATGTTGCTGTTTTTGTTGGTGTTGTTTCTGGACTTGATTCATCAGAGAATGAGATTTTTCTCTTGTAGGCAGATGAAGGAATTTCCAATAATCCACTCGATTGTTCTACTCTATTAATGTCCACTTTCGATAGAGTTGAAGGGGTGCCACTATCATCACCCTCCACTGCAATCTCAATTCTTTCGTCTGTTCTTTGATTGTTTTGCTGTTGTGAGAGGCTACTACTTCGGAAACGTGGTGATGAAATTAATACCTTATTCTGATCTGTTATTGATGGTGTAGCCACCTCCTCTTCATCATCCGATGTTGAATTTATGGATGCCACCGATGACTGATTATTGTTTTGACTAGTGGAACGATTTCCTCTCCGAAAGAAGAAGGACATTTTTTTTTATAGTGATTCAAGTTTGCCTTAGATGTATGCAAATATTCATTTCAGAGGTTTTGTATTCTCATCATGATACTAGTCAATTGTCTTTGAGCAATTATTAAAATATATCATGTTCTCAAATACCTAAATGAACAGACATTAATAAGACCAGTAGATTCCATCAAGGGATATTGAAAATGGCGCCAAATCCATTTCTGACTACAGATGTACTTTAAACCGTTTGTCAAACAAACTTTAAAAAAAAATAAGGCGTTTTCCTATCTCCCTCAAACCACTAGTGAATATGTTCAAAAATGATAGAATTGCTACTACAAGAGGAAAAACGCTCATGTTTATTCTCGCCCTAGTATTTAGTATGACAATTTTATTTTCTCTAGTGTCGGCACAGTTTGATTCTGTCAAGTCCTTTCGAGGTTCCATAACAATAGGTAGTACTGATGACTGTATGATTTCAGTCAGCGAAAATATTACACTAGTATCATCATCGTATGGAGTTACAAGTTTCGAAAGAAAAATTCCAACAACAGACCTTCCTCTTAAATATGTGTGGGTTCATACAGTTAAGGCAACAATTGTGGGAACTCCTCCAACAGGATTTAAAATTTCCGATTTGAAAGTCTTCAAGATAGATGTTACAAGTACTGCAACAGCTCAAGTAATTGCAGTCAGTTTCTCAGCATTGGATAGTTTACCAAAGAGTACCGTATTGAATATTGTTCTTTCTTACAAGATGCTTGGTACCATTGGATTTATTTCAAATACTACAGATACAACAATGACCACTGTAAATTATCCTCTCCAATTTTCAATTCCAGTTGAATCTGTTTTCCTTTCTTTTACTCATGCTGATGGCTTGTCAAGTGTGCCTATTGAACCATACATTGCTTCCAGCAAGAAGACATTCCCAAGCTCCCATTTTACTCTCCCAGCCAATCAAACAGTCGAGTTCAATACCACTCTTGTTGCTGATGAATTGCTGAAAGCTGGTTTCAATTTCCAAGCTTCAAGTTATACCATGTGTTACATTCCATATAATTTAATGGAGAGTTGGTTGATTGGTACTATCATTGGTGCTTCTTTTGCAATTCCAGTAATTTTCTTTACTATTTGTATTATTGTCACCATCATTAGGTTCTTTACAGTTGACAGGAAGAAAGAAGCTCCATTACTAGAGGCTCACAGGGTGTAAATATTTATCAGAAACAATAAATCATATTCGAAAATAATTTAATAATTAATCATAATTTACAATTTCAATATATTCTTTACAATTTTTAATCTAAATCTGTTGGCTCATTGTTGCTCAATCTTTCAATAAGCTTCTTTTGTTCTTGGTCAACTTTTTTCAGCGACTCCAATTCATCAATATACCTCTCCAATTCTGTGTGCTTGTCTGTTATTAATTGGTTGTATTCTCTCAATAAATTCTTTCTTCGATCCTCCTCCCCTTTAACAAGATTTCTCATACCAATGGCTTTTAATTTTTCATCTTCAATTGTTTTCCCCTGATTGTTCAATATTTGCATTACTTCAGCAACAAGTTTCTGAAAATCCTTAATCTCTTCACATGAATTATTAAATTAAATCCTTCCATACAACACTTACTGGAAGCAAACTCCTCCGATTTGGTCTTCATCATCTCGGAAGTACTAAACTTGGCTGGGTCAAACACTCTCAAGTTATATTCCTCATCGAACGTTAATTTCAAGTCTTCCATTTTTTTTGTAGAACTTTGTAGCGGGAACCTTTTTCAAACCGCTCTAACCACCTCCCAGTTATTAATAAAAATTATTAAAAAAATTCGAAACTGTTCTCTTTTAAACATCATCTGTTGTGCAAGCAATTTTGCGAAAAATTTGGTTGTTTTGTTGCAACAATTGCATTCATTTCCTTCATAATTTGTGGAGGCTATTTAGCTGCAGTTTTATCGGGATTGGAAGCTAGTAAAGACATTTGGATCATTGATCGGGATAGAGTTATCAACTCAAATAATTATAATATAACATGTTTGATGATGGATCGTGATAATCAATGCACTATTGAAAGACATTGCTTTTCAAGAAGTTGTACCAATGTTAAAATGTGCTATCCAAAGGTAGTGATTTGGAATGACTATCCTTACAAATTTCCCAATACATCACTAGCAATTTTATCAAAATTGAATTGGAATACTGTTATTGTTAGAAATTTAACCGATTCTGTCATTATTACGAATAGTATTGTTGGGAATGGAGAATTATTTAATTGTTATATTGCAACAAATTCTACACCAACAACATCTTATTTTGTCTCCATAAATAAGAATGTTGATTCTGGAAAGGAATTATTGGAAAAGATCAACTCTCCCACAAGTATTCTAATTTCAATGGCAATATTCGGATGTTTCATTATCACAAGCTTGAGTTTAATGATTTTCATTCCGATAGTTACTTTTAAAATTAAAGCTTGGTTAAAGAAGGACCAGGGCTTTAGAAGGGAAGTAGTATTTGTGGATGGCCAATACCTATCCAAGGATGGTGCAAAGTTGGATGATAATCATTATATTTATGTCTGACAATCAGCCTCCACCTTTTTGTTATTAAATTATTTGTTGATTTTAACAGAACAAAAGAAGGTTAGGAAGAACCAACTACTACATCAAAATAATAAACTAATTTTTCAACTCAGTATTATTACAGTTTTTTGTAGCACCAATAATAATCCTAACAGTGCCATCATCCAAACTCGTTTTTAATTAAATAATAAAAAAACAGAGTAAAAAGCAATAATATCCAGAGAAGGATTACTTGTTGACGTATTAAAAAAATAACACTGTTTATCATTACCTAAGCACACAAGTGTCCTCTCTCAACGTTAGTTTATGCGCTACAAGTTCGATAATCATCAACAATACGAATCTGGTCTGAAATGACTACTACAACTGGCAATAACATAGAAAAGACATCATTAGAACCGTCGACAACCTCCATCGAATTGGAGGAGAATACAAACAATAATAATACGGATAATATTAGTATAAGAGAATTGGCTGCGGAACAATATCTCTCGACACCAACCGATCTTCATAATAACATACGTTTTGAAGACCAATTCCAGGACTCTGTTTCTTATCAGGGTAGTGCATTTTCAAATCAACCAAATTCCATGATGGAAAATGTTGACAATGAATCGGAGGAAGAAAAGGAATTGAATGAAATTGAAGAGGATATGGGTCACGAAAAAGTTGACCGTGATGATAATTTTGGATTTAAAATTGATCAGTTTTTGAGAGTAACTTTGGGTACTTTTTATTTTTGCAAACGTTCAAAGAATAATCTTGAAAATGGTGGAGAACAAGCTACAACACAGAAGAAACCTAAATGGTTATACAGATATTATGCACCTATTCATATTGCTTATATTATTTTTTGCGGATTCCTATTTGGTACTTTAATTTATGTATTCGAGCTCAATAACCCAAAAGCAAATATTCCCTATATTGACGCCTTGTTGATGAGCTTTGCAAATGTTTGTTTGGCTGGGTTTGTCACTCAACCAATTGTTGATATTACAGTCCCATCCCAAGTTAGTTTGTTTCTTGCAATTGTTTCAGGAGGACCGCACTTTACCTTGATTCCAATTCTTCTCATCAAGATTTTTAGAGCTAGAAAGAGAATGTTCAAGCTTAGAGAAGAAGAAGCAAAGTATCAACCAACTATGGTACAATTACCACCAACTATCCCACAAAACGAAGCAGTTAGTTTTCCAGCCCAATCACGAATTGTTTCATTCTTTAGTGCTCTGAAACAAAAATTTACTTCCAATAAGCAAAAGGAAAGATTTCCTCACAGTGACATTGAATATTCTGCTTTATTATGGCTACACTCTATAACCTTCATTCTAGTTGTAGTAATTAATAGTGTTGGTTTTCTAATTTTGGGAGGCGTTTTTGCAGGAATGTACAATGAGGAAAAATACATGCACGGCAAGAGTCCATTCTGGCTAGGTCTTTACATTGCTGTTAGTGCATTTAACAATTGCGGATCTACACTGTTGGACGAAAATTTAGGCAATTTTGTGGATGATTGGGTAATTTGTATGACTGTTGGTATTCTTATCATTTTAGGAAATGTTCTTTTCCCTCTGGTGTTGAGATATGTTCTTGTAATAATTTACAAAATGTCATCGAAAAGAAAGGTTGTTTTCAAATATATTTTAGAGAAACATCACCACCTTTCACCATACTTGTTTCCTGGTATACAGACAACAATTTATGGTATTATCACCATCTTACTGTTGGTCTTTGGTATTGTTATTACATTGGCGTGTGATTGGGGTAGTCCTAGAATGGCAGATAAATCTGTAGCAACAAGAATTTTAATCGCCTTATTCCATCCAATTAGTGCTAGAACTGGTGGTTTCAATTCAATTGACTTGTTTACACTTTCTTTCCCTACCCTTGCTGTTTATATAATTATGATGTATACAAAACCACAAATGGCATGTAGTTTGAGAGAGAATGCATACAAGATAGTGGACATGGTTAGACATATCAACGATGAAAAAAAAACAATCAAGTTTGCCCACAAGAATGAAAGAAGAGTCAAAACCAAACCATCCAGCCCACCAACAATCAGTGTTGAAACTCCTGCCACAGAAAATAATGATAACTTGGAATCTGAAACCAGTAATGCCAAGAACGAAGATGTTGTATTTGTTAAACTTCAAAAGAGAACGACAAGAGAACAAGAAGCCATTGTAGAACTAGAAGAAGAAGAGAAGAGAGTATACGGTTATACTCTTTCAAGAAATGCCTCAGTTACATCTTTGCATCCAATGCTTCCTCCACCTGTTGATGAATCTAATCATGCCTCTATTCCTCGTATGCAAAAGTTCAAAAAGTTTGCAAAGAAATCTGGAAAATTATTAGTGAAATACTTGTCAGATTTTTGGTTTTACTTTGCTACCATTCTCTCCACAAGTAACATGTGGATGATTATCATGGTATTTATTATTTCTATTGCAGAAAATAACTCCATGAAAGAAGATCCAAAGAGTTTCTCTATTTTCTTCATCCTATTTGAAGTTATTTCTGCCTATGCAAACTCTGGATTGACTGTTGGTAAGGATGGGTCATCATTGGCTTACTGTGGATTTTGGACAACGTTTTCCAAAGTTATCTTGTGTATTGTTCTTGTAATGGGACGTCACAGAGGTTTTTATGGAACTTTAATTGATCTTGAACCTACTTCTTATGATCAGGACTTTAAGCAACATTCAAACTTTTTGGAGAGAAGATCCATGCTCAGGAAATATAAGAAAGAAATCAAGAAATTAAAGAGAGTTGAATCACGTCGTGATTATGGATTATTAAAGACTGAAACGAACATTGAAACAAGCAGTACCGCTGGTGGACCAATATCTGGAAATTATTTCGATCCATAATTTATCATAAACCAGCATTTACATAAATTAAGAAAATATATTATTACATGAATGGTTTTTTTTGATGTTGCTTGTATGGGTTGAGAAACTGTCTGTAATCATTAGATTCCATAGTTTGATTTTCTTTCTTTTTCCTTGGTCTCACTAAAGGAGCACTCATTCTTCCCAACAAGATATCTGAATTCCCTTTGAGTATACTTGAATCTTTGGTATTGTTCAATGAAGAGTTCTGACTAGTATGAAGAGATGTGGTAAATAATTTTGGTAAAGTCTTCTTTGGTGAGATTGTTGGTATGGCACTTAATCTTGAAAGTGTTGATTCATTGACAGGATCTGCATATTCAACAATGAAGGGACCAACGCTCTCTGATCTCTTATTAATTCCATATGGGTAATCTTCTAACCTGTTATTTACAATGTCAGGATTTCTATGTGAAGCTCTTGATGCTGTTCTAGATTTGTTAGGGGAAGAAGATCGAGTTTCTGACAGCGTCGATTGAGATATGTGAAATTGCCGAAAGATTGAGGCTTGATTTTTCATATCTTTATCCAATCCTACCTCTTGGTCAATAGTACTAATAGAGAGTGGAATTCCTCGGATATTGCCATAATTCGAAAGTTTTTGAGCAAGAGAAAATACCTTTCCCCATTTTGCCATTCTTTCCCTTTCTAATATGTCCTTCTTTTCTTTGATTCGGTAAAATTTAGTCTTTTCAGCCTTATCCAATTCGTAATTTCTTTCAATATCATGAATTAGTTCATCAAGAACAACATTTTGCTGTTCAATGGTATCAAAAGCGTCTTCAAGATCCTTTGGAACAGTTTTTCCAACACTAAGGGTTTGCTTTGATACACTCTCAGCATTTGGAAAGCAAGTCATTTCAGTCTGCATTGCTCTGTCACATATCATCACTCTGCTGGCCTTTTTGTTTTCTTTTCACAATAAAAAATAATAGAAAGAGATCGACAACATACCATTTTGAGCAACCATTAATGCTGGTTGACTTGATGCTTTTTTGAGAGCAGTTTTCCTAATGAAACGATCCCACTTTTCCAAGTTTTTAGAAAATACACTATCTACGGCTCCTGCTTCAGCAACAGCCGTTTCCAACTCTTCTATTCCTTCTATATCTATTACATTCATTAACTCCTCTTTCATTTCCCTTGACCAAAATTTCATTTGGTTTTTTAGTCCACCAAACTTGGATCTGATCTCAAATGTTCGTTTCTTTCCCTCCTCTCGAATTCTTTGCATGGATTTGTTTTCATTTTTGGCTTCCATGAGAGAATTGTTTCTTTCCTGTCTTGAGTATCTTTTGACTTGCTCGGTTAGACTCTTAATTTGAATTCTAAGAGAAGAATTGGTGCTCATTTCTTGGGCTAGCATTTCTCTAAACTTTTCCAACTCATCCAAGGCCGTTTCTCTCTTTTGTCGCACTTGCTTTAGTTTTGCCACTACTGTTCGAAGTTTCTCATTCTTCTCCTTCAATAAGACTCTGAGTGCTCTGTTTTGTTTCTTGTGGACAAGAATTTCGCTATGTAGCTTTGTCATGTTGTTTCTTCCCTTATATTTAACGGGTTTATCGTTCAGCAAAGCTTCTTCTTCAGAGTCTATATCCAAAACTTCTCTGTAACTCTTTTTAGCACTTCTAAGTAAGTTGACTCGCTTTCTATCAAGAGAGGTCCTCAACATTGGACCTTCGTCAACTGGAATAACCACAGACTCTTTCTTTGAAAGAATTGCACCTCCACTCTTAGGTCTTGTTGGATGTAGTGCAGTACTTGAATTACTGTGGTAGTGGGATGTTGTGAGAATTTTTGAGGGCAGGTCTGAGCTAGCACGAGTGGGTATTGTGGAATTAGCGTTGGTAGTGGTGGCCACAGTTGAGGATTGTGTAGTTGTGAGTGGAGTTTGTTGGGGAGGTAGTGGGTGAGTAGTTGGTGTGACAGTATTGGTTACAGCATGTGTAATATTCATCAAAGGAGATGGTTTTGTTAGAAGATGTCTAGTTGATCCGTGGGTGATTGTTGCACTTATGGTTGGAGCTGAGATTTTAATGGTTGGCTCAATACTAATTGGCTTGGTGTGAGTCATGAAGAGATGTTTCTTAGGTTTATCCCTCACACTCAGCATTGGAGAAGAAATCTTTCTGGTGGAGAGATTGGCCTTAGAGTTGAGTTTTTTAAGTCCCTTTTTACCCTTGTGGAGAGAGAGTTCTTCCATCAGGCGCTTTTTCTCTTCTTCGTGAGTTTTCTTCAATTCTTCGACAATTCTGTTTCGATCCTGAATAAGATATTCCAGCTTTTGCTTCCAAATGAGCATTTCTTTTAACTTTTGGTTTTCAATAACTTTCTTTTCCTTACCAAAAGTTATTCTAACAGATTTCAATTGATCTAGTGCCTTTTTTCTTTCCTCCTCCAATAGTAATGAAAAATCAGCAATTAAAGAACCACCCATAGTTGAAAGTAGCATAATATCATCAGTGAGTGCCTTTTTTTGTTCCAATTTTTCAATAATTGTCATTTTCAACCTCTGAAAATCATAGATATATTCCTCATTCATCTTTTCTATTATTTTTATCCTTCCTTCCAATTGCTCTTTCAAGTTTCTAATCTCAATTGCTTGTCTTCTTGTTTCATTAAATAACTCGTAGAATTTATCCCTCGTAATATCTATAAGAACCTCCTCCTTTTCATTGTATGCTAGGTTGAGAGACTTTAGGTTGTGCAGTTCCTTTGTCATTCGTTCGATTTCCTTCTGAGCCAATTCAGGACCAGAAACTTCGACCATTTCACTTTCTTCCTCTGGTGAAATTGTTTCGGATTCCCCCTCAATATGCATTAAATCACCATACACTAATGATTTAACAATACTCCTTAGTTTGGGTTTCAGTTTTTTTGGACCGAAATCAACCAATGGTTTCACTGTTGTTCCTTTCTTTACAGGAAAAAATAATACATTGAGAATACTCCTAATTATTTCTTCAACTTTCGTTTCCAAATTATGTACAACTCTATCTCTATGATTTCTAACTCGTCTCAAAACATATCCTTCCAAATTATTCTTATCCTCCTCTGCTTCTTCAGCCGTTTGTTGATCTATTCGAGATTGAATTTCTTTTTGAATTAATTCAATCCGTTTACTTTCTTTTGCATTTCCTAGCATGTCAATCCAATCTAAATCTCGGTGATTGGTCAATAAGTATAACAACTCCAACGGCTCGATTTGATAGAGCGTTTTCTTGTTCAAGTGAGCAATATATAGAGACTCGTAAAGGGATTTCAGTTTGGCTTCAGCCTCCGTTGAAATAAACTTTTTTTCTTCCTCACTTCTCAATACAAAAGCGTCATTCTTTGTAAATAGATTTTCATTATTGAAAATTTGAAGAATTTTCTCTAATTGCTCATTCTCCTTACTGATTTCAGCTTCCGTTTTTTTACTAGTTGATCATCATCTTCCTCCAAATCAGAATCATCAAAAAGATCATCATACACTTCGTCATCATCGATTACATCTTCATTTTCGTCGGAGGAGAAATCACTTTCATCATACACTGAATGGTGATCAGCATTTTCTGTAGCCGCCTCAGCTTCATCCATTTTTTTATTCTTCTTACTAATTAGAAAACAACCGTAAATTATTTGAGGGAAAATATATTGTATTTTTGAGCCTATTATTGTATGAGTTCCATGATGGAGTTTCTTATTGAAAATTAGTTTTGACAATTATATTTTGTTTGAGTTCTTATTGGTTCACTTTCGGCCAAACCTTTCTTTTATAGTCACATTCAACAATTCCTTAATCCTTTGTATTAAATGCTTGGAGACAAGCTCTAAGTTTCAGTCTTCGATTTACTGAGGCTTCAAGAGAAATCGAAAGAAGAACCTTCATGCAGAAAATCAACAATTAAACATTGAATACGGTTTCAATGTAAAAGAAAACTAACTTGAAGAAGAGTGCTAAATGTTTGTTTTCTATGCTTTAAAAACAATTAAGAAAGAGCTTGGTTTAATTCTGTATCCTCATTAATTCCAGATCTTGCTAAACATTTTAAGAAGAACCCAATCTCCAGACGTGGCAGAGGTCAGTAGACGCATTCCAAGTACAGTTCTTGTAACAACTGTAGAGCGGGAAAGAAACACACCATTCTGTGAACCCACACTAATCAAGTGCGAAAAAATGTCGGAAGCAGTGGTATCCACTCAAGAATCTCAAGCATCTTCACTTCCACCCTCAATAGTTGTAACATCTTCATCACCCAATGATGATATAGGACAAGTAGTAGTCGATATTTCTCAAGTGTCGTCCGATGTTGTTGATAAACTGGAGGATAACCATTTTGCCTCTCCATCAACATTGCAAGCTGTTGCCTCAGCCATGAGAAATGAATTGTCTTTTAAAAGTAGTAGGAGAAATAGTGCGGTAGAGTTTGAATTAAATGTTGTTCCACAGAGGAAATTGACTCTGAAAGGAACAATTAAGCCAATCAAACATCCAGGTGTAGGTTTTCTTAAGAAATCAAGCTCCCTGGCAAAGGTTGAATTTCATGATGACCCACTTGTTGAGGGTGATGAGAGATGTTTCTTGGAGTGGAAGGGATTGCAATATCCTTTAGGAGCTACAAATGAATCATTGCATCTTAAGAATGTGTGTGGATTTGCGACACCAGGAAAGATAACAGCTCTCATTGGTTCTTCTAATAGTGGCAAGTCAACTCTATTGAATATACTATCCCAGAGAGGTGATTTTAAGGATTTTGGAGGCCAAATATTAATTAATGGAAAGGTTGTTTGTTCGTGTCATGACAAACCGAGTATTAGACTAACATCAACTCAATACAAGTCTCTGGTTGCTCATGTCCCAAAGCATTTTGCAACATCCCACCCAGTTTTGACTGTGAGGGAAATTTTGAATTTCACAGTCAAATTGAAATTGACAAACATTAAGAGTGCAGCCTCAAATTGTAGAGAGGAACGTTTGGAATACCTCCTCAAAAAGTACGAGTTGAAAAACAAGGAGAATGTGTTTTATTCAGCCCTTGGAACAGCTGAGAAGAAGAGATTACACATTGCCGTGCAGAATGTTCTCAAACACAGAGTATTACTTCTTGAATATCCAACAGATGGCATGGAAATTGGAGAGGCTGCCCATTTTATTAGAATTATGAAATCAATTGCTCTTATGGGTGTGGGAGTGGTGGTCACATCTCACAAGCCATCTTTAAAAGAACTAGAGTTATTTGATTATATATCAATACTTAATAAGGGAAATCAATTATACTTTGGTCCACCGAACAAGTTAATTACCTATTTTTCAAAAATCGGTGTCAGTGCTGATGAATCAAATCATAATGAAGTAGAGTTTTTGTTCCAAGTTATTTCTCTCCTTCAGACAGAGACATTTGAAACAATACTAGTCGAAGATGCACAAGAGCCGTTAGATCAGAGTGAGTTATTTGCCACAGAGTATATCAAACAATTGGACGATTTCTTCATTCCCATGAAAAATAAGGAGGAAAATCGATATCTTGAAAATGATCCAACAACTTTTCACTACGAGCCTTATTATGCCAACTTCTTTTACTCTGTTTTTACACTTATAATGAGAAATTATTTGAGTAGATTGAGAAATTGGAAAGTGGAATTTTTAATACCTTTCGTGGAAAAAATAGCAGTATCTGTATTTATTGGATTATTATACTTTCAAATAGATCCTAACAATATGCCATTGAAGGGTAAAATTTTTACCTTTCTCAATTTAAATATCTCTTTAACGTTTTCTGCAAGTTTGAAAAATTTAATTAATCAAATTCCAATGTTGACCCAGGAGAGAAATAGTTCAATCTATAGAACTAGTGCGTTTTTTATTTCCAAGACAATGGAGGATTTAATAGAAACGTCGATATTTTCGCTGCTTTTTGGTGGAATCGTTTATTTTATGACTGGATTGACATTGGAATATGATCGAGTATTAATTTTCGGCCTTATTTTTGCTACTTATCATTGGACTTGTGTGAGTTTTGCTCAAATGCTTGTTTCACTTGTTCCTATACCACCTTTATTGAATTTAATTACACCAGTAATTAATATTATGTTTATATTAACAAGTGGGGTTTATGGTATTCATAATACTGAATGGTTAGCTTGGTTTAAATATCTCAATTATCTGTTTTATGGTTTCAAAGCTATGGCTATCAATGAGTTTGATATTCAACTAGAAACACCTTTAAATACTACCCTCCCTTCAAATTACTACACAAACGGAACCTATTTCCTGGAAAAGAATTATGGATATTCAGATCCACATTACATGTTGTGGGTCTATTTGGCAATTCTCACTTCTTTTTGGATTGTTTGTAAGATTTTGAGCTATGTTGGACTAAGGTTAGTTTATGGAAAGAAGAGCTGGTTTAGAGTTTTTAAGAAAATACTTCGATCATGTAGGAAATAAAAGAATTGAATCAAGTAGATGTTTAAAAAGAGAAATTGATTTATACTCTTTCTTCGCCATCTTCTTGCTGCTCAGATTTGAGTGGTTCTTGTTCTGGTACCTTTTCTGTTGTTGTTGTAGCTGCTGGCTTGGTTTCATTCATCTTGACATAGGAATAATAAATAGTACCACCTAAGGCAATAACAACACCGAAAAATTGTGACCAGTTGAGTGGTGTTTGGAAAATCAAAGATCCAACATAAATAATGACAATAGTCTTGGAGTGGCCCACAACTTGATAAGTCAATGCTGAAAGTTTACCAATAACCAAAAAGCTTCCCAAATTAACATAAAATGCAATGAAACAAGAGAGAATGACAAAGAACTTGAACCTCTTTGTTAATTCACCTCTACTAAGCAAACAATCAACTTACCAAATAATCAATACTCTCCGTCATCTTTTGCCAATCATTGGCAATAACATCTGCACCATCAAGGAATGGCGAACAAATAAGAACAATCAATGAGGCAACTGGAGCTTGATAAATTAATAATTGGAATGGATTAGCATTCAATTCCTTGTTCTTCTTTTGGAGAAGCATTTGTTGAACAGCAGTTGCAGCAATAGCAAGTACACAAGTGAAAAGACCAAATGTTGTAATCTTAACTTCGGCAGTGACAGTAATAGCTAAACCAATAATAATTAATAAAACAGATAATAATAATTGTTTTGATGCTGTTTCCTTGTACAAGATGTATGACAATCCGAGAATTGTTGGCATGATGACCAACTTGGAAAGTTGATAAACACCAATAGTATTAAACTGTAAACTCAAGTTATTAAAAACTACGGAAAGAGCCAACAACAAGCCCATAAGAGCGGCTGATTGCCAATCCAACTTCTTCAACTTGAAATTTTCCAACGCCTTGTACTGAGGAAAGAATTTGTGTGCTTGCGAGAGAGCAAAACTAAAAATTGCTGTAAATACAAAGTGAAGTCCCATCAACAATGTACCACTATTAAAATGATAATATTGATAAAGATACTTGTTACAAAAGATGATCGAAATTGATGATGAAAAAGACAAAAACACATATCCGAAATTGTGTAACAGTTGCTAACTATCTCCTAGGGCTGACATTTTTTTTCTGTTAGTTGTTCTGTACTTCTTTTTTGTTCTATTCGCCGAGGAGGGAAACTTGTTACAGAAGTTAGGCACCTTTTGTCATATTCAGGTTTTATTTATTGATATTATTATTGAGGTAAGAGTATTTGAAAGATGATTGTTGCCCAGTGTTTTGTTGTTGTTGTGAATTGTTTTGTTGGTAGTTTTGGAAGTTGTGGGAATTATTGGGCAATTGCTGATGCATACCAGGAAGGAATTGTTGCATATTGTTATTGGAATTACCAACATTCATTGATTGTTGTTGGTGATTAGAGGTCATTTGACTATTTCCCAGTTGCTGTGGATTAATTTGTTGTGGTGCAAAACCTCTTGGAATATTATTCGAAGAGTATTGTTGTTGGGAATGTTGTTGCTGATTATGAGACAATGTTTGTTGGGAATGTTGGTGTTGATTAAAAGCTTGTTGAGAAGTGCTCATCATATTTTGCTTTGGTTGACCTCCCATATTTCCTGAATATGAACTTGTAATTTGTTGTTGCTGGGATTGTTGATTCATGGTTGGATAGTTGAGAGAAGCACCTTGAAGAGAATTATATTTGGAGCTATTCTGACTATTCATCAAATTTGATGTCATTTGATTCATATTTGACATACTTGCAATATTGGTCATGTTATTTTGGTTTACATTCATGTTGTTGGCAGAAGTATTGTTGACCAATACATTTTGGTGGTGAGGTGCGAAATTATGTGAGGCAGTGTTCATATTGGATGAATAGGCAGTATTGGTTTGGAAGTTACCTCTTTGTTGTTGGGAATATTGACCATAATTATTTGAAATATTTTGATTCGAAACCTGTTGACTCAATTGCTTCACTTCATTAACTGCTTGCTGCTGTTGTTGTTGTTGTTGTTGTAGATAGTTGGAATAGTTGTTGGTATTGCCTAGATTTGATCCTTGGGTATGATCCTTACCAATTTGATAGTTTACAAAATTTGGATTACCAACCTTCTGTTGCTGTTGTGGTACGGTTGAAGGTATGTTTCTTGATTGAGAAGTCAAGAAATTATTGGAATTAGACATTTGTGAACTACTGGAGGATGAATTAAAGCTACTTGGTGTTTCGAGTAATTCACGGAAAGAAGGAGTATGGCTTGTCATTGTTGGAGTAGAGACTTGCATTGGATTTGGTTGCTTTGGAATATCCTTTGGCAGAGTATTAATTTGTTCCAGTAATCTCAAATTTTCATGTTTGTTTTGAGCCATAAGATTTTCAAGAGACATTCTAGATTGATAACTTGGTGACATATCTTGAACATTATTCGGCAAGCTTGTTTGCATATTTCTAACTGATGATGATGTGTTTGCCATGCTTGCTGCTGTTACACTGTTTGGTGTCTGTAACTGATGTACAGGCCAATCTTGTTTTCTTTCGGTAGTAGAAACTTGGGAGGTATTTTTGTAAAAATTACTATTATTAACAGGTATCTGTGAAGATTGGTGATTCAAATTGTTTGAGGAAGAGGACGATATTTGACCTATTTGATCTTGTATACTCTTTGAAGTGTTTGGTGATCCTAACAGCAAACTAGAAAATGAATATGCTGGTTCTGCATTCGATCTTTCATATTGAGGAGTGGAAGATTGTTGCGTGCTAACGTGTTGTGGTTGCTGAACTGTTTGCACATTTGGTTGACTAATCTGATTGAGTTGTGATGAGTAATGTTGAGAGGTCTGTAAAATGTTTTTAGAGGCATCTTGTATGGTTTGATTCACAGCTGTTGGTTGAACAGGATTATGTACTGTTTGTTGAATTTGTTGTTTAGGAATAATAGTCTCCATAATTCTTTCAGGAATAGCTTCTTTTACATTACTAGTAACCTGTTCAATAGAATCAATCTTTTTGTTTTCGTCCTTGGTTTTAGTAGATGATGGAGTTTCCTTTGGTTCTTTTGCTTCAGCCTTGCTTGTCTTTCGTTTCTTAGTTGGTGATGATGGCTTTGGTTCACTTGGTGCATTAGTAGCCACAGGTGTTGTCTCAGCAGATGGAGTAGGTTTAGCTTTCTTTGCCTGTTGAAGATCTTTCGGATCCAAAAGCTTAACTGTGTGGTGATGAATGACAGGTTCCTCATCTTTACTTGGAGCCTTTCTCTTAGGAGCAGTTTTTACAGGTACCGAATCTTCCTTCTTGGCTAATACTTTCTTTGGTGTGAAATTTTTTGATCTAGCCATGATTGATGAACCTTCAGACTTTGGTTTAGATTTCCTTTCCTTGGCTTGAGGTGTAATTTGTTCAATCGAAGGAAATGAGGATTGAACGATAGGCTTGTCAGACATGTTTGTTATATATGGCTTATTTACAGGCATGACATCATTTACAGGAGGAATTATTGCAGGTGTAGTTGCGTTACTTGCAGAAGAGGAAGAGGCAGTGCTTGTTGCTGAGATTGGTGTTGAGATAGTGGCAGGTGTAGTTGGTGTCGATGAGGATGTACTCTTTTCTAGACTGGTTCCACTATTAGATTTCCTAATTGAAGACGATGAGCCTGCAGAGGAAGGAGAACGAGTATTCTTATCCAAAGTTGGTGTTGTTGATTTTTGCTGATCTGATTTTGGTTGTGGAGGAACAGGAGAAGGAGGCATAACATCAGAGTAACTTGGCACCCTTGACATGGAAGAGGAACTTCTGACAAGAGGAGAGTCAGAGCTTTGGTTCAAACTAGATGGGGTTAGTGGTAATCTTGGAGAATCTTGAATTTTTGGTTTTGTTTCCTTAATGTTTGGTAGGTCTGTTTCGTCTGTAATAATCCTTAAAGGCTTTGGTTTCTTTTTCTTTTCTTTCTTCTCAGTAACACTTTTTGGAACTTCAGTAGAAGTGACAACTGAAACAGTAGGTGGAGGAGGTGGTAATTCAATTGGAGGTTTTTCAATAACAATAGAAGGAGAAGGCTGCTTATCAGTAACTGGTTTTTTCAAATCTGTGGTACTTGAATTGGATGGCCTTGGTTCCTTCTTTTTTTTAGTTTTCTTATCACCATGTCCTGAATGGGAATGATGATGATGAGATTTCTCAGATTTTTCCTTCTTTTCTTTTGGTTTCTTATTTTCAGTAATTGTGGCTGAGGCAATTTTTGAATGTCTGTTTTGGGATGGTGATTGATGAAATTGTTTAGAAGCACCCTTTCCAATCTCTTTCAAGTTGCCTTTTGAAATACTAGGTGGAGTTTTGAATTCGTTTTGTGAATTTGACTTTCTTGGAGTTTTTTGAGTGTTCTTATTACGGTGTCTCAAATCACCAACAGGTTTCCAATCTTTAGCAATATATTCTGGGCAGATATCATAAGGGTTATATTGTAGTTGATATTTTTCAAATTTCATTGTTACGCTTGCATTCATATATAGTGAAATAGCTGGAAAGTATGCTCCATATGGGATATCAGTAAAAGCGACACCTTGAAATTTTCCATTTTTGAAGAAGATTATTTTGCTATTTGGTACAATTTTCTCTGCCAATGTAGCAATCTTTGTTCTGAAAACTTCTCCAGTTTTTAAACTCATACTTCCATCAACATAAATTATATTGGGTGTTGAGGTATCTGGTATTTCAATATAACATCCAATTATGTCTCCAACTCCAAACTTTTCTCCGTATTTAGATCCTTTTCCTTTATGAAAACAATTTCCGTCACTACTTCCATAACTAAATGAGTATTTATCGTATCCACAACAAGCTTTATCGAATCCTTGCTCCATACTCCATCCACATCTATAATGACTTTGTTTTGCATAATCAGGAAGTTTGGTTGTGTCACATGATACGGATTCCTCAATTTTGACTTCATAATAATACGATCCGCTCTCCATACAGTGTGACGCCTTTATCATACAATACCCAGATAATCCGATAGAACACTTGTTATCTTTCACAGTAATTGGAAAATTAATTTTTTTGGACTTTTTCATTTGCATCATAACTGGTGCAGTTGGATTTTTGTTTTCGCCTCTAACGATGATGATATTAAAAACAATTCCGAGAATATTAAATATTATATAGCCCTTTTAAAAACAAACCTATGCTCATAACCTCGGACAGCAACATCTTTTCCATCTTCTTCAGTAATATTCCACAAATATCCATCCTCTGTTTTTTTAATATATCAAAATGACACTATTAATTTTCTAAATAATTATTTAACATACCTTCTTCTTCTTCTCCCGAAGAACTACTATTACTAGTATCCGATACATCAGACTCAGAATCTGTGTCCATATCGCTAGCACTCTCCGATTCATCATAACTCTTCACCACTTTCTTTTCTTCTTTCCTTCTACTATTAGCTGATGCAGAACCTCCTTGCGAAACGTTAGCACTGTTATTATTGTTATTATTGTTATTATTATTATTATTGGAGGACACCATGTCCTCATCATCATCATCGTCACCAATAACTTTGTTTTTTCTATTGTTGTTCAATAATGATGTAGGAGGTGTAACATTTCCGTTCAGGCTCATTTTTTTAAAAATAAAAAAATAACGTTTCGATTTGACCTTCATTGTGATCATACAATAACCATTGATTTTTTTCCAACTGCCGATAAAAAGCGATCAAGGGTTTTAAATTTTTCAAAGCCTAACAGATTTAATGGGAATATCTGTAGATTGAATTTTCCAAATGATCAAGGTTAACTACTCTCAATCAAAAAAATGTCTGATTCTACATCTTTTGAGGATTTAAATGTTTCGGAGAATCTTTTAAAAGGAATTTATTGCTATGGATTTGAAATGATGCTTCCCTCCCAAATAGCCATCTTGAAATCTTTTGAATCAACGAAATCTTGCACACTAGTTCAATGGATTGCAGGATCAGGGAAAACTATTGGATTGATAATTAAAGTATTGAAACATGTTGATTTTTCAAAGAAGGATGATCAATTGCAAGGTTTAGTTCTAGTTCCGAACGAGTTTTTGGCCTATCAAGTAAGAAGTGCTATGCTTGCTCTTGCTGATTTTATTCAAGAGGCGAAAATTTCTAGTGATTGGAGAGAAAATCCAAGAATTTTGATTACCACTCCAGAATTAGCAATTAAGAAGAATAGAATTAATTTTACTAGTTTGGAAATTCTTGCAATTGATGAAATGGATATCATGTTAGAGATTGGATGTGGAAGAAGAAAGTGTATTAAGAGTATTTTCAATCAACTCCCAAAAGGATGTGAAATTCTGGGAACTGGTTTGAGAATGTTACCCAAAGAATGTTACATGTATGATGATTATTTGAAGGATTCACTTATTATTACATTCGATCAAAGAGAGAAGCAGTTGGGAGATAATATTTATGAGAATTTCGTCTATTGTCCAAAAATGGATCAAAAGCTCAGCTTGCTACAATCCATTCAAAATGGAACTGTCTCTACGGTACTATTCTGCAATACCTACTCCAGAGCAGAGCAGTTTCATGTCATTCTAAAAGATTCAATATTTCCCTCCCTATTGGTTGTTCCTCAGTGTGGGAAATTACATCAACTGTATTATGAATCGTTGTATTTGATTGGCACTCATGATGATTGGTATGGAATTGACATGCAGTGGTGCGAATTGGTTGTGCATTTTGATGTCATTTGTGATAAGGCAATTAGTAGAATGCGATCTGGAAGATGTAGAAGAAGAGGAAAAGCATTGTATCTTCCCTCAACATTGGAAGAATTGGATTTTGTGTGTGAATTGCTTTATGGATCACCAAATTGTAAATATCATAGAATCATGCTGAAAAATTCAAAATATTACGATGTTTGCATCAATTTTGAGATGGATTTAAAAAATTGAATTCTTTTCATAGTGGAACGAAGAGAATAAGCAATTGGTTGTCCCTTAAAAGTCTTGGAAATTATTGAAATACGTCAAATGCCAGATAATTTTGACACATTATGACTGTTTGACTATTTTCAATAAAAAAATGCTTCAACAACAAACCAATAATTCAAAGGATACAAAAGATCCATCAACAACATCTTCACAGACTGCCACAGAATCAACAAGTACTGGTGTAAATAATTCGGATAAAGCAGCCGATTCACTCTCTCATGATGATAAAATTAAATTAGAATGTGAAACGTTCCTGCAATCACAATTAGAAAAATACGATAAACAAGATTGGTCTGATTTCTCAACTGCAGGTAGAAGTCGCATCTCTCATCAAATGGCAGAACAAATTGTTTTTAAACAAGGTATCGAAAATTTTAGGAAGGATAATCCACTTTCAACACTCGAACCTAAATTCAAAACTAAACCCAATTGGTTCGGATATGGAGTAGAAGTTGAAATGAGATTAATTGAAGAGTGTCCAACCAATGTTGGAAAACCATATATTATGACTCATTGTTATGAATGTTATTTCAATGGTGATGGCAAATTGAAATATTTCAAAAAGTATTTATTATAATCTGATGAGAATGGAACCTTCAAAGAACTATGGAAAACAGCATGATGTGAAAAATATCACAAGAATCGGTGAAATGTTAAATCTGAAAAATTCAGAAATATATTTTAGCATTAACAAAGAAAAGTGTTTTCTTGGATTTATTGGATTCTTCAACTATCAATAACAGAGTTTTGCAAAACAAGTCAAGGATAACAAAGTTTTCTGTCCCCAATGTTGGTATTAAGTGATTTTAAGTTTCGGATTCCTTTCACCTAGTTCAATATCGACAGACATCGAGTTTTGTTAAATTATCTGGAGTAGCTAATTGATTAAGATGAAGAATACACAATAAAAATTTTAATCACTTTTTGCTGATGACTCTTCTTGTTCCTTCTCATCAAAATCAAAAGAACCAAATGTTCTATTCCATTCAATATATCTATCTAGATCACTTTGTGCTACAGAAGGACGAATTGATTTAAGGGCTGATCTACAATCCTTAAACTCAATTGGCCTCAATTGATCAGCTGACGCATGCTTAATAAATGATCCAAGATCTCTAACTGAGAACATAGAAGCTTCAGCACAAAGATTTTTGATATCAGAACCCGAATAACCATCAGTGAGTTCTACTAACTTTTCCATTTCTTCATCAGAGAGTGTATTAGGATTCTTGGCGAGAAGTCTCAAAAACATTTCCTTTCTACCCTCCTTAGATGGAAGAGGAATGTACAATCTCTTGCCCATTCTTCTTCTGACAGCTTCGTCAATTTCTTCTGGTCTATTGGTTGCACCCACAATCAAAATTCTATCTTGGTCATCATTTGTAGAAGCACCATCCAATTGAACTAAAAATTCTGTTTTGAGTCTTCTAGATCCATTGTCAGCATCTCCATCACTTCTTTGAGAAAGTAAACTGTCAATTTCATCAATAAAAACAACAGAAGGTTGGAAATATCTAGCCAGAGAAAATAGTGTTTTCACCAATTTTTCACCTTCACCAACCCATTTACTGGTTAAACTGGATGCAGAAATGGAAAAGAAGGTTGATCCACTCTCATGAGCAATAGCCTTACCAATCAGTGTCTTACCAGTACCAGGTGGTCCAAATAATAAAAGTCCTATTTCATTAATATTTTAAATAAATTTGAATATTTTAAACAGAAATTATAACTTACCCTTTGGAGGCTTTCTTAATCCTGTAAATAAATCTGGTCTCATTAGGGGCCAAATAACAGCCTCCTGCACTGATTTCTTTGCATAGGCCAAACCAGCAATATCATCCCAAGTTACAGATACTTTAGATTCCAAAATTTCATTAGAAATTGTCTCAATCAATTTAGGATCTAGATGTGACAACTCCTCTGGTATTTCACCATCCTCAAATAATTTAGATAAATCAGGAGCCTTTTCATCATCAGCACCTTTCTTTTTCTTTTTTGCAGGCTTTTCTCCTGAATTTGAACTCGAATTATTATTATTATTACTATTATTATTGCCATTATCTTTCAAAGGTGGCACAAACTTTTTCCTTTTCGTTCCACCTGTATTTTCTCCACAATTTCTTGTCAATGAAGTGACTGGATGATAGTTAGAGGTTGGATTTTTAATGTCGCTCAATGTCTTTTTCTTGATTGTTTCCTCTTCATTTTCATCATCAGACATAATATCCTTACTATTACTACCCTTGTTTTTCTTCACTAATTGTTTAGCTGTCACGAAGGAACTTTTTGGTTGTTTTTCCTCGTCATCATCAATGACCATAACATCAGAAGACTTGTTGTTGTGAGATGATCGAATAGGCTTCCTTCCTATTTGTTGTTGCTGTACAACTGAATTATTACTATTTACATTTTCAAAGCTCGGAGTTGTTGATCGAACAACAGATGAAGGTACATTTACAATTTTTGGTGCAATATATTCGTGTTGTCTTTTCACCATTAACGCTTGGAGAAGTGGTGACTGTCTTGTGATTTCTGATTTTGATATTAATTTATAATTTGATGGTTCTACTATATTATTCTCCACAGAGACTTGATTAAAGATTTGTTTAGAAAATGTTATAAAACTATTAGCCTCTTCAACCGATTGTACTTCAATCAGAGAACGATACTCCCCCAGAGGATCTCTTAAAACTCTATTATAATGTTTTGAAAAATAATCGGGTATTGTTACTTCCACAGTGTCCGTTCGTTTTGGTTCAGAGAGTAAATTTTCCTCTCGTAGCACTAGTATGGTCGCAAGTTGTTCCGAAAGTGAGCAGTGTTCAGACATTTTTTTTAATTTAGCATTTCGAACAAACACTGGAAGTGAAGAAAAAATGGCGGGTATTAAAATTCGATCACATACATGAACATATTTTACAATTTTTGATATTGTTACAGTTAAAGGCTATTTACAAAGTGATTTGAAATTATGAGGACTCTTCATCTCTCATAGAATCATCACTATTTTCTGGGACTGACTCTGAAAGGTCCTTACGCTTGGGATCCTTTCTCTTCCTTGCTGGTCTTTCTTGAAATGACGCTTGTTTCTTTCCTCCAGCATTGTTACTATGTCTATTGTGTTCCCTATTAATATTTTGTACAAGCTTTAAATCCCTACCCATGAGTGTAACTCTTTTGGCATGCAATGTGGCATAGTTAGAAAGTGTTAAAAATTCATGTAAAAAATCTTCTGCTGCTGAATGGAGAGCAGCAAGAGCATCCTTTCTCCATCGAATTGCACCTTCACCAGCAAGCTGTCTAATGTATGGAATTTTCTCAGATAATTCGGCAGTAACTTGTTTGATTAATCTAATTAAAGATGCCCTTGGAATGAGATTCCTAGTTGATTTTTGATATTTTCGAATTTCTTGAAGCCACCTTTGCTTTCTTTTTCGTTTTTCATTTGGATTATTTGATGAAGAGGCAGAAGTTTGCCTCACTGTTTTCATTCCATAGTTTGGATGCCTAGGTCTTGTCCTAGGTGTTGGTTGTGATATTGGAGAGTTTTCCTCATCCCCCACAGGTTCATCCTCATCATCTTCTGGTGCTAATGGTGTACTAGCTTCTGGATCATGTTGTGTACGAAGACCAAGGGCTTCATCACTTCTCTGGTGATCCTCTTCACTCAGACTAAAATAATTCAAAAAATCCCTATCGCTTGTATCGTTTTGGAGTGTTGCATTTAAAGTGGAAAAAAAGCTTGTAGATGTATTCGGAACAGAAGACTTGCTCTTTCTTGCCTGTGTAACCTTCTGGAAAAAAGGCTGTTGACTCATTTTTTTATCATAATTTTATGTTTCCTCTTTTGTGTCATTCAGTTCACATTTATTAGAATTAAAGAGATTGTAGACAATAATTCTTGTTTTATTAAACAAAGATTGTAGACAAATCCTTGATACGTATTTTTTGAGCATCCTTCTTGGTATGGCCAAACATGGCACCACCAGATCCTGATTCTTCATCCTCCAAGTCATCTACAGTTACTTCATTGAATTCGTCTTCATCGTCATCCTCATATTCTTCATCAGAGTCATATGACTTGCTCTTCAAAGCACCACCACCAAATGAGCCACCCAAGAATGATGTTGTATAGGTTGTATAATTTTCTTCTTCCTCGTCATCACTTCCACCAAGATTGAGCGCTTCATTGGCAATTTTAGTCTTACTCTTTTGTAAACTCAAAATACGTTCTTCAACTGAATCCTTTACAACGAATCTGAAAACAGTAACAGGCTTATCTTGACCAATACGGTGAACTCTATCAATGGCTTGCTCTTCAATAGCAGGATTCCACCATGGATCTAATAAAAATACATGTGTAGCCCAAACCAAGTTCAACCCTGTACCACCAACCTTGAGGGAAATAAGACAAACTTGAATATGAGGATCAAATTTGAATTTTTGTACTGCATCATCTCTGTCTTTTCTTTGCATTTTACCATCAAGTCTGACGAATTTAATGTTAGATTTTTCGAGAGCTACTTCTACCAAGTCCAACATGGATGTCCACTGTGAGAACACAACTGATTTAGTTCCCAACTCTAAAACTCTCAATTTTTCTATAAGAGCTCCAATCTTACTACTCGATCTCCAATTAGTCCTCATATATTTAGTAACATTAATAGCTTTGAGTTGAGAGGAAATCATGCCATCTTCCAAATTTTGTTTTGGTTTGTTCTTTTCCTTATTAAGTTTTAAAACTTGAGGTAACATTGGTAAAATAGAATCATATACTTCAAAGGCATTCTTTTGTTCAAAACTTTCCAAGAAGCCATTCATGGTTGATTTTTCAGATTTCTTCTGGAAACTTGTAATGATGAGAGCTGGATGGTTGCAAACCTGTCTCAAGTGCAAAAGCATTTCCAAAATGTTTGCATAATTTTTAAGAACAGTTCCACTTCTAACAAACTCGTTAAATTTACCCTTGCTGTACTCGTAGAGAGATTTGTAAAAATTACTCTCTGCCTCAGTAAATTGTATATTGACTGTCTCGATTCTCTTTGGTGGCAACATGACAATTCTTTTACCATTAATCTTCTTATTCTTTGTTCTACGAATGACCAACTTCTTGATAACAGATTGAAGAGCGTCAATAGCCTTCTTATCCTTCTTTTCGAATGGTTTGCCAATAAACCTTGACCACCATCTCCAATCTCCATGTGGATTAACTTTCAAGAAGTGGAATAGTGAGAATAAGTCATCAATATGATTTTGAATTGGTGTACCGGTGACTGCCCATCTTCTTTCTGCATCAACAGCTGCTGTAGCCCTGGCCTGAAGAGACTTTCTATTTTTAATATTGTGAGCTTCATCGAGAACAACTCTGAAAAATTTCATCTTGTATATTGGACTAGGTTGCTGCATTGATGTATCCTTCGTTTGTTTCTTTTTTGCGTTGGACCTTTCTTTTGCTGGTGTATAAGTTTGACTAAACTCGAAACTAAGTGTGTTGTATGTGGTAATAATTACATCATATTTGAGAAGTGTTGGTGCATCTCTGATACGCCTACTACCTTGATAAACGTATACACTGAGTTGATTGTTTGTGTGCTTTTCAATTTCTTGCTTCCACTGGTCAACAATAGTCAATGGAGTTACAACCAAAGTAGCAGGAGATTGATACTTGTCACCAACTTTTTGTGTATTCTTTTTTCCTTTCATTCTATTGGAGGCAATCAAGCCAATTACTTCTACAGTCTTACCAAGACCCATTTCACTAAAAAATTATTAAATTAGTAACCAGTATTCGAAAATAAAAACTTACTCAGCAAGAATACCACCCTTTGGTTCAGGTGGAGCAGGAACAAATGTCAATGTTATAATACCATTAAGAGGATTAAAGTAAAATGCTGTTCCGTCTGGGAATTTTCTTTCTTGATAAAGGGAGTGTAACTTGGGTGTGGTTTTGACTTTATCTTCTCCAATTCTTTCACGTTTAAGCATCCATTTCACAGCAGTCTTTTGATAACTTCTAAGATCAGCCGTTAAGAGTGTATCGTCAGGAATTTCAATTTCGTGATGACTCGATTCCTCCTCATCAGAAAAATCATTCTCTGCATTTTCATCATCAACAATTGTTTTTTCAATCTCATCGTACAACTCTTCGAGTTGCTTCTCTAGACTCTTATCAGTACCTTGGATATCCAAGTTAGAACTGCTTGTAGAGCTGGAAGCTGGTGCTTTTTGAATAATGTACTCATCCAAATCAGTGTCATCGAGGGCATCAAGATCATCCTCTTCCTCTTGTTTAATTCTAGAAGCATTAATATCAGATTCACTCGTCTTTCTCACTTTGCTAGAATCATATTCAGTTAAATCTGAAGAGGAAGAAGCACCTGTTGAACAATTATTTCTATCTAAAATTTCGAATAACTTTTTCAAAAAGTTTTTACGAATATTATAGATTCTAATTTGCTCATCAGCCATTCCATCAACAGCTGTTGTCAAAATATTGTTATTGGAATCATTAGAATCATTATTAGACTCGAGAATATTCTTATCAGTCACAAGGGCTTTTTTGACAAGATAAACTTTGAGAGAAACAAAAAATCTTCCTGAATTATCAGTACTTGGAAGTGGAGATACAGTTATCATGATTACTTTGTGTTTAGAAAGAGGAACAAAGCAATTATTATACTCTTGAGAACTAATATATCCAAATGCTTCTCTATTCGGAGAAAATAAATAGACACACGCATTACTTTTTTGTCTTGGTCTTTCTCCAGACCTTGTTCTCTTCATACCTTGACTCTTTTTGGTTTTAGAATTAAATTTGTTCAAGTCAAAGGATTCCTCATCCATATTATTGAACTCTTCGTCGTCTGATAGCATATCGTCCTCTTCATCATCAAGATCATCATCATCAAAATCATCAAACTCTGAACCAAAATCTGGAACATAACATCTGATGGAATTATTTTCAGCATTAGAGTTTGGAGATGAGGTCAAAGATTGCCATATTCTATTATTTACAACAGTGATCTCAACTTTTGGAATTTCACTCAAAAGTTTAGGCCATTTCTTTCCTAACTTTGTACCAGCTGAAATTTCAAGAAATCCCTTTGTGCTTGTTGGTAGAGTGATCTGAATTGGGGCTGATGGGGCTGATGTGAAAAAAGAAGGAGGTATTACGCCACCTGTTGGTGTATTGAGTTGTTGAATAGAATTTAAGAATGAATGAGCCAATTTTGCATTACCAGAAGCAGAAGAAGGTGGTGGATTGACCATTGTTGAAAATTGGAGTTTTGGATTTCCTCCCATTTGGTTAATGACAGAATGGAGAGGAATAGATGGTTTTGGTGGAGCTACTTGTGCAGTTGCTGAGGAGGAGTATTTACCTTGTGGTTGTTGAGTTGTAAAACTTTTGACAAGTTGTTGTTGTTTGTTGAGATTAGCCACTTGCATGAGGTAAGGATTGTGTGTTGCAGTATTACTATTGTTGCTATTAATGTTTGGAAGGTTGAGGGGGAGTGAATTCATCCTCATAAAATTATTATTGTTATTGGATGAAGAAGGATTTGAAGGTATGTAGTTCTGATTTGGATTTCTCATCAAATTCAGATATTCCTGTTGAGTCATTGTTGGTTTGTTCATGGTATGCATTTGGTTAGGATTGATAACGTTATGAGATGGATTCATTCCGTGGAAATTAATAAATGGTTGACTACTCCTATTATTAAAAGCATTATTAAAGGGTTGTTGTTGTTGAGGCATTGGGATCGTAGTGGATGATGACCTCATGTTTGATGTGATTACTGTAGGAACATTGATTGGTTGATGATTTAAAACAGAGGATGAAGGTCTTGGTAGGGGAATTTGTTGTGATGTTTGTGTGGGTTGTTGTATATTTTGACTTGGTGTAGTATTATCTGTTGAGGATAAAAGGTTTGAAATATCATCGTCATCAAAAAGATCATCAATTCCATCCAATAAATCGTCAGCCATTCTAAAGTATTCGCAACAAAGTAATCTATTTAACAATAACACACTAGTAATATTAATACTATTTTTAATGCGGAAGTGATTTAAATCTTCAAAATGCTCTCTTGTTCAAAGTTTGAATACAAAAGGGAGGAAGATTGTGCTGTACAATTTTTTTTTTGATATTATTTTTAAATATTGCTCCTTACTCAAGCAAACAACTTCTATTGTTGTCTGTTTCTCCTCTCAATACAATTGTTTTCAGTGATGGATAATATTGAATCGATTTTCATTATGGATGTATATTAAAGAATAGTTTGCAACAAGTTGTTGAGAATAATATCTTAAAGAATAATAAATATAAAAAATGTCATTTAATAATGACGGTTGTACAACTCATCATTTCGGAAATCTTATGAAGCATGTTTTTAAAGTTAGTTTCAAACACAATTATCAATTAATTATTTACCTATAGTTTTATTCAGACAAAGTGACAAAAAAAGGAAAACCACAAGGAAGTGAATTTACAATTTTTGCAGCTCTCGTTTTAGTGGATTGCTCTAATAATTCAATCCCACAAGAAAAGAAATTCATTGTCTGCTCGATTGGTACAGGTACAAAATGTATCGGACATGACTTGATTGAGAAGGATATCAATAATGGATATTTACTTCATGATTGTCATGCTGAAGTTATGGCAAGGAGAAGTTTTATGAAATTTATGTACAATTTAATGGAGAGTGGAAAGTGTTCGGAATATTTTGATTGGGTAGAAGAAGTGGAGAGGTGGAAATTGAAGAATAATTTTGAATTATACATGATATTAACAGAATTGCCATGTATGTTATTGGATTGTTTTCATAATTTTATTAGAAGAATTATTTTCAAGGTGGGGATTGTTCAATTGTTAATTCTCCTAGTACTGTCAGTAGTGGAAGTGAAACTATTGAACAAAACAGCCAGGCAAATAATGAAGAACAGCTCAACAAGTCTGAAAATGTTGAACCGAATGATATGAAACGGAAACTAGATGAAACAGAACTAAACTCATCAGAACCAAAAACAAAGAAAGAAGGTAATACTGGAAGGTAGAACTGGTTCTAAAATTATTCATAACGATTCATGCACTCATGAAAAGTTTGGAGAGGATCAAACTATCAATCTAGTTCGTCTAAAACCTGGAGGAGGCTCAAGAAATCAGAGCATGTCCTGCAGTGACAAGATTACAAAGTGGAATGTTGTAGGAATTCAAGGATCATTATTATCAAACTTTTTTGAACCAATTTTTGTTGACAAATTCTTAATATTGTTGAGTGAAAAATCTAAATTGGATTTGGAACTCACACAACAACGATTGAATCAATCAATTGTTGATAGAGTTGACCAATTAAGTACCAAGACTCCTTCGTTTTACTTATTTAAGGAAGGTGTATCGAATATTCCACATTTCTCTGATAGAGCTTCAGAAACAAAGATAAAAGGCAGTGGATATAGTATAGGATCTTACTTGAATTTAGCACAGGAAAATCAATCTCATGTTGAGGAAGTTGTTATTGGTATGAAAGGTCACAAACAAGGAACAACCAAGAAGGATGAAAATACTCCAAAAGCAGCCACTCAACTATCTAAACACATCTTCTTTAAATCCTTCATTAATTGTATTAAAAGAAAGGAACTGAGTGCAGAACTGGCTCAACTATTGGAAAACAAGGAACCAAACATGAAAACATACCACGAAATTAAAAAGAGAGAATCCACCTACGTTATCAAATTGAATACTATGAAATCTCAACCACCATTTGATAAGTGGATAATAAAAAAAAATATTTAGTTTATTGTTCTCCGTTATCAATAAAGTTTGTAAAATGGTGGTTTTTAACTGTACTTGCTGAAATCTGTCACATTACAAAACAAAACTCTCCCGCTCGCGCCTGTTCACACGTCCGTTACGTTAAAAATTTAAAAATTTAGCAGTCAAAAGGAATCGAGTTGGCGCTAAACTTTTTTAAAAATCAAAAAAAATTCAAACACACAAACCGTGTAAATAATCACCATATAATTTATTCAAAATGCTCGAAGCAAAACTCCAACAAGGTGAAATCCTCAAGAAGATCCTCGATGCCATCAAGGAATTAGTCAATGATGCTAACTTTGATTGTAATAGTAACGGTATGGCCCTTCAAGCCATGGACACTGCTCACGTCTCTCTTGTTCACCTCATGCTCAAGAAGGACGCCTTTGAAAGATACAGATGTGATAAGAATGTTGTCTTGGGTATCAGCATGCAAGCCATGAACAAGATGTTAAAGTGTGCCGGTAAGGATGATGCCATTTCCTTGAAGGCTTCTGATGAACCAAACAACCTCGCTCTTACATTCGAAAGCAAGAATGGAGAAAGAATGAGTGAATTTGAAATGAAGTTGATCGAAATTGATGCCGAACCAGTTGGCATTCCAGAACCAGATTATACTGCTGAAATTACCATGCCAGCAGCTGAATTCAAGAAGATTTGTTCTGATTTGCAAACTATTGGTGATACTGTCACTGTTTCTGTCAACAAGGATGGTGTTAAATTCTCTGTAACTGGTGAATCAGGTAGCGGAAGTATTACTGTCAGAGAAAACACAAAGGCTGACAAGAGTGATGAATCTACTTCAATTCAATTGAAGGAATCTGTCAGTTTGACATTTGCTTTGAAATACTTGAATACTTTCTGTAAATCTGCCTCCTTGAGTAATCAAGTTGGTTTGTACCTCTCAAAGGAATCACCATTGTTGGTTGAATTCAAGTTTATTGAAGATTGTTATATTCGTTACTATTTGGCTCCTAAGATTGATGAAGAAGAAGAAGCTGCTGATGAAGAATAAGCCATAAGTGTGCTAATTCGATCATTAAACAGCCCTAGGAAATAAATAACTAAAATTTAAATTATAAAAATGCATTAACCATACAATGAGCGAGAATGATAATTGGTTAGACGATTTATCTAATAGTATTGTTAATAACAACAAGAAATCATCGGAAGGAAATAATGAATATTTATTTAATAGGATTTTACAATCTTCTATCAAACAAGAATTATCAGAAGAAAATGATGAATCAACCTCTATTGGTAATCAAATTCCGAACCAAATATTAATTAAAACATGTCCCTATTTATTTAGTTTAACGTCATCACAAGGTGATTCACCTTCTGTTCATCCCAAATTCAAAAAACTATATCAAAAACTAACACGATACATTTCCAGAAAATTAGAAAAGAAATCAGGAATGGAAGAAATTGAAAATCATATCAGGAAAATGATGGATAATTTAATGTGGAATAATGGAGAGGTTGTTGACTTTTTTCATGATCAGGATGAATGGTTACAATCTAACACTCAATATTCAAGTTGGAAGAATACTCAAATGACATCTTCAAAATCTTCTTCTGGCCGAATTGAAAATCAAAATATGGATTTGATTTGGGAACAACTGAAGACTGAGGTTTTTGAAATTTTGTTAAATGTGATGGGAGAAACCAGTATTACATTGTACGAATTTAAACATGCACTTAGAACAGCTCTCTATCAACTTCAATTAAAAGAAAGGGAATACAGAAGAATACCGAAAGAGTTGTTGGAAATTGCTATTGATAAGTTTCTTCCAAATGCTCAAAATGGTAGATCCTTGGTTCAATTTATAGTTTCAGAACTGAAAAGATTAAAATCAGAAACGGAGAACATTTCCTCAGAGTTGAGCAATATTCACTCTCGACATGGTAACCAATCATCAGCTGTACAACAATCAGGAGAGAGTACTTCTAAGAGAGCATTGAAAATTATTTCAATGACAATTATGCAGCTACTTCAAAGAAGATTAATACCAATTCCTGGTATTCAAATGTTGGATGATGAGAGCGTTAATAATATTATAGACAAGACAGAAAAACCAATCAAACAACGAGATAGTAAGAGAGTTCACTACAAGGGAATTGTGGATTTTTCCAAAAAAGTTTATCTTAACTATTTGCAGAATAAGAATAGAAATAATGAGAGGAAGAAGGATTTTTCCATTTCGATGGATGATACTCAATTACAAAGCAATAATAACAATAGCTTATCATATTGGAATAATAATACCTTCTCCAGTAGAATTAATAGTATGGGTCGATCATCAAACATGTCGAGGGAAATTGATAATTGGATGAATCAATATAGAGATATTGTTGGTCCAATCAATATACAGATTCCATTATATAGAGATCCAAAAAAGATCATACAGAAAAAGGAAGAACAGATCAAGCAAAAGGAGAAAGAGTTACAGTACCGACTCAAACATCTTGAAAATCTGGAGAGTGTCTGGGAATCAACCGAACACAAACAAGTTGTGAGCGAAATGATTACTAAAATTCTATTGAAAAAATTGGAATACCACAAACATAAGAAGTATCAAGGTTTATTGGAAAAATCAATTCTCAAACCTCATATCGATTCTAATGAATACATTCGTCCTGAAGACTTATCCAACGAATTTAAGAATATGTTTCTAGATAGAGTCAAGGTAAAGCTATCGAATATGGAGTTGGAAAGTTTTTTGGAGAGAAGAGACGAAATTCCCAAAATGTTGGGTGAGAATTTGAAATTATCCTACCCGTCATTTCTCAAAAATCTTGAAACAATTACAAGACATGATATTGAAACATTTAGAGATCTAAATTCAGTAGAACGATATCATATGGAACAAATACAAGCTAGATCTTTTCAATTTCTGAAAGCTATCAAGGAGGAAATTGGTGATGTACCTTTCTCTAAATTCCAACATTTAATTTCCTCAGAGGGTCCTCTTCATAATTTGAGCATTGTACAGAATCTTCTCAAGAAGGCAACCCAATATATTGAGACAAGTAGTCGATACAGTGATATATTACCCTATCTCACAAAATCAGATATAGAATTGGAGAGTTCCACATTATTGTTTGAATGGATTTTCAAAGGAAATGATGATGAGGAAAAGTTGAAAGAACTGTTGGACCTGAAAGTAGTTAAGAAAAAACATGTTATTCAAAATCTAATTGAAAAGATTAGTAATTATGTTTTAAACTCCGAGTTGGATGAGAATTCAGAATCACAGTTATATTATATTCCCTATAAATGGGAGGAAAGAATAGAGCTCGTAAGGGATTATTGTATTACTAACATAATCAAAAACAAATCCACGAAAGAAAGTGAGGGTGAGCACTTTGTTTTGAGCTATGTGACATCTCTACAAGAAACACTTGAATACGAATCATTTTATACAGATAGTACTTTAGAAATGTCGGCTGTTTCCCAAAACATTGATTCACAATTTGAGCAAGAGAGACATCAAGTAATGCGAAAGGCAGCTTTTAAACACATTGAAACTTTTATTTGTAAAACAGATGGAGAAAAGGATTGGTTTAAAAACAAAGTGGAGGTTTACATGCAAAAGAAGGTAAGCAATGAAAGGGACAAGAAGAAAAATCAAACAAGAGACTTTCTTAGAAATAGTGGAGTTATTCAAGATGATACTTCTTTCAAATCCAAAGTACAAAAGGAAATGGGCAAGTATGAACGATATCAGCATAGGCTCACTCAGGATGAGGAATACAAATTGTTACAAAATCAACTGGATTTAGAAACTAGAGGCAAAGCCATTTCTAATCAAAATTATGATAGACATATTACAGATCAAAGGAGAAGAATATTATTTGAGTGATTTTTATTTTTTGTAAAGGTCTTTGTTTTCTTGTCTGTAAGAAGAATCAACTTCACTTCTGATACCAATCATAAGATTAGAGATAGCTCCTGTCATACCAGCCAGAGGTGAGAGTACAACTCTTGGAATAGTCCACACATTACCAGATTTTGGAATGGCAATGACAGCAAGTTTAGCATCTTCAAATCCAGTGCTGATATCTCTGTAAGCTCTTTGAATGGCATTGTTAATATTGGTTGGCAAATCTTCATCAGCAGGTGGAGGAGTGTTTGGTACTGTTCTAATATCCCCATCATCATCTTGAACATAATCATAATTAATAAATTTGCCAAGACCACTGCTTTGCTTAACATATTGATCAGTTTTCTGAACTACATAGTTAACACCTGTAGCAGCATTAGAGGTAAGTTGTACGGTTCCAACAGACAGATTGGTAACAAAGGATGATAATCCTCTTCTTAATCCTCTCAGCACTTGACCATCTGTTTGATAGGATTGAATTGGGAGAACAACCAAATCAGCAACACCTGTACCAATGCTGTACATTGATTTGATAGGCATAATTCCCAATAATGCTCTGAAAATATCACCAGTATCAATTGAATCCAAAATGAGAGCTGTAGATTTTGAAACAACCTCTTCAATGCCACTGATACCATTGAGTTGGATTGGTTTAATCTTGACTTCAGCACCGTTAATTGGGACTAGATTTACCATTTGAGCTACAGACTTGTAGGATGTAATTCCATTCTCTTTGACTGCATCAAGATTAACTCTTACAGGTTGATAATCGACTTTGAATTGAATTGGACTAATATGAACTTGTTGGAAGTAGGTTGGTTTTGTTTCCTCCATTGTAGTATTTTGTAGTGTGGTAGGAATTTCATCCTTATTAGATGTAAAAAATTCAATTATAAATTCCATTGTGGATTGGTGAACATTGAGACGAATTGGCAGAATATCAATATCCAATCTAACTTCATTTGCATTTGTTGCACCCTTTTGTCTAATCACCTCATGAAGAAGACTAATCATTTTACTGTCAGTTTCTCTAGGCTCAGATTCAGTCTCCCAATATTTAAGAATCTTATTTCTGTTTGACTCTTTCAACTTATCCAAAAGTTCAATGTCAGTAATAGAAAATGAAAGTCTAGAAACATTAGAGTTGGCAACACTATTAGGGAAGGTATCGTATTGCAGTAACAAATCGTTCAGATTCAATTGTACCAGTTTTGTGTGGTCTCTGGTGGATTGTATTAAATCACCAAATTGTAAGAAAGTGGAAGAGGTGGTGGAAGATTGGCTAGTGTTCATTTGATCGCTTTCTGAATTGTCAGCCCAATCTTTACCTCCAAAAATGTGACACAGAATATTACACTTTGATAGTACCAATTCAAAGGATGGTGTTGGATAATCTAATGGTAGACGTGAATCATTCTCTAAATCTTCCTTCTTAATGGTTGGAAAGTAGGTATGCTCTTGAATGAAGGAGGAGAGTAATGTCTTGGTATTTGTTGACTTTTGACCAAGCATGGTACTACTACCAACCCCATCTTTGTAAATACTAGTGACGATAACATCGTCGTCTTCATCGTCTGATGATGTTTGTGGATAGTAAGATGTTGATCCAGGTGTTATGGTTGGTTTAATCTGTTGCGGTTTTGAGTCATCTTCTGTCAAGTAATCATTCATGAGAGAGGTAACCCAAGACATTAGTCCAGTTGGTTGTGGTTCTGTCTTGACAGGAGTCAAGGTCTTTCCACTGTCTTCCCTTGATAATTTTGAGGCTGATGAGTTATTGGAAGAAGGTAAAGTTCTTGTGTTTGTTTTTCTATTTGGTAATGCATATTCTCCTTCTGTGACGGCACTATTCGTAAACTTTGGAGAGAAACCAAACTGTAAATCATTGACTCCCTCAAAGATGTTCACAGAGTTTTGTGGAGTGCTTGATGTAAAGACAGGGTTATCAATCTCTTCAAGAGAAGGATATCTAATCACAATAGGGTTCTCTGGTTCAGTTACCTTTTGCTCACTTGATGATGGAGTTGCAAATTGTGCTGTCATTTGTTTGATTACATCTTGTAATGTTGACAATGAATCTTTACAAAGGTTCACAATAAGGGTTCCATCAGAAATCTCTAATTTAGTGATTGGCTCCTTATGTTTAAATATTTCCTTCTCCTTGTCAGTAAGAGCAAATTTGCTAACAATTTTAGATTTGTAAATACTACTCTGTCCCAATAAATCTACTTGTGTTGAGGATGCAAAGATTAAGGATGCCTGTGATTCCTCGACAGAGACAGATCTCTGTGTGAATTTGAGATTAAGTTTGTCAAGGCTTGCAATTGTCACAAAGCAAAGATAGTGAAGCTCATTGATGAAACCAAATTCACTTCTTGGTATTCTCTTGTTTTTGATTTCTTCTTGTAGATATTTTGGAATATCGTGGACAAAGTTATTGTGCAATAGTAAACTCATACCCTCAAAATTAATATCATAGATAGTGTTCTTTGATGGTGTTGGTAAATTAAGGTGTGTATGGAATCCAAGCTTGTCCACCAAAAGTATCAGCCTATTTCCAGAGTCTTTAGGCTGGTAGTCAAGAGCACAGTCTTGAAGAACTGTCTTGATGTCGAGAATCATCTTTTGTTCTGTCTTGGAATCACTGGCAAAGAATTGAGTCAAGAATTTTCTCCAATTATTTTCCTCGGTAGGGAACATGGATCCCAAGAAGAGTCCAGAGAAAAATATCTTTGGTTGAACAGAGATGGACTTGTTATAGAGCTCAACATTCACAGAGATGTTTGTGCAATTCTTGGCTTGTCTAAATCCCTTTACAAGTTTATCCTCTCTGCGTAAAATATAGCTACGTGAGTTAGCAATTTCATCATAAAATGTAATGCTCTCATTTGAAATGTATGCATTGATAAGAGTGCACTTTTGGTTATCCTTGGAAATCCAATTAGAGAACATAACTAACAGCGCGTTTAGTTTTTTGAACTTCAAAACACAATTTCTGCTCATGTTGGTATCTAATAGACGTACGGTAAAGTTATTACTTGTGAATTTGATGGCCACAGATGGGTTGGAATCAATCGTCTTTGGAGAAGGTTTCTTGTGGGCTTGGTTTTCATCGAACACAGCAGAGAGAGCTTGAGATATTTTAGAAATAAAATCATTCAACTTTTGGAAATGTTCTCTGCTAATCTCAATACTAAAATCAGAGGATTTAGAATTCTTTTCTGCAAGATCGATAATAATAGAAATTTTGGATTTTTCCAATGCCTTGCTACCAATTATGGTATCTTCAATTGAATCAATTGAGAAGTCCACGTCCTCTTCATGCTGTGATGGATCAATATATTTATCTTCACTAATGTCTTGTTCATCATCTTCTCCATTAAACTCTTCAACAGAAGAATCTAATGATGAGTGTTCTACTTCATCATAAAAGTCAGATGAAACGGACTCAGGCACTGAAATATAAGACTTGTATAGTACATCTTCCTCCATAGAATGATTTTCATCAGAAGGTTTGATTGTAGCGAAAATCTTCATTGGTCTAATCTTAACGATACTAGTGCCAGTCTTTTTCTCAATGAGTATCAAATTAGTTTCACCAACAATAATAGGTATAATTGTTGCATTCTTATCGATTTGGATTCTGTCTTGATATAATTCATTGTCTATCAACATTTGATTTCCATCCTCTCTAAAGGAAGCCTTAACTTTAATCTCCTTACAATCAATTCGGAGACGATCTGGCTTATATGAGTGGGTTGATTGGAATACAGTCTCACCATTCTCTGCCTCTTTTGGCAATAAAATATCAATCAAAATGCCACATGTTAAAATATCAAAGGCAACACGCTGAGGTGCTCCTATTTGTGTTTGATCCTTATCCAAGTCATCTAGAATAGCCTGTTCAAAATTTTCATTAAATGCATTGACAGCTCCATACTGACTTGTATTTGCATTTTCAGAGATTTTAGTGAATAGAGATGACTTTGAGAAAAGTCTACTTGACACCTTGTTCATTCTTTGAAGGAATCCTGGATCAAAACTAAGTTGGATTTGACTGTTAATTCGGAGTGTATGTTTGACTAGGTTTTCTCGTTTTTTGAAATGATAAGTATAGTCAATGATTGGATCAGATGAATCCTTTGGTTTGTTCAAAAACTCTAAAACCTTCAACTCTGAATAGATGTGTCTTCCTCCAAAAGACTCTTTACATAATCTTTCCGAAAGTTGAACATCCCCAAATGTCAAATGGAAAGTGGTATCAGTTTTGTTGATATTCTTTTGCTCAATACCTGAGAAATTGTCATTAGTAACAATGCCACCAGTACTAAAAGCTACACCACACGAAATTCCATTGACAAACCTCAATGAAAGATGCCCTATTCCAGGTATGTCTGGTCCAGAATTTTGATCATGTGATCGGAAGAAGGTTCTCCACATTGTACCCAAATTTGCATCTTCATAGAGTAAATTAAATGTTGCTGCCTTTAGTTTGATGTCAATCTTAAAGTTAATACATGGAACAGAACTGGAAGATAAGTTAATATCATTATAGCCAAATGCTGGAGTATCTGTTGCCTTTGGTATTGTAAGAAATCTGTGATTTACATTTTTCATTGGAGATTTTTCAATAGGAGGGCTTGTTTTCTTTTTTGGTGTACCTGCAGGTTTTCTAATTTCTGGAATTTGATGCTCTTCTGTTTCAGATTCATCAGAAAATGGTTCACTTTCGAATGTATGGAATTGGAAATTTTCAGAATCAACCTCTTCCTCATGTAATTTGGTCCTCTCCAACTTTTCTTGATATTTGATGAGAGTAGTTTCTGACATTTTTGTAGTGATTGGAATTTCGATACTTTGAAGCATGGCATTCGTACCTATTTGATCAGTAGAATGGTCACTTTTGAAACTCTTAAACTCTGGTGAAGCTTCTTTTTCTTCCTTTGAGGATGTAGCAAACGAATCAAATCCAACATTAATTCCTCGACTATTCAAAGTTTCAAATATCTGCAATAAAATATCCATTTGACTAGGTGTGATAACCGAGTGAATCGAAGTAATGTCAAATTCAATATCAATTTTAGAACTTGAATTAGGTATTGGAAATGTTGGTGAGGGTGTACCAAATATGGAGCCATTCATTGCGTTCGTTGAAGGTCTTATATTGACCTTGATCTTGTTATTTTCTGTTTCTCCATAAAAAATAGTGTTACCTTCGTCGAGTGTATTTGAAGGTTGAGTATTTACAATATAATTAGAGGTTGGTGTAAAATCTGATGAAGAATTCATATCACGTTTAACACTTGATGATGGAAAGTCTGATTCATCATCCTTATCTACTTTATACCCTGAAGAGTGATACTCTTCAAACACTTGAAGAAATATTCCTTTAAATATGAATGAGTATGTGAATTTAGATGGCCATGATTCTGTTTTAGGTGTTTCATCCAAATATTCCAATCTAGGGAAGTGCAATAAAAGTACATTCTTCAAACGTTGTTCCTTCTTAATACGAACTGGAGTATCAATTGGAGCAGTAGTTCTTGGTTTTGGAAATTCTAATCTTACAGTTACATTGGTAACGAAGGCTTTGAGCTGAGAAATTACTCTTTCAACAGCTTGGGAAATAATTGTATGTCCCTCATTGAATCCAACAGTATCTTCTTGTTTTGTATCACTAAATATAGTTGAACTGTCCATACTGGAATTCATTGGATCTGTTTCTTCTTCAAAATCTTCCTTTTCCAAATCTTTAAACTCGTGAGCAATATCAGATTTAGTAACATCACCTAAAAGAATACTCGTTGCTAAAACATTTGGATCATGAAATGTAGTCGAATGAAATAAGAATGAGTTTGCAGCATTACCAAAACCAGAATCCTCATTCATACCATTAAATTGTAATTGCACTTCTAAACCATTAAGTTCTAATATCATTGATTCCTTCATAATATCCATAAGGGAAGGTATTTTTACGCAAATCTTTTCAATATATCCACTCGATAGTATAAATGGTATTCCATCCTTGTCTGATGATTGTGATAGTTTACTGTTGTGCATCAGAATATTCTCGTTAATCTCCTTAACTTTGAGTTGTACATTCTTCAATTCAAAATCAAAAGAGGCTATTTGATCTGTTTGTTGTCCAGAAATATGTGAAGCCTTCCTATGTGTTTGAGAACCTGGTAGTTGAACATCTAGTTGTGATAGATCGGGTTCTTCAATAAACCTTCCGAGAAGTCTTTTAATCACGAATTTAAATATTCTTTTTTTAATAGGATCTGTCAGCCTGGAGAATCCTCCTATAAACCAAGATCCAACTCCAGACATTATTTACAAAAATATAATACTAGTAAATATTATATAATACAATAACACGGTTATATACAAAGACTTGCTCTCTTCGGGAAGTTATTGTTTCTTATTAGCAGATTCAACAGGAGACGAAGAAGCGTTTTTTTTAATTTTGTTTCATCTCAATAGAGTAACCTTTTTCAATCATCAACAAAAGGACTTGGAAGTTTAAACGTGCAATGTAGGCAACAAACATCTTGGCCAAAAATAGACCATTTTACAAAATATTGTTGAGAACACATTGAATGTATTTGAAAGAGATTGAGCCATACAGTATTAATAATACATTAAGAATTTTTAATCTCTTCTAGAATCGCTCAACAAGTATTCAACAATTCTGAAATTTGTCAAATTACTACTAGGTTCTAACTCTATAAATGTTGCTTCTGGAATTTGTCTTCTGATATCATCCTCAATGTCAATAATTTCTCTCTCCATAGCCTTGGTAACATCTTCAGTATACCAGTTGAGGAGTTTCATAAGTTCTTTAACATCTTTACCCTTTCTGATAAACTCCTTTTCATATCCTAGCTCTTTGAGTACTTTACAAAAATAGTGACCATTAAAATCAACTTCAATAGTAATACTAAAACTGGTTGGACTGAGCCACTGTGATTGAATTGCATAGACAGCCTCAATCGACTCCCTTCTCATTAGAATTTCTCTAACTCTAGCTTCGGTCTTACTATCAATACTTCTACCAATTAAATAATTCTTGTTAAGTTCGATGAGGGAAAGAGAGACGACTCCTAATAAACCACCAATAGCCAATGAAGCAACTGTATCATAGACAAGATTGTTTGTGTACACTGACATGCCAATTCCACCAAAGGCAATAAAAACACCCAAACAGGCAGCCAAATCTTCAAGAAGTACAGCCAATACCATAGGATCCTGTATACCTTTGAGGTAGGTCAATATTCCCATATCTTTTGGTTTTTCTTCTTTCAAATCTTTGATTACACTCAAAAGAACTCCTCCATCAATTATTAATGAAATAAAGAGTACCACTGGTGTGACTAGACCATAATTACAAATCATTGTAGTGACCATTTGATCTGGCATAAAATTTGATAATAGTGAATAAGACCAAGACTCCTTGTCAATTAAATGATGATGAGAGGCAGCTATCGACTCTGTCAAAGAGTGCTCAGTAGCTACATTATTTGATGTAAAACTTTCTGTAATTGGATGTATCAAAGTTTGAATTCCATTATACATGACGGAAAAACTGCCTACCCAGAAAATACCCAATGCACTAACTAGTGAATAAAAGTAACGAGCTCTTCCGTATCCATATTGATATTTCTTTTATCAAGTCCATCAGTAATATAAGTTAATAATAAATTAATAGTAAATAATAATAAATATTATGGTAAAGATACCTACCTGATCCGGAGTTCTTGATGATTGTTTAATACCCAGAAATAATAATCCTTGATTTAAAGAGTCGATGAGAGAGTGGCAAGTTTCAGCCAACATGGTTGCACTTCCAGAGGAAAGATAAGCCATAAATTTGATACCAGTAATGAAGGCGTTACCAGCAATGGCTTTCACAACAGCATTTCTACTGATTTTTTGTGGATCATACTCTTGACCTTGTTGTTCGGAGGAAGAATTTGGAGATGAAGTGATTGGATTTCTCTTGGAAAAATTACGTAATGATGTTATTGAAGATGAAGAAGGATAGGAGAGGAAATTCTTCTTCTTGATCGAAGATGTTTCCGATAAATTATTGTGAAAATATTTTGATGATAGCACTGTGCCACTTGTTTTGTTCAATAATTGTACTATTTGTTGAGAAGGACATTTATTCGAAATTCCAATTTTCAATAATGATGATGAGGGCACTACTAATAGGGACGTCCTCCTCGATGATGAAGCTGCCGTAACCAAAACCCTCTTCATTTTTTAAACAATCTCTTGTGTCCATTTCGATAGTAAAAGAGCACTGATTGGAAATTGATTGAACAAGAGAGCAGCTAATACTTCTTTGTAAAGTGAGTGCTGAACAACAACACTCATAATTGTTTTTTCCCACTTATCAAAAGATCTACAAACCAACATTAACCACTAACACGTGTTTCCTGTTCACGCACTTTAATCTTCCTCTTCTTTCAAAAAAAAATTAAGCAAGCTTTGAATCGCCAAGGCTTTACTTTTATTCATCAACAATTTATTTTCTTTTAATATTGTTATCGGAGAATGTCCTCAAGCAGTGTGCTCGTTACTATTGTTATTCCAGCCTTTAAAGAAGCTGCCAACTTGAAGGAATTGGTCACTCGTATTTATGATGCTGTGGAAACACAAGAAATTAAAACTCTTGATCAACAAAAACTCATCAGAAGTAATACTGAAGTGATCGTTGTTGATGATAATTCAAAGGACGGAAGTGATGATATTATTAATGAATTGGCAAAGGATAAAACTAAATATCCAAACTTGAGAATTATTGTAAGAACCAATGAAAAGGGTTTGAGTAGTGCTGTCTTGAGAGGATTTGATGAAGGAAAGGGTCAATATTTGATGTGTATGGATGCAGATCTTCAACATCCACCTGAAGATGTACCAAAAATGTTCCAATATTTATTTAAGGATAATGCAGTAGAATTCGTTTTAGGAACAAGATATGGAAGTGGATCTATGAGTGTTGATAGTAATTGGCCACTCTATCGTCAAATCATTTCAAAGGGTGCTAGATCTTTGGCTAGACCACTTACTCCACTTTCTGACCCAATGTCTGGATTTTTCGCTTTACCAAAATCAGTTTATCAAAGAGCTCTTTTGAATTCTGTTAACCCAATTGGTTTTAAGATTGCCCTCGAGTTATATGCTAAGGCTGGTGTTAAAAAGCATGCTGAACATGCCTTTGCTTTTGGTGTTAGATTGCACGGGTTTAGCAAACTTTCTGGAAAGGTCATTGTACATTACCTCAAACATTTGTATGATTTGTATCAATTCAAGTATCCATACATGTTGCACTTGGCTGCCATTATCATTCTCTTATTCGTTTTTTACATTCTTAGATTAATTTTCTCAAAATAAATCATTTATTCAACAAGTTTTCTAGGTCAAGCAAGTGATTTTTCAGTTTTTCTTTTTCGCGTTCCAAATTTACGCTATTCATGCTAGAGTATAAGGATGCAGGGATTTCCCTTATGTCAGTATCTTCCTTATTGCTAATATTATCTTCAATGATTGGCGTTGATGCACCAGCCGAAGGAGTATTATAATCACCATTGCTTGGAGAAGGTTGATTCTTATTAATAAGGGAGTGTAAGTGTCTATCAAAACTTCTTCCTAGAGATGCCTTATAGTCAACCTCTGGAATGGAAATGCTATTGAACACTAGTTGGGGAGATGAAATTTTGTTTACAGACAACTCGGGTGAAATACTAATCTTGATTTGTCCAACAATTTTCGACTTTTCAGCGTCTTCAATATGATACCAACCATCTATTTTTTTCAGACCATACCACAGACCAGATAGATCAATATTAGAAATACCTATCAAGTAATCTTTGCTTTCGTCCTTGCTGAAAACTTGAAGGGAAAGATTTTCAATTTGAGAAAATATTGGAAGTTGTAAGTATTCATCCCAGTGGGGATTGCACTCATTTTCAATTGATCTGGTTCTGTACTCTCTCTTTTCCAAATCTCCAGTTGGATGAACAAGTCTCACAAAAGAGTATGGATTCCTTGGTTTTACACCATGATATCCATAAATTTTTGGTAAATTAGCCTCTTCAATGTTAATGTTGAGATAGTTCAAAGGTGCCTTGGAGGGAATTACTGGACTATTGACCTCTGGTTCTTCTATTACAGATTGATTAGGAGAGAATGTTGTTTGAACCTTGACTCTCTTTCTTGAAGTGCTTTGAACCTTCAAGTACTCTTCTGTTATTTTCAGAGCTTTTTCATCCATAGTAACTTCTGGCTCCTCCATTTGCTCTATAAATTGAGAGTCATCTTCAGATTGAAGAGAAAAGCTCGTATTGGCTTGAACACCAATATTTTTAAAGTTATTACTGTTGAGAATGAGGCTTTCTCTGATCTTTTGTTGGTGTTCTCCAAAATTGATCTTTTCACATCCTAGTTTGATTTTAACATTTCCATTATTGAGATTATCCGATTCAGTGTTAATAATATTGTAAATTCCACTTATATAGGCTGTTTTTTGATTTCCCTTTTCAAACAACTTTTTCAAGTCAATATAGACACAACCAATGAGTTTGGCTCTTTTCCTAATGGTTTGCTCGTCTGCTGGTTTTCCGTTATCAATAGAGCAATAAATTTGTATTGTCATCTTTTCCTTTTCTACCAACTTCTTGAACTTGGAGTCAATAACCTTCTTAAACTCTGTAGTATGATGTAGTATTGTCTTTGAAACATTAGTTGAAGATTTATACAGCCTGCTATCAATGACAGAATCTTCTCCCAACAATCTGTAAGATAAAAAGAAAAAGCAAGGTATTGGTTGCTCTTGTTCTGACATGTAAAATGGCACTAGACTCTCTGTAACCTCTGTTGGTATATTCACTTCTTCAATGACAATAGTAAACCTGCAAATGGAATGGGAAGGTTTGTTTGATTGAACCACTTTGGAATTAGGCTCTTTCAAAAACAGGTTGTTAACAGTATTCTCATCAAAGGTCATACTAATATCTACAGTACCAACAATGGATTCATCTTGTGCATAAACATCAAACCAACCTGAAATACCATTCTTACATTTCAATAGATACTTTAAAGGTATCGCAACTGTTCCAAGTTGAATTACTGTTGGGGTATTGGGACTGACAATCCTAGATTGAGGAATTCTATGGAAAACTTTGAAAATGATCTCATCATGATTCAAAGTATGGAACATTGACTCATCAATAAATATCTCAAAAGTATGCTCAAAGTCCCACACTGGACAAAATGTTTTGGCTAATATTGGTGTTTGAATGGGTTTACCTCCACTAATATTGTCAAACTCAATGAATGGATTCACACCAATTTGTGATGCTGCTCTAAGGTGTGAATTGTATGAGCCCACTTTAATGGCAGCCTCTTTCAATCCAGTTGCTCTATTGATTCTCACCGTCAAACATGACAACACAGGAAGAGGTATACATTTTGGTATATTAACAGGTTGTTGTTGACCTTGGTGATTTCGAGAACTTGGTTTAGAGATAGGATGAACAATATCTTGGCTTTCGGTAATAGGGTATTGATCTTCTTCGTGATACTGTTCCTCTTCTTCGTATTCTTCTCGTGGTTGTTCGATTTCATCATTTGGTCTTGGTTTAAAGCGTTTGTTATCTTCTATCATGTCTCTTTCTTCAGGATGTTTATCTCTGGATTTTGAGAGGGAAGACCTTACGAAATTCTGAATCGTCATTGCAGCTCTCTGATAATTGAGGAATCCCTTGACCTGGAACTCTGTACCGAATGCCAGCACGCAATTCATTTCCAAAATCACTTCATCCGAAACAGGATTGCTACATGAAAATGCTCCATAATGTCCAATCACTGGTTCCTCCTTATTTGGAAACATGTACTGAGAATTTTTTTCAAAAGAAAATGCCTCATAGAAAATATTAAGATTGAGAAGATTGAGTCCAAGAAAATTGTTGAAATTGTCAAATATTTCAATAACCATACAACAATCTCTAAACTTTGGGAGAAATACATTTTGGTTGGAGAAGGAAAATATCTCATACGTGTTGACTCGAACATCTTCATCGAAGGTAACTATGATGTTTTGGGAACTCTTTCCTCTATCTTTTCCAAAAGGGAGTTTAAAATCCACCTTGATTCTACAGTTATCCTTTTCTTCTATTCGTTTGGTTAGCTTGGCAGAAATTATGTGAAACATTATACTGAACTATTCTTATTAATACAGTTAATCGAATAAATCTATACTTACTCTGGTTTTAACTGGTGGTTTTTCATCAACATGAATGTGAGTGTGGAGGTGTCTGAAGACTGGATTTTCCTGACTTGCTATTGGTTTAGGCTCAGCAGGGGTATATTTTTCTTCCTTAGGTGATTTTACCTTTCTCTCTGCAATGGTAGGTGAATTATTTTTGGTTGGATATTGAGGTTGAGGAGGAGGTGATTGGAAAAAGTGGTATATTACAGGTTGGGGAGGTTGAATTGGAATTTTTGGAGGAGCAAGGGTTTCTTCTTCCTCAGGCTCTTCCTCAGAGAGATGGGTTTCATCAAAACTAGCTCGTGGAGAAATCGTTGATATGGAAGCAGAGAAACTTTGAAGAATTAAAATGCTCAGATGAATTAAGAATACTTACTTATCATCTTCCTCCTGATCCCTCAAGAAGAAGGGAACTTCATCCGTAGATTCTCTGTTATTAAAAGAGTGTATATCGAAAAATGGTACATTGCTTTCTGATAAATACTTTTTCACTTCATTTTCTAGCATATTTGCATTCTGAATTAGATCGTCAATTGGATCAGTTACCTTTTTTGGTTCAAAGCTATTGCTTGAAGGCTCCCGTATTGTTACTGTCTTTGATACGGTTTTTTTTGGAGCTTTTTCAGTTTTTTCATCCTCTGCTGGATCTGTATCGTAGTGTTTCAGTACTTGTGGTTTCTGTTCTTTCTTTTCTTGCTTCTTTTCTGTTTCTCTTGTTGAGTCACTTTCTATTTCTTTCTGAATTTTTGCAGGTTTTTGAGGGGAAGAAGATGTCACTTGAAGAAAATAATCCAATGCTATTGTCACTTGAATACTTGCAATAATTTCATTTCCTTTTTTAGCGTTGAACCATCTATTGAGGGTCAGAAAATGATATTGAGATACTTACTCTTTTTGAATAGCATTTGATGATGAAATTTGAATAACTGGTACTGCTGCTTCAGCAATAATATTTTGGCTTGAACAATCCACAATCACCAATGATAAAATCTTTGAATCTAATATTGTGTAAATTAATGAAATTGCATGAATACTACATACTCGACAGGTATATTCTAAATATATCCTCTGTTGTTTTCACAGGATATCTTACAGAGATTTTGGATTTATCCTCCTTGCTGTTTGATTCATTGCTGGATGGAATAAGTGACACAGATCTGTCATCACTTCCCCACCAAATTGGATGAATTGCAAAATTATTATTATTATTATGTAATCCACTTGATGCAATGCAAGCATAGGAATATCTCTCCCAAGCATTGGCCTCTCACTTTTGGAGGCAGTGATTCGGAAAGGATGGGCTCATCTTTTCCTTGCAAGAAAAATGGATGTTGTCTACTAGTTTCACTGACGGCTACATTAGGAACTATATTATTTGATTGTTGTTGCACATTTGCAGATGTTGATTGTTGTTGTGGTTTACTACTATTGGGCGATGACGAAGGTGGTTGTCTTCTCATGTTTTTGCATTTTTTTGTAGTTTGATTCCCGCCATTTTCGATCACATACAAAAAACCAATTTAAAATAAATCCAACAAGCTACGTAACGCCAATTTTTTAAATCATCCAATTTAAATCACATAAATCACAAATAAATTATTATCAATACCAATTTACATAAATTTACATAATATTTTTCATCACCAGGTAGCAGAGTAATGTATTAATAATATCATCAATTTAAATATTTCGAGCTCTTTTTTTTAATCAAAAAATGAGTTCTCTTCTCAAGGTACTACAGAGTGAGTTGAGATCTTTATCTGTGGAAGCACAACAGAAGAAGTTTCCGGCAATCAAAGATGCTGCTGATCGTGGTGTCAGACAACTAAGATCGATACAAGAAAAGATGGAAGAGCAAGGTATTTCATCTGATCAAGTTATTCAGTGTATGTGGTCTGTTTTATTTTGTGGATTAAAGTGAATATTTTGATGATGGAAAATATCTTCGGAATTTATTGTTATTATTATTTAGTGATTAAAGGAAATAATGAGGATATTGTTAAACCATTTCTTATAGCTTGCGAAAGCAAAACAACAAAATTAATAGTGACTGCTCTATCTTCACTTCATCAACTTTTACTATATGGTGCTGTACCCGAGGTAGGTTTATTGCTTTTCACAAATTCCGAACAATCACCATCAGGCTGGATTGAATATTATTGTAGAAACAGTCAGTCGATTAGGACAACACACAACAGAGGAAAATGTGCAACTTAAAATTCTTCAGTTAGTCTTGGCAATTTTCACTGCACGAGAGGGTTATGAACTTAATCAAATTACACTCTCAAAATTGTTAAAATTATGCTATTCACTGGAAGGATCTAAAAGTTTAAATGTTGACATGACTGCTAAAGCCACTCTTCGTCAAGCTACAATATCAATTTTTGAATTTTTAAAACCTAAAATTAATCCAGAGACTAATGAAGAATTGGAAAGATCCATTGATGAGGAATCTAATCAATTCAAGAATGCATTTTTGTATTTTAATGATCTTTGTGCTACTATTCAAGGTGAAACAGGGGAATGGCTTGGAATTTCAAATATAGATATTAATTTTATTCTTGAATTGGTTGATTCAGTACTGTCACATTATGGAAAATATTTTACAACAGTAAGTACAATTAATTATTTATTATTTAATTAATACTTTGTCTTACAGTTTGATCTATTCAAGAATATCATCAGTCAAAGAATGACACCATTTTTATTGACAAATATTAGTAATATTTCTAATGGAAGTTCTACAAATTTTTCTTTAATGCTTCGAGTTTACAAGCTTTTAAGCTCTGTAATCAATTCATTTGGTTTGGTTCTTCATTTTGAAACTTTTACTCTTGTCATTTGTGATCACTTGCGAGATGTTATTGAAAAATCTTCCAATCAATGCAACAAGGTATTGGCTTTAGAAGTGTTGAAAAGTATATTTTATGATTATGAATTATTGATTCATATTCATAAATCTCTACCTTCATCATCTGAGAATGGTGAATTGAATATTGATGGACATATTATTACAAAACTTTCTAGTGCTGTCACTACCTATGTACAACAGTTACTCAACTATAATACATCAGCCACTCCAGGTACTCCAACAGACCCGATGAGTGCCGAGAAGAATACTCAACCAATTAATACAGGAAGCAGTAGCTTATCTGCAAAGTTAAGCAATTTTGATTTAACACAAAAACAAACTTCAAGACTAGATATTCTAGTTGACAAGACTACCTATTCACCTTCTCTTGGAGAATCAATTGGTGCTTGTTTAGAGTGTATCACTGGATTAATAACTTCCCTGAGTATCATGTCAGGTATTCAGAAACCAACTGGTCCTATCAAGAAAAACCAAGTTGATGAAGATACTGAAGAATCTTTGGAAAAGAAAAAAATATGCTCAATATTTGTAAACCTTGTTTGGGCGCCAACATTAACTTTATTGTATATTCTCTTAGAGGTTTGTGAAGGTGATGAAAATATTCAATCAATTTTGAGAAACTACCTCTTATTTACTCATACATGCGGAATTACTGGATTATCAGCACCAAGAGATGCCTTCTTGACAAACCTTTGTAAATTTACCCCAAAAATCAAATTATCCAGAAGAACCTATTCCAGTTCTAATCTTAGTAATACTAGCGATCTATTCTACACAACTTATGAACCAGTTGTTGCAAATAGTGCTAACAGCCCAACCGATGTAACAATGAAAATGGATGACCTCAATAGAAAATCTGTATTGGTCATGAAAATATTGTTCAATATTGCTCACTGTCTTGGTGGATTGTTGGGGAGCAGTTGGTACTTGTTGCTTAAGAATTTCTTGGTAATTGATAAGCTACTCAACCAAAGAATGCCTTTCACATCAGCACCAGAAAGTGAACAAGAAGATTTAAATATTTTGTTTGCAGCTTTACAAAATTTATTCATGAGTACCTCTCACTTGAGTGATGAATCTGTTCTTGTAATGTTGAAGTCATTGTGCAGATTGTCACAAGATACAACCAATAATGCCCTCCTTGGTGAAAGTAGATTATTTGCAGCACAAAAAATTTTGGAAACTGTTCAAGTCAATATGAATAGGGTAGAGAAAACATGGCCTCTGTTTTCCTCTCACATTCTATGGTTGGTAGAGAATGAAAATGAACATACTCGTAAATCATCTATTAATTTCGTTTATGAAGTTATCATCTCAATGTATAGACCTGAGAATAACAAATATAGCGTAAGATTTGGAAACAAGGACGGAGAATTGGAAAGTAATGAGATAGTATCTCCAGATTTGGAAAGAATTGTGTTTACTATTTTCATGGATATTTTCCAATCATCATGTGATTATATGGAAACAAGAGAACAACTTTTGACAACTCTTAACAGTCTTATTGGTAAATGTGGCCACAAGCTCACTACAGCCTGGACTGTTTTGCTTCCATTGTTAAAAGAATGTGCTGCTCTTCCTACCTCGAAAAAGAAGTCAGCAAATAGCACTGTAAATAGAGCCAAATTAATTCCACTTGGTTTCAAGTGCGTACAATCCATAGCCTCCAAAGAATATTTACCAACATTAGGATTTGAATGTCTTACAGAGTTTTTCACTGTAATCAGTGCATATGTCAAACAAAGAGATGCCTCAGACTTGAATTTAAGTTTTGTTGCCATCAATTTATTTATGAGTAGTGCTGAATTTTTAACTGACAGATATCCAAAAGTAAAGAATCAAGACACTTACAAAGATGATAAAGAGGCAGGAGAAAATGAAGGTGATTTGAGTAGAGTTGATGAATTGTGGTTGACTCTTTATGAGCAGCTCAGAGAAGCAACTGTAGACTCTAGACCTGACGTTAGAAACTCTTCCCTTAAAATCCTATCATTTGTAATGGTTTCACAAGGAGATCAACTCATCAAAAAGACATGGGAAAAGTGTATTTCTGACATTCTCTTGAAGATTCTCGACATGACACACGAAGCTGCTACCTCTGCTGAGACCAGTTTAGAAGATTTTGAGCTCCCAACAGCAGGAAAAGATGCTCAAATTGAGTCAGATGATTCAAAGAAAAAGAAGAAACAAATTGTTGTTCACCACACAAGAAATACTGCCGCTAAACAATGGAGCGAAACAAGAGCCTTGGTAATTGATTTCGTATCTAGAGTTGTTTGTGAACACGGAAAAACTATCCTTTCTGAAATTCCATTATTTGTTGATAAGGCATGCAACGATATTACATTATTTATTCACAAGTCTGTCCTCTCCAAAACATCAGAAATTGCCATGACAGCTGTTAAAAATCTATACGATATGATCAGCTGTACAAGAGGTAAAATTAAGCAAAATCTGTGGAAGGGTGCTTGGGAAATTTGGCATACACTTGCAGATTTTTCCAAGTATGTCACTAATGATAAGAAAGAATCATTTGTAAATGTGGATACAATAACTCAACTATTAGATGGTATTGGAAAATTATATGAACAACAACAAAATGGAGGTGAAAGTATCTTCACTCAAGAGGATATTAGAAATGTTATTAATTATCTTATTGACCAATTTCTAGTTTGTCCTGCAGCTGTAAATGTAATAATATTCCCATCTGCCGTGCAAAGATCTTGTATGGATTTGGTTTGTAAAATTAGTTCATTCTCTGACGAAACTAGAGAATACATTTTTGATATTTTAAGCAATCATCTTCCTTCTAAGAATTCAATTAGAAAGGGACAAATAGAGACACCTGTCAAGTATGCTGTTTTACTTCAAAAAACTTTGCTTGAGTGTTGTTGTTTGCAAGCTCCTACAGCTGTTAGACAAAAGCTTTTTAAGCAAACTATTCAGTTATTGGGCGATATGATTCAAACCAAGTTTGTCAAACAATCCAATCAAAAGAGCTACTTTTTATGGAAATCCTCCATCAAGGGTTTAGAAAATGTCGTTAAGGCTTGTGTTATTTCTCCAGAAGACAGTTTTGTTAAAGATGTTGATGAGGAAACATGGAAAGATTTGTGTATCGCTATTGAAGAATTCCTATTCCATGAAAGTTATATTGAATCAACAGACGAGGATGAGGAATATGAGGATAGCAGTAGTGAAGAGGATAATGCTGAAACTGAAGAGGAAACTGATGAAAGTATTTTACTGACAGAACTCATTTCTAAATTTGTTTTAGTACACATTGATGCCACCACAGTTAAAAAGAGATTGCTCATGATATTGGAGAAGGCAACACATTTAGCCCCAAAGAAGGTTGCCAAACATTCTCTCAAAACACTCTTCTACTTTGTTTCCAATGCCACACAAAAGTTGGAAAATGTTTCTTCTAAAGAAGAAGATTTGACAGAGACTGAACGTAATGAAGTAGATTTGGGAAGATTTGTTTTACCAATTTTATTCAAGCGATGCAAATCCATTTTGAATCAATTCATTCAAGATGATAAGAGAAGTGGTAATTGCCCTCTGCCAAAACACAGAAGACAAGAATTGTACAATACACTCATTGAACTCAAATCTATCAGGGTAAATCCTTTACTGTACTCTGAGCTTAATAAGTTATCTGAACTTTCTGAAAATCAATCACTAGCTTTGAATGGATATCAAGGATTGGTTGTGAGATTATTCCCAGTTTTGTGCGAGTTTATTTCCTACAATAGTAACAAAGAATCCATCTCGGCAGTTTTGTTGGAAATGTTCAAGATTGTGAGTAAGGAACTTGGCATTGGAGAAGCCCATCTTTTGATTGATTCAGATGAATAAAAATGGTCTACTTTTTTAATTTCTACCAGTTTTTAAATTTAAGCTCTTATGCCAACATTTACAGAGATTATTTCCACAAAGAAATTTGCAAAAATAAAAAATATGTAAACAAATAAAAAAGTAACTTGAGATAATTTAAATTTCATAATTTGTTTAATTGAGGATATAATACATGTTATGTACAACTTATTGTTGTTGGGATGACTTCTTTTGCTTCTTGGTTTCTTCTTCAAGCTTCTTTTGAGCTTCAATTTCCTCAACATACTTTCCGACTTCATCATCGCCCAAAAAACGAAGAGGTTCCTTAAACTTTAAAACAGCAACTTCAATGTTCTTGCTTCCACTTTCCACAACTTCAAGAAGAGCCTTGATGGCAAGTTTAACAGTTCTTTCTTCACTAGATTGAGTACTTTCAGTTCCTAAAATATCAGTATCATAGTTCTTTTCAAGGAATTCTCTGACAGTTTTTGAGTTTCTTCCACAAGTGTTAGCTTTCCATGAAGAGAATGTACCTGAAGGATCAGTTTGTGATAAGGTAGGAGTTCCGTTTGGTTCAAAACCAGCGATCAAAGTACTGATACCAAATGGACGGACACCACCACTTTGAGTGTATTTTTGTTGAACTTGAGCAATATATCGTGTAATGTAGTCAATAGATACTTGATCTTCAAATTGTAAAGCATAGCTTTGAGCATGCAATCTTGCCTTGTTAATCAAAACACGAGCATCAGCAGTCAAACCAGCAAAAGCCAATGCACAATGATCATCGATTTTTACAATTTTTCTTACGGAACGTGTTTCTTGCAACTTGGCAGCAGTTTTTCTTTCTACAGCCAAAACAACAATATCTGTTCCTCTAACACCCACAGCAGTACTACCTTTTCTCACAGCTTCCATAGCATATTCAACTTGGAAAAGGTGACCATTTGGAGAAAAGACTGTGATGGCTCTATCGTAACGGGACATGATGATGTATTATTTTTTTTAATTGTATTTTTCATACAGAGTTATTTTTATCTTTCATTCCTCTCATAAAAACAAGGAAGAAAAAAACCACCATCAAAACTGTTTGATTAACCTATGAATCAAGATCTGAAAATATTTACTTTTAATAACCTGACAAATAATCGGTATTACTTATTGTCATGTTGGAAATAAAATAAACATATCCGAGCAGCCCTGCTAGCTCAGTCGGTAGAGCGTTGGACTTTTAATCCAACGGTCGTGGGTTCGAGCCCCACGTGGGGCGGTTGAACTTTTTAGTTTTGTTTTCTTTTTCCCGCCGTTTTTGTAGTGTTTTATCTCAAACAACATTATAAAAAAATGGAAGGTTTTGAAGGCGTGACGGATTCAACAGCAAGCTCTTCAGTTCTGGAAACTTTCAGTTCGGATGCTAACTGGGTAGTAAACGAACTGGATAGAATAGCAGGAATAGATCCTAAAGATTATAAACATTTTAAAAAGAAGGGTTTGGAATTGGAGTCTTATCTTTTGAAAACTATGGAAAAGGAAGCAGGTATCACAGAACAAGGTAAACAACTCAACAAGGAGTTTTTAGAAGAAAAAAGAAAGATTAAAGAATTGGAAAAACTCAAACTAGAGAATACTCAATACATTGCAGATCTTAAAAAAGATTTAATGAAGGCAGAAAATCAAACTGCTCTTATGAACGAATCGGAGGCAGTCACACAGACATCTGTCATTGAACTCGAAAGAAAAATTGCAATTCTTGACGACCAAAAAAGAGAGCTAATTGAACAACAAAATGCCAAGGAGAGACCTATTGTTGAAAATTGTAAAAATAATATCAAACAGCTGAAACAAGGAATTAAGGAAATTGAAGAACGAAAAAAGAAGGAGGAAGAAAAAAAGATAAAACTCGAACAGGATATTGCTGCTTCAAAATATGATTTGGATAACACTCTAAAAACTCAGGGAAGAGATTTGGAAAAAACACTTCAAAGATTAAAGGAAGAACCAGAAAGAGAAAGGAGACAGACCGAAATTGTTAGAAAAGCTAGCAAGGCTTCATATGATGAAGTGAGGTCTCTTGTTGACCGACTTGATCTTCTTGATAGAGAAATTAATGAAATAGAAACCAAAAAGATAGATTTTGAACAAATTCACTATAATATGTTCATGCTTGAGGATAGTGCCAAAATTGGAGCATCTAAACTTCAAGAGGATATAGACAGAATGAGGCAAACACTTTTACTCGAGAAAGACCACGGAAAGGAGGAAATGTTGGAAAGAGTGAGATTGAACTTACTTTTAAAAACTACTGCTGAAGAGGAAAATACAGAAATCAAACACAAACAAAGTTTAGAAAACGAAGAAAACATGTACAGTCGAGATGCATATAATGCTCAACTCCAACTTGAACATACCAAATCTGCAATTGATAAGCTTACAAAAATGGTGGAGGAACTTTCTTCAGAAAAGCAAATGTTGCAATCAGAATTGGAAACTACCAAGGAGAAGAAAATTGAAATCGAGAGAGATGTAGACTTATTAATTCATGAACTTCTGACAGGGGAAGCAGAATACATGTTCTTGGCTCAAAAATTAAAAACAAGAAACCTGGAAACAGATGAATTAGAAAACAAAATTGCAGTTGTTGATGACCAAGAAGGGGAAATGAATAAGGTCATATCCAATCTTGAAGCAGCAAGAGAGAGAAAGGCTAGAGAAGCCGCCAAAAAGAAAAGAGACTTTATGGAAGCTGTGGGTGAAATCAAAATTTGCCACTTTTCAAATGGTGAGCTGTATAAGAACTTGACAGAAATTGAAAACAAGTACATTGCTTTGCAACAATCATACTCATTGATGGAAAGAGAACGAAACAAGTACGCTAAAGCAATTCAAGACAGTGCTCAATCACATGCTGAAATTAGAGAAAAGAACAAAATTTTGGAGAATGAACTTGAGGTTTTAACAAAACAAAACCAACAAAAATCGGAAGAACTCAAACAAGTTAAAAGAAAAGTTGAAGATGAAGTCACCACAAAAGCTAGCATGCTTAGTGAATTCAGTAAAAAGAGATTGGCATCCAAGCAAAAGGAGGAACAAAATCTTGAGCTCATCATGGAAATTGACAAGCTAAATGCTGATATTAACTTGGCTGAAGAAATAATGGCCCTATTGAAAAAGAAATATGAAGGAGGTGTGCAAGACAGAAACTATACTGGTATTCAATTGATCGACAGAAACGATGAATTGTGTATTCTCTATGAAAAAGCAAATGCCCAAGAAAAAATTATCAAAGAAGGTGAAATTGAAATGAGAAAGAGAGATGAGGAAATTAAAGGCCTAAAGTTGGATTTGGAAGAGGAAAAGAGAAAGTTGGAAGTGTTATTCAAAAATCTTCCAGAGTATGAATCATTGCTCAAAGTGGAAGAGGATTTGAAGGTTGATATTGAAAAACTTAATACACAAGGTCAAAAATTATCTGAAGAATTAGAAAGGCCAGAAAATTTAGAGAGGTGGAGGAAGCTGCCTGGAACAGACTCTGTCAACGAAGAAGAGTTACAAGACAAGATTCAAGATTTGGAAGAAAAACTCAATCAGAGAAGAGAACAACTCATGGAAAAGAATCTTGTTCTGAAGGGAATCACTAAATCATCTGATAAGTTAAGAAAATTGGCAATGAAAGGAAGAGATGAATCATTTGACTTGTCTGTCAATCTTAACTTTATTCAAAAGAAAATCGAGCAAACTACAAACAAGATGAAATCAACTGTTTCAGAGCTGTCAATTTATGGAACAGAAACTATGAGATTAGAAGCTGAGAATAAGCAGATAAAATCCATGGTAGATGAGGCTCGTGACAGAATGAGTCGAGGAGAACCACCAACAGAGGAAATTGAAAGAGAATGGGCACACGAGGAAGAAGTCAAACAAAGATGGAAGGAGCAAATGGCAGATAGAAAGAAGAGACTTGAATTTGAATCGTCACTTCCTTCAACTATCACAAGAACGACTGCCATTAAGAGGCCAAATGCTTACATTCCTGATGATGAATTGGGTATTCCTAAACCTTACTTCATGCCACCAGTTATTTATTCAACAAACTCTGCAAATATGAGACACATCAAGAAACCAAAAGCAAAGGATATTGTTATTTAATCCTTCTTAATTACAATTATCGTATCACCAGTCTTTTCACTCTTCTGTAAATAGGTTGACCAATTCGGTATCAACTTTTGGCAATAGAAATGGATTCAACATTGAATCAAAACAGACAGCACAATCCATTTCTAAGAATCAATAAAAAAATATCAAGATATTATCATGGTATGGAGAGGTAGTCAATTATTCATTTGGTTGGTACTTATTGTGCTAATACTGGTTGCAGGTTGTGTGATTTGTGAACAGCAAACCAACACAAATCAACCAACACTACAAAACATGTTGTTGACATCATCGGATGACAAATCGGATCTACCACAAAATCCTCTCTGTGTAGAAAACTTGAAAGAGTCTGGTGTTCAATTAATCATGTTGTGGAGTTGTTTGATTCTTTCGATGGTGGTCATGTACTTTTTACATCGTTTTCATATAGCCTGGTTTCCGGAAAGTATTGGTGTATTGTGTATTGGTGTGATTGTTGGTGTTATTGCCAAGTATGCCATTCCTTCGACATGGATTCATCATCAGGTATTTACACAACTCGATCCGGGAATTTTCTTCTCACTCCTCTTACCTGCCATTATTTTCGATGCTGGATTTACTATGGACAAGAGTGGATTCTTTGGTAATATTGGAGGTATTATATTGTATGCAGTATTTGGAACATTTATCAGCTCAGTCGTAGTTGGATGTGGATTATATATTTTGGGATATTATGGATTGAGTTTACAATTGACCTTGATTGAATGTATGATGTTTGGTTCTCTCATTTCTGCTGTGGATCCTGTGGCGACATTGGCCATTTTCTGTGCTTTGGGTGTTCCAACAACTCTGCACTATTTGGTTTTTGGTGAAAGTATTGTCAATGATGCTGTTGCTATTGTACTGTACGAAACCTTTGAGAAATTTAAAGATGCAACCAAAGATGACTTGTTGATTGTAACTCTGAAAGGAGCTGCTCAATTTTGTTATGTTTCAATTGGTTCTGTTCTTGTTGCAATTATATTTGGTGTGATTGCAGCATTGATTTTCAAATATGGAGCTCTTAGACACTCTCCAAAGTTGGAAATGTCAATTTTCTTTGTGCTTGCCTACTTTTCTTACCTGGTTTCATTGCCATACTTATCTGGCATTATGACAATATTGATTTCTGGTGTTTTAATGTCACACTATTCGGTTCCAAATCTATCAGAGCAATCATCCAATGCTCTTCTATCAACATCAAACTCTTTGGCAATGATTTGTGAAACATTTACATTCCTCTACGTTGGATTTGCCTTATTTGCTTTTGATAACAACAAGTGGCATATTCCATTAATTTGTTTCACTATTTTATTGTGTTTGTTGGGAAGATTTTTGAATATTGTACCACTTAGTGGCATATTGAATATGTACAGAACTGGAAAGATTAGTTTCAAATTCCAATTCGTCATGTGGTTTGCTGGTCTGCGTGGAGCTATTGCCTTTGCATTATCAATGCAATTAAAGAGTCATGGTGGAAATGGAGAGTATATATTTACCACTACATTGGCCACTGTTTTCTTCACCATCTTGGTATTGGGTGGTGGAACATTCCCACTATTGAAGGTGATGAAAATTAAGAAACCAGAAATTGCTCCACCAACCATATTGGACAAACAAGATCACTGGTTGGTCAAGTTGGATAAAAAGTATTTCCAAAAGTTTTTAATCAGAAAGGAAGTTCTCGAAAAGATGAATGAGGAAGAATCTAAAAAGATACAGGAATATCATGCCAAGAAAGAGGAAGAATCTAAAATGAGGCATGAATTCGATGAATATAATGAACATCATCCTCACAATGAATCAGATGAAATTGAATTACTGGCCTACAATAATGGTTCCATTCAGGATCTGCACGGAGATGATGTTATTGAAGAACAACGAGAAAAAATTTAACTAAGACTATGCTAAATCTTTTACAATATTAACTGTAAATTTAAATTATGTAAAATCTAAACTGTAACATTCTGGACTGTTAAAAAACCATCTCAACAACAAAAAGGATATTTCAAGAACGGATCATTTCCATAACAACTAAGAAGGTTACTTCAATGATATAGGTTGTAACAATCTTTCAATCGACAAACCAATCGGGTAAAACAAAACATCGTTTAACCTTTCAACCTGAATGATTATTTCATAGTGTGTTGGTACCACAGAATTACTCAACTTTAAAAAATGCATGTGGAGGTAATGGTTTAGGATATAAATGTACCACATGTAATGGCACTGGACAGAAATCTGTCAATGTGCAACCATGTTTCTGTTGTGGTGGTAAGGGAACTCAACAAGGTTTTGGATTAGGAAATCCATGCACTGCCTGTAAACAAAAGGGTGAGAAATCTTTACTAGTTCAGGCATGTTTCGGATGTGGTGGTAAGGGAACCCAGCAAGGTTATGGTTTAGGATATAATTGCACTGGTTGCAATGGCAGTGGAGACAAACCATTGAATCACATTGCTTGCCCTAAATGTCAAGGAAAGGGAAGCGCACAAGGTTATGGACTAGGTTATGCCTGCAGTAATTGTGCTGGAAAAGGTTCTTTGGTCAATTCAGCCACTCCTAAACTTGATTCAAACATTCCATTTTCAATGTATGCTGGAAATACTGTTGGTGCTTCATTTACTGGACATAATCTTGTTGAAATTGCTGGAACGAGTCAAGAATTTTCAGCAATTAGAGAATTGTTACAAACCCAATTGGGAAGTCATCATCACGTTTATAGAATTGAGAAAATTGATAATCCAACTCTGAGAAAGGCGTTCATTGTAAAGAATTCTCAACTTGTCGATTCCAAATCTCCAACAACTTTCAAATTCAAAGGAGCTGTTCAGTTGAACAGTGTGGTTTCAGATGGTTTCTCATTAGAAAATGGAAATTATGGACAAGGAATCTACCTCTCCGATTGTTCCAAAATTCCACAAAACAGTCAGGGAAGAATTGTCTTGTGTGAAGTGGCCATTGGTAAATATTTAACCTGCTCCACACCTCAACCAAGATTGAATTCGTCCATTTTGAATCAGTGTGACTCAATTTTTGCAACTAGCACAACTGGTGATGATCAATTGGTTTTCTATGATAAGAATCAAGTATTGCCAAGATATATTGTTGATTTTTCTTGCTAATCATATTGTTTATATTTGTAAATAAATGTTGTACATTACCAACAGTTTCCTGTTCATTGGGGATATTATTTAATTATGTATTAATGCTATCTCTGATTTAATATATAATATAAGGCCAGTAATTAATTAAGGTTTGAAAAACTGTAAGCAGCAGCGATAGATCAGTTGGTTAGATCGTAAGCCTAACACGCTTAAGGTCGCGGGTTCAAGCCCCGCTCGCTGTAGCCTTTTGCTTGTTTTTGCTATCTTAATAGTAAAGATTTATTAAATATGTTGGATTCTTTAAAAACAATTTTCTTTGGTTAAAGAATTAAATGGAAGCAGGCGTAGCTCAGAGGAAGAGCATCGGACTTCGAATCCGAGGGTCGTGGGTTCGAGCCCCATCGTTTGTATCCTTTTTTTTACTTATTTCTCTGCGGATGAGATTCTTTTTGGCTTGCTTTTCTCGTCGCACATGTTTTAGCTCATTTCTTGCTCTAGTATCTTTCTGAGGTGTGTAGTTTGCAGTAATGACAAATATACTTCTCACATCCAAAGGAGCTCGAAGGCGGATGAAAATTCTGAAATTGATCGTATTTCAGAGCCGTAGTGTGTTCCTCAAATTTTACAATCATCCATGAATGCTGCTGCTTGGATAACAATTAGAATCAAGCTGAGGTGGCAGTACCAGAAGAACATCGGCCATTTTCCTATAAAAACACACCTGTAAGCAAGTTGAAATTTACCCAAGCGCTTAAAAACCAAATCAAAAAAATGTCTTGTATTGATATCAGAGGAGTTGCTAGTTCTCATCCAACTAAAGATCATTTAGCACCAAGACCAGGTGATGATGTTGTTTCTTCCGAGTGGATGGAATTCATCCTCAAGGATAAACAAGTCATTCCTCAAGAAGGTGTAAAGGTTTCCAATGTTGTTGTGGAAGAATTGGGTGAAAATAGAGGATTCAATGGTGTGATGAGAAGACTTGTCGTTTCTTATGAAGGAAATAATGCTACTGAAACTCTTCCAACCACTTTCATTCTCAAGAGAAGTGATGCCAGTGAACAAGGTAGACAAACTGTTCTCTCATGGAAGCCACACAGAGAGGCTCTCTTTTATGCAAGTGACTTGTTAGAAAAGGTTGTTGCTGGACCAGCTCCTCATGTCTTGTATGCCTATGGAAACGGTCAAGTTGGTGAATATGTCATCTTGATGAAAGATTTGAAGAAACCTCAAACTGTTGGTTTGAACATTGTTTTTGGAAATCAAATTTGGGGTGTTGGTAAATATGACTTTGAATTACCACAACCTTTGGACATGTTGAAGGAAATGTACCTCAATATTGCCAAGATTCATGCTTCCAATTGGAATAATCGTTCCTTGTTGCAATATGAATTCTTGAAGGCTGCCAAATTCTACAATCAACAAGATAGAGAATTGTGGGAAGAAGGTATGGCCAAAACAAGAAAGGGATGGGAAACTGCCAAGAAGAGAAGTAGTGAGAGCACTGTTTTCAAGCTATCTGAAAAGTTGCTTAATGTAATTGAAAAATCAATGGAAAAGGCTTCTTGGGAATCTTTCCAAGAATCAATTAATGCTGAACCATTTGCATTGTGTCATGGAGATTTCCATGGTAGTAATTTCCTTATTGATGTTGCTACAAAGAAGATTGACGCATTGGATTGGACTGAAGTTGGTCTCTGCACTCCAACCACTGATTTGGTTCAAACTTTGATTTCTGATATCAAGCCAGAATTGTTCGTTCAACATTCAAAGGAATTGGTTAGATTGTACTGGGAAGAATTGGTTAAGAATGGAGTTTCTGAAACTGAATATCCATTCGAAAAGTGTTGGACTTCATTCTGTAAGGATGGTGTTGAACGTTGGATTTGGTTGTTGACAATTTGTTGTGAAATGACTCAAGTTCCTGATGTTCTCCTCAATTACTTCAACGACCAAATCTTGGCCTTCATTGAAGCACATGGTGATCTTGAATATTATGTCATGAAAACTGTTGTTTAATAGATTTGTGTTTATAATAGGTCTATAAATCTATAAAAACAAAATATTTACAAATTAAATAGACAATAATATTGATCATTGTTACCAATCGTCGTCATCAAAATCTGACTCATCGTCATCATCGTCAAAAAGACGTAATGAACTAGGAGGATTACGTGATGGAAAACTAACAGCTGCACCAATGCGTGTGGTTACTGGTCTGGTAACAGGTCTAAGCGTAAGTGGTAGTGGCGGAGGTGGAGGTGGTGGAGGTACAGAGACAACATTAGGAACACGTGGAATATTCTTAGCCTGATCACAAATCATTAACAATTCGCCAAGACTTAATGTCCTCTCCTTGTTATCCTTGGCCCATTCACAAATAATTCTAACAATGTCAGACAAGTCCAAATTGTGATAAAGAACTCGTTCAATGAGGGCAACCATTTGAGCAAATCCAAACTCTTTAATTCCCTCATTTACAATCTCATAATTAATTGGTAAATTTCCAATAATCTTTAATTCGAGAGTGTTTTGCATCTCGGTGATATTAGAATTATCCCAACTCGAACGTCCAAAATTTGGAATCAATAATAAATCTCCATACATTCTAAAATATATACTATCATTTACACTTGAATCAATACTTTTAACAACATAACATAAGGTTGAGTAAAATTCCAATTTTAACAACCATCTAAAAACTTGTGTAATAATCTCCTCATTCCTCAAAATTGGACTCATAGTACCCGATTCATATACAAAATTGAGAGCAATTTCAATTGCCTCACTACTAAATTCACTACAAGAATCAGATGATGATAAATTAAACAATATTTTCGAATCCAGTTCCCTCTCATTAGGATGTTCCATAAAATAACGTTTGAACAATCCTGATTGACACAATATAATCCTATGCAATGGTATTTGATCTAAAGTTACATCGGATAAACTAACAAATCCTCTACCGAATCTGCAGTGATCTTGTAGTGGATGAGAAATTGGAACACATGACGGTGGTGGTGGGATGGTCGATGTGTGTGATAACATTTTTTTTAAATAGTACCAACAAGTTCTGATTTACTGGTTTTACAAAATACTTCTAGCTGGAACTTAAGATAAATTAGACAGTAAATTGATTATATTAATTAATGTTTAGAAACTCTTGAGATTAGTTGACATTAAATATCTAATAATTAAACTTTTAAAAATATTCATCCATCCCTCTTCTTATTAAAACCTATACTGAAGCTAATAATTCCAAAGTTCTTCTTCTTGTTTTTTTTCGCTTTATTGTGAGCTTGAAGTTTTTTTGCCCAATACATTGGCAGCAGCAGAAAGAATTAATGGTCTTTCATAAACAACACTATTGGAAATAGCTGTAGGGATGAGGCCATTAGGACAAGCAAGACCACTGAATACAGCATGTAAATCACCATTTTCCAATTCAGACAATTTGAAAAATGTGAAGATGTTTGTTCCTCTTACGCCAGTTGACTTGTCACAAGGGAAAGATCCATCAACAGAAGTGGTAACAAGAATGAAAGAATTACCCTCACGGAAATGATGTTCAACATAGAGGAAATCACGATCAGAAACCATCATGCCTTAATTTCGATTAATTATATTCTTCAATCGTATAATGACATTACAACTTACTTGGTGAAGCAGCAACATAATATCTAATTTTGTAAGATCCACTTTCATCAGTAAATGAATCCAAATCTTCAAAAGTACGAGTCTTTGGATCAATCTTTTTTCTAGTATTCAAATCCTTGACGATCAATAAGTCAATATAATCATCAGCTTTGCAGTCGTGGATAGTAACTTCTCCTCTGACGATGGTTCCTCTCTCATCATCGGCCTTACTAATGGCAACATTATCCTTCGTGCTATGATAGGTAAATTTATCTGAAGTGAGACTGAGAGCAAGCTTGTAGGCAGCTTCCCACTTTTCCTTAATTTCTTGTTTGTTCATGTTGTTGAGGGAGGATGAACTCGTGTTTTTTTTACTGTTGAGAAATATCTTCTCCTTAGTGAATCATTCGATTATTGATCGGAAAATTTAATTGTAATATTGATTTAAATTGAAAATAATTAATATAAAATAATAATAATTATGCAACATAAATATTGGTAAGCATAAATACTTGAAGCGCAATTTTTAAATTTTTAAAATTAAAAAAATGTCCTTCAATTATGTTTCCTACGCTTACAAGCCTACCACAATTGGTTGTTCGGCTTCCGGAAACTTTACATCACCAAGTGATATCAATTTAATCATGTGGTAGGTTGATGATTTTTGTGATCGTGTGATATTAATATTGGAAATAGTAAAAATCAATATCTTCAAGTAAATAGATTGAGCGAAGAAGGTGTTTCTTCCGTGGTTGAATTTGAAGCACCTGGAAGAATTGATACCATGTCTTTATTCAGACCATCAGTATGTTTGTTAAAACTATAATTTTTAATATTCATCATGATATTATTAGGGAGAAAAACAAGATTTACTTTTTATTACAATTGAAGATACATTCTTTACACTTGGATTTATTGATGGGAAAATAGAAACACTTTCCAGTGGTTCCATAGATGACCCTGTCGGAAGAAGAAGTGAAAGTGGCTCCATCACAACAATTGATCCTCTCTGTCGTGCTGTTGCACTCTCAATATATGAAGGATTGTTAAAAATTATTCCTTTCGAAAATAACAAACATCAATTTAAAGAGGCTTTCAATGTTAGATTGGAGGAATTGAATGTTATTGATATTGCCTTCTTAGAAAGTTTAGGATCAAAATCCAAATCTGGACCTACTTTTGCTTTACTCTATCAAGACCATGTTGGATCAAGACATGTTAAAACGTATGAAGTTAAAACTCTTGACAAGGACATGGAAGAATCATCCCTCAATCAATTAAATGTTGATCATGGAGCCAATATTTTAATTCCAGTCCCTGCTCCTTTGGGTGGTGTAATTTGTGTTGGAGAGGCTCAAGTTTCATACATTAACGAATCTAATAAGAATCATTCCGTGGCATCTCCAGCCAACTCACGTATGGCTATCCGTTCTTATGGAAAGTTAGATAATACTAGATGGTTTTTGGGTGACCAATCGGGTCAATTATATTTATTAAGCTTACAAGTTTCTGATAGCGAAGTTACTGGATTGACTCTTAAGGAGCTCGGAGTTACATCAATTTCATCATGCATTTCTTACTTGGATAATGGATACGTTTTTATTGGATCAAATTATGGAGACTCACAAGTCATACGGATTAGTGATGAATTGAACCCAGAAACCAACTCATACTTTGAAGTTTTCCAAACCTATTCTAATATTGGACCTATTGTAGATTTTTGTTTTGTTGATGCCGATAAACAAGGTCAAGGTCAAATTGTTACATGTTCAGGTGCCTTTAAGGATGGTTCACTCCGAATTATCAAGAATGGTATTGGTATTGAAGAATTGACCACCATTTCTGATTTGGTTGGTTTAAATCGTATATGGTCCCTTAAAACTGAAACTGGAGAAGAAAAGTACCTCGTCATGTCTTTTACCGGACAAACTCTTATTTCCTCAGTTGATAACGAAGAAATTGGAGAAGCTAAGATTCCTGGTTTTGATGTGGATTCAACCACTGTATTGTGTGATACTGTTATTGGAAATAATTACTTGCAAGTTACCGATAAAACTGCAAGATTAGTAAGCTCTCATACTTTGGAATTGATTGATGAATGGAAACCGTCAAGTGGCACCATCAGTCTTGCTGCATCAAATCCAACTCAATTGGTAGTATCCCTTGGTGAAGGAAAACTTGTATATATTGAAATTTCTGCTCAATCATTGAAACAAATTCAACAAACTAAATTGGATTATGAAGTTTCTTGCATTGACATTAGTCCTGAAGAAGGTAAAATATCATCTACTGTTTGTGCAGTTGGTATGTGGACAGAAATTTCTGTCAGAGTATTGACACTTCCATCTTTTGACATTCTCACTGTTCAAGAATTGGGAGGAGAAATTTTACCGAGATCCATTTTAATGCCAACCTTTGAAGGTATTAATTATTTAATGTGTGGCCTTGGTGATGGTCATTTGTTCACTTTCAAAATGGATAGAGGTATGGGCATTTTGACTGATAAGAAGAGAATTGTTGCTGGAAGTAAGCCAATCATGTTGAGACCATTTATTTCCAAGGACAGACAATTGAACGTATTTGCTGCCTCTGAGAGACCAACCATTATTTACAGCAGAAATCAAAAACTTGTATATTCTAATGTTAATTTGGGAGAAGTTAATGATATGTGTTCATTCAATCACGAAAGTTTCCCATTCCACATTGCCATTGCTAATGAAAATTCCATCCTCATTGGTCAAATTGATGAAATTCAAAAACTTCACATTAAGACTGTCCAATTACACGCTCAACCAACTAAGATTTGCCATCAACCTTCAACCAAGGCTTATGGTCTTTTAATTACTCAGTTCGAAAACCCAGAAACTAGTGCCATCTTCTCCTTGGATGAAAACAACTTTGAGAAAAAGTCAGAAATCCGTCTTGAAGGTAATGAATTAGGTCAATCCATTATTTCATGCAAGTTCACAGATGACGATAATGAATATTTTATTGTTGGTACAGCAATTACTGAAGGTGATGAAGAGGAACCATCAAAGGGAAGAATTCTCGTTCTTCAAGTTCAAGATGACAAACTCGTACTAAAGGCTGAAAAAGATGTTAAGGGAGCTGTCATGGTTCTCCACTCATTCAATGGAAAATTATTGGCTGGTGTCTCTGGTAGACTTATGCTCTTCAAATGGGCTGAATCTGATGATGGTGATAATAAGGATCTCGTCCAAGAATGTTCATGTAGTGGAGGTATCTATATTCTTGATATTGATAGTCATGGAGACTTTATTCTTATTGGTGACATGATGAAATCTGTACATTTATTCGTTTATGAAAATCCAGAAGAACAACATGTCTCTGGTAATCTCAGACTCATTTCTAAGGATTATCAATACTCTTGGTTAAGTTGTTCCCTCATGCTCAATGAGAGTGAATATGTTGCTGTTGATCAACAAGGAAATATGATTACACTTAAAAAGAATGATGAGGCTGCCTCTGAAGAAGAAAGAAAACAACTTGTTCGTGTCGGCAAGTATTACTGCTCTGATCGTGTAAATAGAATTCAACCTGGATTTATTGGAATGAGATTTGGTGCTGAATCATCCCTTCCTGGACTTGACCAAGCCAATTCATCCTCTGACATTAATACTCAACCTGTAAAGACTGCTCTCTTTGGTACCATTAGTGGTGGTATTGGTGTTTTGGCTCAATTACCTCCAGAGACTTTTGCATTTGTGACAAAGATTCAAAAGGCTATGAGTAGTGTTGTGACTGGTCTGGCCAATATTTCTCGTGAAACCTATCGTCAATACAGATCGGAGAGAACTAGAGAAGACTCGGTTGGTTTTATTGATGGTGACTTTGTGGAATCCTTCTTGGAATTTGATTTTGAAACTCAACAACGAGTCATTGAAGAATTGTCGAATAATCATCAAGAACAAATCACTTTGGAAGAACTTGTTAAGAATATTGAAGATTTGTCTCACTTGATCCACTAAGATAATCCTAAAGTCTTTCCTCAACATAGAACCAAATAAATATTATTAAATTAAAGAGATTTGTTTAATTACGTATTGTATCTCAAAGACCTCGAGACAACTAAAATGGTTTTTCTTAGCTTAACACTGATTGTGAAAATATTGACAAAATAACGTCTCCAAATTGTGTTAACTATCATTTCCATACTAACTCCATATTAAAATCACCAATGTTCATCAACTACTAGTTTTTATAATTTATATATTTTATTAGATTGGTTGATTTAGAAGAGACCACCGAAACCCATTTCTTCTTCTTCTTCTTCTGGTTCTGGCTTCTTTTCTTCAACGGCAGCAGCGGTAGCTGGAGCATCAGTAGAAGCAGCAACAGCGGCACCAGATGAAGCTGATCCACCAATGTTGGACAAGATGTCAGAAACTGGGTGCTTGCTGAAGAATTTAGCGAAGACGGAAGGCCAGAATGGTTCGACGGTAACACCAGCAGCTTCAGTCAAAGTCTTGATCTTATCAGCAGTGATGTTGATACCTTCGTCGTGGAGGATGAAAGCAGCATAAGTGCAAGCCAATTCATCGACTTTATCCTTGGTGTAAGTGGATGGGAGCATTTTGAGATATTTTTTTCAGAAACAATTTTTAAAAAGTTGGGGTTGGCCTTGACGACTGGTAGTTTACAATGAAATATTTATTGCTGCTTCGCAACCCTACTAGGCAAAAGAAAACCATCACAACAGACACAAATATTGTTTGCTTTGGAGGCAAATACATTAAATATTCAACATGGAATTTGTAGTATAATTCGATATTGAACAAGTAAATTGTTCCTATTGCATATCATTTTCATAATTGAAGTTATTAATTATTATTGAAGACCTTGAATCACTCTAGGAAATACAATATTCATCACTGATGAATAATTATTTTCAGCAGACAAACATCGGGAAATGATGAAAAACAATTTTCTTACCATATTCTCCACAACTCCACATTGAAGAATAATATTTTAGGTTGATGAAAGAGGGATTGCATACAAACATCAAAAACTTGGTAACAGAACCAAAGTCCACTTGTATGAATTGAACTTGAAGTTATTCGATGGCTATTCAAATTAGCAGCACACATTCACTGTATTCATTGTTTTGGGGTTCATTAATAAGTGTGGTATTGAATAGTTTGTACATGAGGTCTGACCTATTTTCATTCGAAATGATGAAGTGAATACCATTTAGCAGAACAGCAATGCAAAATTGGCCCTTTTCAATTAATTCATTGCTGTGAATAGTAGGTTTACATGATCAAATTCAACCGGTGCAGGCCACCATTTATACAGTATTTCTCTTAATTAATATTTTACCTATTTGGGTATTGTGGATCATGTGTGTTATCAAAATGAATGGAATTTTTATGGGTGTGCACTATATCTAATTACTATTACAAGGAGTGGTGGCGTTGGTGGAGACTTGGTCAAACAACTGCAAAACAAAATTCACAACTCGAACCTTCTTTCCAATTTCAAGTTAGAAGAATCCTCTTTTTATACTAAACATTACTACTACTAGCCAAACAATGAAAGGAACAGTAATTGACTTTATTGATATGACAAATGTAGCAAAGATCAAGTCCCAAAAATCTTCATCTAAACATAACAAACATGACGAGAATGCACCTCCTCCAAGCTCATACAAAAGTAGAAGAATTCAAAAATCCCTTAGACATGACAATTTTCTTGTTAATTACTTTGTATTTTCTGGTTATGATTTACATTAAAGCTGATAGATAAACTTTTTCTTCTTCTTTTTCTTACTCTTAGAGTTGGTATTTACTCTCTTGATGGCACCCTCCTTGATGGCTCTCTTCACTTCAAATTCCTTCATTACATCTTCGTATCTGCCTTGCTTAAAGTGACGAAGAGTTGGAGCGTACTTGAGATCGGATTCAGTGAGAGTTTTAGTTTGCTCAACCTTTTGCTTAATCTTATTGAAACTTTCAGAGAAGGCAGAAACCATCTTGGCATCCTCTTCACTTTGCTTCTTTTTTTCACTCTTCTTTTGCTTGTTGGAGAGAATTTCGAGTGCTCTCTTCTTTGAGATTTCTTCCACACGTTTCATTTCCTCACCAAGATTTTCCATTGCAGTATCATTCCATGGCCCTGGAATCTTTCTGTGTTCAACTTTTTGGGAGATGAATTGTTCAACTGATTTGATAAAATGTTCCTCATTGAGTTCGACCAATCGACCACCAATTTTGATGAGAATTGGTGTCTTGGAGATGAATGAGAAGGCTAAACCTTCATTACCTGCTCTACCTGTTCTACCAACACGATGGACATAATCTTCTGGTTTGGCAGGAACATCATAATTGATAACACAAGGCAAATCAGGAACATCGATACCTCTTGCAAGAACATCAGTGGCAATTAGAATTTGACACTCTCCTTCTTCTTGACTTGAAAATGATTTGATGGCATTAGTTCTGAATGATAAACTCTTTTCCTTATGAATACCAACAGCTTTGTATCCTCTCGTGGCAAGATTTTGTGCCAATCTTTCAACCTTTTCTCTCGTTCTGCAAAATATGAGTACCTTCTTATCTCTCAAGGAACCTTTTCTCTTGAGAAGATAGAGCAGTAACTTGAATTTCATTTCCTTCTTGCTTACAGAGTACTTGATGTGTTTGATCTTTTCTGGAATACTAAATTCTTGATTCAAGTTGAAGAGGGCATGTGTTGGAGCAAATCTACAAATGAGATCCTCTACATCCTTGGTAAGAGTTGCAGAGTACATGGAAATTTGCATTTCATCTCTTTCATTACTTGGCTTTGGAAGGTGATTGTAAATATATTTGAGTTCTGGTAAAAATCCCATGTTTAACATTCTATCACACTCATCCAATACCAAATAACGAACATCATTCAACTTTAAATCGTCATCCTTCTTTAACAATTCCACAAGTCTACCAGGGGTGGCAATGAGAATATCCAAACCATTATTAATTGTTTTCAATTGTGTAATTTTAGAGGCACCACCAAATATCAAACCAATCTTGAATTGGAAATTTTCATCAATTCTCTCCTCTTGTTTCATGACTTGTAATGTATAATTCACATAGTTATTAATATGTTCAGAAACTTGTTCAGCCAACTCTTTAGTTGGACACAAAATTAAGCTGTAAATTTGTTTCTCTCCAGGTGGAGCCAATCTTCTTCTCATTCTCTCAGTAATTATTTTTTGAATTATTGGAAGAGAATAGGCAGCAGTTTTACCAGTACCTGTCTTTGCACTCGCAACAATATTACTCTTTTTCAATCCTTTTGGAATGGTACTATTTTGAATTTCGGTTGGTTCTGTAAATTTCATATAATGTACCAATGCTTTACAGATAGGTCCCATTAAATTGAGTTTGAGGAATTTTGAATAGGCTTCAGTAGCTTCTTTACTTTGAAGAAATGGATCATTGTGTTGTGAAGAGGTCTTCTTGGAAATACTTTTCACTCCTTCTTCTTCTTCTTCGTCATCTTCCAAAAGTGAGTGTGATGAAATACCTCTAGATTTCCCTTGCCTTTTCTTTTGTTGATCCAATCGAATCAATTCACTCTCCAAATACTTTTCCGAAAAGTCTTTGAGTGAACTTGTATTAATTGTAGAAAAATTAGAAACCACTTGACTAGTTGATCCTATTATTATACTATTATTATTCGCCACCATTCTAGGTCCACACTGTATCCAGCAACAAGTTGAACCTCTCTTCCGAAGTACTCCCTTCACAAACGAAGATGAAAGTTGATTCCGAAATGAGTTGAGCATTTTTTTTTCAATCAAAATTAAATTAGAAGCTAGAAATGAAATTTTTCATCATTAAATTGCAACAACAACAATTAAACCCTCTCCTTGATTCTGATAATTGTTCTGATCGGAATACCTCGATTATTATCATCATGAATTGAGGGAATTAATAACAACAATCAAAATGTTTGCAAGATTAGAAAAAAATGTTCAAGTTTCAACATCAAAAAAAATTCATTCATCAAAGTTGTTGTTCTTTTCTATTGTCGCAGCAGAAAGGGAGTAATAATAATATTTGTGGTCGGCAATATTATCCATATCAAAAACAACATCAACATAAAATTGTAACAACAAGAATCGGAGAAGGAATTGGATTTGAAAATTCAATTAGAAATTTCAAAGGAAATTATTATTTGGAAATATTCAAGAGTGCTATTGGTGCTATTGGAAGAGAGTTTCATTCATCTTGTTTAAATTTAAGAAAACCTACTGCTAAGAAATTAAGAGAAATGGAATTGGGAATTGATGGAAAAATTGATTTGAAAAATTTTGAAGGCTTGGAACAAATTTATAATACGAGTTATAGGAATACAATTGATTTTCTAACAGAAGATGCTATAATGAATCAAGAATTGGGAAAAGTAGATAAGAAAGAAGCCATTGCAAAGTTTTCACATGAGGAATTACAGAAATATTTCGTATATAACAACTTGTATGAAAAATTAGTAGAAAGTGCAGATACTAGATGTAAATATTGTTGGATGCATTTCAATCATTGCCTATGTGGAAAGCTGAAGCCATTTACATTTAATCCACATTGGGAAAAGGTGGTAGAATCTCAGACTGTTGACGTGAAAAAGATTGAACTCAATCTTCATTTACATTTTCTCATTCACAAGAAGGAGTTCCACAAGTCGACAAATAGTTGTAAAATTCTCTTGCACAGTGACCAAGCTCAAACAACGAACATGTACATTGAACAACATGATATGCATGAACATGCCATTGATAGTCTTGTTGAGATGACCAAACAACCATCGGCAAATCATTTTGCCTATGTTCTGTATCCGTCAGATGATTCCACAACAATAGGTGAAACATTACCAAAGGAATTGGATTCATTCTATTCCAATCTTAACAGTGCAGTGAAGGAAAGACTTTCAGATGTTAATGATTTCCATTTTCACATGTTTATTAGTAAGTTTTAAAATTCTTCTATCACAATTGATTTCAATCTCATTTTCTCAGTTGATGGTACTTGGAATGACGCAAGAATGCTCAATAGAAAAGAAAGCTTTAAAAATTTAAAGAGAATCAGAGTGGATTTACCAGAAGATTATAAATATGTGTTCCGTCTAGTACGTGCAGGAAAGGTAGAGGGAAGAATTTCCACTATTGAGGCAGTAATGCTTTTATTGAGAGAATTTAATACCATACTACATCAGAAATTGCACTCGAACAAAGTGGTATGACACTGAAAGAAAGTGAAACAGGAGAAAATTTTGAACCAGCAATTGAATCTGTTTATGAAAATTTAGAAACAATGATGGAAATTTCAGGTGTAAAATACAGACGTCACGGGTTGAAACAAAAATTGGAAACCAAGTATGGATATAAAGGGGGCGAGGATTAGAATGAGTGAATGGAAGATTGATTATATCCCACATTCAGGAGGAGTTGTTTTGTAGAGTTACAGAAATCATCAGTTCCACAAATAAGGAATAAACTATTCGACAAATTGCCAACCTTATCCTTCAAGTAGTCTTGATCCATTCTACCTGTACTATATCGCACATTTTTAGATGTATCACTTGCACTCTTGGCAATATCTTCTGGTGTTTCTCTACTGATTTTGTGTTCCACAATAAAATCAAAATTGTTGTTTGACACTTCCTTAGAAAGCTGCGTCAATTCCTTTTCAAAAATAGCGTCCTGTAATGTCTTGTTGCCATATAATAGAGTCATATTTTTCAATTTCATAATGGTACCTTCTTCTCTTTCTTTTGCAACATGCTTAATCATTTGATACATTGGAGTAATTCCACTTCCAATACAAATCATTATTAAATTATCACTATTGGTAATTCGTGTTGCAAAATCCTCCATTCCAAACGGTCCTCTTGCAGAAAGAACATCTCCAATTTTAATTTTGGCTAATCTTTGTGACATTTTTCCTTCTGGGTATAATTTGACAGTCAACTCAAAATATCCTCTATTATTCACATTTGTTGGAGTGTATTTTCGAACTAAAAGAGAATTTTCAGAAGTTTCATCTGGAAATGCAATTTGAATATGTTGACCTGGCTTTAGAGGAAGATATTCTCCAATTACTGGTAATTTCATTGTGAATACTTTTGTGTCATGTGTAATATTCTGAACCAGCATGACCTTATAATTCATAAATAATGATGTTGATACGACAGCCATTGGCTTCTTTTCCACTTCTACTTGTGTTTTAACTGGTTCCTTAAATCCACTCGAACGATTCTTCATATTATACGGATTAACTTGTTCCACTTTTCCAGAAGGTATCGAAAATGGAGACAATAAGTTATTTGGAGAAGTGACAGGTACTGCCGAATTGGCTGACAAATTTCTTCTATAACTCGATGATGATGGAGCTTGAGCCAATTCTCCAACCTTGTATCGTTTAAGAATATTCCTAGCCTTTGGACTATGAAACATGGCTTCAAAATCACTCGTACAATCTTTTCCAGCACTCTTCATCATCAGAGGAACACCTCCGGGATGTTCATTCAAATAGTGAGTCACATCATAGACCAAACCATGACAAATCATCCAACAATCTTGTTCCGTACAGTGCTCAGCAACCTGTTCTCTGGTAAAGTATTTAGTGGCGCCACTATCATTCTCCGTCGATGATGGAGAAGAAGAATTTGATGTTGTTGGAACGAGTGGCATGGACCGTGATTTGGGTGGAAACATTTTTTTTGATGTTTTATTAATAAATTGTTATCAACTACGGTTTTCCATTTTCCTAAATAGTGAGAAGAATCATTGAGAATCAATCAATTAATGGAGTGTTCATATGTTGAAAGAATGGATTGGGAGAATATTGTTGAGGAAGAGGGTTTAAAATGTTTGTGTTTCGTCTCTTCTTGTTGTAAAGATGATTGAGTTCTTGTCGGATGATCTTCTTACTAGGACACTTTGCATGACCATGGAGGAGGATTGGGGAGTGCCAAGAAGATTCTTTGGTTCGATTGTTATTGAGGGACATTTGAGATCTGTAATCTTGACTCTATATAGTTGACCAAGCTCATCACCAAATAATAAACTTAGCATGTCCTTGTCCTCTCTTTCTAACCTTAATGCAAGAATGGAAGTAATCACCCTGTGGATTGGTAAATTAATAATAATCTTTCCATAATTTGCAAAGTTATCATTTGAATAATAAATGGAAAAGTAATCAATTCCAGAAATTGCAATTACCTTAACAGTTTCCCTGTCTATTAACAAGTCGCAGAATGATAATGCACAAGCACATGAATTGATTGCAATACATTTGATAGTTTCAATCTCTGAGGTTACACTTTCTAACGTTCTCATTGTTGTCAACCTACACACTTGCAATACACCATCCGTTCTTGCAATATACAGCAATGAAGAGTTCGTATTTGAGCTCCCAATAACCATCATGGTATTAGATTCTTCCTTAACCTTTAAGATTCCAATAGATTTGTGGCCCTCAAAATTGGGAAATGGTTGATGGGCAACAAGTAATTGATCCTGATTGCTTAACATCAATGTGAATACATGGAGACTGCCATCATAACATCCAACTATAATACTATTCATAATGAGATTACTACCTCTAAATTGATTCACATCAAGACAAGAGACATTACTAGAAGATGGAACCAGAAATGATTCGATTTGATTAAACACTCGAATATTGTCATTCAAGCCTTCTAATAGAATAATCAACATATTGTCTGATCTTGCAAGAATCATCAATCTTCTATTAGAAATCAATCCGAAAGCACACGAAACATATCTAAAGCCTTCTCCTTCCTTCAGCCTCAACAAATAGCCATCCCTATTAAAATTCTCTACAATTACCTTTCCATCCGAATAGCATTTACAAATCAATTCATTCTCACAATTCGAAAGTGAACAATCAAGCCTTGGTATTTTAATACTCGATGATGAAACAAATTGATCAGTAGATTCTTTGAGAGAATTACACAAACATGAAATGTAAGGAAGATGTGATTTCATTTTTTTTTGAGGGAAAGAATTGAGTGGCAACAAGACCACCACATTTTCATCTAAACTTTGAGAATTTTGGCGGGAATGATCTTAATACATAAGAGACCCATTGTTGAACAAATGAAAGAATTACTATTCCAAAGCATACAACCAACATTTAAGATGAAAAAATCTTTCAAAAATCTATTGAAATTCACAATCATCAAAAATTATCCAACCCACCTCAACCAATCACTCAATCACAAAACATGAAGATTTTGGCCTTTGTTGTTGCCCGAATCAAAAAAGCGACATGCTCGATGCGTCCAAAACGAGTGAACTGTAAAAAAAATGTCCCTTCAAACTTTGCAGAGTTTCAGGAGCAACAAGTCGCAAACAGTCTTGCTGATGAGCATGATGGTGGGTGTGATGGTGGTGTGTTGTTGCTTGGATGTTGTATTGGGAGGATTGCAATCAGTAAAATTATTACAAGTACAGATGGTATCGAGACATTGTGATAGAACAACAATTCATGAGAATGATTTTGTTCCGACAGACCCATTCAATTGGTATGATGTGTTTGGATTGAAGGAGGGGCAGTTAACTGGACTTGGACAACAACAATGTAATCACATGGGAAATGTATTGTATGGAAGATATTTGAATGAATCATCTAGTTCTAGAATTGATGGAATTTCAACCAATTACAATCAAACAATGTATTATTTTAGATCGACAGATGTTGATAGAACAATAATGTCAATTTGGAGTGCTTCTATGGGATTATTTAAACAAGGAACTGGATATCAATCAATTGTTAATCCTTCTGAACCATCTCTTGGATTTGCATTACCTAATGGAACACAAGCTATTCCAATTCACTCTGAATCGAAACCACTTGATGCTACGTTGAGAGGTTTTGAATTATGCAACAGCGTCGAACAACGTACCAAAGATGTTATCAACACTCAAGAGTATAAGAATACCATTAGCAAGTATAGAACTTTTATTGATGATTTATACAAGATTACTGGTTGGAGTGGTAGACCAGATACTGATTTACATATTTTGTTTGATTTGTTGCAAACTCAATATTCTCACAAAGTATTGAAATTACAATGGGTTATTGATAATTGGTCAACTTTGGAGAGCTTGAGAAACGAATTATTGAGATTGAATTTCAGCTATTATGTGATGGGAAGGGAAGGAATGAGTATGTTCAATAAGAATTTACTCAAAGTCATGCACGAAAAGAAGGACAAGTATGTGCACTATAGTGCTCACGATTCAACCATGTAAGTAGCAGCAATATTCATCATCAATTTTCGAATGTTTCAAATTTCTAGTCAAGCAATTTCTGGAAGCTTGAAGCTTGTAAATGATTACCAACAAATGGGTGGTCATCCACCATATGGTTCCAATTTAGGATTTGAGTTGCATCTTATGAGTGATGGTTCAAAGGCAGTAAGATTAGTTTACAACCACGGATACGATGATGATAGTTTTACACCACTCACTTTGAAGAGTTTGGGCTGTCCAGATGAATTTTGTCCACTTACCACTTTTGAAAAGGTCCTTAAAGCCAACTCTATTGTAGATGATTGGTGTCTAGTTTGTGGAAACTATAATTTGGAAGTTTGCTCTGGTAAATACGAACGTGGAAATGCAGAAGTAACAACAGCATTCATTGTTATCACTCCAGTCCTTGTGGTCACTAACATTATCACATTATTTGCCTTCATCTTCTTTTATTTAAGATCCAGACAAAGAAAGTATGCCTACGGCTCTCTAAATAATTAAACTCACTCTTTTTGCTGACCTTGTAACACAGTTCAATAATACATGAATACATGTGTGTTTGTTCCATGGAACATGAAACTGTATGTTCACAACAAACATGTCAACCAAAAAAAAGTCACCAATTAATGGAACGTAATATTGCCAAAAGAAATTCAAATCAGTACATGGCTACCAAAATGGCATCAGTTTCAATTGTGTTCACTAGAGGGTGGGACATTCCATAAATCTAAAACTAAAAAAACAACAAAACTTTGTGGTATCCAACACATGACCCAAAAAGAAAGAGATGAGGATCGCAATGCAAAGGACGACTCAAAGAATGACAAGGGAGTGATAGTTGACTTGGAGTTAGACGAGGATCAAGGACATGCTGTTATTATTCATCATGACCACCAAACTCCTCCAACAACAACAACTTCAACAGCAGTGGCCACTACACAAATTCTCACATCTATGAATCAGCTGCAACAAGAACAAGAACCAACAACAAGAATACAACAATCAAACAACTCTCTGATGCAACCACCTTCAATGGTGGCGTTTCCATCAGCAGTTTCCGTGATTAGCTCCAACAATTCAACCTTTGAAAGCAACAAAACAATTGTTGGTGGAGCACTATCAATCATTTCAGACTTTGATGATAATAATTACAAGGCACTCAAAACTGTGAAATTGACACACGACTTGCAGTATGCAGAACACAAGAAGAGGAAGAAGAATTTAATGGAGAAGAAGTATATTTGGGTGCTATTGACCATTGCTAGTGTTTTTGGAGGAGTGGTGGCCTATGTGCATGATTTAATATTGAGATATATGTTTCAAGGACGGATAACAATTGTAGAACAAATTGATTCTTCCTTATTTGGAGTTCGATTACTAGTTTGGATTATTTTCAATTTATTTTTCATTGTAATTACATTATTGATGGTTGTATTGATTGCACCATCAGCAGAGGGCTCAGGAGTATCCCATATTAAGGCAATTTTGAATGGAGCCGAATTGAAAGATGCCATGAGTTTACAAACATTTATTGTAAAACTTGTAACTGTGGCCATGGTTGTTGGATCTCAGATGGTTTTGGGTAAAATGGGTCCAACCATTCACATTTGTACAATTTTCATATTGTACTTGATTAAATTGAAGATTTTCAAACCAATTGAAAAATCAAAACGATTGAGACAACAATTAATTTTATGTGGAGTTGTAAGTTTTTCAATTTATTTCACATGACTTGACAATTATGATAGTCAATTGGAGTTGGAGCTGCATTTGCAGCACCTTGTGGAGCAGTTCTCTTTGCAGTTGAATTAGTGGGTGGTTATTATTCAATGAGAACTTATTTCAAAGCTTTTTTTGTGGCAACATTGAGTGCTGTTGTTTCAAGGTCGCTCAACTCTATCATTACATTGAATATTGATTATGAAACTTATTGGGATATTCAGATAGTCAATCCTGCATATACTTCATTTGAAATTCTCTTATTTGCATTGTTGGGAGTATTGATTGGAGTGATGGGAATAGTTTTCGTTCAAATTAACATTTTCCTGATGAAACTCAAAGATAAATTTGGAAGTTTAATTTTGTGGATGGATTTGACAAGTAATTTGACAAGTAAGCAACGAATTTTCAAAATATTTGAGAATAAGATTATTCTTACCATTGTGTTTAGTATACTGACAAGTATACTGAGCTACCCAGATTTATTTGGCAAATTCACTTCACTCTCCTATGGAAATCTCTTTAAAGATTTGATGAGTACGAAAAGTCTTTCCCTAGAAAACAATTGGTTTACCAATTCTCCAACAGAAGTATTCGAATCCTTATTCATCTTACTAGTCATCAAATTCTTCCTCATCATTTTCACAATTGTCCTTCCAATTCCAGGCGGCTCCTACAATGGCATTATTTTACTAGGCACCATTGTTGGACGAATCATGGGTGAAATCATTTCCATACTCGCACCAAATGGTTTTCCCTACTTGTTTGGCATATACGAAACTGAGAAACAACAATTCCTACAACCTGGAGCTTATGCATTCGTTGGTGGAGTGGCAAGTGCTGCCTGTGTTACTCAATCCTATTCAGTAGTTGTAATATTTCTCGAAATGGCAGGAGGAGGGGCCCATATTCCATCTCTCATTGCAAGTGTCATTGCACTGAGTATTACAAAATACTTTTCATTGGGCATGTATAATATTGTAATTGATTTGAGAGGGTGGAATGCCATGTTGGAACAGCAAACTGATTCAGATGAGTTGAAACTTGTGACTATTATGAAACCCTTTGATGAGATGGAGTTTATTCTGGAGGAGGAAGTTTCGTTTGAAGTGATGGAGTTTATATTGGAAAAATTGAAAAGCTCAACTGTTGAAATTATTCCAATTATCAATAATAGAAAGGATTTGATTCTACTTGGAAAGGTTTCAAAGAATTCCCTCATTGAACAATACTTGAAAAAGAAGGAAATTGTTGAAAGGAATGAATTATCTGAAAATCAACAAGAAACTGACAAGACGAAACGAGATTTCACCAACCAGAAACGATCTCTTCTCATTGACTATCAAAGTTGTGATGTAGTTTTAAGTGAATCGAATGATGTCCACACAGCTCATCAAATTCTCTATCAGAATACTCATTTAGATTCATTGTTTGTGTGTTGGAAAGGTAAATTATTGGGAGTTGTGGAGAGGAGAGCTGTGAAGAGTTCAATTTTATCGAAAAAACAAAAGAAGGAATTGTTTATTTATAATTTGTATTAAATTTGAGATGTGATTACAGACAGTTATTAGAGTTGGTTTATTTTCAGGTTGTGTGTTGTAGGAATGTCAATAACTTTCGAATAAAATTTCTTATTGAGGTTTCTGCAATAAACAATTTGATTTGAATCACAATAAATTATTTATTAGAGAATTATAAGTTTAATCACCATGTGATTCTTTTTGGAAAGTAAGGGAAAACTAGTTTAGTTTCCTTTCTCCATTGATCATCACCCAACAACAACTCAATAAACATTGTCAAATTCTAACTAAATAGCAATAAGAACTCTCCAACGAAACTTCAGAGTTGGCATTTGTTGGACATTTAAAAGATTCTCCAACTTTCTAATAACATCTGAGAGATACACTCTCACGACCATAAATTGGCAATGACTCATCAAAATGGACAATAAAGCGAATGGCCAAAGTATGTTTGGAGAGACTGCCTGATTATGATGTTTTCATAAACAACAAGAAGAAAATATGTCGACAAGTATTCTAATCAATTCGAATAACAGTTTCGTATACTTGTTAATTAGCATCCTATTCTTCGTCAGCATGATGACAAAAGTTCAAGCCGAATCTTCATCATCCTTTTCTGTTAGTAAATTAAAATATCCGACATATGAATGTTTAGACCTGCCGCCGGTTAACCAATTCTATTATCCTAAACTATATGCTTTCGACACTAATTACTTGGATTATTGCAATGAACATGAAAATGATGAAATTAATTGTCAAGAATTATTGTGTTCGAAACCATCATCTTTTTATTCGAATCTATGGGATTTGAATAACAAGACACAAAGAAGTCAACTCGATTCGGTGATGAATTATTGTTTATATTGTGAGAGATCAGACTTTAGGGAGAATTTGCAGAATTGTAGTTTATTTGGTGGAAATAATTATTCGAAAGTATTGAATTTGTTGAATACTCATTGTAATGGAAATGATCAAGCAGCACCAGTGAAGAGTTTGGCAATGTTTGATTCATCGTTTATTGTAACAGAATTATTCAAGAGGGACTATTTAAATTATCTTTCGAATAATAATTTACTGGACTCGAATACTACAAAAGATACTTATATGAAAGTGGCCAATCTTACAACAATATTCAAGTATTATATGGATTCTATATGGAATTCTGATTCAGCTTCTTGGAAATCAACCATGAATTTACCTTTCAATTGTTGGTGTAATTATCAGAATTATGACAATTCGTATTTTGGATTTACATGCAGTGATTTCTATCAGGATTATCAAACAGCTTTCGTCTATCGATATTCTGTCATTGTTTTCACTCTGATTTATGCTTCGCTCTTTGTAATTTTACTTTTATTCATTTCCATTCCAAGAATTGCTGAGAGAATTCTCACACTAAAGAAGAAACTGAACAAACTGAATGTGGAAACATACAAGAAGGTACTATTCTCAATTAGGCATATATTTGATATTGTGAGTCATCCAGTTTTTTGGTTGTTGTTGGCAGCAACTTGTGGAACGATTGAGAATTTTCTCAGATTTATCTTTAATTTCAATTCTCTGAAACCATTCTTTGATGTTTACTTTTCTGGATTGTTCAGAGCATTGACTGCATTGTGTTGCTTGTGTGGATATAGTTCTTTGGTTATTTTGTGGTCTCACATCATTGATATTTCGAATAGAAAGGATGGAAAGCAAGGTCTCTCACTGTACAATAAGATTATTCTCTCGATCTTTTATTCTTGCTTGATAGTTTCAATAGTCATTGCCTTGATTGTTTTTGTTGCCACTGGTAATTATGGTTATGCTTACATTGTATTGTCATGTGCTGGTTTAGTTTACATGATGACCTTTACTATTGGTTTCTCGTTTTATGGTGTGAAAATTTTGGTGACCTTGAGAAAGATGGACGATAGACCAGTATTTGAATATCGTTTCACCAAGTTTATTCTTGGTGTGACAGTGATTTTCATCATTACTTGGATTGTTGTCTTGTTGTGTCTGATTACCTATTCATTTGGATTTGATGTGATTGGATTATTCTTTGGAATAACAAGAAATATTTTCCTAGATGCTTGTATGGTGGTTATTGTTGCATTTTCATCTTACATGACCTTCAATGTAGATGCCTTCGAGATTATTTATGGTGAAAGAGCTTCAAAATGGGCCAATAACTTTTTCACAAGTCAATCGAGTAATGATGATGAAGAGAAACCAGCAGATATCCTAAAAACACCAAGAAGAAACATTCCACCTCCAGCTTCTACCAGTACCACAGAGGTGGCAACTGAACCACCAACAGAACCAGTGATGGTCTAAATTATTTGTAATTTAATCCTAGGATGTATCATATTGTAATAACAAACCACTACCTCGAAAAGAGTCTAAGTATAAATTAAGGTAATGAAATATTATTTTCAATCAACAAATTAAATGGTTGATTATTCTCATTCCTAAATAAAGTATTTAAAATTGCAAAACACTTATGGAAAAGATCTCTAGAATTAATTTTCAAACGTGCTTGTCCATTTTCTTCCAAATAACTAGCCAACTTGGCACATGTCAAATATTGAAGTCCCAATAATGGATAAAATGGTGGGTAATACTTTTCAAAATATTCCAATGATTCAATTCCAAATTCGTAGGCCTTCTTAAAATCTGACAAGTCTACATTCAAGTGAGTGAGAGAATTCAGAGCAATGCCCATATAAATTTCATGAAATAGAGATGGACTAGATCTTTTCTTTGAAACAATTCTTTGGAAATAATTAACTGCCTCTTGTAAATCTGTTTGTAGTGAAAATTTAGAAAGTTTTGCATCGATAATATTACTTACTTTGATTCTTTCTGTGCTCATTTGCTATTGATATCATCTTGTCAACATTTTCATTCACTTCCTCATTACTATTAAGGCATCTAGGACAAGTACAAGTGAAATGATACTGTTCCTTCAATTTCTTCTGTCTATTAGCTGTTAAATCCATGAGGTCGACATAATTAATTGTCAGTGGTGTTCCCTCCTCAAGCAGCGATGAAGGATTTAAAATCCTCACATACAAATTCTTATCTGAATCGAATAAAATTGCACAATTTGGAACACAACTATGATTAAACATGGAGGCTTTCAGGTAAATTCCAGACCCTATGGCATTCATTTCCTCATTGCAAATTGAGAATGTATTTCGTTGTAATTTCAATAGCAGCAAGTAGATGAAATCCAAATCTTCCTTCCTATTATCAAGAAAAGAACTCGACAAATCAACATCCTTCACATAATCTGCAAATAATATAGCCAACTTGATGAGATTATCTTCAACCTTCTCATCAGATGAAGATGAAGGAGCAAGATTTTGAATCATTTCAAATTGTTTCTCATCCGAACATGATAGGAAACATTTTAACAGTAATCGAATCGAGTTGGTTACTTTTGGATGCGTTGCAAGTGCCTTACATTCTTTCAAATGGTGATCGGAATGCTTTTAAATTAATATTTAATATTCAATTAATTGGATAAACAATTATTAGAGATGATAACTTAAGAACAAAACTTACATAACAATTCATGGAACAATAATGAGAGACTTTACAAGCCTTGCATCGGGAGAGTTTGATATTAGCCTTGAAGCAATAATTACAGCAGTGTGTTCTTTCCCGATCATCAATAATAAAACAGAAAGGCTTTTCGTGGAGAATTAATTTTCCAAATGAAGTTGTAGATGATGAAGCAACAACTTCATAGTACCTTCCCACCTGATCATTTTGCTTGAGTTGTATCAGAGAGGACAATTCCTTGCTGTTTGTTTGTGAAAGCATTTTTTGTTTAACGGCTAGTTTTTTAATAATCAAACAAAATATCAAGAAGATGAAGCAGCTTTGATACTAAACTCATCACTTTTGTTAATAATATGTCTGATTGATTATTTGCGTGTTTTAATGTATGATGAGAAATAAAACAAAAAATGTTTCTAGAAATCATGAGTCTTCCAAATGAAATTATCTTTAAAATTCTAGCAGAATATTTACCCATTCATCACAACTCCACTCTTCTACTTCTCAATCAACAAATTCACTCACTACTACTCCATCACGATGGTTTATTTTGGCTCTTTTCCTTGGAGAAATTGATTCACCAAGAATTGCAGCAACAACAATCAAGTAGTAGTAGTATCAACAACTTATCGGAAGAAGAAACTCTTCTGCACGGATGCCTTCTTCTCCAGATGGAACAAACTAAACATCTACCAAGAAGAGGAAGGTTTGATATTTTTGCAAATTGCTACCTGTATCGTAATATTACCATACAGAAGGAGATTATAAGATATGGAAGATATTTGGATAATTGTTGGATCAAGTCAATACATTGAAATCAAAGAGAACTAATAGAACTAATCAGGAAAGGAATCAAATTGCACTCAAATGTTGCAAGTTGTTGAAGAAGAATATTAACAAGAGAAGGATACAAATGAAGATTACGAGCATGTTTATTGAAATCCAAATGAAATACTTTGAATTCTATTTGAATCGTCACGAACAAATGCAATTCAAAGAATTTAAAAGGCATTGGGAAAGAATCCTTGAGTATGTCTCTTCACAACCTTACTATTTCAGAACGGCACAAATTTTGAACATGCCCATTGTTCATCCACGGACTACACTTGAGAATCACTATTTCAATCAAATGCAAAATTTTCTTTATCGATTCAATCATAATTCATATGATATCGCGATTGAGAAGGGAGAAAATCCGATTGAACAGTTCTTTAATAAGCACTAAGGATCCTCAAACTCTGACCGAAATCTCTCAATTTTCTTACTTGAAGGTATGACATTTGGTGATGTTTCTTACTATTAAGGGTTGCATTTAGACGCATCAACAATAGAGATTTTCTTCTCTACATGGTATATCACTTTCTTAGGAAATCATGCAACCTTTTTTTCCTTCTCTCGTGTATTAACCTCAATGATCTATTATTTTCAACAGAGAGTGTAAATCTTTGTTATTAGGTATATATTAGGTATAGTACCTGCAAAATCTAATATTATGGAGGTCCATATTGAAAAGTGGCAAAAAACATTAAGATTGTCTAAGGACTTACTTATTTGAACCTTGCCTCCAATTCAAATGCCAAAGGGTATAGACCATTTTTGATAGGGGAGATACTTTGGTCGTTTGATGTTGTTCTATCTCCCACCAAGAATCATCTACAAGAGGCCAAAATGTGAGTTATTTCCTTAAATTTGCATTGCGCACTGCACCAAGCAGGTCTAATAAGAGCGTAATGCTCTACAGAGTTTTGGTAAAACCAAACAGAAAAAAAAGTTTTCTTATCCACTCTACAATTTGTTCAAGTTGTTGTTGTATCCAACAGTGCCATTAGTATAATTGAAGTACTTCAAACATTAACAGTCGCCATACATTAGTGAGATTGCAATCTCTCTGTTTGCCTTAAATAATACTCTGTGTAAATAATATATATCAAAAACAACATGTCCAAGACAGTATTGGAAAACATTAGTGAAATGCCTGCTTGTGTTCCTTCGGTGGGTGGCTATTCCGCCCTGATAGAGAAGGCCATACAGACAACACGTGCTCAGGAAGGAACATCTATTCACCTTAACATGTACTATACAATTGATAATAACCTTATCAATACAATGATTATACAAGCCCTAGAAAAGAATCAGTTGGAGGTGATCAAATTTCAACAACGTTACTATGAATCCATATGTGAATCGGTAGAGACCTTGGAGAAATGCAACAAGCAGATACTGTTCTCAAGAAGAAAATCAGCTCCACGTTATCCCAACCAGAGAAGAGTATCCATGAGAATGAGAAATAGAGATTTCAATGGATTTCAATTAACAGATGTAACCAAAGATGCAGGTGAAGCAATAGTGATGGGGCAAAAAATCCTCTTTACATTCAATATCATTAGATTTACCATTCATCACTCTGAACAATATAGAACTCTGATCGATATGATTTTCTTGGGTGATGTTCTGTATACGAGTGTTTGCTGTGATAGATACAAGAGTTTGGAGAATATGGTCGTTCCACTCGATCAATTACTCAACGAATGGAAACAGAGATCAGTCAGCAATGCTCCTTCTGAAGTGTACAAGAAGGATTTTCTTCCCCAAATGAAAAATCAATACGACACTGTATTCCATTTCAGACCAAATCCAACTCTCACAACCAAGTTAATTGAAAAGTTTGAGAGTGGTTGTACAGTTGAAGAGTTTGAAATTTTGAGTAGAATTTGTCAATGTGTACCATTGAAAACTATTTACGATTTCAAATCTCTCGTTTCCAAGCTTAAAATACTCAAAAATAGTAATTTTATCTCCCAAGTTTTCTATCCAATCGAGTTGACTCTTCGTTTCCTTACAGTTTGCCCACTGACAGACTTTTTTGGTACCAGTAGCATGCTCAGACTCTACTTGCCAGCTTACTTTGGTAACAAGATTGCTAAGAGACAACTCATCGAATTGTGTGAGGAGTATGAATTTACAGTTGAAACCGATCACTTTATGGATGCTCACGAATACTCATTCTGTTCCAACTTTCTCCCAAAGAATGCCCTCTCCAACATTTATTGTGCCAGTAAATATATGGGAGATGATGCTAGGGAGATTTGTACCTATGTCTTTCGTTATTGGACCAATCATAGACACGAAGATATGATTCAATTGTTAAAGAAGGCGTTTAGAATACTCAATTTAAATGTTAATCCAATCCCATTCCTGAATGAGTGGAGAGCCATCTGCTGTTATCTTTATGCCTTCCTGGAAAAGGATAAGGACAGTGTTGAATATCTTAAAAGTATTGACTCTCCCCTCTATTATCACTATTTGAGTTTGAACTCATCTCAACCATGTAAATACAGAAAGGAATCTCTCAGAAGGGGTTTAATAGAAGATGGAGTTAATGAAGTCATGAACTGTTCAGACTCTACCAACTTTGCTATTAAACACCATCATGTAGATCGTTTATCATTTGGCAATGAAGAGTGGGTATCTCACATGATCTCTCACAATGAAGACGATGTAGATTATGAACACTTAGTAAATCATGAACTGATTGCATGTTGTTAATAATATTCAATTCAATTCTTTTTCTTTTACTAATAACTCATTCTCTTTCCAATTATAATACTACGGAGTTAAAATCTGCAATTTGATTTGTGTGATGGAAAGGAGCTTTCAAAATTAATACTTCCTCATTTTCTCCAAACTGTAAGAAAACTCAATTTTAAAAAAAATGTCTGCACAACCTAATGCTGCTTCTTCATCATCTTCAGTCCTAGTTGGAGGAGGAGTATCGGAATTGGATAATGTAAGCAAAGATAACAATTTTTTGGATAACAATTAATATTTATTAAAAAAATAGATTAAATTTGCTCCGAATAAGAGATTTGTGTTTAGAAATTGGGCCAACATTTACAAATCCAAACCAACCTTTGTACATCATCCAAAGAGTGAAGAGGAAATTCAAACCATTGTCAAGGTTGCTAATTTTAGAGGAGAGAAAGTAAAAGTGATTGGTTCTGGACATTCACCATGTGATATTTCACTCACAAATGGTCACATGATCATTCTGGATCAATATTCAAAGATTATTAGTGTAGATAAGGAAAAGTTGACTGCAAAAGTTCAAGCTGGTACAACCATCGAAACTATTAATGCCGAATTGTACAAGAATTACAATATGGCCATAGCAGTTTTGGGATCCATTTCATTCCAAACTATTTCTGGCATTATTTCTACTGGTACTCATGGAACTGGTATTAATTTTGGATGTTTGCCAACCTTTATTGTGGAAATGGATATTGTTTTACCATCAGGTCAAGTTGTGACTGTTAAAAAGGGAGATGAGGATTTCGATGCCTATGTTTGCTCATTGGGATGTTTGGGTATCATTTCAACAGTTACCATTCAATGTGTTGAAGCTTTTGCATTAACTCAAGTTCAGGAACCATCAACACTTACAAAAGTTTTGGAAAATTTGGATTCACTCATTCCTAGCTCAGATCATTGGAGATTTTGGTGGTTCCCACACACAACCAATGATAAGTGTATCACTACAAGTGCCACCAGAAGCTTGATTGATAGCAAGACATTTGTTGGTGATTCAGATAAGATTACATTCTTTGGCAGAATTCGTAACTTTTTTATTGATAGACTGGTTGGATTTTATTCACTCGAATTTGCTCTCTTTGTTTCCAAGTTTATTCCTTCCCTTATTCCTATGATTAACAATACTTGGTTTAATTTATTATTCAGTTCTAAAACTCAAGTTCATGATGTCAGCTTTAAAGTATTCAATTTTGATTGCCTATTCAAGCAATTTGTCAATGAGTGGTCCATTCCAATTGAGAATACTAAAGAAGCTCTCCTGAGACTTAAAAAAATGATTGAAGAAAAGAAATATAAGGTTCACTTCCCAGTTGAGGTTAGATTTGTAAAGAGGGATGATGTTTGGTTGAGTCCATGTTATGGTAGAGATAGCTGTTATATTGGAATTATCATGTATAGACCTTATGATTTCACTATTCCATACCAAGAATATTTTGCTGAATACAATAGGATCATGTTAGAGTTGGGAGGAAGACCTCACTGGGCCAAGTTGGATTGGAAACTTGATTCTGAAGATCTCTATCCAAAATGGAATGATTTTAAGAATTTGAGACGAAAGAATGATACAAACAACATTTTGATGAATGACTATTTGGAAAGATTGAACCTGTAAAATTATATTGTGAAATAAAATTTTGAGTGTGAGAAAACATTTGTGAGAAGTAATTGTAGTAGTAATTGTTTATGATTCATTTGATATTTACAGTAAAAGTTCTTATCTAACTTTTTAAGGTTTATAACACATCCTTAATTTAAATAGAGTTCTGAAATATTTGAAATGAATCCAAATTGTTGATGACCAGTGAGACAGTATTTGCTGTGAGTGTTTACAAAAAAAATAAACAAAATGCTTCGATGCCCCACTCTTCAAATACTTATTTTGCTCGCACTGTGCCTTTTCTTTAACACAACAAGAGCGTACACTCAAACTCTAGAAAATTTAACAACACTGGAAAGAGTAACATTTAATTACACATATTTTGCAAAGTATTATGATGATTTCGGAGGGATTACAATAGTACAAGAGAATAATGAATGCGGAAAGCAAATGCCATGCTCTATGCAAAATCTTCTTCGGGTGGCTGCTATGCAAATCAATCAAGATGTCAAAAATTTAAATGTCAAACAATATGCAAGATTTGATATTAATATCGTCTTGATGAATAATTTTACAGAAAATCAAGCTAATTGTGGATTGCCATTTGATATTGATGATTCCCAGATTGATGTTGCAATATATTTTAATTTTCAATCAGAAAAAGTTGACCGAATGAATTATTATACATGTGGCAGG